CCGATACTAGACCCTCGCTACTGGAAGGAAAGGAGAGGAGAGAAGCACTGAGCCCCGGAACCCTAGCAAAGGAAGCACAGAACACAAGGACCCTTCCCCTCCCCTCGCACAAATTACCCTCCCCTAGATACAGAGACAACACACAACAGAGGAGGAGCACATCAAGAAACTTGGAACGCTGTCAGAGCTCTCGTCCAAGTATCGCTCGATGCATATAGAGCATAATGTTATTAAGTAGCTACGAGTGTTCCAGACGGCCGCAGAAAGCCGCCGCCTCGAGGTTAGACAAAGCGCAATGTACAGTAACGCAGATCAAGCATCGCAGTTCCGTAGCTCCGGCGGCATGAAAGGCAGCCTCAACATCCGGAAGACGTCCTGCTCATTTCTCGTTTCCATCAGCTCGCCCGTGTCGGTGTCCACTAGCCCCGAAGAATGGAACTTGAAGCCGCCCCGCGTGGCCCAACGGCGAATGTCCTTTTCGAAGTTGCGCGACCCGGTCCAGCCCACCACACACGCGCCATAGACTTTAGGGGAGCAGAAGACGAGGTCTACACGACGATGTCGAGAGACGGGTATGATGCCTGGTGTGACAGGGGGCAGAAAGACAATCTCGGCAATGTCCACAAAACCACTTGTCTCGTATCCATCAGAGGGATTGGTGACATTGACGCTGTAGCTCATCAGCCCTCTCCTCTTCAGCGTGGTAAGTAGGCGATTGATGACGTCTAAGCGTTTGCTGAAGTCAGCGTGGTCGTTGGAGATGACAATGTCCACATCGTTGGACATCGGCTTGCCTCTCCGGTACCCGCCTACAATTTCGATGAAGGTGCCGGGTAGGATGACGTTGAGCTCGGCAAGGAGGAGGCGGGCGATCTCTTCAACTTCCTTGCGTGGTATCTTGGTCTTGAGATCGGGCAGGATACGATAGCAGTCTGCTACCTCCAGCTGGGTAGCCAGACTCTTTCCGTGTGCGATGACGTCCTCGAATGTTCTGCAACCTTCTTCGTACAGTGCACGGGCTGCAACGGGGCCAACTCCGTAAAGATCCATGAAGTCAAATAGGATCGCGTTAGCAGCATCATTACGGATTTGCTGTGCCTCGACAATGTGACCTGCGTCGCAAAATTGTTCGATGAGCCCGATCATTTTCTTGCCCACGCCCTTGAGATCTCGCACAGTCTTGAGATCTTTGGAGCATATTGCAGCCGGGTACGCTTTGATCGCGGAGAGGCAGCCGCTGTAGGAACGCTCGGACCATTGCTGAGAGGTGAGTGCGCGCTGCTTCCTTATGACTTCAAGCTCATCGACGAGGCTCTGATTGTGCACTGAGCGAAGGGGTGTCGGTCGCTGGCAGCAGTATTCGCTGTTCACCCAAGATGGGTGAGATGAAGGGAGAGTAGGAGGAGAGGTTTCACGGGCAAAGCAATAGGAATGCTGGGGCGAGGCTCGCCTCTCTGTCTTGATCTTCTTCTTAGAGGTAGTATGCAGCACGTCCTCTTCGCTGCTCTCTCCCACCGCCTCTTCATCCTCAGTGAAGCTACTTGGCTCTCGTTTCATTGCCGGACGGGCGGGCTGCTTCCCCTTGGCGACTGCACTAGGCACGTCTGTGTCCTCCATACCGGTGGGTATACGATACGGTGTGTAGTCCTGCATAATCCTACGCCTAGCTGTTTCTGCAAGCCAATCCAAATGCAGTATAGGAATCTTGGCGAACCAGTCATCGGTCAATTGTCCATTTCTCTCACGCTTCAAGGCCATGATGACTCTTTTAGGGGCCCGCAGGGAGGTCAGAATGAGATTTGTGTACTCGATGGTAGCTGCAAGTGCACCCAAGGTGACCACCTCATCGTAAACGGCCTGCCTCTCTTCCTGAGTAAGCTTGTCAGGGAGGACAAAGCATCGCACTGCTTGTGACAGAACGCGGAAGGAAGGCTGTGCTTGAGTCCGATCCCCACTGAGCAGGATGTGTGCGTTCTTGGCGGAAGCAGGGCTAGCAATACGCACTGGGGCAACAGGCTTCGACTCAAGAAGTCGATGACGAGGCCCGGGAGAGGACGTAGACGAGGACGACAATGGCATGACCGGGGGAAGCAGCAGCACGCAACGGCGATGCTACCACATCTCTGATCTGAAGCACATACCCTCGTAGACGACGCTCTGGCAGGGGGATGGGGGCGCAGACTGGCTGTTCGCGTGGTAGAAGTGATAGCGATAGCGGGGGTAAGGGGCTCAGAGCCGATCGGACCGGAGTGTTGTTGCCGCGTGGTGGCTGGCGGGCTGTCGGATTGGGCGCGGAGGTGCAAATGCCGGTCGGGATTTGGGTGCTGGGCGTTGCTCTGCCCCAGGACGCGCGCGAGGCCGACGCGGGTCCAGACCCTCGAGGGGGGCAGCAGAAGCAGCAGCCACGCCCACGAGTCCAGATCTCGCCCTTCGCACGCCGCCCCCTGCCTGGGTTTGCTTCTACGGTTGCTTGGTCGCCAATGGTGGCTGATCCTGTCGCTCCTCCTTCCCATCCTTGTTGCCTTTCCCCCTTCTTCGGCCCTTCTCTCCTCTTTGCTGTACAATAGCGCTTCGTATCATCCTTCTCCTCTTCTCTGTCCTTGCTCGAGGTCCTGCGCTGGCATCACGTCCTGTCTCTTCGCAAAGAACGACGTCGGGCTGACCAGCAATCTCCTTTTTGCCTGGGCCGAACATCCCACGATGGACGTCAAGGACGCCAAGGATCCGCTGGCCTCGGATCCTGGCTCAGTACCGTCACCTTCTGGCACCGGCACTTCCTTGGCTTCGCGGCCACGTTCTCGCATGAGCTCCTCTTACAAGCTCACTATGGGAACCAGTGAGCAATCGTCCGCAACTGTCCCGAGTCAAAGCCCCTTCGGTGACGAAGGCGCAGACATCCTCTTCTCCCCTACCGATGAGGATCAGCACTATGCTCACGCCACACCTTCAGAAGATATCCTATCCGACTTGGAAACCCACAAGGCGGCAACTGAGGTCCAAAAGGCTCTACAGGCCATACGCAGGTACAAGCTGGACGTCGGGCTGTCAGACGCCTGGGGCCAAGTCGATATTGCTTTTCTTAATCAACTCGTCTTTCAGCCTTCGCCTCTCACCGCCGTCTTTATCAGTGCTGGCGATACCCACTGGGTAGCGCGCAGTGAAGGTTCCCTCTCCAGCAGCGCGCTCTCCCCAAGACTCATTGCTAATCTCGTCACTGCAGTCGCAGAGAAGAAGGAGGAGGTCGTCGCCATCTCCGATCTAGGCCAGTTTCTGGAGGATCGACGTATTCCGAGAGACCAATTGCCGGTGGAGATCAACTTCTTCAGCGGAAGTGTGCTCCGCTTTGCGCCTCGTCATGGTGACCCAGAGATTCCCGTAGGAGTGGTCGCAGCCTTTGACATCGATGCACAGCATGCGCAACAGAACCAAAAGGTCGTGGCAAAGGTGGCAGCCATGACGCATACCGTTCTGCGTAACAGGTATCTTGCCGATCGTCGCAAAGTCGAGCTGCGGGCACAACAGGAAATGGTCAACCTGACCAGGCTCATCCAGGGAGACGGTAGTGATGGCGCCAATTCAGTGAGTCGACAGTAGTGTGCTTGCGTCGTTGATACGCCCGTCTGACACCTACAGACCCTCGGCCTGGATGTTGATGACCAGGTGGATGCTCAATCAGATGAGAGACGTATTAAGAAATCGGCCTCGCCCGATATAGAGCACGAAGTGTTTAAGCAGGCTGCTCGTGCGACCAGTCGTGTCTTGCGGGCTGATCTCGTTGCCATATTCGACGTCTCGGGCTTCAAATATGACAAGGCAGCATGGAGGGATCGGCGCGCACCTAGGCGGCGCACAGCCGAAGGCTCGACCGACGAGGAGCTTGGACCCTCACCGTCCTACGAAGAAACGAAGACACGCACTACTCCAAGTGCGGGCCAAAATGCTATTGGCAACGTCACGAGCACAGATGCGGACAGCAAGGGCCAGAGTAGCAAGCCCCTCTCGGAGCATACCGAGGGCAGCTCTCACGGGGGCATTTCCCTTGCTCCTCTGGATACGACTTCTGGCAGGGGGGACGAGTGGTCAAGCTCGTCAGACTCCGAAGGAGCGGGTACCGATCGTCAGGACGAGTACGATGCCGACCGAAAAGGTCGTCCACAGCGCCCGACGCTCATGCAGCAGGAGGAGGATCGGAGTCGGGACGACGGTTCCGAGAAGCGGCCGGAAAGCATTGTGTGCTCCTACACAAGGAGCACGAAGCCTATACCTCTGCTGGCTGCCAGCGGGCGCGGCAAGTCTCACTTCAAGCTGCTTCCTGGCGAGCGCTCAAGACCGCGGGTGGCAAAGTTCTTGGCATCTGCCAGAGCTGCTGGTACACCCTGGTTGACCCACGTTGAGGGCGAGCAATCGCCATTGAGCTCGGATAGGCCGTCTCGACCTCGAGCCACTCTGCTCTCGGACCTTTTGCCCAATGGTCTTGGAGGCCTAGTGGCGCTGCCCGTCTTTGAGACTACGCATCAGCCTGCATATCTGATACTTGTCGTCTTCAAAAAGGCGCCGCCGGCGTTTGAGGATAGCGACCGTCTGTTCGTGGAACAGATTGGGAGTTCTTTGATAGCTTCTGCTCTTCGCATACGTAGTCAAGCGGTCGATCGAGCTCAGGTACGGCTTACACAGAGGATGCAGCATCAGCTGCGCACACCCCTTCACACGATTGTGGGTATGTGCGAATCAGCCAAATACATCTTGGACTGCTCACCAGAGACGCACCAGATGATTGCTAGCATCGCTCTATCTGCCGAGTCGCTTGACGCGAGCTTGAGCGACATCTTTGACTACTCGATGATGGCAGGCATCAAGGAGCCCAAGATCGCTCGATCGGACGTCTGGCCCGAAACCAACTTTCGAGGTATCTTCGACATCACCACTAGGACTGCCAATGCTGCGTGGCGTCTCTTCTGCTTGACAAAGGCGCCCTTGCATGACGATCGCGAACAAGTCCCTCCGCCCCCCGAGTTGATCGTCACCTGTGGCCCCGGAAGCTGGGAAGACTTGCCTCACAAGTTCAAATTTGATTGCGAAGCGCTGACGCGAGTCGTCTCCAAACTTGTGACAAATGCGTTGCAAGCCACTTCGCGCGGGATTGTCTGCGTCAATTTAGCAGTCAAAACGTCCCCTCGCAAGGACAGAGACAAAGAAGTGCGGGGCATCAGTGACCTCCATTTGACCGTCAGCGATACTGGTACGGGCATGTCAAAAGGATTCCTCAAAGACCACGTATTCCGGCCTTTTACCAAAGCCCTCGAAAACACCCAGGGCACTGGTCTTAGTCTGTCCATCTGCTCCTCGGTCATGTCGCGCTTGGGCGGTCGGGTGCATGTCACCAGTGAAGTAGACAAGGGCTCAACGTTTGACTTCGTATTCCCCTACCGAGGCAAGGTGGCACCCTCTATCAAGCCGACAGGTGTCAAGGTTGCTTGCATTCCTCTCGATGACCATGAGACTGCGAGGGTGAGCTTCATCGCCTTTGTGACATTCTTAGCACATCAGTTCGGGGCGCAATATCTCGGCAACGTTGACAAGAGGCCCGAATTACTCGACGAGGCCGCCATTGTGTTCATTGCCGGAGAGAGATCCGCCAAGGACCAAGACAAGGAGGCCATTGCTGCGCAGATCAATGCTCGCAGCAACACGCGGCAGGCTCGGCAGCTCCTCGTTGAGTTGCCCAATCGAGCCTTCATCGATCCACCAAACAGTCTCAAGCCAGAGCGCAAGATCGTACAAATGGGCGATCTAGATGTCATTCAGATCTTCCGCCCGTTGGTTTTACCTGACCTAGAGCTCATGGAAGAAGTCTTCGCCGACGTGTTGATGGACCAGGAGCAAGCCAAACGCTCCGAAGAAGATCAGACGCAGTCCTCGCCCACAGTTCTTGAGGGGCACTTTGGACAGTCGAGGCTCGCACCGCCGAGCACAAGTGTTCCGTCGATCGTAGTCTCCGGCACGAGGAAACCCTTGGCCGGCAGCAATCGCAGTACCAGGAGCAGCGCCAGTGTCAGAGGGACAGACGGGGATTCCTGTGCCACTCCGAGGGCCCGGCGAGACTTTGTGTGCCTGGTGGTGGAGGACAATCCACTCAATGCCAGGATTTTGATTACCTTGCTCAAGCGGGTAGGCATCAACCATCTCGAAGCGAAGGATGGCGTCGAAGCAGTAGAGCAGTTCAAGAAGCACCTACCTCAAGTTGTACTCCTAGATATCAATATGCCGCGCATGAACGGCTTTGAAGCGGCCATCGAGATGCGCAAGGTAGAGTGTCCGTACTACCCCCGCATCATTGCGGTCACCGCTCTTTCGATGGAAGCAGACAAGCTGAAGGGCAAGGAGTGTGGTATCGATGACTGGCTGCCGAAGCCTGTCCGACTGGCTCAGCTGGCTCAAGACGTCAAGAGTTGGAAGGAGGAAGGGGTTTGGTATGAGGAAGTGCCGCGCGAAGACAACAGCGACGTCAGCGAAGCACCTTCCAAAGGTGAGTTAGCTCAATACACTACGGCCAAGGCAGAGGATCCTGACGCACTGCTGTTGTCTGCAGCAGGCGCAATGCCGTCGACGGAAGAACAGGACCCGAAGGCCACTACCGCGGAGAACACCCAAGGCAACATCCTGCTATAGACGACGCGAGAAAGCAAAGGCATCGTTTCCGGGGATATCAACAGACGCGTAGATGCACACGAATCTCTCTGCCGATCAAGCTGCGTCCGATGTCCGCATCTGAAGCTCCTCTGTTCTCTTAGGGATGCTCTCCCTGCCCCTTACCTGCCTAGTACCTTCGCTCTAGAGACGTTCATCCACCACGTCTGCATTCTCACACTCACGTACCCATGCAACAACGCATCCATTGAGACTACTCCCCCATTTGTATATCATAGCAGCTTTCCCTGCTTATTTCCCTTGATCTCTCACCTCGCGCTTCTCCTAGGGATATGGTCTCCGTCAGTCACCGCATCGCACGTTCGCGTCATCTCTGCATCTATTCAGATATTCAGTTGGCTCGCCTAATGTGCTCCATTACACCCAGGACGCTATTCATTTACAATTTACCATATAAGCAATCCCCACCTTCTGATCGCTTCCCGGCTGCGAGGGAGAAGCATGGAGTGAGCAGCGTCGGTGGCGCTGAGTGCCTGGCTCGTGCGGTGATCTGATTGTGGGCGATGCGCCCGCCTCGGCCCAGAAGCACAAAGGGCGGCGCTTAAGTCCGGATTAGCAAAGGGGCGACAGAGGACATCGTACACCTCGCCTCGTCACCATTACGAAGCAGCTCACCTCTCCTTCCTCGGCATTCCTCACCTATAAAGAGGTAGACGAGACTACGAGTGAAGACTGGCGGTAGCTACCAACAATAGTCAACACCACCATGTCACGTCAGCAAGGCGAAGAAGCGCGTCAGCCTCTCCTTCCTCGTTCCTCGGCCGACTCCCTCGATGAGCTTCAGCCTACGGGGCAGGGCGGAAGTGATGCAGCAAGGGCAGGGGGCGGTACCCGAGCTTCGGGCAGAGATGGAGACTCGCAGTCGATGCGCAAGGCTGTCGGGAGGAACAGTTTTGCGGGGACGAGTGCACTGGCTCTCCAGGTGAGTAGAAGGCGTCAGCTCAGCCAAGGCTCTTCGTCGATCGCCCTCTTTCTGACTCTGTTCCTCGCCTTGCTCTCTCTGCTTCTCCACAGTTGCTTGGACTCGGCTTCTTTCTCCTGATATGGTCCCTCGTGATCAGCAAGATGGGCTGGCCCCTGGCCTCCCTGCCTCTCTTCGGCTGGCACCCCCTTCTCCAGTCGCTCGGTCTTCTGCTTCTCATCCAGTCCACGTCTGTTCTGCAGCCGACGACCGGCTCTCGCCCACAAGAGAAGGGAGCAGCAGCAAAGACACACCGATGGATCAATACCACTGCAGCAATCGTCTTCACCGTAGGGGCCAGTATAATGTGGTACCTCCACTCACCAAATGGCCATTTCATTAGCTGGCATGGCATCTTTGGGACTGCCACGGTGGTATGGATGTGGACGCAGGCGGTAATTGGAGCCGCCAGCGTCTGGAGCCTGGGGCAACGATTGCTGGGAGGCGAGGAAAAGGCAAAGGCAATCTGGAAGTGGCATAGGTTGAGCGGGTACCTTCTCCTGCCCTTCTTCCTCGTGTGAGTAGCAAGCTAGGCGGCAGCGATCTGATGCTAAGGAAGTCGACTACGGACTCACGAGTGCTCTCCCCCCTGCCTCTGGACCCGCTCCTACCAGAACCCTCTTCACTGGCGCCACTCAGACATCATGGTCCCAGCAGAACGCCTCGACGACCTACCGCGCCCTCATCACAGTCGTCCTCATTGGCGTCTTTGCTGCCGGCGCAGCGCGAGTGCAGTTCAGCAAGCTGCCCAAGCTCATGGGCTAATGTCAAGTAGGAGGTAAAGGAAGAGACAGACGACTTCGAAGAACAAAACCCCAGCAACTGTTTGACCTGGCGCAATAGGACGCCGAACTCAGCACTTGAACCATGCATTCGAGCGCTTTCTTATGAGACGATGGAGGAGAGATGACTTTCTGATGCTGTACTTCTGAGGACAATTGCACTATCTCATGGCCAGCATTCCCTACTGGTCGCCCTGCTTTTACTCCCATTTGTTGGACGCCACGGGCGAGCTGACACTCTTTGCAGCATCCATCTCGTCGCCCTTTTCACTCTCACCCTTGGCTCGGTGAGGTGTGCCCATATCAGGTGCAGTGACGTATCCACTCCAGGTGCTAGAGTGCGAGAGAGCGTGAGCGCGGGTGGCTCCTCCTCCTCCACCGGGCGTAGCGCTACCAGAAGCAGGTCCGCCCGCGCCCCATGCGCTGCCCTCGGTGCCAACAGCGATTGGAGTCTTCATCTCGCGCCCGGAGAAGCGAGCCTGCCAGGGAGTCGAAGGACCATGTCCACCTGGAGGGCTAGCTTTTCCCCGATCTCGGGACGTACCTTGCCCGTTCGACACATTGAGAGCTTGCGGAGTCTTCTCTCCGTCATGAGTGCCAGTGCTGCTGCTGCTGCTGCACGACGTTCCGCCACTGCCCGTGCGCTTCTTGCCTTTGCTGGTGCGAGGAGGAGTGACAATTACCGGCAGGGTACTACTATTGCTGATGTCGCTCGCCGTTCGACCATACGAAGGCGGGCCCCCAGGGTACGAGTAGGTGTTTCGTACCGTCACGCCGTCATCTCTAAGGATCCGAGACGCTCGAGAGGCGATGACAACAAAGTATAGGAAAACCGCATGGAAGATGACCCAGAGGCAGATGAAGATGGCCGCCCAAAGCTTGAATTTCTGCGAGTGGACCGAGAGTAGGAGGCAGTAGCGACGTGGTCAGCTTTCAAAGACTGTCGGCACTGTGAATACCATGCTAGCACTTACAAATCTGCAGGCGTCTTGACCCAGCTTGATAAGCGCTTCATTGCCTTTCCAGAGCCTTTCCTGTCTGGCCTGGCAAATCTGAATGATCTCGTCCCTGTGAATGAATGTGTCAGTCGTGTAGGCAGTGCCCAGTCCGATGCCCAAGACCCAGGCAGCCAGGAGAGCAAAGAAGTAAACACGGACGAGGGTGGAGACTTTGCGAGCCGAGCCGATCAGCCCGAGGAAGCTAGCAATGGCAAGTATGATCATCAAGGCAGTGTAGAGACCACCAATGGCTTGCGTGGAGACGGGTAGCTTGCTGCCGCTTGACCATAGGTGGAAGATGATAGCCCCTGCCAAGGCCGAAGAGAGCAGAAAAGTAATCGGAGCGAGCAGGATAATGCCGACTCGCACTGGGATACAGCAGCTGCGATTGAGGGGTGTAGAATGAGATGGGCTGTCAGTCACTGGAGCGTTGCTATGTCTAAGACAAGAGCAGCACACGCTGGTGACACAGGCTACTCACCAGCACAAGCGCGAATCCGAGTCCGCTGTCATCGTAGCTAGGTACTGCGCAGAGAGGTATAATCAGTGCAGTCGAAGCAGCAGAGGCCTAGTGACCACGATGTCGGTCGAAGGGAAGATGTCCTGAACGAGGGTGTGAGTTGCCGTGTTCACAGTTGCACGCAACTGGAGCGAGTACAGTGAGCCTCACTGATGAGCTCCTGAGGATTGTTAGTGAGAAGCTGCTAGCAGTCGGATGCAGGGCCAGCCTACAAGGAGAATCTGAGCGCTGGAGGGAGGCAGGGCAGAAGGTGAGATTGGTAGAGCTGAAAGAGCTGGGAGAGAAGTGGTGGCGGCGTTGAGTGGCGACGCTGCAACAGCGAGAATACTTTCAAGACCCATCGACATTGCCTTTTATTCGGTCACTGCCACCGCACATCACAGCAATCGGGCAAACGTCGCGTCAGACTGGCAAACGGCAATCGAGGACGGCGCGCTGGGTTGCTGTGCGATCGGATACATTCGGTAGCGGACAGGGCTGCAGAAGTCGCGCACAGAGGTGAAGCTCGGCACACAGCAACCCGGACGGTCCAAGAAAGAGCGCAACGATGGATTGTGCAGGCTCACACAGCAACAGGCAAGAGTTTGACAACCATTGACGTTGTCGCAAACGTCCACATCCTGGGAGCAAACAGCGTTTTGCAGCAATGAAAGTTCTGATTGCTTTGTAGTCCGCAGATCTGCCTGTTTCTCCTTCGCTTTCCTCGTGCAACTCAGCCCTGTTGCTCCGCAGAGTCCGCGTAGCTGTTGCTCTTGTGCTTGGCCTCGAAGCTGAAGTTCTCCGCTTTGCCGAGGAACATCTCGGTGATCTTGACCCAATCTCCGGCATCGTCCGAAGAGAGGAGTGTCTCGAGCTCGTCTCGGCCTCGGTAAAGTGGGGGCCGGTCGTTCATCGACGGCGGCAAATGCTCGAGTAGACCCAGTGGAACGTAGCGGTAGAAGAAGGACATGGCTTCACACATGAACTTCCTCGTCTTGTTCACGCCTTGAGTGTCACTTCCCCAGTGTTGCAGGCCGTAGTGGGCAAATTGCCGAATAATGTCGAGCCGCTCGCGACTGCTGATGTCCCAGTCTCTGCGCTCCTTGATCTCGGTGAAGATCCAAGGCTTGATCAGAGCGCCTCGGGCAATCATCTCGCCGTCTACTCCGGTATTGGCGAGGTTTGCGTAATACTCCTGCTGTGAGTAGACGTCGCCATTGCCGTAGAAGGGGATGGGCGCCATCTCCTCTTCGTCGGCAGTCTTGCTCTCTTCGTTCCATTGCCGTACACTCTCTCTGAGCTCCTGTCCGCACTGCTTGATGTAGTCCCAGTCTGCCCTTCGGGCATAGCGCTGTTTGCGGCTCCTACCGTGCATAGTAACAGCTCCCGCGCCCCACTCGGTCTGGACTTTGGGCATGATTCGATGGTGACTCGTATTCTTCGATGTCACACCGGTACGCAGCTTCACAGTGACAGGAATGTCTCCTAGAACGGCATCCATGCCCCTCACTATGCGCCCAAGCTTGCGCGGGTGGTCGAGGAGTGCAGAACCACCGCCGTGATTGAAGACAAGGTCGATGGGGCAGCCGCAATTAATGTCAACGAAGTCGAGTCCTCCAGAAGGGCCGAACTCCTTTGCCATGACTTCTGCGGTAGGCACCAACAGCTCCGGCTTTGATCCACAGAGCTGGATACCAAACGTCTTCTCGCCTTCCCACCTCCTCACCAAGCTCCACTCTGACTTGTTGCCTTCGAGATAGCTGCCTGCCAGTCCCATCTCACCGCAATGGATGTCAGAGCCAAATGTGGCACAGATCCTACGGAAAGGCAAGTTGCCAGTCGTGGTCAATGGTGCGAGGTAGAGCTCGCCATGATGCCAATCGAGCCTTCGCTTTTCGGAACGACGGATGCGTGCTAGGTCCACGTCTGACCTGCTCTGCGATTGAGCTGCCTCTTCCGCCCGCGCGTTCGCCATAGCATCGAGATCCTCTTCATCGACAGGTGCGCTAGCAGCGGCAGTAGCAGCCTTGTCTATGGCTTGCAGGTCGATGGGAAGGGGGCCCTTCGGATCTACCGGGTCCTTCTGATAGGCCCGCTCCTCTTCCGCCAGGAGGGCTGTCACAGCTTTTGTGCGTGGCAGCGGGTACTACGAGAAAGGATCATCAATCCAACTACTGTCAGACTTTGGGGTCGAATCGACATCGAACAGACCCTCGGTCACTCACCTTTTTGGTCCTCAAAGTCTTGCTCAATGTCGGATCTGTGTAATTGGTCTCGTCGAAAGCTCCCCTCCACGTCTCTCCGGACGATTCCTCCCAGGGAAGGTCCAGTCCACTTCCAAGGTATCCTGATGCTTCACCCTCAGCCCCACGAGGTAGTTGCTTGACATGGGCGCCTAGCATACGACACTTGAAGCCATAAGGGCACCGAGGACCTACCTTGGAGGCGGAAGCATCCCACAGAGGCCGGCTCTGGAGAGAGTGGTACGTCGGACATGTCGTTCGAGGATCGAATGAATGCGCAATGCTCTTCAGAGCCGAAGTGGACGCCTCGCCCCGGCTCGAGGAAGCCACTGGCTGATCATGATCCAGGGCCTTCACAGCCCAAGATACGAATGGCTCCTCCACAGTGTAGTAACCATCGAGGAACGCATTCTTGTCGGCCTCGCCCAGCTTCCACAAGGAGCCGTACGAAAGGGGCAGATGCGAAGCGTCCGGCAGTGGAGGTACTGGAAGATAGATGTCGTGTGACTTCGCCTTGAGATAGTCCGTGATCGAATGTGAGTACTTGCAGCTGCTAGTTGCGCTGTGAGGCATTAGCAAGCTTTGTCTAGGCTTCACTGGCCCCCATGGACATGGTACTCACGCATCACCTCTCTCGCAGGTCTTGCCTTCGGCAATGGCATGACACACGCCGACCTCATCGTTAGCGGCCATGAATCTGCGGTTCTTGTTTTGCGATCCTCCTTGCCTCTTCTCCATCTGCTTCGCTCGATTCTCCGCCTGCTTGGCTTTCTTCCGAGCGGCTCCCTTGAGCTTCTTTGGCCCTTCGCCATCTCCGTCTCCTCCTCCATTGGTATCGGCGCGGCCGTCTATGTGAGCTGGCCGCTCAGCTTCGGCCGAGGCGGCTCGCTTTACTGGTCCGGTGTGGGACTCGGCAGCATCGTCGTCTGGTCTGGAGGTGAAATGGCTGGTTGCTATGAGGTACTCGGCTTTGATCGGAGCAACGCCAGGCGTGTAAGGGCGCGGACCTGTGACTGGCTGCTCTGCGGTAGAGGCTGTCATCGTAAGTGAGGCAGAAGGGCAATTGGTCGTGATTATGGGTGGCCAGAGCAGTGAGATCTTCCCTTAGTCGCAAAAAGCTCCGGGACGGAAGGGGAGCGGCCACTGGTGCTTACATAAGCCACTTGCTAGGCTCACGCACGCGCCCACAAGCAAGGCAATGACAGAGGGAGCTGTCAGCAGGTCTTCCCACCGCGAGCATTGCTGATGAGAAGCTGACCGATCCTGAGGGCACGTTCAGCGGGGATCGACTGTGTCTCTTCGCTGCTAATAGTTGACTCGATCATCAAGTGGGGTGATCGGAGAGAAATGTATCGACAGCAATCAAGAATGGGACTTAGCTATTCCAGTCACAGATTGACAGCGACACCTTCTCGGTGGGCTTTGTAAGTCCTTCTGTTCGTGCAAAGAGCAGAATCTCATGTCCGCAAACACCCCTTCGGCCCCCGATGCGCTTCACTCTTGACATCGGCAGACGCGTAATGAAGATCGGATTGCTGTCACGTCATCCGCTCCACTTGCTTGACTTGGTCCTCATGGCAAAGAGCAACGCTTGTGCTGCACTTTGGTGAGCTCTCACGAGCACGCCGCTGCCATCTCAGCTCCCTCACAATCGTCCTGCTCTTCTGCAGTGTCCTGCACGATCTCATTGCTCGGGCACAAGGAGCAAATGTGGAGCCACGTCTTGCTCGAGCGCATCGCGACGGCTGCTGTCAGCATGTCTCCTGCAGTGACAGCAAGCCATGAGGTTGCCTACCGGAGGGATGATCAGATACAAAAGGCCGCACTCGCCCACAAGACCGTATTTTCCTTTCTTACTTTCCTCAGCAGCGCTCATCTCCTCTCCATCTTCCCCAGCTTCCTGCTTACCTCCATCCCGCAAGGCTGGCCTTTGCAAAATCCACTATCCATCGAGCCGACCCCTCTTTTCTATTCCATACCACACACCTGTTGGTCTACCAACGAAAGCCATCCGACATGAGGCTCACGCAAGCTTTCGTTGTCCTGGCCCTTACCCTACACGCCGTCTCGGCCGTACCAGTGCACGTCCCTTTCGAGGGCATCGCAGAGAGAGACTACCAGAATGGCCCTTCTGACGAATACCAGACTCGCTCCACAAACGCCGGTAATGATGGTGACTCCAGTGAGGGTCGTCGAGATGTTTACCTTCTCCGGTCCGCCCCCACCACAGTAGACGCATCGCTCTGGTCTCGAGGCCTCGACCCCGTCGAAGAAGAGGACGAGGCAGATCGCCGTGACCTGTCCGAGGCCGAAGAAGATGAGGAGGCTCGAGACTCCGACGACGCTGATGAGGCCGCAGTCGAACGTGGTGGTCTCTGGAGATCCTTCAGGACCCGCAAGAGGAGGAAGCAGCTCAGGAAGATGGGAAAGGGTATTGCCATGGGAGGCGCAACCCTTGCAAGTACAGCTCTCATGGACCCCGCTATGCTCATGGACATGGCTGGCGGTGGCGCTGCAAGCGAGGGCATGGGCATGGGCATGGGCATGATGCGACGATTCAATCAAGGCGAAAGTGCTCAAGCTCAAGGCGATGCCTTTGAAGAGCGATCCTTCGACTCTAATGAGGACGGCGACCTGGACGGTCGAGACTTCGACGAAGATGATGAATCCGAGACTAGAGACTTCAACGAGGACGACGGCCTCGACGCTCGGGCCAGGCACCGCATGTTCGGCAGAAAGTGGAGGTTGAAGCGCAAGATGAAGCGTAACAAGGGCAAGATCGGTCTCGCAGCCGGCGGTGTGGGCTTACTGAGTGCCGGTGCCGCCTACCAAGGTCTCGCTGGCGGAGGAGGCCTCAGCGACGCCTTCATGAGCCCTGCAGCCCTGAGCCCTGCCGCTATGGACCCTGCTATGGGGAAGGGTGGGCCTGCTGGACCTGGTGGGCCTGTTCCCGCTGGACCTGGAGGCCCTGGACCCGCGGACCCTGCTATGCTGCCCGCACGTAGCCTTGAAGCCGCCGAGGCTGATGCTGACATCTTTGAGGGTCGAGACCTCGACTTCGACACCGGCTATGCTCTTCGAGACCTCGAGGATGCTCCCACCTCCCATACCGACCTCGACAAGCGTGGCTCCAGGCACGGCTCCGGACGCTTCTCCGGACGCTTCGATAAGAGCTTCGGCTCCAGCTTCGGCTCCGGCCGTAGAAGTCGAAGCAGGAGCCGTAGCCGTAACTCTGGCAGCTTTGGCAACATCCGCAGTTCCCTCAGTAGTCTCAGCAGTAGCTTTGGGCGTACAAAGAAGAAGTCCTTCTTGCAGAGGCACGGCAAGAAGCTTGCGTTTGGAACTGCCGCTGTGGCTGGTCTTGGTCTGACTGGAATGGCTCTTCAGAAGTCCCAGGCTGCAGCCGCAGGAGGGGTTGGAGCTGGCCCGACTGACCCTGCTGCCGGTGGCGTGGACCCTGCCGCTGCCGGTGTAGACCCCGCTACGATGGACCCTTCCATGATGGACCCTGCCACCGGAATGGCTCCTCGCTCTCTCGAGTATGGAGACTTCGATGAGCGGGACTTCGCTGACCTCGACTCTGACCTTGTTGACGAGCGGGATGAGGCCGACGACAGCTTTGAGGAGCGAGGTGATGACGAGGACTCCTTTGACGAGCGAGACTTGCTCGAGGACGAGGATGTGTACGAGAGGAGCCCTCCCAAGATGTCTGAGAAGGAGCCGATCTTGATTTTGCTCTGATCAAGATGTCTTCTCTTGCTGGCTCTACTACCCTTGATTTAGCCTCGACTGCTTTTACACGCCTTACATCGCGAGCGCCTTCTCCCTTCATCGTCCTCTGCTCTCTTTGCCACTCACTGTCCTTGCCAGTCTCATAGTCTCTCCTCGAAATTCATACTGCTTTTCATACCCTCGTCTGTTCAACAAATATTGATTTGGAGCACTTATCCCTACAATGACGTGTCCTGCAGAAAACAACGGCGCTCAGTAGCCCCCTTTCGATAGCTCGATCGCTCCCATGACCAAGAGGACAATACCAAAGGGCAGGACGGCCGCTAGCACCAAGATGTCTTGCCATAGCCTCCGTCTGAATTTGTGAGAGAAACTCTCCGTCAGCCGTCTCTACGAGTTCTTCCGAGATCCCACCTAGTGCCCACACTCACTCTTTCGTTCTCTTCTGCAATTGCCTCTCCTTCCTCGCAAGCAAGATGCGCGTCGCCTCATCTCCTCCCGTATCTTCGGGTGGATTTCCTCCAGCAGAGACTTCCATGCGCTGCTCTTCGTGCCACGTTGGCACAGGTCTCGTCACATCTCCACCGGCAGGACCAGCCTCGTCTATCGTGATGCTCGCACTGGCGTTTGCGGCTTCGGTGTTTGCACCTCCTCTCCGTCTGCTCCGTGTAAGGGCACCAAGTGGGCCACGCACCCATTCTCCCTTCCAGCCCTTGGCCAGTCCCTCTCCGATCCACTCAGGCAGGATGCCCCTCGGTCTCCTGAGGTGGAGCAAGATGATCCACACCAAACCAGGTAGGACGAACCCCACTCCTCCGCCCAGTAGGCCGAGGACCTCTGAGGACCGGGTGAAGCGAGCCTCCTCTCCTTTGCGCTCGGACTTGTGCAGTCCGCCGATGCCTGAGACGTAGGACAGGGAGGCCACGAGTAGCCATAGGAGCACTCCTCCGAGAGATGTCCGGGCGAGCTTGGACCAGCTCCACTTTTCCGTGCGTGACCCAGCGCTGGGTGACCGCAAGCGGGATTCGAGCAGCGAGGGCGTCACGCCCTCTTCGCCCTCGAGCCTGATACGGCCTGTCCTTGTACTGCTCGAAGCTGAGTCTACCTGTCCCGACCGCCTCCTCCGCCACTTGAGCGGATTGAGATTGAAGAGCTTCAGGAGGCGTGCCCATGAGGAGCGAGCGACGGCAAGGCACAGGGCCATGTGTGTACTCAGCAGGATGACGAAGAGAAGGCGAGCGAAGTTGATCAGGTGATCATCTCGCGGTAGGGAGAAGAAGAGATTGGCTGGATAAGCAGATATGGTCAGGTGGGAGGAATGGTGTCAAATGAGGACCACAAGCAAAGCTCTTTCTTCACCTACTCACGATGGACTGCCATGCCGAGCCTCTCGATGACCCCTTTTGTCCCCATGCCGATTCCGAACGCTACCGCTACTCCGACTACGAGGACGACCTGCCCGGCTTGAGCAGCCAGGAACGCTTTCACGTTGCTACCATCCTGAGCAGCTTTTCTGCTCGCTTTTCTTCTCAAGGAACGATTATGAGCTAGGATTTGTAGGGGTGAGGACGAGAGCGTGAGGAGGGGGAGAAGGGAGTAAGGAGCCCAGATCGAGGGCGGGTATAATGGATTTCCGTTGGGCAAATCTGGCCGCGTGAAGAGCTCGGGCTGCGCAGTGTCGCTAGGGGTAGTCTTGAGCTGCGTGACATCAATTGTGTAGATCTTGACGAGGAGGATGGTGATGAGGATGGGATATAGGAAGCAGGCTGTCCCTGTGGCTAGTCTGATCAAAGTCCGCTTGTGCAGAGGAACGATGATCAGAGGCGCTGTCAAGAATCCCCCCACGACGAGAGTGACGAAGCCTCGGTCGTGTAAGAAGAGTCCTTTGTGGGCATAGTGGAAGAAGACTTGTAGAAGCAGATCGGCAATAGCTGGGGAGTGCGAGCCGAGGGAGAGTGTCAGCCAGCGTACAGCCGTTCCTTGTCTTCCATGGCGCCTAACTCACCAAAGTAGGCAATGAATGCTGCTCCCGTAGCGTACGCCGCCAGCATCGAGCCAGCAACTGCCTTGCCGAATCTTCCCTTCCACTTTGTATTCTTGCCAAAGCTGGCTCCCGTAATGGCTTCTACTGTCTTCTTGCCTCCTACATATCTGCTCAATACCACCCAGAGTCCTCCTCCAACACCGCCTAGCACGCCTACCGCTATCAGTCCGACCAGTCCGAGAGTGGTCCCAGTGCGGTCAAAGTAGAAGGGCATGGATAGGAGTACCGAGGGGTGTAGCGAGGCAGAGAAGAGGTTCAGGGATACGTGGGGCGCTGAGAGAGTATTGGGTGCGCCGGGATTGGTGAGGGAGAGCCAGAAGGACCATGTTCGTCGCCTTGAGGGTGTCAATGTGCGTAGGTAGGAGTGCGGGTGGTCATGGCGATGCTGCGCCTTTGCCCTCCTTCGAAGCACGGCTGCGCTTCCGTCTCCATCCTCGTTCTCCTCGTCCTCTTCGTCGGACTCGTCCTCACTGTCATCCCAGTCCCTGTCAGAAGTTGGTGTCGAGATGCGCACTCTTCCGGCTGTGAGGAACTCCTCGTCTTCTCCTTCGACATCTTGGCCCAGCTCGCCCTGTGGATCAGCAGCTCCGCCTTGATCGTAATCTGCCGGGTCCTCGTGACCATCTGGATAGTCACGATACCGCTCCAGGTAGAGCGAAGGGTCATCATCGAGCCCATCATTACTGAGACGGTCTAGCTCTTCCTCTTCGTCGTCGTCCCCAGGATCTGCGGCATCTCCTCCTCGATCAGCATCGCCCCTTCGGCTGCTGCTTCCGCGGGTGCTATGCTTGACCTTGAGTCTGATCTGGGACCGGGTGGAGCGGCCAAAGGAGTCTGCGTCGTTGTCGGCGTTGGCGGTAGGAGGTGAGCGAGGCGGCGAATGGCTGCTCATTGCGCGGGGGAAGAGGAAGTCAGTAGGACGATGGTGATGGTGATGGTGATGGTGACGAGGGGATGACCCGCAATAGTCTACGATTCCAAGTCATTGCCGAGGCGCGGAGCAGATTTTGGCGGTGCGGGGTCGCGAGACGAGTGGAGCAGGGCACACACGCAGGCGCACACAGGCCAGCGCTCCTCACTCCGCCAAAGTCAGACATGACAAGACAAGAGGGGCAGGATACCATACCACCTTCGACGACAGCCTCGCAGCATATACACACCCAGGACAAGCAGCTGGTCAGCACTACCATCATCGTCATCATTATCGTCGTGTCATTACCAGCACTCCTCACATAGACGATCCCCCCTCCCCGGCCTCCCTCCCCACCTCGCCGCCATGTCGGCTCGTCCAGTGAGCGGCATGGGCGTCATGTCTCCCCCGCCCTCGGCAGCCATGGGACAGAGAGGTGGCATGGTAGGCGGTGGCCCCAGCATGAGCAGCAGCAGTAGCACTCAGCATCAGTACCAACATCATCAGGGTCATATGCGCGCAGCCATGCCTCACTCTGCTCCATCACCCCGTCCACCTCCCCCTCCTGCCTCGAATGCACCGCCGGGAAGCCTCTTGCCTGGTACCCTCGTCCGCGTGGGACCCTACACGGTCACAGTCAAGCGGTACCTCAGTCAAGGAGGCTTCGCCACCGTCTACCTCTGTGTGACAGACAAGCCAGTGGCCATACCCGTAGTGGACATCACCGGCAAGCCTGCAGGCTCCATCTCAGAGACCACTCACGTGCTCAAAAGGATCGTGGTGCCCGACAAGGAGGCATTGGCAGAGGTCAGGAAAGAGGTAGAAGTACACAAGCTGCTCCGTCACGATGCCTCCGTGGTGCACTTCCTCGAAGCATCGGCCCTTTCCCTGCCACCACCACAGCAGGGCTACGAGGTGTACATCCTCATGGAGTACTGCGCCGGCGGGGGACTCCTCGATCTCCTCAATTCTCGGCTGCGCAATCGCCTCGCCGAGGCCGAAGTCCTGACAATCTTCGCAGACATCTGCAAGGGAGTCGCAGCGATGCATCACCTCGACCCACCCGTACTGCATCGAGACCTCAAAATCGAGAACATCCTCCTGGCCAATTCGAACGATCCCAAAAAGAAGACCATTTACAAGCTATGCGACTTTGGATCTGCCAAGCCAATCTTGTCACGCAGAGCTCCTCGCTCCACCGAGGAGCTCAAGCGACTGGAGATGGAGCTCAACAAGACCACCACGCTCCCTTACCGGCCCCCGGAGATGGTCGACGTGTACCAGCGCAAGGTCATTGACGAAAAGGCAGACATATGGGCATTGGGCGTGCTCTTGTACAAGCTGTGCTACTACACCACCCCCTTCGAGGAGAATGGAGGAGGGCCATTGGCAATCCTCAATGTCAAGTATCGCTTCCCATCGAATCCGCCTTACAGTGATCGTGTCAAAGGTCTGATTGGTGAGTATAGGCGTGAGATGTCAAGGTCTTCGATGGTAGACTGATCAAGTTGACTCCGGATCCTGCCTTCTAGCCTCCATCCTTGTTGACCCATCGACTCGCAGGCCGACCATCGATGATCTCCTCATCACCGTCCATAAGCTTCTCGGTATACCACCGCCAGCAAGCGCTACCCATTACGCGCAACTAGCAAAGGAAGGCAAGCAAGCCAGCGCTTTGCCCCAACTTACGAGCTCAGGAGGGCCCGGCGCGATGTCCGGTATAGCCTCGCCGAGCACAGCATCTCATCGTCGGGCAGTAGACGATGCGGTGTTGGTGACAATTGCTAAAGAGAACAGTCGCGAACGGGCAGGCGCAGGGCAAGGGCGTCCGGTCTCGATTCGAGGGGATCTTCGTCCATCGGGTTCCATCTCAAGCTCGTCACGGCAGAGCCCGTCGCCAGTGCTCCCTGCAAGGTCCAGGGACGATAGCACTGATCTCATTAGCTTTCAGCCTTCGCAGCGAGGTGACAAGACCCCTAGCGCTGCCGAATCAGAGAGATTGATGAAGCTCGAGGGAGTCACCCCCATGAGGAGAGGCAGGCCCGCTGGTTCGAACAACACGCCCACCAAGCCTGGAGTTCCAGGTGACGGCATAGGCAAGCTCAATTTGGACAGCTTCGGTCTCAAGAGCGATACGCCGGGCCCTTCGCAAAGACCTCCCTCAGCAAACCAGCAGAAGGCCGTACCGATATCAATAGACACCAGCGCCAGCAACGCTACCTCACCTCCGTCGTCATCCGCCAGGGTAGGCAACCTCCTCGACGGCTTCGGCGATTCCTTTGCACCTGAGGTGCAGCCACCAGCCGCCGGCACTACGGCTCAGGGAGCTCTGACTACTCCATTGTCGACTTCAGAGGCGGAGCGAAAGGTGGCAGAATTCGTCAGGAGAGGTGAAGAAGCCTCGGATAGTCCTATGGTTCTGAGTCCTGCTCTACCCGGCCTCAATGGCGTATCTTCGCCGATAGCACCTCTTTCGCCTCTGCCCCCTCTAGACTCAGCAAAGGACGACGAAAGGCGGCTTCCGTCACTCATGCAAGATCTGGATCCGCAAGAAAGGAAGGTCTCTCTCGCTCAATCGGAAGGCACGGCAGCAGCTGGTCGTTTCCCTTCACTAGAAGAGCTCGATCGTCGTTACCCATCTCCACCAAAGATTGTAGCTCCAAAGCCTGACGCTTCCACATCCACCTCGGCCAGCAAGAGGGAAAGCATGGCTGCCTTGGCCGGCAAGTTTGGAGGTCTCAGCGCCAGTGTAGAGCGGGGCGGAGAGAGACCCACACCTGCTCTACCTCCGCGCAAGCCGTGGCAGTCGAGGTTCGACGATGCAGAAGAGGACAAAGTGGCAGGAAGGGGACATCGTTTCGAGGCCAAGGAGGATGCATCACCCTCATACCGCTCCCCCGCCCGCTTCAGTGGGACAAGTCCTGGTCCTGCCGCTGTGGAGAAAGAGCAAGTCGTCCAGACTGCAAATGGCGCACAGGCAGCCACCGAGAAGAAGCAGCAAGATGATAGCAGCGACGAAGAAGACGAGGGCCCTGAGTCAATTGAGGGAGGTGTCGCTGCTGCGCGGAAGAGGTGGGGCGGTGGTCAATGGGCGCAGGATGTCCAGCAAGCGACATCGAGCACCAACGATGTCGAGACGGCAGCAGTGAGCGACAGGCCTGGCAAAGTGAAGCAGCCAGATTGGGTGAGGCGGTCAGAGGAGCAACCGCAACGCAAGCCCTCGGCGAGCTCGACAAGCAAAGACGAGAAGCCACGACCTCTCCTGCCCAGCTCGTCCAAGCCTCTCATCGACTTCGATGCTGGCAAGAGCCGAGATGAGGATGTCTCTGCGGTGAACTCGCCTGCAATCAAAGAAGAGATGCCGGTTTCTGTCAAGAGCGCCACCACGACGACTGCTCAGTCTCGAGCTCCAGCATGGGAATGGGATGCGGATGAGGCAGACGCGGAGGAGATGAGGGCCTTGGCACGGCCCCGTCTCGATGCTCGGCTGGACAGTGAGGCTGGTGGGGGCTTGCTAGGTCGACTAGTGGATGTCAACGAGGAGACCAGGAGCTACGGTGGAGGCCCGACATCTGCCGGAGCTCCCAACAAGGCAAGCAGCAATCCACTCGAAGATAGGAGCGCTTCGATGGACGTCCCTACAGTCCCGCTCAAGAAGATCCCCGAGCCATCGAAACAGACGTCGACTGACAGTACCCGCTCAGCCACTTCCGGTCTCCCTTCTCGGCAGCGCTTGGCGATGGGCAAGGTCTACTCTGACGCAGCTACTTCGCCAGCCATCATCTCGCCTTCGCCAACCCCTGATTCTGGTGCTAGCGCAGAGCCCATCCACTCACCTCCTTCCTTGAACCGCCCTTCGAGCCCATCCAAGGGCGAGAGTCAACCCTCGTCTGTGCTATATGAGGAGCCAAAGAAGTACGCTCCGGGTACAGCGCAGAGCATGGCTAGTCGATGGGAGAGCATGAAGGCTGTTGGGCCTGCTGGGGCTCCCAAGGATGAGCACAGGCGCTCCACGAGCGGACAGGGAGCCGAGCGCACTGCGATTCAACCTCGGCGTGAAACGACCGATTCACCTGTTTCAACTTTCTCGCACAGAGCGTCCCTGTCGTCTGCCTCATCGACGAATGGCGCGCCGCAGATCATCCGGCCCATGCCTAGCAAACCACCCTCCTCTGCCAAGCCACGCCTGCCACCTCCGGGACCAGCGTCTTCCCTCAAGCCGTGGGAGAGGGAGGCAGCAGAGCGCGCTGAGGCGGACAAGTCGAGTCATGTGAGGTCATCCTCCTACACTCGCGGAACGGCAGCACAAGAAGAGGAGGCCGAGGAAGCAGAGAGAGAGGAGCGCACCAGGTCCTCGTCGACGCTCAGGCGAAACGGCACCAGCAGCGCCAACGCCAGCGGACTCGACCTCCCAAGCATTGCTTCAACGGCCGGTTCCTCCCCAAGTTCAACGCCAGGACCAGGAGGAGATACACAACGCTACCGCAGCGTCGCTTCTTTGATCGACAAGTGGCAAGCGAATGCAAAAAGCACAAGACCAGAGACTGGATGGGGTGAAATTGGCGCAGGGAGCGGCGGTGGTGGTAGTGAGAAGAGAGCGGGCGGGCCGAACGAGGTAGCTGCTGCTGCTGCTGCTCGAGCTAGGATGCCTGGGAGGGAGGTCTGAGTCCTAGCTTTTGCGAATAAGGCTGCTTGCTCACCAGGAGGAGAGATGTGAGGTACAGGATGCGGCGCTGTGTTATAGTACCAACATCATCACATTCCACACTGCACTCCTCTCTTCGAAGCCCACTTGCGCTGCGCTATACCTCATCTCAATCGATATACTTCTGTCACTTGCAAGAGTAGGATTAGTCCCCATGAGGGACTACTGAACCAACAGTCGAGCGGTGGGCAGTGGCAGTAATCTCAAAGTCACGCGCCTAGCCCAGCAGCTCTTCCCGCGCGCAAAAAACGAAAAAATCCCCGCCCCTCACAAATCTCCCTCCTATTCACGCATGTACCCCCTCTCTGACTACACCCGCGCGCGCTCGTTGAGCTTTCGCCCCCCTCGGGGGGCATCCAAATAAACTGGAAACGATACAGAGAAGATTAGCATGGCCCCTGCATAAGGATGACACATGTGGTATCAGAAAAGGAGACTTCTTCGGAGGTCAAATATGTTTTTGCTCCTCCTTACGAGGTCGATTGAGCTTTGCTTAGGATGGAGGAGAGGGATGGTCTTCAGGAAAGGAAGTGGCTAGCTCCGGTTCACCTTTTGTTCATTCTAACACCATGGGTTGGTTGAGCGGGCAAGGACGGTACGAGCGAGTGGGGAATTGAGCTTTTGCACTGCTTCAAGCCAAGCCCATGGGGATGCTCAGTTCACACGCACGCTCAGAGCCTTTGGAGAGAATCGCAGCAGCATGTATTAGGAAAGACACTACTCGACATGAAATCGCAAGGAAGTCGGAACAACAAAACAGAAAGTACTGATGCTCTAAAGAGAATGACCGGAGACGGCGAGACGTGAAAGAAAGAGAAAGGGGGAGAACCTAGGAAACCACGCCTCTAGTCTCTATCTCGCGACGCAACGCAATGCAACGCTGACAAGCGAGGACTCTACTCGAGGTCGTCAAAGTCATCGTCGTCACCGCCCTTTCCACCCTTCTTGGCCATCCTGGCCTTTCGGGCCTTGCGCTTGTCGGTAGCCGACTCCTTCTTGGCCTTCTTCTCACTGACAATCTTGTTGCCCAGGGCATCGAACTTGTCCTCGTCCTCGTCCTTGTTCTTCAGCCTCTCACCGGAACCCTGGCCCTCGACCCAGTTGTGTCCCGAAGCACGCAGCTGACCACCGTCCATGGCCCAGACTTCTTGGCACACGTTCTCCGAGAACTCCTTGGAGTGGGTGATGATGGCAACACCTCCCTCGTAGGTCTTGAGGGCCTGGATGAGGGCGGCGAGCGACTCTCGGTCCAAGAAGTTGGTGGGCTCGTCCAAGATGATCACGTGCGGTCGGCGCCAGGTGGCGGCGGCAAGGACGACCTTGACCTTCTGACCACCAGAGAGACCCCTCATGGTGTTGTGCGAGGTGAACTCGGCCTCGAGTCCGAAGTCCTCAAAGTGCTTCTCGATCTCCTTTCGCACCAGAGGTCGGTTCATACCCAACCGCTGGGCCTCACGAGAGTCGAGCGCCATGACCTTCTTCTCGAAACCCCTCTTGATCAGGTCGTCACGCGACATCCAGATGTTGTCGGCAGAAGAGAAGTTCTTGAAAGACACCTCGTACTGGAAGGAGTTCTTCAGCTTCTTTCGGGCGACCAGCTCGTCGATGACCCTCTTGACACCAGTCTCGTCGACCCAGATGGAACCGTTCTTCATGGCCTCCTTCTCGGCGTCGGTCAGCTCACGGCTGCCCTTGAGGTGCTCCTCGAGATCCTCACCAGTCTGGTATCGCCACAGCATGTAGTCCAGGGGAGTCTTGTCAAGGTGGTTGTCGATGTGGTGGAAAGCGTGCTGGGCAACGTAACCAATGACCAAGTTGGGGTGCTTCCACACCTCTCCCGAGTTGGGCTCAGTGTCACCGACGATGAGCTTGACCAGGGTCGACTTACCGGAACCGTTGGGTCCCAGGATGGCGACACGAGAGCTTAGCGACAGCTGCATGGAGATACCGTTGAGCTGAGGAGCAGGTGTGCCAGGGTACTGGAAGTGCACGTCACGCATCTTTGCCAGCGACTTCTCTTTTGTCTTGACACCGTCCAGCAGAGGAGGGTCGGGCAGCTTGAAGGAGTAGTCCTCTCCGGTGTTGAGCTCGGCGTAAGCCTTGGCCTCGGGCACACGCTTGACAAAGTCAGCCAAGTTACCGGGGTACCTCTTGATCTTGAATCGGTTCAGGTGCAGAATGTCAGTGCAGACCTTGTTGAGGAAGTCGGAGTCGTGCGAGACGATGATCGAGGTGGCGTTGGTGAGGCTGGTGAGGTAGTTGGTGATCCAGGCAACGTTGACGACGTCCAAGTGGTTAGTGGGCTCGTCGAGCAGCAGAATGTCAGCCTTGAACAGCACAGCTCGGGCAAGAGCCAGCTTCATCTTCCAACCACCGGAGAGAGCAGCAATGGGGCCAGCCTGCTTCTCAGAGTCGAAGCCCATCTCGAGGAGGGTCTTGGAAGCCTCGGCGTGGTTGACATTGAGACGCTTGTCGGCAACGATGAAGTCCAAGATGGAGATGTCACCCTCAGAACCGTCCAAGTCGTGCTCGACGTACCAGGTTCGGACCTCTTCTGGCGAAGGGAAACCCTCGACCTGGCCGTTCTGGATAGCGCGCATGAGCGTCGACTTTCCAGATCCGTTTCGTCCACAGAGACCGTAACGGTGACCACGCTTCAGACGCAGAGTGGCAGTGTTGAGCAGAATCTTGGCACCGTAGGCCAGCGAGAACTGACAGTTGCACAAGTCCTCACCCTCCTCCTCGTCCTCGAAGACCTCGGCCTCCTCACCGGTGCTCTTGGCGAGCTGGCCAAGGAGCGATCGAGTGATCTTGTGAGACTTGTCGTGCTCGGCACCCTTGAGCAGGGAGATGTAAGGGATGAGGGTCGAGTCCCACTCGGTGGCCTCGAAGTTACGAGCGTTGGCAAGGTTGGTCGAGAGCTGACCAATGTAAGAGACGAGAGCGGCGGGGCCAGTGAGCTTGTTGGCGGTGAGCTCCTTCTTGACAATGTCGGTGGTGGCCTTGAGGTCGACGTCGTCCAGAGGCTTGACCTCGGAACCGTCACCCTCGACCTGACCGACGGATCGCAGAGTAGCGATGGCACGCTGGATAACACCACGAGCCTCGGGGTCGGACATGACCGACTCCATCTTGATCAGACCGGGGAGGAGCTTGGGCAGGAAAGGTCGCACAGTTCGCTCGTTGTCGACGAGCTTGGCCATGTTGTCAATGATGACGGCAACCTTACGCTTGGTGGCGGTGGGTCGCTCGTTGATTCCTCGGGCGAGCAGAGGAGCAATGAGGGCGAGGGTGGGCGAGTCGACTTCCTGGACGAAGGTGGTGGCGGCGAGGAGCATGATGGTCTTGGGGACCTCCTCGACGGGGTGGATCAGGGACTGGATCAGGGCAGGGATGAACTTTTCGATATCCTTGTTGGAGACTAGCTGGCACAGCTTGGTCAGGGCAGCACGAGAAGCCTTCTGCACATCGGTCTTGGTGTCCCAGATGACCTCGGCCATGACGGGGATGATGTCGGGCATGTGGGCGGCGATCCTGTCGGGGGCGGAGGTGACCAGCTCAACGAGGAGGTGGACACAGCCAGTCTTGACCTGCCACTTTCCGGCGGTCTTCATCTGGTGCAAGAGCACCTTGAGGATCTGGGGCACAGCCCAACCGCTCATGTTGGTGACAAAGGCGGTGAGACCGTCCTTGGCGGCAGTCTGGACAGCCTTCTCCTTGTCACCGAGAGCCTCGACGAGGGTCTCAAAGGTCTGGCCGACGATGAAGGGCTCAGCCTGAGCACCAACGCCCTCCTTGCTGAGCAGGCCGACGAGGACGCAGGCACCCTCACGAGCAGATGCATTCTTCTTGTCAGCGAGACCCTTCTTGATCAGGGCATCGATGCCGACGTCGTGGAGGACCTCGGGGCCCTCGACCTTGACCAGGTTGACGAGCTCCTGAGCGGCGTCCTTGTCACCGGCTTGCAGAAGACGGTCACCCTCGATCTTGACGGCTCGCTTCTCGGTGGCGGTGTTCTCAGAGGCGGCTGCCTGAGCACCGGCAGAGTCCTTGAGACCCTTGGCATCGGGTGCGATGTTGGCGGGAACACCGACTGACTGTGCTTGAGCCATGTTGATGTGTGTGTTTGTGTGCGTGTGAAGGAGGTGGGAAGGAGGCTAGGGGTCTAAGTGTAGTGATAGAGGTGTGTGGTGTTCAGGTCTATCTTTTGATGCTGCCCTGTAATTCGACTGTGAGCTCGCAGAGAGTGGCGAGCGGAGTGGTCGAGTGTAAAGGGGGGGGCGGGAGGGAAGGTGTAGCTGTGTCTATCTAAGGGGAGATGGGAACAGCAAACAGGGTCACACGCCGGGTGTGAATGTGTGAGTATATGCGGGTGAGACTGAAGCAGGTGAGGTGTGCCTAGTCGATGGTGTTGATGGTAGGACGAGTATTTGCTAGAAGGGCGGGTGTTGGGGGGAAAAAAAGCGAAGGAAGCAAATGCGCCCACGCTGCGTGGCGGAGACTCTGAGGCCCCGTGCCGCGAATTTTTTTCAGGAGGCGGGCGGAACGGGGACAAGAAAGCAGCCAGCCAGCCAGCCAAGCAGCCAATCAGTGGCAACAACGCGGAGCCGGAACCACACGCCCCGCGCAGCGCAGTCCACGCCCCGCCTCCTCCTCCACCGCACACACACACACACACACAGTCAAGAGCGAGAGTAGCAGCAGACGGCATCAACAGTACATTTTGGTATGGCGCAGCATCGCGCAGCAAGGCTGAGTGACATCTTCAGCTCCCACTCATGCCTCGACAATGGCCTTGGCAGCTTGGTCCACCACCTCCTTTTCGCTCAAGATCAGGTTGCTCGCAGCCGAGAGGAGCGCCTTGATATTCGACGCAGTCACATCCGTATCGATGCCCACGCCCCAGTATCCCTTTGCCTTGTGACCAGCCTGATCCTCATCGTCCGTGTCCACCAGCTCAATGTATGATGCAGCTTGCGAGCGCGTAGCGCCACCCCTGCCCTTGCCCACGCCCACTGCACCCACACCCGGTTGGCTCACGGCGTGCTCCGAGTACTCGCGGATAGAGGCATTGATGTTGAACGTCAGGCTCAATGCATCGCACAGCGCCGAAAGAGCTCCGTTGCCCCTTCCTGTCAGCTGGTGCACCTTGCCGTCCAGAGCAACCGAGCCGGTGAAGCGACGGTACCTCGGCGTCTCTGCTCCATCCTCGCCCTGCGCCGTCACTGCTCCTGCATCCGGCATGTCGTCGGCGAGGGAGAAGGACTTGAGGCTCAATCGGCCTTCATTCTTTCCAATGGACAGGTGCGGCACGTGGTATGTCTCGCAGAAGGCACGGGTGATGTCCTCGGTGACCATCTCCTTGCCAGTCCTCTCAGACACCTGCTGAATAACTTGGTAGAATGCCACTTGCATCTTGCGCGGCAGGTCCAGACCCAGTGACTGAGCCACAAGGTAGGCAATGCCACCCTTGCCAGACTGAGAGTTGACGCGGATGATGGCCTCGTAAGTAGCGCCCAGGTCGGCAGGGTCGATGGGCAGGTAGGGAATGTCCCATGTAGGGTCACCCTTGGCGTTCCTCTCTTCTTGCACCTTGAAGCCCTTCTTGATGGCATCCTGATGCGAGCCGCTGAACGCTGTGAACACTAGCTCACCTGCATATGGGTGACGAGGGTGGACAGGGATGTCGTTGCAGCCCGATACCACATCCACAATCGACTGGAGGTCAGTCATGTCTAGAGGACCAGGGACAATCCCTTGGCAGAATTGGTTGAGGGCCAGAGTGACAATGTCCACGTTTCCTGTTCGCTCTCCATTGCCCAGCAAGCATCCCTCGATTCGATCGCCTCCTGCCAGAAGTCCCATCTCAGCGGCTGCCACCGCGCATCCCCGGTCATTGTGAGGATGCAGGGAGACGATGATCTCCTCGCGATGGGAGATATTTGTGCAGAAGTACTCGATCATGTCTGCATAGTGGTTGGGAGGTCCGACTTCGACTGTCGCTGGCAGGTTGAAGATGATCTTGTTGTCCTTGCTGCTCTTTCCCCAAGCCTTCCTCACCTCCTCGCAGACCCGCAGAGAGAAGTCTGGCTCGGTCTGTGTGAAGCATTCTGGGCTGTACTCGTACTTGAAGTTGGTACCTCCATTTTCGGGTTTCGAGTAGTGGTCCATGAGCTCTGCTACAATCTTGGTGTGCTTGATGGCCAGGGCCACTGTACGGTCTTGGTCATTGCCGAAGACGACTTCTCTGAAGAGGGGCGAGGTGGCATTGTACATGTGCATGATGACATTCTTGGCTCCCTTGATGCATTCGAATGTCTTCCTGATCAGCTCCTCCCTGGACAAAGTGAGCGGCAGCAGCGAGAAGAGATGTCAGTATGGCTGGAATGCGAAAGCAGTGGTTGCTAATCCAAGACTCACCTTGCTGGTGTCAGGACTTGGATCCAGACGTCATCTGGGATCATTCCCTTCTCAATGATTTCCCTGGTGAAGTCAAAGTCTGTCTCACCCGAGCTGGGGAAGCTGACTTCGATCTCCTTGAATCCCGTCTGTACGAGCTTCTGGAAGAACTTGATCTTCTGAGCTCCTGACATGGGGTTGACCAGGGCTTGGTTGCCATCCCGCAGATCGACCGAGGTCCAGATGGGCGCAGTGGTCTGTACCTTTGAGGGCCACTGGCGGTTGGGGAGGTGTATAGGCTTGAATGGCTTGTACTTGTTGCCCGGGTTCATTGGGCAGGGGTGTGGCATCTTGGGCGAGTGGTGGTGGTGGTGGTGGTGGGGTGGAGGAGGGTACGGGTGCGACGTGGAATTCGGTCCTAAGTCCTTTGGTGGTGGCCGTGGCTTCTTCGTGACTCTTCCGTCGTTGCTTCGGCGTCGCTCCTTCCGTCCCCGCACTTTTTTTTGGCAGGGCACGGCAGACGGGCAGCGCGCGCAAGCCACACACACCTCACAATCACTCCACCCCGTACGCAGGGGCAGGCAGGCAGGCAGGCACGCAGGCAGGCAGTCCTTCCTGGCTCTTCGCAGTTGTTGCATGTCCAGGCCCATCGTACAAGTCCTCCTAGCGCTCATTACCTGCATTGTAGCTGTTGCACTCTATTCCAGCATGGCATCCCCCCTCCTCAAGACCCTCGTCGTGCCCGCCGCGTCGGGCACAGCGACGGCCAGTGTCATCTTCGCTCACGGCCTGGGAGACTCTGGCCTGGGGTGGCTAGATGGTGAGTGGTGGTGACAGTACATGGGACGAGGATCGACTGAGCTGATCACCATCCTCCGCTTCTGCAGTGGCCAAGATGCTCTCGCGACGTCCTTCTCTCAATCATGTCCGCTTCATCCTGCCCAATGCTCCGGTGCAGCCCGTGTCCCTCAACATGGGCATGCCCATGCCCTCTTGGTTCGACATTACCACGCTAGAGGACATCAGCGAGGCAGAAGACGAGAGGGGACTCCTCAAGAGCTCGTCAGAAATCAACAGGCTGATACAGGCTGAGATTGATGGAAGTGCAGAAGGTCTGGGTGGAAAGGGCATCGAGGCTGGACGGGTAGTCGTAGGCGGGTTCAGCCAGGTGAGTGGAGCAGCTGCCAGAATGGAGCCTGTCTCAATCCTCAAGGCATGGACGTCGCTGTTGGTCGCCTGCTCTGGCAAGTTCTCTTCATCTATATCGACCATCGCCGACGCTGCGAAAGCCGTGATGCAGGGCTCCTCAGGCAGCGGAGGGAGTGGCAGTGGAGGCATACTCGGGGTAGGGGTAGACATCATGCACAGGCCTCGTCTCGCCTCATTACTCCGCCGCCAGGAGAGGAGACTTCGCAGCCCTGCCGACCATGCTACGATTATGCGTCACTTTGCCCGACGCATCCTCTGTCAAGCAGAGGCAGACGAGCTCTCCGCCCTCTCGAATGCCACCACAATACCGTCAGGCTCCCTCGAGCAATGGCTTGCAGTCAGGTGTGTTCCTCTTCCGACTTGTGAGAGAGTACAGACTGGATTGCAGCAGCTGAGACGCACGCTCTCCCCTCTATCTGTCTTTTCACAGATGGACGGCAAAGGAGGCGGCGTACAAGGCACTGTATCCACACCTGCGCCTTCGCTGGTCGGATTTGAGGGTTGGCAAAGGCGAGGCAGGGACAGAGGGAGAGAGGAAACCGCGCATGGCATTTTCGGAGGAAGGCGCGAGCCGGTTGGAAAGTGGTATCGATGGCGTGAGGCTACACCTCAGCGTCAGCCACGATGGAGAATACGTGATAGCCTTTGTAGTAGCCGAAGTCACAGGCGAAGAGGGTCGAATGCACTCCAGTCCCACTTGAAATCTCTCTTCGCTGTTCAACGCTCTTCAGCACCACTACACAGCCCACTCATGCTGACTCACCCAACGCTCCTCGATCATCACAATTCCACTCAGGGCGGCGCCATCGCCTACCTGACCGGCCTCACCCACCCCACTCCCCTCGCAGGCATCATCGCCCTTTCCTCCTGGCTTCCTCTCAAATCCAAAATCGTCTCCCTCCTCTCCCCCCACGCCAAAGACACTCCTGTCTTCCACGGTCACGGCTCGTCGGACCAGATTGTCCAATTCACCTTCGGGAAGAGGACGGTGGAGTTTTTGAAGAGCGAAGCGGAGGGAGGGCTAGGCATGGGAGAGTTCAAGACTGCGAGCGGGGCGGGGAGACAGGCAAAGGGTGTGAAATTTGAGATTTATAGAGGAATGGCGCACTCTGCCTGTCCTGAGGAGGTAAGTATCTCAGCCAGAGCCTGACAGGACGTGGAGGAGCGACCGACATTGACGTTCCCTCGTCCCAATCTACTGCGTCTTCTAGATCGAGCACGTTGGTCAATTCCTAGAGTCTATCGTGCCTAAGCATTGAGAAGTCATTGACCCATTGCTTTGCACGATAGGCCGCTTGTATGTACACTGTCCCAATCTCTTAGACGAACCACTCATGCTTGCCTGACTGCCCGCGCGATTGTTTCCATTGGCCCACTCTGGGGGTACTCTCACACCTTCGGCCCACGCGACAGGGACCTCTCCTGGCGTATTGCAAGCGAAGCACGCGATATGACTGACCGGACGACGTGGCTCGTGGCTGGCTTGACGGGCATCCTCGAGACTGACGTTCACCCAGCTAGCGGTAGAGTCCAGAAAGACATGAGACAAGCACCGTGGAGGTGTCGAGCAGTGAAGCCTAAGTGTGAAAGCAAGCGTGGGATTTTGCGGGGTAGCAAGTGCAATCGTGACCTTTTGGAGAAAGGGTCTCGAGACTACGATATCATTCGCTCTCAGATGTCTCATACGGTCACGGTGAGCGTGACCTTCGAGGAGAATAGCTTGACACTGAAGCCTTTCTGCTACCTTTCCCAATCTGACCCTACCTCTACACCCCAATGCGACCCCATTGACATCCCTACCTTGCGATTCTCACGTCTTTGTAAAGCGCTCCTAGAAAGTCGACTTACTCACTCTATCCATTTTGGGCTCAAAGAGCTTTCGCTACCATCTAGACCTTTCTTCCCACGCGGACTTGACCTTTGCAATTGGCTTAAGCGGGCTTCACGGTACCGCTCGCTGTTTGCAAAGAGCATCGTGCGAAGCAAGGCCTGCTGCGAATTGCTCCCATCTATTTCGGTCGACTGGACTTACATCGATGATCACGTCGTCTCCGTTTTCCCCACAAACGCGTGATTGTGTAGGTGGATCGGCATCTGCTACATGTGTTCCAGCCTTTCGTACGACCGTCTTTCAATCTATTCTATATCGAGGTTGCAACGGTGGCGGTGGGCCATGGAGGCGCGCGCGCGACGCGGCCAATGTGTAAATCTAGGGACGAGGTGCAGCGTAGAGGTTGAAGTGAGCTTTGAGACTCCGCCCACGTGGCCGGGTGTGGTTGAGGAGCCCCTTACATGGCCCTACCCGCCTCTGGCCCGCTTCCTCCCCCTCTACCTCCTACCCAACCTCGCTCCTCTCCCGCCTCCTTCGACGACGACATCGATTGGTGAAACCCCCTTGCTTCTTGCATCGACCCCTTTGTGCTCCGTTTCTCTCCTACACTGCCTAGTGCAACCCGTAGAGACGCACCAACCAACCTCTGAGCTGTGCTCTGGAGCCACCTTCTGAGGAGTCTCTCCTGCCCCCGTGGTCCACCGTACAGTCCCGTTACCGCACCTCGGTACTCTTTACCGGCCGCCCCGAGCTGTACCTTTGGCTGTGCCAGAGTCTCAGACGGAACTGTCAGCTAGACCTACCCGCCTCCTTGGACCCTTGACGAACCTCCGCCTCGACCTCAGACAGGCCACGAGGATCGAGAGATAGATCTTAGACAACAGACCCGAAGACGATCCATACGAGACTAGACCTACATCGAGACATCATAGACCTTGAGACTTGCAACGACATTGATACCAGAAGCGGACGCAATACGGGTCCTCATTCCGTCCTTTCTCCTCTTTCTTCATCATCTTCTTCCTCCTCCTCCTTACTCGCTCTTTTCGTATCCGGACAAGAAGACCAACACCGGGTAGGCCCAACCAACACCTCAGACGCGCGCCCGGTCGGAGTCGCGTTGGTCAAGCCTCCCTTTTTCTCGTGCGATATCAGCTTTCCCCCCTGTTCGAGGTCTTCGCGATCGAAGAGGCCGGACTTTCGGGTAACTCCCATTGCTGGCCTATTTTCTCACGAGGTCGTCCAGAAGGGTAAGCAGAGAACACGTCGTTGAGACCTCGGGGTACTGGCCACCTGCCCAATTTGGTAAGTGACCGACAAGTCTCAATCTCCCACGACCCGCATGTCGGGTTCGGATGTTCCAACGGAAGCGTGGCGCGGGCCAAGTGAAAAGCAATGAACTTTAGTCGGCCGCGGCCATTTGCTACAGCCCCGCGAGGGAGGCCAAAGGGCCACACCCCGACCTCGCAGCGGACATGGTGACATTGTGAAAGAGGCTCTGGTTCACACACACACAGAGGAACGAGCACTGACCTCGGCGTCCCCCCTGCTTCTTTGCCCACGCCCACGCACAGCGTACACAGACTTGACAGCCGAAGTCGCACGCGAAGACAGCACGGACGTACCGCAACGACGGCTCTTAGCTTGGCACGGCTTCTTTTGAAAAAGGTGAGTTGAAACCGTCCCTTTGTTCGTTTCAGAGCTTCTGGTAGTTGCCACAGATGAATGTGGGGAGGGAGAGATGGAGGCGAAATGATGTCAATTTGTGGGGGTTGCAACCGCGATTCTCGCTTGACGATACACATTGGCGACGGCATTCTTCCCAGACGAGTCGATCCAGGTGACCAACCCCCATCTCGCATCGTAAGCCAATTCCCGGGTCCAAGCCATCTTTGTCATGGTCGAGGCCGTAAGCGCAGCGGCCAAGCCGACGAAATTGGGACTGGCTCGGCATGGCCTGACATGGCAGTGCAGTGCAGTGCGGCGCAGAGCAGCGCGTCAGCGGGCCCATTTGCCTTACTCTATTGGGCAGCTCGGCGATTTTGGGACGATAGCGGGTGGTTATGTCAGGCCCAATTAAGCCCTCGAGGGGTTTAGAGTTGCCCCGGGGGCTGGGTTGCAAGCGGGGCGGGCCCTACCCTGCCTACTCTGCCTGTGGCCCCTTGTCCTTGCGGGCCGGGCGAAGCGAGGCGCAGTCGTGGCTCGCGTCGCTCATGCAGGGGGGAAGGGTGAGCCAACGAAGAGGCTTGGAGGGACTGGCCGCTGCTGCCTCGCCTCCAGCTTGCGGGGGGGCATGGCTTCGACGGAGTTTCGATCGAGGCACCCTTGCCCTCAAGCTTGCAGCTCCGGCGACGCGTCTCGCTCTCGGCTGCCAGGGGTCGCCTTCTTCTTGCCACTGCGACGCGCCTTGGCCTCTGTCCAACCTGCCCCCCCTTTCTGGCCGTTGTTGACAGCCTCTTGGCCAATGGGTTCGCTTCAGTGCATCCCCGGGACGTTCAGAGGCCAGAAGGCGGTCAGTCGCCGAGGAAGAAGCTCATGCTCCCGTGCGTGCGAACATCGCTGGAGCTTCCGCCGAAGCATCAGAAGCTTTGTGTGTCGTCGGAACGCGTACCAGATCCCGCAAAGTCCAGAGTTGCTCTGCCTTGCCCAGCAAGGTACGCAATTAGAGCCGCCTCATCAACAGCCCCGAGTTGACCGCTGTCTTTCTCCCTCTTCCCTCTCCCGCACCCCCCTCCTTCCCTGCGCCACTGCTGCTGCATTGCCCGCAACCCGCATCAACTCTCAACACCTCAACACCGGCCCTTGCTCTCTTCCCACCAACCCCCCTCTTCCCGGCTACTGCCCGTCTGTCCCTGATTCCCCCCACCCCCTCCGAATATCAACGCCCGCCCACTCTCGGCCTCTGCTCCGCTTACTGCCTTGCATCACGGGCACTACCTTTCACTTCCCGCAAATTCAGATCCCTCGAACCCCCTTGAAGCTCTCCCACGATCAGCCCGGAGCTTGCAGATCACGACGCCAAACATCACTAGCTCCAACGATCGTTACCAGCGGACCTCTCCTTTACACCGACGACAAGACCTTATCATCTCTTCCTCGTTGACCTTACTTCATCCTCTGTCCCGCACATCAGTCATTAGCGCTTTGCTTCCTCTAAACTCTTCGTCATCACTCGTAGCCCTCTTACAGCTGGTCTGTCTTAGGTCTCCTCAAAAGCACTCTTGAATCTCTGCAACGCTACGCATAAGCTCGCTCTCGGATCGCCCTTTGCAACAGCTCTTCGAACCTCAACCTCCTTCGTCGTTACTGTTACAGGCTTTCAAACTCCAAACACGTTCACGATGTCTGCCTACGCTTCCACATCTGCTTCGGGCTTCAGCAGCTCTTCAATGAGGAGACACCCTGCGAGCTTGATCCCAAAGCTCGTTCATGACCCTGCGCTGCTTGATCTGGTGAAGTGTCCCGTCACACGAGAGATGGTTGGTGAGTATCTTTGGGCGCGATTCAGTGCCTCGCCGGCAACGTGTTGATCGGTGGTCGTCTGACACCATGTTTTCATCCTCCTTACAGTATACCTCGCTCAACAGGCGGCTCATGTCATTCAGTGTGGACCCCCTCAGCCTCTGGCAACGCCTCCGACAACACCAACGCGCTCTGTCGAGGCCGCCGAGAGGGATCCTGCCGGCAAGTTGGAGGTCAATGGTCTGCCAAGCTTGGAGACGTTCATTGCCATCCTCGTCGAGAAGAGCAACGTGCAGGTCCCCACTCTCCTCTGCACTCTCGTCTACCTCGAGAGGCTGAAGCATCGCCTGCCACGCGTTGCCAAGGGAATGCACTGCACTAGGCACCGCGTCTTCCTCGCTACCCTCATCGTCGCTGCAAAGTACTTGAACGACTCGTCGCCAAAGAACAAGCACTGGACACGGTACGGCGCTCTGTTCTCGCAAGCCGAGGTGAACCTGATGGAGAAGCAATTGCTTTACCTGCTCGACTACGATCTGCGCATCGACGAGGAGGAGCTCAGCTTCCACTTCTCGCCCTTCTTCCGTGTGCAGGAAGATGCGGCACAGGCCGGTAGACGGGAGATGTACCTGCGAGGATGTGAAACTGGAAGGGAGAGGGAGAGGTATGCACGGGCATCAGAGCGACGCGTCTACCTGAGGAGTCTGCCAGCTTCCGAGGTTCCTTGCTGGAACAACGCACAGGCTAGCTCATCGGCCTCGTTGTCAACGTCGATGGCTTCCACACCAGTCAAGCAGCACGCATCGGTTGCACACCACCCACAAGCACCTCCCTCGCCAATCTCGCCGCCGCATGCCCAAGCAGCACGAAGCAACGTGGTCATGATGAGGATGCAGTCGAGTCAATCGAGTCGCGCTTCCACGACGAGCAACAGCTCGACTCTATCGTCTTCTGAGGCGGAATTGACAGATGACTATGGCTCATCTTCCGCGTCTTCGACCGACTATGACACCGACGACTACGAGGAAGAGATGGAACAACAGCAACAGCAGCTTCAGCACAAGATGCCCCACATGTACCAACAGCCAGGACAGCGTGGCCACTCACTGCCGCCTCAGTTGCCAATGTCGCTTCCGGCGATGCTGGACCAGCCAACTTCTCAGAAGCAACAGCAGAGGAGCAGTACACCTAGTGCAGGCATGCAGAGGTACCTTTCGCAAGCCATCAACCCGCACTACCGCAAGGAACAGTACCAGGGTCAGCACCAGTACCTACCGCACCACATTGCAATGGACGTCGACGCGTCGATCCGACCGTCGAGGAGCAGCTCGAACCTGATCACCAGAATGCTCGGTAGCAGCACATGAGACGAAATGCAGAAGCATCTGTGTCGCTCGACTGGTCTCACTGGCGGTTCCCAATCTCTTCAAAGCTCTTCTGCTCTCTGTCTCCCTCGGTCACGGTGGCGTGGCTCATCCGCTCGCTCAAAAAGTCATTTGCCCCTCTTCAAGCTTCTCAAGTCGTTCCTCGTCTCGTCGGTCAAGTCACGTCGCTACTCTCTTCTCACTCTAACGCCCAATGTCTCTGTCGTATGTTGTCCATTTTTACGTTGTCCCTCTCGTCTCTTCGTATCGTATCGTCTCTGTCTCCCTCTCATGTCAAACCCCCTCCTCCGCGTCTCGCCATTGGTCTGGCTCCTCTCCTCCATCATCATCATCATCACCACACTCTAGCGGTCAACGAGTAAGCCTGGTGCTCACTCGCCACCCCCTAGCTTGCTCTTTCTACACTACACTCCCACACCAATCAAGTCTTCCAAGTCGCCGGTTCGACTTGGAGGACAAATGTCGTCGTCGTCGTCGTCGACTCTCTCCACTCCACCACCACCACCACCATCGAAACCCACGTCCTATCAGCACCACCATCATCAATCATCATTGCATCACCATCACATTGTCGCTTGCCCCAGTGAACTTTTGCACCGTCTTTTTTTCCTCTCACTGGCTCTTCTCAGAACCGTTCATCGACGGAGACGTCTTGTAGTGGAAGCTAATGCAACGAAAAGAATATGTGCTTCAATCTGATCACTATCCTACTTTCATCCATCACGCGTGTCTGTCTTTGTGTGCAAATGTCTGATCTTGGAGCGTTTCTTAGAGTGACGGGATGGCGGGTGCAGCGTACAACAGTTCATCTACATGGGCACCTCGACCTGTTGACCAAGCCCCCTCCACGCCTGTGAGATGGTAGCACGTAGCGCCTCTGCCATCTCCGCGCTGCCGAGCGCCGAGTCCACCGTAGAGACACCAAAGGCCACGTCCTCTGCGTAGCCCAGCAGATCTGCTGGTGTAGGTCTTCTGGGGGTGAAGAAGAGGTCGGGCTGACCACTGGCGCGGGCATTGAGACTTTTGGTGACCTTGGAGCAGGCCCAGAGACTGAAGCTTGAGGGCATATCGCTGGAGGTCGTGTGGTGTGGGCCACAGAAACATTGTCAGAACATGTTGTTGATTTGACATCACAGTTGGGAGACCGGGGCACTTCTGGCTCCCTTGAGCTACTCACCGACAGATGGCGGGATCGCACCTGAGCAAACCCAGCGTGCCTGCCACTCTTGAGATCCTCGCAACCTGCGCCAAGCTCTCCAGCGCAGCATCCTGCAGTCCTCTCACGACAGAGTCAGAGTCACTCTCCACCTCTCTGCCTCCCCTGGCTTCACCATCGTCTGCTCTGACGCCAAAGTCTTCCGCGGCTGTGCAGGCGCCCAGGAGCTGCGAGTGGTAGAGCATCATCAGGAAGAGGACTCTGAGGAGCTTGGTCAGCTCGAGGCCAGTGGGTCTGGCGGCCCTCCCCTCCTGCCAATTCTCGGGGAAGCGATTATGTATGACTAGCGGTGGGGGTAAGCCAGCATACCAAGCTGTATACGCGCCAAGCGCCTTTCTTGCTGCGCTCGCGGGCACACCAAGCGACTGCGAACGGACGGACACGAAGCTCTGACAAACGTTGCGGACCAGTAGGGCAAACGGTCCAGCGCACCGTCTGAAGAGGAGATCGAACTCGAGGCGATCCTGGCCGAAGGTGGGTGAGGGCGGGATACTCGTTGCGCCGCCTTCGTGAAAGAAGATGAGGGATTCGGGTCTGGGAAGCTCAGGGAAGAAGAGATCGTGGTCGTGCGCGTCGTCTGGTACGCTCAGCGGCTGGCGGAGACTCATGGCTCGATGGCCATCGTTGAAGAAGACACCCCTGCGGAAGGCGAAAGTGCACAAGAGATGGTGAGCGCTGCACACCTAATCGTCTATTTTCCCATCTGTCGTAGCACTCACCAGAAGACCCTTCTGCGTGCTGAAGCCTGCTCATCCGTCAAGAGTCTCTCGCCTCTACCGCTCCTCCACCTGCCACCACCTGCAGGTGCTCTCTCGTCTAGTCTGGGCGCTCTGTTGATCTGTAGCGAGAAGAGCATAGTAGAGAGCGCCTCTCTAGATAGCGGCGGTCGAGTGACAATATCATCCGACACGGCGCCCAGCAGTTGAACGTCTCGGAAGGAGAGGAGCCAGCAGGCGGTGAGCACTTCGAGTGCCTCCTCGTCGTCCCTCTCTGCCCAACTACGGACTCTGAGGCGCTGCAAGAATTGTGAAACGAGGTCTCTCTGAAGAGTATGCTTATTCCAGAAGCCAAAGAGGAGCGCTTCCCCCTCTTCCTCCAGGGAGCTAGCTCCAAGGGCTCCTAAAGCCAAGAGAAGCTCTGCGCTGATAGTTCGCTCGGCCGTGAGACCTCCTTGTGAGAGAGTGATGTAGGCTTCGTATCCCTTGGCAACTTCGTCTGATCGGATGATGGGTATGAGGGGCTGATTCCAGACAAAGTAGGCGGCGAGGCAGGCATTGAGCAGCTCAATGGTGAGAAAGGGTACGTCGAGTAAGCCACGTGGAGGTATCAGAAGAGATTGTTCTGGTGATGGCTGTTGAGCCGAGAGGGTATTTAGGAAGTCTAGTGAGAGATCTGCGGAGGGTGGACGATCCCCAAAATTTGCATTGCCTGGGGCTGAAGGTGTATTGGATTTGTAGCTGGTAGCTGAGGCGGGACTGAGAGCCGAGCCCTGAGCTGAGCCCTGCGCTGAGCTACCGCTGCTTCCCCTTCTGATATCTTCTATCCTGGCTCCCACTCTCTGCTTGCGCGGCTTCCTGGTAAAGGTGCAAGGAAGACCATAGGTGCGACAGCTGGAGCAGGAGACTTGGCTGGCATCTCCTGGCAACTGGTCGCGCAAGGCTCGCTCGTAGTCGCATTTGACCTTGCGGGCCTTGCATGCGTCGCAGCTTGTGCGACCCTTTTGTAACGACGAGGCCATCAACAGCTCCCCAATGGCCGGACGACGATGGCTGCTGTGGTGAGAGACATTGGTGTGGGAGGTGGGCGAGTCAGTGGGTGTGTGGCTCTCCGTGTTTCCCTTGGACCCTCACTGCTGGGGCGGTGTGAGAAGAGAGATCGGGCCGTGCGTGTCGGAGTCGCGATCGGGCGTGGCTTGTGCGACTCGCCCGATGTCTGCAGCACTCCGACGAACCCGCCGAGGCAACGTCCGAGGGAAACTTGGTATCAGCTAAGGACGTCACAGGCGGGGAGGTCGCTGGGAGAGGTATATGTACCGAGGCATCCCAGCAAATTGAGCTCACAATGGCGTTCCCAACCACCACTACAATCGTTTCAGGCCAACTCTCGACACAATGACCTTCGTAGATGCCATGCGCAAGATCTATCGGCCCCTGGGCTTCTCAAAGGGCTACAATTTTCCCCTGTGTGAGTATTACGAGCTTCATGATCAGACTATGAGCCAAGTCCTAACCGATATCCTCTGCTGCTCCCACAGTCGTCATCTTTGCCGGTGCCATGCTAGGCTTCAGTCTAGCCCGCCTGCAGTACCTAAACGTCGCTGGCGACGCCTCGACCAGCTATAAGAATGGCGCGCGTCCTGGAGAATGGTACATCATGCGGGGCGGCCACTACCGGATTGGCATCACCCTGCACCTCGCTACAGTCATTCCAGGTGGCATCCTCTCCGTCTTTCAGTTCGTGCCAGTCATCCGCAAGAAGCTCATCCTCTTCCATCGCATCAATGGGTACCTGATCATCATACTCTTCCTGCTGGGCAACGTCGGAGCGCTCATGATTGCTCGTAGAGCCTTTGGAGGCGGCTTTGCAACGCAGTCTGCCGTCGGCTTGCTCGCCTTGACCACGACTATTTCGCTGTTCCTGGCATACTACAACATCAAGCGTCTGCAGATCGACCAACATCGCGTATGGATGCTCAGAGCCATGTTCCTCTTCGGAACCATCATCACCACGAGGATCATCATGATCATCGCAGCGCTCATCCTCACCAAGATCGGAGACTACTACGAGCTTGTATCATGTGCCGAGATCGCCTTCGCTCGCAGCGTGAGCACAGCAGACGCAGCCTTCCTCCAAGACTACCCCGTCTGTAGGATTGCCGCCTACACCGCCGTCACCGCCTCGATGTCAGCGACACCGGGTGTCGAGACGGTGGGCGCAGCCTTGGCAATTCCCTTCGGTGCGGCAATCTGGATGTCCATCTTCCTGCACCTCGTAAGTCTCGAAATTTACCTACAGCTCACACCAAGGGAAGGACAGAGGCTGAGACAGTTGAGCTATGAAAAGCAGCTAGCAAGGGGATTCAAGCATCCCGGAAGCGCAGGGTTGACTAGCGATCGGTGGGGTGATGCGGATCCTTGGGTGCCGTTGACTGCTGAGAAGAGAGTAGAGGAGGCAGAGGTGCCATCAATAGCCAGCTCAGACTCGGCAGCTTCTTGATGAGTAGTTACAATTGCTCAGATGTCGGTCCTCCCAGGACAGCCGCGTTGGTCTTTCTTGGTCGCTCTCTATTGTCTTGTAAATTAAAGAAGTGAAACCCTGCATTGCTCGGACTCTGCATTCAGAGACTGCCTACTGATATTGTTTGTGCTCGAGCGGAAAAAAGTGCAACTGAAACAGACTTGATGCAGGCGCAACGTCACCAGTCCAAAAATGCAGTGCGTGATAGTGAGCTTGTCTCTTCACTGTAGCAGCCGATTTGCTCGGACTAGTGCGTCTCTTGGTTGCTCTGCTGCAGCTGCTGCCCAGTCTACATTGAAGCTGCGATCTAGCTTGAATGCTTCGTAGCCAGCAAGGCAAGCTGAAAGCAGGCGAAGTGTCAGTGACCATGGTAGACAGCCCTCGGTTGGTCACTGAAGGTGGTCTTTACTCGCCTAGTGGCACATTTCTCTGAAGGTGTTGCTTCACTTGACCGGGTTACGAATCCCTTGCCTGGATGTTCCTGTAGATGCTGCTGTACAACGCTTCTTCAAAGCCTACCGTACCGTACAGACTGGTCATCCTCTCAAAGAGTCCGGTCTTGGGGGAAAGCTGATTGACGAGCCCGCAATGCAGGGCGCGACAAAAGACATGGTCAGGGATCCGGTCCTTTCCACCTGCCTCCTTCCGCAAGCCTGACATCTTGTCAAGGTAGTCTTGCACCGCCTTGAGCTGCCCTGCGGGTACTACGCGTCTAACGTCCTTGCAGCGAAGCTCATGGAACTCGGCGAAGGCGATCTCGGTCGACAGGGTCTCATATGCCGCTTCGAGATATCTGAGCAGCTTATGCGTGTCTGTATGGGCGCAAGAGGGGATTCGCTGCAGGACCACGTCACCAAGTGTTTGAGCGATCACAGCTCTCGCCTCGCGATCGTCTCGCTTCTGCCAATCCGCCGATGCCTCCGGAAGAGGATGAGTAGCAGTGTGCAGAAGTCCCTTCAAGGCCAGGGCGTCATGCATACGTTGTTTCCAGAGAAGATAATCTCGTCCTTCGAAGAGCATGTTGAAGAAGGACACAAGGGGGAGGGCTGTGAACGCAGCTCGAGGAGCGTGCAAGGTAGAAGGGGATCGCAATTGTGACACTGCCGATGGTGAAAATTACATTGGTATGAAGAGAATTTCGTGGTGGTTCTCCTTTTGTTAATTCCAGTCACTAGCCAAGGTACAGTGCGAGCTGCATGCTGCGAGGAGGCGAAAGAATTGGACGCGGCTGCACCATCCCCTTCCTCAGCGCCCTGCATACAGAGGATAGCAATCAGCTGCCACAGCCATGACTTCGCTAGGAGGCAAACGCTGACGAGGGCTGCAATAGGTGTACTCATGGCATTTGGTAAGAAAGGTGGGTCATACATTGAGCGATAAGACGCTCAAGAGCCTTTCCTCGAGTACCCTCTCTGGCGACCATCAGGCGGGTTCCTGATCTAAGAGACACATCCGGAACTTTTCTACGAGTTCGGCGCCGCTTGTTTCGTCCGCCTCATCCAGCATCGTTGCAGCCCTTTCGATCAGTCTGGAGTAAATACGCCTGTTGAGGCCTATCAGTACTATATAGCAAAAGTTCATGTGGCTTTCCGCAAGTTTTCCACCAGCCTCCTTCCAGGTATACCACTTGAGGTCGAAGAACTCCTCGAGACTCTCTTCTCTCTGAACGTTGTGGAGGCTTTGCTGGGCATCTTTGAAGGAAAGCGGTCCGTACTTGGCTCTGATGAATTTGAGCAAGTGATAGCTGACTAGTTCTTCCCTTTCACAAGCGAGCCCGTCATCATCCGTGTAGTCGGCTTTGCCCGGCGAGCGACATGGATACGAAGGAAGCTCTGTCAGAATCCTGTCCCCGAGGTGGTCTTCGATGATGGCTACGGCCTTGCGATCGGCCACGAGCCACTGCTCCTGCCGCTGAGCTATTGGTGGTGGCTTCTTCAAGGCATGTCGAAGCACCTCAGCTCGTGCCAGTGCGTTGTGAACCTTTCTCTCCCATAGCTGATAGTTCTTTCCCTCGAAGATCATGGCGAAAGGGGCTCTTGCGTCCATTTCTTTGCGTGTGACAGAGAGGACGAACGATAGTCGCCAGCAGGAGGAGAAGGGGGGCATGCGGAGGCCGAGAAGCGGAGCTGGTGGAAGGCAATTTGGCAATATCGAGGTCCATATTAAATCGACGCCTGCGTACCTGGACGACCGCAAGGGCGTGCATTGATCAAGTCCTTGCCTCAATTCCAACGAATCCAGGGAAAGGCATGACCATTGCAGGAGCTGACAGACGGATGGCGAGGAAACGAGAGGTGAAAGTTGTTTCTCAATAGCAAAGCTGAGGGGATCGATGGTAGTGGACAGCACTGTTGACCCGGAGTACACCGACAAGCTCTCAAGGCTCAGTCTGCAGCGGAAAAGTGCCCATGCATCGCATTCGCTCGGCTCAGCCTGCATACAGACGGCCATACAGTACGATGAAACAGCCATGACCTAGACAAACATACGGTGCCAAACGACACTGCTACGAATCGAGTAGGATGTATTCATTGAATGTTCGTTAAAGTGTTGCTTAGTGTCATAGGACGGTGACCTAGTGACCAAGGTTCGCAATACCTTCCGTTCTCGCCTGTTGCCCATCGTCCTGTCTACTTCTCCAACATAACCCTTCAGAACTCTTCTACGAGGGCGTGAACTTCCGCAGGTGCAACGCCTCCAGCATCGTCTTCCTTGTCCGACCAGAAACCTACAGCTTGGAGCATTGTGTTGGAATCCATGCCTTTACGTACTGCCTCACGGAACCTGCCTTTAGTCATTACGGCTTCCCCGCCAGCCTCCTTCCAGGAGAACCACATACGATTGAAGTAAGCCTCGAGAGGTTGTCCAGCCTGCGTACCGGACGCGAGATGTTTGGCGGCTTTGGCGCGAGAGGGGCCTTTGTATTTGTCTGTAATGTCATCGAGCAAAGTGGAGCTGAGGGTTTTATAGTTATCGTAGTTGAGGGCGCCCGCAAGGCGGCTTGCGTAGGATGGCAGCTCAATCAGGATCTTGTCACTGAGCTGCTTCTCGATGATTGCTACGGCCTTGAGGTCCTGGGTTACTTTTACATTGTGTGTTCGATCGGGTAGAGGGCGTAAGTCCAAGGCATAGTAGAGCAGTCCGGCTCGAGCTAGTGCCGTGTGGACCTTCCTCTCCCACAGCTGGTGATTGGTTCCGTCGAACTTCATGGTAGAAGGAGCTTCTCTCTGGGCTGCTGTGTGCGTAGATTCATGCGCTGGTGTGAGCGAGAAGCAGAGGTAGAAGAGGGCGGACAGGCCGGTCAAGGAGAGGTTGTGAAGCAGAGGCGAGGACGGTCAAGTCGAGGTCCGTCCTGATGCAAGGTCCGCACGCCCCGCCGTAGACCGGCCGCACGTCCGTCCGTCCGTCCTTCAGACACGTCGCTTCCCTACTTCAGAGAGCCTAAGCGGTGCCCATCAGGTTTCACCCTTCAAGCGCACATAGGACAGCCCAGAGTGCAAAGCAACGCTCCAGTCCCGGTTGGATGGTGGTCAGTGATATATCCTTTCTTACCTACTCCAACCCTCGCCCTCTCCAAAGCATCAGAGGTCATCCACAGATCGGGAGTCAAGGAGCTGGCACGATCCGGCCTCGAGTGCGGCCGTCCTACCGCCGTTTAAAACAAACCGCTTCCCAAAGGGCAAGACTGACTACTCACTGCAACGCAGAAAGCAATGAAAGATGATCCACCAAGGCCCATGACTTCGCGACTCCTCTTTCTCCGCATCCCAATGTCTCCACGTCCTCACACCTCAATGCAAGTGATGTGAAGTGTATCTGTATTGCCCAAGAAAGATTCCTCCGAGACTCTTGCCTCTCAGGGCTCCTTGATGCCGAGCTCTCCCTCCTTGAATTGCCTTGCCCACATCATGCTAGGGATCCACTTTGTAGGAGCCTTGTGTCGCCACTGCGTCGTACGAGCAAGGGCGGGGAGGAGAATGTTGATCAGAGAAGCGGCCCTGGCAAGACCGATCGTTGTTCGCGGTCGAGTCTCCCGCTTAGGGTCCGGCAGCCTATGTGCACTCGCTCTACTCACCTCTCTGTCAGCCGAGTATGACCAGATTCCATATGTAGCTGCTACGATTCCTACTGCGCACACTGCTGTGTTGGAGACCCAGTTGTGAGGCCTGTGAGAGAGAGGGAAAGAAGCAGGAGACGGCGAGGGGCAAGGGAGAAGTCCATTCAGGTCAGACCCTTCCAGACCATGCCGCTACTCCCTCAGCCGGTATCAGCGCCCTCTGACTGACCTTGACCACCATCCTCCTGCCGGACTGAAGACTTCCTTTGGGTATGGGTAGCGAGGTCCTGCGCCCATGTTGGAATAGTGAGCGGGGGTGATGTGGGGGATGCGGAGAGGGTAGACGAGCAACGGAAAGGATGTCACTGCGTAGGGTGAGTGAGCAGCGAGGCGGGCGCGAATTCGGCTCCGCTCCTCGAGTATAGACCGGTGGGGGCCAGGGGGAAGATCCCACGAGGGCCCTCGCCCTGCTTCGAGCTACGCGCCTGGTGTCAGAGGTGATCAGTTTCAGAAACATGGTTTCCACTTGTATCTCTGGCGTCTTCGGAATGCCCGCAGCAATACCATCGCTGATCATGTTGTGCTAGTATCTCCACCATGGCTATCACCTTCGTTGGGGGGAGACCCTTGGCTCTTCCCGCCTTTGGGATACCCTTACGCCCAAGGCCGGGGCGCGCGTCTGCCGGGCGGTCTGGCCTTGGTTGGCCGCCCGCCCCGCCCCGCCGGGCCTTGGCTTGGGTGTCTCTGCTGTCGAACTCGTCGCACAGCAAAAAACAAGTGGAAACCCACCATCGACTCCTGGCCACCATCACCATCACCATCGCCCATCTCGCTCCACTCCCCTACACTCGTACAAAGGACGTAGCGAGAAGGTGGATTCATTTCGCTCCCTACTCACTTCTCCCCTCGCCGCGTACAACGATCGCCAAACCCCCTCTGCTCGCCACTCTTTGCTCATCACTGCTGAGGCGCGACTCTGGCCCCTACTCCTTACGACCTTCCATCTCCATCTCGCGAGGCATATACTCAGCCTAACCACGAATACACTCTCGAGGAACTCGTGACAGTGACTACTCCTGCTGCATACATACATCTCTCAGCAGGGACCTCTCGAAGCAAAGAATCTCGATTACCCTCCAATCTACGATTGCCTCTTCGTGCAATCTCAAGACACGTCAGCCCGGTGACGTGATCCCTTGGACCTTTCCCTCTGTCTGATCAGCCTCGCTGTGATCTACCCTTCCGAGATCGAACACCATCTTCAGAAGGCACTTCATAGGCGAATCTGTGAGTGTTTGTCACTTTGTCGTGCGGAGGTGTAGGCGTACGGTTCTCTATTCCGCCCGAAGTGGACGGGCGAGGAAGATAACGCTACGATGCCGAATGCACTGCTCATAACAAGGCTCGAAGCAGAAAGCTCGAGGGTATGGCGCTCAAGGCACCAGGTAGCAACACACTCGCGCTCACTTATAGACACTGACCAGACCTCCATCGTCTTGCCCTCTCTCCTTCCACCAGTCTTAGGCGATCTTCCTCCTCCTCCTCTTTTACATACCGCCCCTACTTCTCATAAGAAATGGCGGACCAACACACACCCGAGGTGGACCTCGATAATGTCATTGACCGACTGCTGGAGGGTGAGTCATCGCAGGACATCGCGCTTATCGGAAGGCCTGTCTCAGAGACGTCTGACTGACAATTCCATTATACATGCCGCTTCCCCTTCTCTTCGTTCTTTCAGTGCGAGGATCAAGGCCGGGCAAGCCGGTGCATCTGGAGGAGTACGAGATCAAGTACCTCTGCCTCAAGGCAAGAGACATTTTCATCAATCAACCCATCCTGCTGGAACTAGAGGCCCCGATTAAGATCTGTGGTGAGTATCGGATAGTGTCACAGTACGAAGCAAGAGACATGGAAGGCTCTGTGATCAGAGGAAGAGCGTTGAGGCCAGTAGATGGTATCTGGAATTGAGCAGAGCAGCATGGGTAGCTCAGGCTGCTATGCCAGCGCGGAGAGGCGCAAAGATGGAAGGGTCAGAGCACTGCAGAGCGAACACGAGAGGGGCGCTCGCAACACATAGATTGCAATGAAGTGTTCTGCCGATGCTCACGCCCTTCTTCTGCCCTAATCAGGTGACATCCACGGTCAATACTACGATCTTCTGCGTCTGTTCGAGTACGGTGGATTCCCTCCAGAGGCAAATTACCTCTTCCTAGGCGACTATGTTGACCGAGGCAAGCAATCACTAGAGACCATCTGCCTGCTCCTGGCTTACAAGATCAAGTACCCGGAAAACTTCTTCATTCTGCGAGGCAACCACGAGTGCGCCTCAATCAACCGTATCTACGGATTCTACGATGAATGTGAGTGGCTCATGGGCAGGAGGCCGAGGTCATCATAAACATCGCCAGTAGGATTGGAAAGCTGACGCAGCCCCGCTCACTTCTTCCCCATCCTACCTGACCTTGTTCCCAGGCAAGCGTCGATTCAACATCAAGCTGTGGAAGACCTTTACGGACTGCTTCAACTGTCTGCCCATCGCAGCTATCATTGATGAGAAGATCTTCACAATGCACGGAGGACTGTCGCCTGACTTGCAGAGCATGGAGCAGATCAGGAGGGTGATGAGGCCGACGGATGTGCCGGATACAGGTGAGTGGACGCGGTCCAGTACGGGCACTGCGCACGGGTAGAAACCCTCTGACTGACACTCCGTTTGCAACGCCTCTTGCTCGCTACAGGTCTGTTGTGCGATCTGCTATGGTCAGATCCTGACAAGGACATCTCTGGATGGTCCGAAAATGATCGTGGTGTCTCCTTCACATTCGGACCAGACGTGGTGTCTCGCTTCCTGCAAAAACACGACATGGACCTGATCTGTAGAGCTCATCAAGTCGTAGAGGATGGATACGAATTCTTTGCAAAGAGGCAACTGGTGACGTTGTTCAGTGCACCGAATTACTGTGGAGAGTTCGACAATGCGGGAGCAATGATGAGTGTGGACGATTCGCTGTTGTGCAGCTTCCAGTGAGTATTGCAGAGCAGCCAGAGAGACGTAGCAGCCCCGTGCGAGGTGTAGGGCTAGCTCATCTAGTGATTGGAGTTGCCAGACTTTCTTACTGATGTTTGTCCAATCTTAATTCTTTTCCGTTAATGCAGAATTCTGAAACCAGCAGAAAAGAAGAGCAAGTACGCATACGGAGGCATGAATGCCGGACGGCCAGTGACACCCCCTCGCAAGCAGAAGAAGGGCAAGGAGGGCAAGGCCTGAGGTCATGTATGATCTGCAGGGAAGGAGCAGCGTCACCGAGTGGGCGGGATGGGAGGCGGGGAAGAGGGTCGATACGGGGGCCCTTGCATCCGAGGATTGCTCTGACGATATGGCGGTTGTGGGTGATGGCGGCGGCGGCGGTGGTGTGGGTTAGCAAGGTCGCACTGCATCCACTGCGAAGGAGATCCGAGGAGATTCTCAGGCTCGAGCTACGAGAGCTAAGGGGACAGCACAGCAATTCAATAGCGACTATCCAACACGAACAATTCTGGCTTGGCTTGGCTGGATGGGTGGCTTGCTTGCTTGCGGTGGGCGAGAAGTTCAAGTGTGGGAGAAAGGAGAAGACTATAGAAGAAGGGTTGTAGCGAGGGCAGTCGACAAGGACGAGGACGAGGACGAGGACGAGACACGATGGAAGGACGTCTGGCACTACCTGATAGCCGTCTACTGGCGAGCGTCTTACCACGGCTCAAGGACAAAAGAGGGACGCACAAGGATCTTGAGAGGCACTTCTGAGCGGTACTTGCACTCGAGCTTGAAGAGGCTGTCCCCAAGGCAACTAGACACAGAGCGACATCTCTGACCACCCCGATCCTTCGTGACAAGACCTTGGCTGGCTTGGACTGGCTGAATTCGCCTCGGCTCGGACTTCTGGCAGGGCTGCACCCGGATTGCAAGCAGGCACGGCAGCGCGTAGAAGACTACCGGTCACCAGGCATAGAAGGTAGCAGGGCTGGGCTCAAGAGGCGCTGTTCTAGGGCAGGTTCCTCATGAGGTCAGCCGTTGCAATCAGACGAGTCCAGCTGAGCTAGCCGAGACGAGGAGGCGACGATCTCGACCGGGGCTGCCCTCTATCAACAGTAGGACTGACGTGGCTGCTGCTGCTGCTGTCGTGGCAGTCATCGACTCGCAGTCTATCCAGGGTCGGCGAACGGTCTCTCAGCTGGGGTGATGGACCTACCCTATCCTTCCCTCAAGGCAAAACAAATCTCTCCACTCTCGACTCACGATGACTGTGCGACTCCGGTCGTCCTCGATCCTTGTCGGGCTCTGGCGTTCACCTAGAGGCTCCGTCGCAAGCTGCAGCTCCAGATGTAGCTACCGATACGAATCGTGCCCCGTCTTCCCTTAGGCTTCTCCCCTCCCCTCCTCTCTCCTCGCACTCCCTCTTCATCTCCCCGGTCAAGCCCATTTTTCCACTTTTACTCCACTCTCCAAGCCCCACCCCTCTGTCTCTCCCTCTCTCTCCCTATATGCACGCACGCACTCACTCGCACACAACTACACAACTCACAATTCACAAGTCTCCCCTATTTCTTTCTTCCTCACCACACCACTTTCTTCTTCCCTCTTTTCCTTTGTTACTTCTGTCCTGGCTAGCCGATTCCGTCTCGTCGTCTTAATCTCCAAGATTCTCGATCTACATGCCATGCCATGCTTTGCGTCAGTTGTGTGATAGCTGGGAAGTGATCTGAAGTCTACAGTCCAGTGATCTTGTCCCTATTTGGAGTGGAAGAGGATCTCAATTGATTTCCGTGCCGTGCCGTGCAGTGTCGTGTCACGTCACGTCATGCCTTCCTCCTCTTCCACCACCATCTTCGTCTCACTATTCTTCAGCTGCACACCCTTCCTTCCCACTGGCCCATTGCTACTGCAATCCCTCACTCGCACTCGCACCCGCACTCGCAGCAGAAATGCTCACCATCCTCCCTCCTTCATTCACACTCACGGATGACTCCCTGCAGGAGCTCCTCCTCAGCAGCAGCAGCAGCAGCAAGTCCTGGTCAGCAAGAGAAGAAGCGTGCTACCTAATCTTCTTCTCCGGCACCTTACCCGTTCTACCCGGCTCTCACACAGCAAGCATCGCCGGACAGAAGGAAGAGGAAGAGGAAGAGGAAGAGGAAGCTCAAGGAGATCCACTGAGCGAGTCTCAGTTGACTTCTCTCAAAGAGGGCTTATGGTGTCCAGATTGCCGAGCGGCTCTGCTTGCCGTACTGAGCATCTTTTCGCCCGGCTCGCTAGCTGCCACCACCGCTAGCTCTACCTCTACCTCTACCTCTACCACTACAGGTGCTGCTAGTGCTGTCGAGGCGCGCGCCCTTCTCCTGCAAGTCTCGCGGGAGCAATGGAAGGACCGCACTGATGGGGGACATGTGTATAGGAAGAGGTACGATGTGCAAAGTGTGCCTACTGTTCTTAAGTGGATTGGGGTGAGTGATGATGGGCAAAAGAGAAAGGCGAAGGGAAAAGGCAACGAGACGACGATCAAGAGCTGATTAGCATTCTGACTTTCTGCTTATCTTTCAGGGAAAGGAGGTGGGCAGACTGGTGGACGAAGAGTGTGCGGATGTGGATAAGATACGAGCACTGGTACAGGGCTAAGAAGACTGGTACAGCTCAATCTTGTAGGGGCCGGTAATGCCCATGCTTCAGACAGCGTAACCTTTGCCTGCTCCTCACCACTACCAATGGTGTCAATACCAATATGCCAAAGCCTATAATCTACTTGACTCACTCAGTCATTCCATGTCTCCCCTCACCCAGAAATCTCTCCTCGCCTCCCTCTTTCCCTCCGAGCCTCCGTCTTCCCCTTTCACGGTGCCAATCCTTTATGCGGGGCGACGCGGGCGGGCGGGCGGAGTGCAGAGCTTGGGCGCATGACGTCGCGTCGCAGTGCAGTCAGTGGTGGCTGCCCCGAGGTGACGCCCGGGGGGGCCGGACAGGCCGAGGTGGATACCGGCCATGGGGGAGATGAGATGCAGAGGAGGGAGAGAGAGGGAGACTAGAAGAAGCAAGACTTCCTCCCTTTCTATTCCTACAATCTCACCCACAACATACCATAGTAGTCCATTCCATCCACACTCACCCACGACCCACCACCCACCATGTCCTTCCTCACCTCAACCAACGCACCCAACCTCTCCCTCTACTCCCTCCCCGGCATGCTCCTCATTGCCGCCTGTCCACACTGGTGGTCTATTCATCAATGTCTTACAAAGAAGATCAATGGAGGTTGGAAGAATGACAATCCTAGATTGTTTGTAGCTCAATTGCAATTCAAGAGTGCTAGTGGAAAGAAGTTGAGTGAAATGGAGAAAAAGGTACTTAGGGCGCAGGGAGGTGAGTTTGAAAAGGAGAGAGAAAGGGAGAGGAAAGGATGGGGTAGAGGATACGCCATCAAGATCAAGACAAATGAAAGAAGGAATACAGGGGCTGCTCTAGATGTACTCGAGTACTGACTCGTCTCTTCTCCCATTGCTCCCTCCCACCCCTCGTAGCGCAACAGAATGGCTTCGAATGGTTCGGCTTCTGGGCAGCAGCCGTGGTGAGTAACTCATCAACCTCAATACCATCCCACCTCCACCCTCACCCATTCTCACCTCCCCCTCATACCTCCCCTCCTATCACCACCACCACCACTCCCACCCCTCTAGCTCGCAGGCAATCTCGCCCACCTCCCCTCCGACGAGCTAAACCGCATGGCCGTCCTCTTCCTCTTCTCCCGCATCCTATACAACTTTGCCTACATCTACTTCGAAGGATTCTGGCCTTCACTCGGTAGAACGGCCGTCTTCCAGGTTGGAATCCTGGCTGGATTGAGGTTGATCTTCATGGCGGGAAATAAGCTCAAATAGACAGTAGATGGAGGAGTGGCCGGCGAGGAGGAGGAGGTGGGAGAATCAGACGGGGGAGTGGTAGGGAAGAAGAATAATCTACGCAAAGTATAAGCTACGTCAGAATCGATAATGCATTGTTCCTTGTCTTGAGTCTATACAGTTTCTGCCTATGATGTGCCACAGAAGTTCTCTCCCTCTTGTTAGACGGCGAGATCGACAATGACTGGCCTGTATGGAGGGAGGGCAATCGCAGGATATGACATGATCAGCTCTCCGTCCACATGCACAGACAGCGTCAGATCCTCGGCGTAGTCCACAGACACTTACTGGCTGACGACCTTGTACTCCACTGAGTATCGCATCGCAATCATGAGCATAAGAGAAGGATAGGACCCTTGTCCGGTCAGCTCTCACCCTCTCCGTGCCCCCCATCTCCCCTTCAATGCTGCAGCCCCGCTCCTTACTCACGCTTGCGTTCCTGAGCGTACTTGGCCATATCTACGTCCACCTGAGCCGCATTGACTAGCAGCGTGCTCATCCAGTCGAACGCCTTCTCGCCAGCAGCCGGCTCGGGCTGCGAGGTGCTTGGCGGGTGCTCCCATCGCTGAAGATGTGTCCCTCTCGCCTCTGTGAAAAGCACAAGGAAAAGTTGTTCTTTGGTGAGCTCCGCAGGCCATATTTCCTGCTTGTCTGCGCCCACTTCGCCTCACCGTGTATGTGTCCCACACCCCACACCCTCGCCCTGCATTCCCCTTCGACGGCCTTGCGCTCCAGCTCTTCGCAGCCGACGTGAGTTCGTCCGTCGTGCAGAACGTCCAATCGACCGAGACGGTGAGGAGGCGTATGTGTGAGGAGGAAGTCTACCTTTGAAGGCAGCGACGTGTAAATTGCTAAATAGTGACGATCAGCGCATGTGGGTGGGAGAGGAGGGACAGGTCAGAAGGCTAAGTCAGAACTGCGGAGGTTGGGCGTGCTTACCTTTGGCTTCTTCTCCTCTCTTGTAGTTCCATGCCCATCCTTCTGTATGAGGCAAGCGCAAGAGGAAAGAGGTCAAGGCATGAGTAACGTTGCTCGGAGAGAGACGGAGACTGGCGACCAACTCATACTCACCATATTCAGGCGACCACTAGCAGAGGAGGGAACGCAGTCATCCTCGTCAGCTCGGAGCTTCATCTTCGTAAGCAGCCCAGTCTCACTCACCGGGCTTCCCCAGATGCTCCACTTCTTCTTGGCACCCTCTCTAAGTCCCTTGCGCTGCACTTCTACCTCAATCAGCTCGTCCTGCACGTAGTGCAGCGCCGCTGGCTTGCCCTGCGCAGTGGTATGGTTGTGAGCACGACGTAGGATCTCCTTGGCTTCAGATGGCTTGGAGGGTGGATATCCGAAGGAAGTGTGCAGCTCTATGCCTCTTGTCGAGTACCTAGATGTAGCAGAAGGGTATGAAAGGGACGAAAGGGTGAGCTCACTCTCGCAATCACTGACGCATTCGCGCTCCGTACACGGGGTCCGTCGCTCACCAATTTCTCTTCTCGTCCTGGTCGAGCGCGTAATCGTGATTGCCAGCAATGACGACCTTGATGGGGTGAGGGAGGGAGCAGAGCCAGTCTACCTGCTCCTGCAGCTCCTCCGTGGACCCGAGACGCGTGAGGTCGCCAGCGTGGAGGAGGATGTCCTGTTCGAGGGTGGTAGGAGCACAAGTGGGCGCACAAATCAGCCCGAATCTCTACCGCTCCGTCTCCTGAAGATGGACTTGGTGCCATCTCTGCCTACTCACTCCATCTGGAACATCCTTCAACTCGTTGCCGTGCGTATCGGAGATCATCACCACTCGCACGTGCCCATCTGCGCTACTCAACGGCGGGGGACTCCGCGGATCATACGAAGACCAGTAGCGATCACCGCCCGCTCCTATGCACGCATCGGCAGTGTCGTTCCTATCAGTACTGTCGGCTGATGATGGATGGGCTGAGTGGGACATTGCTGCTGGTAAAGTGAGGACTTGGTCAAGGAGGAGGCGAGGTGAGTCAATTCGGGGAAGTCAGCAAGCAACACACACTCAGACGGAAGCACGGGCCGCGGAAGGGCGGACGCACAGACACGAGCTGGACCCTTACGGCCGCACCTTTGCCAGGGGAAGATCACTTCATCCGTCGTACGAGACGAGGCATTTGAGATGCACAGATATGCTGATTGGTGATGATGCCGCATGGTCCACCCGCTTTCTTGTTTCAGAGCTTCCACACCTCTTCCTCTTGCACACCATGAACCTCCCTCAACAGCCCACCCAGCCTGCCCTGCGTCACTCGACCTTCCCTCGTCATACCCCTACGTCCAGCCATACTCTCCACCATGCCCTCTGTGCCAATGACCAGGATCGCCCTCCCTTTTTCGGCACCACTGCCTTGTTCAGTGCTGGAAGAGCTGCTGGAGAGGCCCTTCTGCAGGTCTCTAAGCTGTATGCGTCCCTGAAGCGTAGGTAGGCCGCCCACGTGTCCACTCGTCCTCACGCCCAAACGTCCCTTGATGCTCGACCAGACATTGCTTTCGCCAAGACCTTCCTCGCTGAACAAGGTGACCTGCAGACGATCTGGATTCGACTGTTCTAGCGCCTTAAGTTCGGGCAGCAAGAGGAAGGAGGAAGGACGCGCAGAGGCGTAAAGGAGCTTGATGCTGGGCGAAGAAGCAGCCTCTGTACCTGCAGTCCTCACTGAGCCAGCAGTAGGTGGAGCTGCGAGGATGGAAGAGATGAGTTGGTAGGCTGGAGCGATGCCAGTACCACCTACAATCTACGAATGTCATAGAGGGAGGTAAAGAAAGTCAAGTCAGCAATGCGCCCTACGGTCACTCCGGAGTGCACCCCGCAATTGCCTCACCTCGGAGCACCCACCAAGACAATCTCGCCAAGTCCACTCTTTATATCAGCCAGACTCTTCATCCACGACTCGTCCCAGCTCTTAATCCAGCCCCTCACCTCCACCCCTTCCCCAACGCTCAAGCCGTGAAGGTACCGTCCCATCTCCCCATCGGCGTAACGCTTGACTAGCAAGTCCAGCTTGCCTTCTGCGTCGGCTTGCAAGGGAGATTGCAGCGGCGTGTAAGACCGCTCAATCTGAATGTGAGGCTGGGCGATGGATATTGAAGAGATGAAGAGAGGTCTCCGGCCGACATGAGTGGCTCCTTCCTCTTTCGGCGCTGAGGGACCAAGACCTAAGCTGATCAACCTGTGCTGACCATCCCCAATATCCTCCAGGTTAGATGGACTAACGGCGTAAATGCTTTGCAGAATGGGAAGCGTACTCCAGCTGTCAGCCTTCATAGAGGAAGCAGAAGAGCCTGAGAGCCGCGAGTGATTTAGCTTCTCCGTAGTCAACGTAGTGAACTCTCCCGGCAGGATCCAGATGACGGCCAGGCCGAGGACAATGACGCCACCGCCCACAATGTAGACAAATTTGGGCACATCGGGTCTTGAAGGAGCTGCTGCTGCTGCTGCCTGAGGTGTTGGTCGAGGCGGCAATGGTTGCGGGGTGGGAGGCACTGGACGAGGTGATGGCGTCGGCTTTGAAGAGTGACTTGGTGGTCTCACCGGACCGGTAGAGAAGGGACGGATTTTTGTAGTGCTCAGGGGCAAGCGGGCGCCAAGTCCTGGTCGCATGGAAGCTAGGACACTTCGTGTGTCTCTTTGCCTGGACCTCCCTGATCCCTTCGCTACAGTGGAATAGCTGCGCCTGCCGCCACTACTGTCTACCTCGCCAGCGTTGTCCTGACGACGTATCCTGTCTCGACTGGCCTGCCACACATCATTGTCAGCTTCCCTGACTTCACTGATCTGGCCCGCCAAGTGAGAGCCTCCTTGCGCCTCGTCACTGTTGGCGTCTCGAGGCCGGGTGACGCTGATCGGCACTCGTCTGGCTCGCTGCTGTTGTGGAATGCCTTCATCCTGGACTTGCGACGTCGGAACAGCGCTGGTCCGAGTACGAGGTCGTGGCCGGGGTGCGTCGGGCGCTGCTGCTGCTGTATTTGCTGGTGTAGATGAGGAAGGTGAAGAGTTGAGATCGCGGAGGGTCTGCTGCGCGGACGAGGCAGCCCGATCGGACGCTTCTGTCTGAGCTTGGCCCTGGTCGGGCGTCTCTCCCAAGACTGGAGGCGATGCCTGCTCGCTACGAGGACCGGAAGGATGTTGCTGCTGCTGCTGCTGCTTTTGCTCTTGGAAGGAGGAAACTGCCTGGCCGTACTCTTCCAACCTCTTAACTTCGGCCGCTCTTCTGCTCTCTTCGTCTCGAATAGCTATCAGGCGCACATTCTCCTGCAGTCGAAGCATCCTCTGTTTGTCAGCTTCCAGTTCCTGGGTCACAGAGGCGGTACGAGGAAAAGAGGTATGTCAGCTGTCTGATCTTCTGATCCGAGGCCTCAGGCTGCTGCTCACATCAAGCGGAGGCGGGTCCATCCGAGTATGCCTCAACCACATCTTCCACTGTACCGCCACATTCTTGGTATCATACTCGCTGTAGTGATCCTTCTTGACCCTGTACTCGATCAGCCGCCTGGTATGCCGAGGGTCATCCGATCCGTGCAGCGAAGGGTACTCGTAGTAGCGGTTGCCCTCCAAGTCGGTACCAGCCAAGTGGCGAGACTTGCCTACGCGGAAGAGGCGGGAGATGGGACGGAAGAGGAAGGACATCTTCGCGTAGCCCAATACTGTGAAGAGTCGAACTGTTCACGGTATGGCCTCAACGGGAAATTGGGAAGTAGAAGCGAGTCGGACGTGCGGTACCATGCAACGCGAGAAGGAGTCCCAGTCCGCCTGACTCTCGACTCCACAATTTTTGTCAGCGGGCGGAGCACCCGGATACGGGTCAATGCCCATCGCCAATTCACATTCAATTTGAGCCAGTATGGCAATTCTCAGAGGAGTGTGATAGAAGACCGATAAGCCTCATCACATCGAAAAACATCAGACAGTGATCAAAGGAAATCTCAAAGCAATCTATTGCTGAGGTGGCGAGATAGAGAGTCTTCGCCAAGTGCGCCGGTATCTAAAGGGGGTTCGATCTTAAACTTCCATACTGCATTCCGTGTCGTGTTGGACAACTTCAACTTGAGACATACTCCATCTACTTCTTGCCAAACTCCTCCTCCTCGTAAGCACCAATGCACTGAACCTTTGCGTTAGAGGCGCTGGAGGTGTCAAAGACGTGACCCAGCCACTGCTTGGTCAGGTTCCTGGCAAGCTCAATGCCGATAACCCTCTGGCCGAAGCAGAGAACCTGGCAGTTGTTGGACAGGATAGAGCGCTCAACGGAGAAGGGATCGTTGCAAGCTGCGGCTCGGATACCCTTGACCTTGTTGGCCGCAATGGCAACACCCAGACCAGTGCCGCAGACGAAGAGTCCTCGGTCGGCCTCACCAGCCTGAATCTTGCGGGCGGCCTTGACAGCCAGATGAGGGTAGGCTATTACAGGGAGGTAGCAGGGAGATACGTACATACACGGTCAGCTCAACTCAATGTCGTTAGTCAGATTGCTGTTTCTTATGTGCTCACCAGTCTTGTCGGTCTTGTCATTGACACCGACGTCCTCGACAGAGGTGACTCGGGGATCCTTCTTGAGGTCCTCAATGAGGGTGTTCTTGTAATCGACACCGGCCTCTGATGGTCCGCAGAAGGCAGGCAATACGCAAAGGGCGAGATAACGAGAGAGGCGGCGGTGGACATGTAGGTGAGTGGGTGAAGACAGTGCGCAGAGATAGGGTTGAGCATGAAGTGGATTTGGGTTCATTCAGGGCTCAAGGTCAGCATACCGTTCAAGCGGACGAGCCAGGCCGGCGCATACATCCCAATTGCTCCTGTCAGTGGCACTGCCACGTCGCAGTGCAGGGTACTCACCGTCACAGGCCACTACGATACGCCACTGAGGGGAAGACATTGTGATTAGAGGGAGGGTGGGGTGATGGAAGATTGGTCGGTCTGAATTGAGTGCGAAATCTAAAGAGACTGGTAGGTACGGCTCGAACGCTGGAATCCCTTGGTGATTGGTAGCTTCGAGCAAGACCTTCGCGCGTGCCAAGTGGAGGGATGAATGATCGGGACGGAGGCGGAGGACTCAGGAGCAGCTTTCGGCTCCGTTGCGCCGGCGGCCTCTGCACGGGCTTTGCATCTCGCCCTGTCGATTTGGTGCAGCGCAATCGGTGGCTGGCTGGATCGGGGCTAGCCCGTGTAAGCCTCCCCGAGGTAATGGACCCACCGGAGCTTGTTGTGCGGCCATCTCACTCACGTTGCGGTCATCTTCTCTAATATGCGGCCATCTTCGCAAAGTGCGGCCACCTTATTCGACGTCGGCTTTCTTCTCGTTGGGGTAAACCCTTCCATACTACGCAGTCAAATAAGCTACAAGCTCTTGGCGTCTGATTTGAAGAGACTTGGGCGGAAAGTCCGGGATGCTGAGCTTCCCACGCTCTTCTGGAGTAGATTTGCGGCACGTGTAAAAGGCGCTGTTTGGTGAACTGGAAATGGCCCTGCCGGCGGGACACTCGACTGTCACGGAGCTGTCTGCATTTTTGAATGAGCCCGCTGTTATCACTGGCCTCGCACAGGAAGCATCGATCGCGAGGATTGAATGACGAGCGCCACCCGCTTCGGCAGGATCAGTCCGGCCCTTACTGTCCCGTCCCCGTAAGGCAATAGACGGTGCAGCCCCGCGACGGCCGACGACGGCCTTCGGAGGCGGGAGACGGGCCTTTGATCGGGTCTTTTGGGGAAGCAGCGCTTTCCTTCGAGATCGAACACGAGACCTTGGCACTGCCGCCTCTCCCACAAGCGTTCCCCACGGACCCGGTGCCCGTCGAGAAGCGTGCCGATGGCATGCTGGTACACGTTACGCGGCAGACACCCGCCTTGTCGGGCCCTTTTCCGGCGCGGGTCCAGGCCAGAACGGAGCTCAGGTACTTGTCGCCAGTCATACTGCGACTGCTGCTGTCAAAGTCGCATCTCTGTCAGATGCCCCCGCATCAGTGGCGTCCGGCCTCTGAAAAACCCCGCCGGGCCCTCTGAGCTTTCCCATGAGCCTTGCGCTCATTTGTTGCACACCACGACTGCTTCGACGGACCTGTCAATGTCATTGCAGCACCAAACGTGTCTGATTATAGCTTGCAAGCCGCGTGGTAAAAGGCCGGTCTCGATTAGCTCCGCACCTTTGCGGGAACAAAGGCAATTTCCAGTATGGCTCGTGGAGGCGCTCTACCTTCCGGTGTGAAGATTACCGGTACTCTCATTTCTTCTACGCGGGGTCAGAGGCGAGGTCGTCACTGATGTTAGACTAATCACAGCCGCTTCTATAAACCCACCTCTCTTCATCACCGTCTTCGTCGTCGAATCTTCGTCCTCTGTTCGAACTCTCCATCGTCTCACACGTCTATGCTGGCGCAGATCGACAAGGCGCTCGTGCGAGACATGCAGTACTTCATCGACGACAGCGACTTCCTGCGACGGTCCCCAGAATCTCCACAACCTCTCTCTCGTGCGAACCTGGAGAAGTTCAACGCGTCACCCCCGAAGGGGGCATCACGATCTCCCTTTGATCTCTTTCGTCCTGCTCAGCACCAATGGAGCGAGGAAGACGTAACGCAATCTCGACGAACGCAGCAGCAGCAGCAAGATGGACCGAAGCTCTGGCTGTCGCCACACACCGCCGATTGCTTCCTCGTGGTGTCGCACCCAACCACTCGGCCTCGTGCTTCAGCTGTCGCTAGCAGGTCAATTACATCCGAGCAGCAGGCTGCATCGTCTCCCATGGCCATTTCCAACTTGGTGTGGCGGGAGTCTAGTCCAGCTTCCGACTCACCACCGCAATCTACTACCTCGTCACGAAAGCGATCTCGAGACGCAAGCCCAAACACGGAAGCGTCTCCACTGCTGAGACCATTGGCCAGTCTTCATGAAGCTGCCGAACCGAGCTCATCGCACGACATTTTGCATGATGACGAACGCAATCTCAGATCACTACGTCTCGTCGCGAGTTCTATTTCTCAGCACCTAGACTCGGGAGAGCAAACAAAGAGGAGAAAGAGCTCGGCCCTTCCTGCATACTCGCAGCGGACAGGGTCTTCCTCAAATATTGCTCCTGGCGACAGACCCTTGCCCTCCAGCTCCTCTTCGGCCGCATCATCGGCTCAGACTGGACGTCGGGACGATGTGCGTGTGTACCGCGTGCACAAGTCCATCATGACACAGTGCAATCTCCTCTGGGATCTCTTCGAGTCGGCATCATCGTCCACTCCACCGCCTGTCATGCAGAGCATCGGAGCAGCCACCGCGGAAGGTCGTCGCCACTCGGAATCTTCCAAAAGTCGACCGCCACAATTGCAACGACTTGCCTGTCCATCATTCATGGCTAAACAGGAGACAGTGTCGCTAATGATGCACCGCAGACCGTACCCGCCCTCCAAACGCTTTCCAGGTCTCTCACTACCAACATTGCTACCCAGCGGTGTCGGCACTGATCACTCCTCTCCCGTCTCCCCCACATCTGCTCCAGCCGGTGCGTCCTTCAAGTTCGGTCCTTCGCAGGCGAAGGAGACGTCTGCACTCAACACTGTACATATGCCTGTACCGGATGGAGAGACGATACCTGTGCTCCTGCACTACCTCTACCACCACTCCCTCTCGCATCTCGCCACCGCTCTAAATCGTCAGGCTACCGCTTCCGTCAGCTCTACCGATGGGCGGAGTACAGAGGTAGCTGTAGACAAGGACAAGGAGAAAGACAAGGAGGAGCACTACCGTCGTCTAGTCGGGGGTTTGATTGCCAACTTCGACTACCTAGGCGTTGAGGCACGCGAGCCAAGGGAATGGCTCGCGAACGAGTGGAAGAGACTTAGCACCACCCCTACTTCTGGTGACGTTGCTATGGAGGGGGAGCGACTGACGAGTCTGGGTCTGCGACCGCCTACTACCTCGCCTCGGGCGCCGACTAGACGTCTCGAGTAGTACATAGTCTTTCTACGTTGTGGTATACCTTGAATTTCTCGCACATTTCTGTACTGTATATATACCTCTACGCACTTACTCATAGCTTTCGTCTTTGCAATCTAGACGTCGTTGATCTACATTGCCGTACTTGTCCAGTCGGTTCTTATGCTTGCAATTGCAACGACTTGTGCTACGTCGAGGATCTTCTCTCGTCCTCGCTCTCTTCTTGACTTTCGCCCTTCCCCGCCTCACACCCAGTCAGGTCTTGAGTCAGGCAACGAATGCTCAGTGTGCGTGATGCAGATGAGAATGTGGTTGATGTGTGGAAAGATAGCGAGGCAGACAAACAACTACATGATGAATTGAACAAGGCAAAGTGACGTGACTGCTCAAGAGGCAACGTCAAGTCGCACAAGAGGAGAGCGACAGGGTCCTAACAGGGCGACTCTGCCGTTCTCCACGAGTTCAGAGAGGGTGATGGACAAGTGTGGGTGACGAGAGGCAAATCTACTTCTTGGCCGAGGCAGCCTTGACCACTTGCTTGACGATCTTTGCCTCCTCGACGAGGAAAGCTCGGATGATCCTGAGGAGATGGGAGAAGCAGTGGATGAGGGTCAGCAGGTGAACGATAACTCGGCGTTCAAGGGTGTGTGGATGCAGTATAGTGCCCAATGAGGACAGTATGCGTCCCATTCCCGACCGCCTCTGGGCACGCTCAACTCAAGAGACGGTCGAGAAGGCAGAGCCCCGTCTGTAGTTCCACTGAGTATGCCCAACGACTCGCTTCATGTGACCTCGCCCATCTGCTTCAGGCAAGTCCAATTTGCTTTCCTATCCGCCGATCTTGTGGACGTTCGCCCTTTCCAAAGCAGGCCCCGGATGGTCACGGTCACAACAACTCACCTGGTTCGCACGCAGTTGGCACACCTGCTTCCACCGTAAGCCCTCTGCACCGTCTTTCCAGTCTTGGAGATGGTGGCGTACTCCCTAGGCCTCAGAGCCTTGATACCGGGGAGGGCAGTGTGGCAGTCACCGCACTTGGGGGAAGTAGGCAACTTCTTGATGTGCAGGTAACGAAGCTTTCCGCCGGGAGTCTTGACGACACGACGACGGTTCGACTTGGTGTTGTATGGGGTGCGCTTGCGCAGAGTAACTCGCTCGGCCATCTGAGAGGTAAGGAAGGAGGCACAGGGACAGAGTCAGTACACACTCATCCGATACCTTGGCATCCTCTCTGATCCGTTCTGCCCTCCTGAGATCCGTTGTCCACCTGTCCTCTGAGAAGCATGCCCTTCGAAAGCAATCCTCGACGAATTGCGAGCAGAAGATGCTTCTTCTACAGTGGCCCATCCGAGGATGATGCCTGCGCTCGCACCTCGCGCCAATGGGACAGACTGTCTGCTTGCTTCCTGAGCGTAAAGCGCAGCAGCTAGTCTGGCAATCGAAAGCGATGTAACCATGGCTGTGTTCCACATCATGGTCGCATAGTCGTTCGCTCATGAGCAACCCTTCCTCCTTTTCCATCGTGAGACCCGCTGCTGCTGCCCTTTCGACTACCAAGCAGCGGCCCCTCCTCGCCAGCTCCCCCCTTCTTCCGTCCTTCCAGAGTCGAGTGAGGGAGCCGCGAGCTCTACTGGACTGGTGCCGCCATGCTAGCTGGTGAACAGCGATTCGTGTGCGAGGACTGATAATCACCTTGAGGTAATGTGTTGGGGATGAGGTGGTGAGGGTATGAGGGAGGGTGAACGAGGTCAGACGAAGTTGGAGTGGAAGGAATGGCAAATCTCCAAGCCCTGCGCCTACGCCTCTGGCCCTGCCCTGCCCTCGCTGCGCCGCCTGCGCCTGCGCCTTGCGCCAGACACAGATTCGCCTCTCGCGCCCCGGGTCGCCCGCGGGCAACCTTTTGCAGGGCCTTTGAGTCGGGTTACGACTACGGTGCGCGACCCGGCTTGGCCCTTTCCGTCTGACCCGGGCACACGGAAAGGGGAGCGGCTGGGCTGGCTCGGCGGGCTGGACGTGCTGGATCACTCGATGCTGCCTCTACCACACTGATGGTCGGACTGCTTGGTGGGCTCCGGTTTGAGCGGCTCTGATTGCTACTGCTACTGCGACTGAGAACCTTGACAGCGGCTCATTGCTGTCAGCCTGAACGTAGTCACCCTTCTAGCGTGGCTTCTCACACACGTGATGCTGCAGATGAATGACACCGGCCTTCTGGCCCGCTCAGTCGTGCTCTTAACCCAGGATTCTTGAGAAGCCAAACAGACACAGCTTGTCAGTCACGCAACGATGAGTACCACTTTGGCTTATCTCGACGCTGCCAGGCAGCATGACAGGCGGGAGGATACGGGAGAGGCTGCTCGAAGTACGACACGTGACTCGTGACCCTGTTTCCGTCGCTCCGTCTGGCTGCCAATGTGCGGACGTGGGCGGGGACTGAAGGCGCGGTGGCCCCAGCCAGAGGCCAAGTGTGCCGCTTCGGCCGCCTTGTCCGGTGGGTGCAAGGCAAGACGAAGCGTGGCAGCTGACCTCTGCCCCTGCCACGCCACGCCCGCCCCCCCGAGCCTGGCCGCGCCTTGGAAGCTTCGCTTCGAATGGAAGTGGCGGGAGCGGGGATAGACTTACCCCGCATCGCACGCCGGTATGGCCCCTCCACTCGTGATCTGGTGCTGTGCCCTTCTGCCCGGAGGGGGTGAATGGCCGAGATGGAAGGCGTAGGCTAGTGGATGAGGGGGATGCCGGCTGGGCAGAGGGGTTGCGGGGGAGGCCTCGTCGTGGTAGCCAGGCAGAGGAAGAGGAGTCGGTCAGTGGCCGCTGGCTGGCTGACTGACTGACTGACTGAAGTGAGCTTCCCAGCCGAACCCCAGGATCGGATTTATCTTTTCTTGGCCGGCGGCCATCGCCCGTGGAAAGCCTGCAGGGAGAGCAGAGGGCGTGACATGGCCGTGCGGGTCAAGGTACTTAACCCCGCGAGCAGACTGCTGCCCCCTCGACGTGCGCACTTTGTAATCCCTCCCTGTCATCCCACACACCACAGACAGAGACAGCTGCGATTCATTTACTTGCCTACTCACGACGTTCCCTTGTAGCTTGTCGTTTCCCTCTTCCCACCTCTTCATCTGCACAAAGTAACACAACAAAGACTCGACCCTACTCCACCGCAACCTCGACCTCCACTTTCCCCGCACCCACTGCGACCATGGCAGAGTATCGCGAGGTACCCATCTACGACATTCCCTTGCGGCTGCAGGGAAAGGACGACAAGGTCCACAAGAGGCCAAAGCCCCACATCGATGCTGCTACCTACAAGTCCAACTACCAGGCATCCATTACAAAGGTCGATGGTGAGTGATCGCAGTACCTGCAAAGGCGGTGCAGTGCGAGGAGGGCAGTAGCCGCGGGAGTCGCACGCAGAGGATTCGAGAGGGACAGGAGCAGCCGCTGCTGAAATTCATACTGACCGCTTCTCTCTCCTCTCCGCTTCGCACTACTTTGCGCTCACACAGAATTCTGGGGAAAGGTGAGCATCCTTGCTTCCGACGAAGCTCAAGGGGCGAGCGCTCAGCAGCCTGGGTGTGCTGCGAACCTCTAGAGCTCGTGCCAGCACATGCTCATCGCCTCTTCCAAGCACGCACTGACCCAACAGCCTTCTGCTCTGCTCCCCATCCCTCCTGCTGCGCTCCGTCTCGCCTCTCTAGCTCGGACGTGAGACAATTGACTGGGATGTGCCATTCAAGACTGTTCGTCATGGGGATTTCGAAAAGGGAGACGTAGCCTGGTTCCCCGAGGGACAGCTCAATGCTTCCTACAACTGTGTGGACAGGTGGGCCTACAAGTGCCCGGACAAGGTGAGTGAGAGATACAGCATTCGATCAGAAAGCCTGGCAGCCCTGCTTCGTGATTCCTCTGATAGCGTGTGCTGACTCCAATACGCCTCTCCTCGGTACCTCCGCTCATTAGACTGCCATTATCTGGGAGGCCGACGAGCCTGGACAGGGCAAGGAGATCACCTACAAGGAGCTCCTTTCAGAGGTATCTCAGGTAGCCAATGCTCTTCTCGACATGGGCATTCGCAAGGGAGATGCCGTTATCGTCTACCTTCCCATGATTCCCGAGGCAGCCATTGCCCTTCTGGCCTGTGCCCGTATCGGAGCTGTGCACTCGGTAGTCTTCGCCGGCTTCTCCGCCGACTCGCTCCGTGACCGGACCGTAGACTGTGACGCCCGAGTTGTCATCACTACAGACGAAGGCAAGCGAGGAGGACGAACCATTGCGACCAAGTCGATTGTCGATGCTGCTCTCAAGGAGTGCCCCAAAGTCGAGCACTGCCTGGTCGTCAAGCGAACCGGTTCCAACGTTGAGTGGCAGGAAGGCCGTGACAAGTGGTGGCACGAGGCCGCTGCTGCGCAGCGCCCCTACTGCCCACCTGTTCCCGTGAGCTCCGAAGACCCCCTCTTCATCCTGTACACCTCTGGCTCCACTGGAAAGCCCAAGGGAGTGGTGCATACTACTGCTGGATACCTGCTTGGCACTGCGCTCACCGTCAAGCACATTTTCGACGTCCACGAGGACGACAGGTTCGCTTGCATGGCCGACGTCGGATGGATTACTGGCCACTCGTACATCGTCTACGGACCTCTCATGAACGGTATCACGACTTTGATCTTCGAATCGACCCCCGTTTACCCTACTGCTTCGAGATACTGGGAGGTGGTTGCAAGGCACAAGATCACGCAATTCTACACAGCCCCTACTTCAATTCGTCTCTTGCGTCGCCTTGGAGAGGAGCACGTGCAAGGCCACGATCTGAGCTCCCTGCGAATCATCGGCACAGTAGGAGAGCCCATTAACCCCGAGGCTTGGGACTGGTACAATGAAAACGTCGGAAAGAAGGAGTGCGCCGTCGTTGACACCTACTGGCAGACTGAGACAGGTGCTCACATGATTGCGCCCTTCCCTGGTGCAACCAAGACGAAGCCTGGAGCGGCCACTGTGCCCTTCTGGGGTGTCGAGCTGGCTCTACTGGACCCCACTTCGGGACAGGTGCTGGAAGGCAACGAGGTCGAGGGTGTCTTGGCCGTCAAGCAGCCATGGCCCTCCATGGCCCGAACTATCAAGGGAGATCATCAGCGATTCCTGGACGTGTACATGAAGCCCTACCCCGGCTACTACTTTACCGGTGACGGTGCAGCAAGAGACAAGGACGGCTACATCTGGATCAAGGGAAGGGTCGACGACGTCTGCAACGTCTCTGGTCACCGTATTGGTACCGCCGAAATCGAGAGCGCCCTGATCCAGCACCCAGGTGTCTCAGAGAGCGCCGTTGTGGGTGTCCCCGATGAGGTGACAGGTCAGTCCATCTGTGCCTATGTGGCTCTCAAGCCTTCCTTCTCGTACGACTCAGAGGACGCCTTGGTCAAAGAGCTGGTGCTGCAAGTCAGGAGAAACATCGGTCCGTTTGCCGCTCCCAAGATGATCCTCATTGTGAATGACCTGCCCAAGACGAGGAGTGGAAAGATCATGAGGAGGATTCTGAGGAAGATTGCCTCCAATGAGGCAGACCAGCTAGGCGACCTGAGCTCGCTGGCTGACCCTTCAGTTGTGGAGAAGCTCAAGGGCGACTGGCTCAAGAAGGCTGGCAAGAAGTAAAGGAGGGGGCAAGCAGGGCACTGCACAGAAAAGCAAGAAGTGAAGGTCAGGCAGTCTTTGATTCGATGTTCATGCTAAGCTTTGAGGATCCGATGGGATTGGAGGTGGGGCACGACTGGCTAGTGGTTTAGGATACCGATGTGACGGCCTCTCTCTATGCTCGTTAATGCCAAAGATAAAAGTTCAACAAGATGAGTGATGTGTCTTTGAGAGTTGGAGGCGCGTTAAAGGAACAGGAGGAAGAGGGGTTTGGGATGGAATGGCGTTGTGGGCGAAGATCCTGACAAGACGAACCTCATTGCCGCTCCTTGTCAAATCCCGGCGTAGAGCGTAGCGCTCGCCAGGGCAGAAGCAGGGGAATTCGCCCTTCTCCTCGCAGACTCGTACCTGACTTTCTGAGCAAACAAAGCGATGCTCACATGCAAGAGCAACTACTTCCTGCCCTCGCTGCCGTCGCTGCGTTGCGCTGCAGCGCGCTGGAGTTCGCTTCTTCAATACAGCACAAGTGGATGTAGGCACTCGGGGTGCATTTCTCCCCTCTCTTGAAACCAGAATCATCCTTCCGAAGGTCCGAGGGCGGATGTACAGTGGAGTGGGTGGAGGAGTGGAAGAGGAAGGATCGCGAGCATGTAGGAGTAGGATTAAGTACTACTCCCTCGCGTACGAGTGTGCCTGCAGCTCAGCTCAGCTCAGCTCAGCTCAGGGCAGGGTGGGTCACCTCGGATGTAAAGGAGGGAGGGAGCGAGCGAGGTGAGCGCACTCTGGCACTTTATCGGAGGTATAGTGCAAGAGCAGGGGTTCGGGCGCGGGTAGACGCTTCTAGGGAGCAAAGAGTGCAGGGCAACCTCACTGCGAGTGGTCCGGTCCTTGAATGTGAGCCGGCAGGAAATGAGGGTGTAGGAGGGCTCGCAACACACTCGACGGCGAATGGTCCGATGCGGTGCGGGAAGAGTCGGAGTGAGCATACGAGATTCGCAGAGAGCGCACAGAGGGGGGCTCGAGAGCAACAGCACCTGCAATGGCAACCGCAATAGCAGCCTCGCAAGGGGCACTTTTACACAGCGAAGGTTTTGGTTCTTCCCTGCCCTGAGATGGGCGTGGGTAAAAGGAGGGAAAGGGAGGAAGGGTGTTGATTGATTTGTTCTCCCGCCCTTGTTTACTGTGGATCTATGGAGCAGAGGAAACAGCCGCGCTTGTCTTTGATCCTGTGCTGCTGTCGAGAGGTCGTCTAAAAGGGCGGCGGTGGCGAGAAGGGTTCTTCCATACCTGCCCCTGCTCCCTACCCTCTTTCCCCTTCCTCAGAGACAATAGCTCCCTTCGACTTTCCTTCGAAGAGACTTCCCAGCTTCTGGGTGCTTATCGAAGCCCAGCGTGCTGCCCTGGTCGATATCCCTCCCAAAGAGCTTTCCCCCTCCAAGCTTGCACAGATGTCTCCGACTCCTGGTCGACAAGACGGCACTAAGCCTGCACATCCTCCTGCCGTCGCACTCAAGGGTGGAGCTAAACCGCGCCCGCCTTCCAGTGGAGTAAACAAGCAGACTCAGCATCCACTTCAAGGTCAGAGTCAGAACCAAGGCCGGATTCAGCCTCAAAGTCAGGCTCAAGGTCATGGTCAGAGCCAAATTCAGAACCAACCTCTTCGTTCCCATGAGCATCCCCTCGGGCTAGAGCTGGGAGAGATTGCGATTCCCCGTCGATCAAGCTCTGTCAATAGACTCTCTTCCTCCAATGACGGCAATGGCAGATCTGGAGACGTGCAGAACTCTGTGACGACGTCGAATAGGAGCAGTGCTGGCGGCCAGTCAGCAACACAGATCATCTACTCGGCAGGATCACCTCAAATTGCTTCCTCGCCTGGTGCTGCTCAAGTTCGACACAAGTCGCCCTTTGTAATACCACACAGTGCTCCACCTACACCCACAATGTCACCTCCTCTTGGTAGGATCGGCAAGGATCCTCGAAGTCCTGGTGCTGCATCTCCCACTGAAGGACTAGGTGCAGGATGGAAGCCAATTGAGTCCAACTCCTCCAACAATCACGGCGCGAATGTCGGTATGCCCACCCACAATCTCCCTGTAGGCTCTCCCATTGCACCTCAGCAGTCCTTCGTGCCTGGCCCCACAATCCCCACATCCAGCAATGGCAGACCCAGCACTCCCTCCCCCGTCTCCTCTAGCTCTACCTGTACGCCATCCAACCCCATCTCCACCACCTACCAGATCACCCCAACAGGCTATGTCATCTTCGGCAACGATCTGCGCAGTCAGCAAGTTCGACGCGACATGGAGGAGCTCCTCTCCGTCCTCTTCCCCGGAACCACCATCCATACTGGACGTGCAGAACTGGCAGAAGCTGAATCTCAATTGCTTCGACTGGCACAGAGTCTAGCAGTAGCGTTTCATAAGAGGTGGTTTCTTTTGCAAACGGCGCGAGGGGATTACGATGACTTGAGGGGTCCGAATGGCTCCATGTCTCTTTTCAACGTCGAGGCTCTCCAGAGGGCTTTCAAGATTGTGGGGAGTTCTGGAGCTGCTGAGGGATCCTTGAGGAGGGGTAGAGAGCTGGAGCGGGAGGCGGAACTGGAGCCGGGGCGAGAGCGTCAGAGGAGGCGTCGAGAGATGCATATGCTCGAAAATGTTGATACGCACATGAGCAATGGGGAAGGCCATAACGACCACTTCCACATCGCCAACAATGGCCACAATGGCAATCATAACCTCAACATCAACGGCCACAACGTCACCAACGGCCACAACGCTCATGACACCCACAACGGCCACAACGGCAACTACAGCGCTGCACCTGCACCTGCGAATGCGAATGCGAACGCGGCTATAAGTGCCAATGCCAATGTCAATGGTACTCCTGCTCCTGCTCCTGCTTCCGGTGGTGGTGCTGGTAGTGGTGGTAGTAATGGTGCATCTTCACCAATCCCAGAGCCGCCCTTCTATCCCGAAACCTCAACCTCAACCTCAATCTCAACCTCAATCTCCCTCGGCCAAGCGTCCGCGTCCTCGTCCTTTCGTCGAATGTAGACGTAGGCGTAGACGTAGGCGCAGGCGTAGCCATCAATAGCACCACGCACCGCTCTCATTCTCCATCAGTGGCTTCTACCACGGTCCGGTCAAGTCTACTCAGGAATCAAGAACGCTCGTTCCCGTCATGCTAGGTCAGGACCTACATCAGCCCATCGCCGGGCCGGACGTTCGCTGTCTCAAGAGTCTCACCCTCACGGTCCTTACGTCCTCGAGCCTCTTCTACAATGCTACCGTTTTCATCTGATTGTATGCATGACCCACCGCACCCGGAGCAGTCTTGACAAGAGTGTGCGTAGACTCACCGCTGACCTCTCTACCACTCTCCCTCTCCCTCTCTCCCTTTCTGATCTTCTCACTGCTTGGCAGCAGTCAACAATCTCCTCCTCCTCCACTCCCTCACCTTCCACTCCACACCAAAACAACTCAACCCTCTTCTCCTCCTCGTAGCCCTAATCATATCCGCCACCTCTCTAACCACTTCTTCCTCTTTCCCCTCTAGTTCAATCTGAAGACTACCACTGACTGGGTGAGAACCATGGAGGAGAGCTTCCAGCTCTGCCTCTGAGGGTAAAGGGTGGAAGACATTGAAGTGGGCTTGCCAGCCGAGAGGGCCGAGCCCGCGCTTGGCCTCCTCCTCGCTCTGCCTTGCAGATCGATCTTGTGCTTTACGAGTGGGGATCACGTCTAGCTCTGGTGGGGTCAGCTTGAGTCCACCTTTGGAAGCGGCATCTTCTAGAGAACCAAAGAAGAGGTCGCGAGCAAGATCGTTGTCTACACCTTCGAGGTTAGACGGCTTCCATGGCGCACGTCCTTCCCTGCGCTTGTTCGTCGCTGGATCCTTGGTGAGGATGTGGTGAACTCCTTCGTAGAAGTCTCTCCCGACGGAGAGGTCGCAAAAGACGGTTGCAAGTCGCATGTCGTTTCGGAAGGAGTCGTCGACAGAGTAGTGCTTGGCTTCGTAGCTGATCAGCTGGTGGGTCACCTTGAGACTGCGAGGAGACTTGGACTTGAGCGTAGCCAAGGTACGGGCTGCCCATGAGCGCACTTCATCGCCGGCGAGGGACTCATCTAGGCTAGATGCCTTGAGCTGCTTTGCTAGAGCTCTTCCAGTGGCGCTCGAGTTGACCTCTTCGACTGACGAAGCTTTCGATAGATCTTCGAGGGACTTAAAGACATCTTCCATGGAGGGGTGGCTGAACACATAATCCAGCATGATCCTCGTATTGCCCACCAGAGCAGAATTGTCGAGCGGGCTCTTTCCAGAGCTGGCAGTCGCAGCATCAAAGGGATCGACGGAGAAGTCGTCGAGGACAGATGCCACTTGCTCGGCTGTAGCCTCGGGAGACAGGGAGCCCAGTGCATCGTAGAGGCGCTGCAGCGACGAAGATGGGAGGAAGTGGGTAGCGAGACCCAGCGCGTAGGCCTCCTGTCCAGATATTCTGTCTCCTGTTGTTCCGAGGTAGCTGCCCACCCTACCGTCGAGCCTGGACAGTACGCGCGTGACACCGACATCTGGAAAGTAGCCAATGCCAGTCTCGGGCATGGCGAACATTGTCCGTTCTGTTGCGATCCTGAAGGGAACGTGAACCGAAAGGCCTACGCCACCACCCATTGTGATACCGTCCATGACTGCAACGATGGGTCTCGCACTTCGACTTTCACCCGAGCTGACCTCTTCGCCGATCTTGGCCAGAACCCAGTCCAGGCTGAATTCTTCTTTGAAGAAGGCGAGGGCGGCAGCCTTGTCCTCATCGCTCTTGCCATTTGCGAAATTGACGACCTTGAGGACATCGCCACCACTGCACAGGCCTCTAGCATCTTCCCCTGGGCGGAGGAGAATGAGGGAGCGACGCTTGTCCCTGCCCGCCTGGTCTACTGCACCCCGAATGCCAGCCACCATCTCCGAGTCAAGAGCATTGATGGCTTTGGGGCGGTTGAGGATGATTTCGTACATGGACCCGCGAGTGGCAGTCAAGACCTTTGGATCTGATCCTGCTGCTCCACCGCCCGAGTGAGGAGTGGGAAGACCAGGGGCAGGTGTGGACGAGGAGAGGGTAGAAGAGGAAGAGGTGGAAGAAGAAGCTGACATGCTCCGAGAAGATGGGGAGAGATGAGCAGCGACTTGGGCAGTGCGATTGGAGGGAGGCGACATCTTGAGCAATGGAATGCGAGGAGAGGTCAGCGCTGAAGTCGATGCCGAGGCTGAAGAGGAATGGGAGAAGGCAGAGGAAGGTGCTGCAAAGGGGGCTAGGGGTGTACGCTGAGATGCCGACTTGGTAGCAGTGGCTCTGGAGGTGAGTCGTCTTGCTGAGGTGGAAGCAGAGGAACGACGTAGGATGCTCATCGCCGTGTTGGAGCAGCCAGCCAGAGACGACGAGGGTGAGTGGAGTGTGGGGTAGGACGTCAAGGTGCGAACCAAGTGTGTCAGTCTGCGTACCGCCTGTCTGCGTGCCGTGACCTTCCTTTGCTCTATTCGACGTTGGTTGGTTCCTTCCCGGCGAGGACGGGCCAAGGGAGAACGTCAAGCAGCGCGCGCACTCTGCCTCTGTGCCTCTGTCCGCCCGCCCGCCTAACCTCGGAGCCAGGAGCCCGTCTCGACCCGCCCGCGAGGAATTAGCAATACCATCGCAGCCCAGCCTCGACCTTCTCACACTCTCGTACCGCACACCCCACACACCCACACATCGCCCATCATGGTCCTCGCATTCTCAGGTCTCTCCCTGGCCAAGTACGTCACTTCCTCACCCGCACTCATGAGGTTCCTCAAGCCAGTCGCAGACGCCTACGCAAGGGCAGCCGGTTACAGGAAGATGGGACTCAGGTACGATGACCTGCTCATCGAGGAGAACGACACTGCTCAGAAGGTTAGTAGAGGGAAGAGAGGTGCATACGTTGTAGCTTGCAAGGTCAGACCAGACCAGAAGGGGTAGAAAGAAAGGCTGTACAAGGCAAGCCAGCTCGGACGTCCGAAAAGTCGAGGTGGATCTCTCACCATGGAGAGTACGGCAGACCAGAGTGACGCTGCAAGACAATCACAGGAGTCTCACAAGTGGGAGGCGGCTCGAATTGCTCAGGCTGAGATGGCAGGCCAGAAGGACGATGGCCGGAGATCGACCATTCAGGCTGGCTAGAAAGCCTAGCTGGGTTGCGTAGAGCTGTAGCCACAGGTTGAGATCAGTAACCCAACACTCGGCTGTCGGCCGTGGACGCTCCACCGCAGCGGCAAAGTGGGATTGTAGAGGCGGGGTTGAGCTGAACATCGTCCTCAAGGCTTGCCATTGTACTGTTGGGCTCTCCAGGCCGAGGAGTCATACCTCCAGTGACAGCCACTTATCAGACAAGTAGCTCGTGCAACACTTACTGACCCGAGCTTTCTTCCTGTATCTCCCCATTACTTCTCCTAGGCAATCTCTCGTCTGTCTGAGAGGGAGACATACGACAGGGCATTCCGCCTGCGTCAGGCAACTCAGCTGTCTGTCCTCCACCGACAGCTGCCAAAGGAGCAGTGGGTCACCCCTCAAGAGGTGAGTGTATGGACCTCGTCCGCTCTTGGCCGAGCAATTGGAAGGAAAATTCTGGTACTCTGTTTGTCTGCCAAGCTGCGAGAGCGTCAAGGTTCCGCGTGGCTACAGCGTGCCAGTCTGAGCTAGCAGGACGAGCAACTGAAGCCGAGCCTCCACGCTGAAATGGTTGCCTAATCCCGCTCTCAAACGAATCTCACCGCTCCTGTTCGCTCTTACTGACATGCTCTTCTCTCATTCTTCACTCTCCACAGGACCGTCGCTACCTCAACCCCCTGATCGAGGAGCTGAGGACAGAGGAGCAGGAGCGTGCAGCTTGGGACACCGTCAAGGTCAAGAAGGACAAGCACTAAGCGCCTGATTTCAGGTGAAGATGCTTCGAGAGCTGGCTCTGCTCGTCTAGGGCGGTCCTGTTGGAAGTCCACAGCACTCGAGACGATTTTGAGTGTGGCCAGAGGGTCACAAAGGAGGCTAGAGACGTTGTAGCAATTGCATTTGCAACAGCAGACCTAGGCGCGTGTCAGTCCAGTGGCAACGCAGACTTTCAGGGAAATTTCTTCTTATCTCTTCGTTTCCTTATGAATTGATCTCCATTCCGTAATGAACATGGTGGGATGTCTGCTGTCGCTAGCTGCTTCTCGCCTTCGGTCTGTGCTGACCAAAGGCGGCGAGATGGAGTGAGCGAGCTTGAAGGAAGGAGAGAGGTGGCCACATCGGAACGGAAGAGCGAAGGCTGTGTACGTGGGTGGTGTGCCAAGACTCCACCTGCAGGGTCCCGCACGCACGCACGCCCTGCTCGGGCAGTGAAGCACTCAAGCAGCCAAGGCGGTGGAGGCAAGGTCAAGGCAGGCACCAGAAGATCGTCCCTGTGCCGTCATTGCCTGCCCCTACTGCACTCCAGGTCAATTGCCTCCCAGCCCACTCACTCTCCCTTTCCTCTTTCCTCTTTCTTGTCATCTCATCTACAAATTCTGACCGACTCTACACACAACGCAACGCGTCCATGGGCTTTCTAGATAAGCTTACAGGTTCGACCAATCGCCCCACTTCGGGGAGCTATGGTGGACAAGCTCCACCCAGCTATGGGCAGCAACAGGGGTATGGTGGTGGAGGTGGGTATGGACAACAGCAGCAGCACTATGGTGGCGCTGGAGGAGGAGGAGGAGGCGGCGGTGCACCTGGAGGTGGAGGAGATGATAGGCCGTTGCCGGAGGGATGGGTGCGGCAGTGGGATTCGAATCAGTGAGTTTGATTAGCCTGGTGGAGCACTCAAGCCGAACCGGAAGAGATAGGGAGGGCTGAGCCGTAGCTCATGACTGACACCGCTCTACCTCACCATCCTTTGCTTTGTCTCCTTCCTCCCCACCTCTCATCAGCAATCGCCACTTCTACGTAGACACCCGCGCTACACCTCCCCGGTCCATCTGGGTACACCCACACGACGAAGGTGGCGCGTCTGAGAAGCCCACTGGGCAATACAGTGCTCCTTCTGGTCCTCCACCTCCTGACAATCGAGGTCAGGGCATGGGCGGTGGGTACGGACCGGGAGGATATGGAGCAGGAGGGTATGGACAGGGTGGATATGGTGGGGGCTACCCTCAGCAGCAGGGCATGTACCCCCAACAAGGGATGTACCCGCAACAGGGCTATCCTCAGCAGCCCATGTATGCTCAGCAGCAGCGAGGTGTGAGTCGCATGGCTAAAAATGGCACCGAGATTACTTTGACTGTACTGACAAGCCCCTCCCCCCCACTTCTCATTGCTCCCTTTTCCTCTCTCAAAGCGATACGGCCGCGGTGGTGGTGGAGGCATGGGTGCCATGGGTGGTGCTGGGCTGGGTATGGCTGGAGGTCTGGTGGGTGGTATGTTGCTCGCAGATGCCTTCGACGATAATGGAGGTGGATACGATGGAGGAGGTGGATTCGATGGCGGAGACGGAGGTGGAGGCGACGATGGAGGCGGTGGAGACGTGAGTACCTTGACGATAACGACGGCGGCGGCGGGGCCAGCAGAGTAGGAGTATGCGAACAGTCCGTGGCTGACTTCTGACCTTGCCTTGTCTTCGACCCTCGCAGTAAGCTGCCCTACCATGAGCTCGCGGAGGCAGAGTAACCCGGCGTGTTTTCTGCTCTGCGATGCCGAGAGTGTGGACCGATGGCTTCCGTTTCCCATCAATGTCATATATTCAGCTCTAGAATCAATCAAGTCTCCATGTCTGGTGCGTCATGTCCCCTCTGTCTACGACTGCAATCCATTGCCTTGACAATGGCGTCTGCCTGTGTACGCGCCGCGTCTGCGCGTTTGATGAATGGGGATTCTATCCTGCAGACATGTACGATGACCGTGGATGGTGCCTGTGCCGTTGCTAGCCCCTGCAGCTCACTTTTCGTGCTTGCTCGGCCCGAGAGAAGGAAGTATCGCTGAATGTCATCTGCTCGCCCAGAAACGCATCTGCTAAGTCATTGACCTGCTATGAAACACTCTTGCGGGGGCTTGGCTATCTTGTAGTCGCCAAGAATCTTTACATTCAATCGTCAGGGTCTCTTGTCTGCCGGTTTGTCTGATCTTCAGCCAAGCACTCCTTCTGAATTTCGGCCCTGTCTTGGCTGTGCCTTGGCCGCATCCAATCCAACCCTCATCTAACATCGTTTCGTGTCCTGCGAGTGGACGGTGCGTGTGTGTGGGTGTGGTTGCTCCTCCCCCCCTCTGGCCCAACATCTCGCGGGGGACGAGTGACGGTCGTCTGTATTCCGCTGCACGAGTCATGCTGACTAGATGTCCATCCATTCCCCTGCCGACGGCCAAAGGGGCACGGCAGCAGTCTCTCCCTTCCCCCCGCCCTTTGGCTGCCTGACGCCAAGACCCGCACACAGGAGGACAGAGGCCGGGTGCGCGCGCGTCTCTAGTAAAGGCTCTGGCTCGCGGCTTCTCGGCGGAGCGGGCGGCAGACGCGCTCCGGGGCGGAAGAAGGGTTGCTGCCCCCCTGACAACGCACACGCAGGCAGGCAGGCAGGCACTGCGCCAGTCACACCAATCCCCCCCCGCCACACGGTCACTGTTTGTCTTGAAGCTCTGGGCCGACGGACAAGTCTCTCTGCCCCTCTCGCTCTCGGCAGACGCACACCCGCACACACTCACCCACACTCACACACTCACACACACTCCGTCTACTCTCTCGCCCAGCAGCAGCAGCAAAGGCCCTTCATCGTCTTACTCTAGACACCTTCTCCTTTTCTCCTACCCATCGTCCATACCCTCTCCCTCCCCCTCTCTTCTGCAGTTGCTCATTTGCTTACTCCTCTTTCACCTTCTCATCCTCTTGCCCACCCTCTGCCTTCTGCCTGCTCTTAGAGGGCACAAAAAACAACGCGTTCCGACACTGCACTCCTCTTCGGCAAGCCAGCCAAAAACAAATCTCACCGCCACTCTACCCTTCTCGGCCGATCCCAAACGGCAACGGCAAAGGCAATTCGGCAAAGCTAGGGCGTGGTACTCATAGACAGTCTACCCCTCGTCCTCACCCAAAGGATCTCCCGCGCATCAACCCATCATCCGCCGCACGGCCCTGACTCCTCTCACCACCTCTCCTAACATCCTTGTCTCCGCCCGCAAGGACAATACCACTCCTCTTTGGATATCCTGCACTCAGAGTCGTATAGCCTCTGACACAGCATCGCCATCCCTGCGCACCGCCGACTCTCCTTCATCCAGAATCCTTTTCCACACCCCACACAATGATCAGCACAATGCAATCTGAAGCCGGCCCATCTAGGATCTCACGGGTCTCCTCGCGGCCGTCTCCCTCCTCCTCATCCTCGCGGTCAAGGACGACTGCTGCTGCTGGCGTCGGGAGACAAGGTCGGATGGGAGAGCAGACAGAGGTGCACGAGGGATGTGTTTCGCTTGAGGCTGCCTCCTCTGCCGCGTCGTCGTGTTTGGCCAGCGAGCGAGCAGCCCCCCGCTCCGTCGCACGATCTACATCCTCCTCGTCCTTGTCACCGTCGAGGAGAACATCGTCGGCATTTGCGATGCTGCCCTTGCTAGCCACCTTGGCACTGGCACTGGCCATGATCAGCCGTGCTCCCATGCAGGCGTCGGCGCTAGCTGCTGGTGAAGCAAACAATATCACTTCTCTGATGGGAACATGGAGCACAGGCACTGCAAAGGTCTCCACTGGCATTGACTTCTACAATCCCGTGAACACCTCTTTCACCATCCCTGCGACTGCCGGTCAATCCTACAGCTTCACAGACGATGGATACTGGGAGGAGGCACTGTACATCTACACTGCCAACCCTGCCAAGCCATCCTGCGTGTCCGCCAGTCTCTTCTGGCAACACGGCACTTGGCAACTCAATGGCAACAACTCTCTCACCCTAACGCCCTTCAATGGTGACGGTCGTCAATTGACCGAGGACCGTTGCAGCTCAACTTCAACTACATCTGCTTACTACTACCAGCCAGAGTACATGCTCGGATTCGACATTACCCTCGATACCCACTTTGGGCGACCAGAGTACAGACTGCAACTCTATGCTTTCGATGGTGCCCTCAAGCCAGTGATGTGGCAGACGTACAACCCACCGCAGATGCTGCCGACGGAGCTCCTTGTAGAGACAATCTATGGAACGACGTCGTAGTCGCGCTGGTTCCAATGCAAGCATCAATGAATGCCTCATGGACGTGGACATTGGCATGCTGATGGACATGAATGTGGGCCAGGAAGGGGCGCTAGACTCGCAGGACTACGAGGCGCAGAAAGTAGCAGGCCAAGGGCCTCAAGCTGTGTAAATATACCGATCATCCCCCACCCCCCGCGCATCCACACCTTTCTCAAGTTTTCTAGGAACCATCAAGCTCGCTTCGAAGGACGAGGAATGGACCATGGCGTTATCCACGATGATGAGCAGCACGAAGGGATCTTGTGGCTTGTGAGCTCTTGGCTCTGCGCCGCTCTTCTTGCTCGAACCGACGCGATGCACCACCACACCGAGCTCTCCTTCAAGACTTCATCCAGGCTTTCCCTTTCCTCCTCGATCGTGCGTTTCTTCCCTCCCCAAGTCCTGGTCCCAGTCCTACTGCTGGTCCTGGTCCTAGTGGTGGTCCTGGTCCTGGTCTTTCCTGTAGTGATTGGACTAGGCTCCTCTGCTGCACTGCACTGCACTGCAATGCACTACAATGCAATGGTAGGGTTCGTTCGCTCAATCGCTCGCTCATTCGCAAAGTCCGGAGCAGGCATGCATGCAAGGAGCAGACGTTACGACACGACTCGACACGACACGGTAGGAGATCGACTCCATTTACATCTATTGCCACGCAGGCGCCGCCGCCGCCGCCGCCGACGAAGGCGCACAATACAACAACACAACAACAGACAATGCCTCTTTGCCTTCACCTCTACCCTTTTCTTGTCTCCCCTCCTACCCTTCCTCTCCCTCTCCTCTCTCAATCCTCTTCTCTTTCCCCTCCCCCCTTTGTCTTCCTTTCCTTCCTTCCTTTTCGATGATCCGTTGAATCTCATGCACGCACTCACTTCCATGAACCCAGAAAGAAGATCTGAAATGAAATGAAACTGATGCGGACGCTGATGCTAGGAGGCTGAAGCGAGCCTGAAAAGGGGAGAGAGAAGATGGAAGGATTGTCACCTCGTGATACCACCATCCCTCCCCTTGGTCCTTGGTCCTAGGTCCTGGTCCTTGTCCTGCTCTTGCACTCGCACTCGCACACGCACTCGCACACGCACTCGCACATGCACACGCAGTCGCAGTCGCACAGGCAGGCGCGCTCGTTGGATCGTGGTGCTCGGCCTGCTCTACTCTGGGCTGCTCTGAGATTCTGCCTCAGCATACAGGCCTCTCGATCACTCCCTCACTCACTCACTCGCTCCATCCCCCTTCCTCGCGGCCATGACCACACCCTCTGACCCTTTCAATCGCTCTGCGTTAGAGAGGACCGGTCGATCGACTCATCGGTCCATCCCTCGATCGATCCCTCGATCCGTCCGTCCGTCCGTCCATGCATGCATGCATGCGTCCTTGTCTCCTTCCTCTCCCTCCTCCTCCTCCTCCTCTTTTGGTTTCGTGTTTCGAGTTTCCCGGTTAGAGCAACTTCAAGCCAAAATGTAAAGTCAAGTCAGATGATCGTACCCCCCCGCTGCACGCACACGCCCACGCTGGATCCACCCAACCTATCCTTCATTCCCTCCGCCCGCCCGCCCCTCCCTTCCCCGCCCCCCGCTCCCCGCTTCCCGCTGCCATCGTCGCCGCCGGATGAGCAAAGCGGAGCTGTCTGTCCGGGATGTGATAGTGTCCATTGTCTGTCGGATCGTGGAGTGGAGAGGGTAGAGTTCTTACCTGATCTCCAAATTGAATTGAATTGAATTGAATTGAAGAGTTGAGCCGTACCCGGAGCCAAAGCCGGAGCTGGAGCCGGAGCTGTAGCTGTAGCTGTAGCTGTGATTGAAGCGTAAGCGGGCGTGTGGCTTTGTGGCTTTCTGGCTGACTTTTCTCTAGGGATCAGGATCAGGATCGGGAGAAATGGAGGGGGAGGGACTGTAGCTCCGGATGAAGTGGGGAAGTGGGGCAGCTGGGGGGGTGGGGGGGGGGGGGGGGGGGGGGGGGGGGGGGGGGGGGGGGGGGGGGGGGGGGGGGGGGGGGGGGGGGGCAGAGGTGGCTTGAGCGAAGGAGCGAGGGTGGTCAAACGGTCCAACTCCAGTCCAGTCCAGTCCGGTCCTCGGTTCAACTTGACTTGTCGAGAGAGATCGAGAGGTCAAGAGCAGGCGAGCAAGCAAGCGAGCAAGCAAGCGAGGTCCCGTGGGGGTGGGAATGATAGCGGATACAGTGCAGTGCAGTGCAGCTCAGCGCAGCGCAGCGCACTGCCCAAGGAGGGGGGCAGTCTATCATCCACGGCACCTCCGACTTGGCGTGGCATGGCGTGGCATGCCATGGGTGAAGCGAGGCGAAGCGAGGCAGAGCCAAGCCACAATCTCCACGATTACGCTCACCAGGCCAAACCACGTGAGCGCAAGGCAAGGACCAGCAACCCATTGACTGGCAGTGCTCCCCATCCCCCCCTCTCTCTCTGTGGGGATGAGCAAGGGAGAGAGTGGCGTCCTCCCCTCGGAGCTGAGACATTTCAGTTGTTTCCCCCTTCTCTCTTCTGTTTCCCCTCCAACGGGTCAACCTTGCTCTTGATCAAAGCAGGAACCATGTGATAGACTAACTCCACCCGACATCGGTGGATTGCACTGCATTCCCCTGCACTGCACACCCCGCTCGCCCCTCTGTAAACTGGATGGCTTGGCGGGAGGCAAGCGAACAACCTCAGCCTCAACCTCAGCCTCAGCCTTGTCACTACCCCTTACTCGGGACCCTTGTGCCGTCCTAGTCTAATATCCTACCTCCGCTGCCATGTGCTCAAAGGTCAATCTCCGCTTCCTCCCCCGCTTCCAATCCCCGCTTCGTACCCCTCTCCCCTCCCACACCTCCGGAGCGGAGCGGAGATGAGATTGAACGAAGCCAGATGGAAAACAGGATAGCCCGCGGGAAGATTACCTTTTTCTTTGTCCCTTGTCCCCTTTGCTTTTCCTTTTTGATTCCTGAGCCCTGAGACGTGCTTCTTTTTTTGGGTTGGGACTTTGCCAGTCTGTCGGGTTTGCCCCGACTTGCTTTTTCTCCAAGGGACGGAGAGGGTTCCGGACAATCCGATTGTCGGGGCTGGCGACGGGATTTGAGGTGCCGTCTTACGAAAAAGAGGCGAGAAAAAAGTGAAAAAAGTCGAGCCGAGAGAAGAGAGAAGGAAAGCCGATGTCGGATGAGAGGGGGAAAGACAGAAGAGGGTGAGACAGGACAGGTGACCATGACTGCCACAGAGGAAGATGTTGTTGCGAGCGCGACTGCGACTGCGATTGCGATTGCGAGATTAACGAAGTGGTTATGTAGTACATGAGGATATTACAAGGAAGCTTTCGATATTAGTACAAGTCAGGTCTCATGGTAAGCTCGAAGCGCTCTGCTTCTTTTTTGGGTTGGCGGCCTGCATTGGCGGCCGCTGCTGCTGCTGCTGCTGACCTATTCTTGAATATCTTCTTGTGTCCCTTTCGACCGTCTCGACTGCCTCCCCATTGACTGATCTGGGTCCGCTTCTCAATGATCTCCCGAACTACGGCTGCCTTCATAGTCAGATGCTCATCAGCCACCTCCTCAAAACCCCGTCCTCTGCGCCTGTCGACGTCCCTTGTGTGCTACCGTCCAGACGTCGCTCAGCAGCTAGTAGTAGTTCCCACCGGCCACGATTGCGCAAGAAGACGCCCCTGAGTACCTCCCAAGCCTGTCGATCCGGGTCTGCAGCAGCCTGGGCATTCATACTGCCCCGTCGCTGTCCACGCGTGGCTCCCTGTGGTGTAAAGTTGAGGCCGTAAATTGCCAGTTGCTGAAGACGAGCCATATCTCCTAGCTCCTTGAGGCGGAGACGCTTCTTATAGGCTGCTCCTTTGGAAGGCCAGGCTGTTGACGAGTCGGAGAGATTGAACGGAGTGTGCTCCAGCTGTTGCGCCAACGACATCATCGCCTGATTTGACGATGTGTTGAGGGCTTGGGAAGAGCCCAGAGCGGACAGGGAGGGAGACATCCTTGCCAAGCTAGGAGAGGCTGGCAACTGTGCTGCAGCAGTCAAGGGCGTGGAAGAGCCACTGTTCATCTGACCTTCCTGGTCTTCCTCCATTAGCTTAGTGCGAATCAGCTCTGCCAGAGTTGTGTGTGCAAAGGGCTCTGCGTGGTTGGCTGAAAAAGTTGCCAACACAGCTTGAAGGATAGTGCGCAAGCCCTTGCGCTGCTCCCTTACTCTGGCCTGATATGCCAATACACGTGAAAGGGTCTGCATCGCGGCCCCCGGTCGAGTAGATGAGCTAGCCTCATCAGCAGAAGATACCCCTCCCGGGCCGCGTGAGCCTTGAGAGGCTCCTCGCTGGCGACCACCTTGCGTTGCTCCACTGACAGTTCGCATCCTCGTGCGCCCTTCCTGCTGGGGACGCCTCGAGTCGGACGTCTGGGGATTGGTTCGAGCCTGGGGACCCTGCCCTTGGTTGTAATACCCAGATGACCCTGGGGGATACGATGGCGAAACGGGAGAGGGCAGAGCGAACCCGGATTGCGACGCAGTCATGGGCAAGGCTCCAGCAAAGAAGTGGTTGGTCTGCGAGTGCGAGGACGACCCACTGGGACTGGGGAGCAGGACGCTAGGAAGGGTAGGAGGAGTCCATGAATGACCAGAGGATGAAGAGGACGAGCCGAGTCGTTGAGGAACATTGCGCTGCATATGAGGATGCTGCTGCTGCTGCTGCTGCTGCTGTAAATATTGTTGCTGCTGTTGCATTTGCTGCTGTTGAAACTGCTGGTGGAGCTGTTGCTGCTGCTGTTGCTGTTGTTGTTGTTGTTGTACTTGCTGTTGTTGTTGCTGCTGCTGCTGCTGTTGCTGCATCTCTAGCCGTTGATAGTATGGATCACCTCCATCGTCGCTCACGAACTGCGACTGATATGTGTTCGGCTCGCCAAGACGAAGATAAAGCAGCTCATCGCCCTGGTCCTGTTCTTGAGCAGTCCCTCGTGCGGATTCGCCTGCGTAAGCATGCGGCCCAAAGTAGTCGTCCAGAACGTTGTCGATTGGGGAAGAAAACAGGGCGTGGGGAACGTGAATTGGGCAGCTCAAGGGCGGATCCGCGAGTTGTGAGGATTGGAAGCCGGCCTCTGTAAAGTTGGGGTTGAGTGACCTAAGCGGGAAGTCAAGTGAGGGCCGAGTAGTTGTACGCAATGCCGGAGAGAGAGCGTCGCCTCCGCCCCCAAAGGCAGGCTTACTCTGTTGATGTGGATCTTGAATGGTCTCCTGCATCTTTGCCGATGGTGATTGCATCGGTAGTGCTGATCCCACTGCAATTGCTCCTCGCCTTTGTTGAGATGCGATGCGTTGAAGGAGTGGCGCTCCCGCGTACGTGTCCTGCCAGTCGTTACTGACGGGAGTGATGACGGACTGTCTGCTCGGCTGCAGCACTGAAGGAAGTCCGCTGGGCATTGACTGCGACTGCTCCTGCCAAGATTGAGACGCCGGTGCTTGAGGACCTCCAAGGTGGGAGGAGCCCTCATGCATCAACTGTTGTTGGTATCTCGGGGGATACGGCGAGACCTGAGGCAGGTAGTGTGCACTCGGCGAAGGGGCGAGCGACGAGGGATCAGACGAAGAAGCAGGCGTAGAAGACGACGCAGATGCGCTTGCCGGCGTCTCTGCCATCCAAGGCGCATCATGGCGCGGCCGATGGGGATCCATCTGTGCAAGGAAGGCCGACCGGAGGTCGCAGTCGTAAGGGGATTGCTGGTATTTAGGCAGGTAGGTATCGAAGTGCTCTTGTGGAGCAATGCTTCGAATGTGATCAGATGGCAGTATCGTGTGTGTAGACAGGCATAACATCTGCTCAGCACAAGGAATGAGTCTGACAACTGGAGGCTACTGATAGGCAGAGTGAAGTGTTGTGCAGGGAGCAAGAGGGCTACGTCGATGAAGGAGGGAAAGCTGTGAGCAAAGGGAATGGGAGAGAAGGAGAGAAGGATGATATACAGAGCCAAGCGTCATTTCCGAGGCGAGGCGAACCTGACCAGGGCCACAAGCAAGAACGATGTTGGACCGGCGAGGACCACCTAGCCGACGTAGCATCCTCGAGAACATCGGTACGAGCTCTGTACTCCGCCATGCTCGCTGATCTCCCATGCACCATTAATTGGGCGGAGATACTTGGTCATGCGCAGATGCGTAAGAGGGAAGTGCCTAGGCTGTATTTCGTAGGTACGGTCTGAGCCTCATGCAGATGTACCTCGGCACCAGAATAGGTAGGGAGTGGGCATGGGTCCTTGGCTCCTGCGCCACGGGCTCCCCTTGCCTGGGTACTACCCCCTCCCCCTATCTAGCCTTTCGTAGTCAGCGATAGCAAGCAGCGGTCCTGCTCTTGAAAAAGCCACGAGGCAGAGTGCAAAGCTTCTTGAGGAGTCTGAGCCTCAGCAGAGATGCCCACTGGGTCCTTTCCTGCCCGATGTGGACCATTGGCAGCGTGCCTCTGAGCCTCTGAGCCCCGCCGTCGCCTACCTGCCTCACCCACCCAGGCGCGGCGGAGTGGGCCCCCTCTCTCGGAGCCACGACGCCACGCCATTCGCACGCTCGGTACCCGAGCTCAGGCGTGGAAAAATAAAAAAGTCCGGGGCTTGACGCAACAGAGGTCAGCAGGCCCAACCAAACACAAATGGCCATGGTGCCACCCATAGCGCTCCTCTGCCGAGTCGCCCTGCCCCCGATGCATCACTGGACTTCGTCGAGGAGATGGAGAGAGAAGAGGGGAAAAAAATGACCCGAAAATGACAAAATACAAAGCAGCGTCAGAGAGCATAGCAACCAAACACTATCGATGAACGAGAGCGGGCCCCAGAGCGCTGCAGACAGCTCTTGTGAAGTGGGGACTTTGAATTGCCCCACCTTGGAATTCTCGCCTTGGCCTTTGCACCACCAGCACAACCCTTGTAGAGTAGCACAGGCGCATCAGTCTTGGGCATGATGCAAGAGCCAGGAAGAGCATGCCGATGGTCACCTTCACGTCCTCGGTTAGCAAGACACCTCGGCAGGCGAAAAGCGGAACAACGAAGCTCTACCTCCGGACCTGAGCTCGAAGGCTATACGGTACTGTCAACAGAACCCGCTGATGTGGATCCATGAGCGGGGCGTAGATGCACACACCAAGAGGCTTGACCGACGTGGGGGGGAGGAAGAGCAGAGCTCCACAGTGAAGGGTGTTCGCTCTCGCTAAATCATACCTTGCAGGCGAGCGGAGACGTCAGCAATCCTTTACGGCTGACTTTGCGTTGGGAATCAGTCGGGATCGTAAGGTTTAGGCACATAAATGCTTTCTCTTGCCCCCTCCTTTTGAGCCCATGGTACCCCTGCACTGTATACTAGCTCCGAACGAAAAGGTATGTGGCGCCCGCGTGAGCAAGGCAAGGGGGGGGGCGGGGGTCCATGTACAGCCCGGTGATCTGATATGTCCATCGGAGGTTCACAGCTTACAAGTACACCCGGGCTGGGCGTGAAGCCTGTCGGGCCGCGATGAAGGAGCGCACATCGGAGTATCACGCCAGGATTGTAACGCCTATCGATTGGCGAGGAGGGTTCGCATTGTACATGTGCAAGGTAAGCCTGCCGTGTGCCGAATATACGTCACTCGGAACTTCGGGACTTTGATCACCTCGCGTCGGAGAACATGTCTTTCACGAGATCATGCTCCACCTCTCCCCATGCTGTGGCAGCAGTGTAGACTCGAGAAGAACTGCTCGAGGAGAGGCTCCGGAGTGCCGGAAGCAAATCAGCCAAGGATCCAATCTGCCGGAGTGAGAGCATGTGGGGACAACGCCCCCGAGTAGGAGAAGGAATGGCGGAGGTTGGGGTTGTTGCCAATCTTTCGTTGGGCCGCGGCTGCTGTACATCGTCAGGCAATACGAGAAGACGAGAAGACTATACGATGATCAGCAAGCACTCCTGCTTGTGCTGCGAATCGGCGTGAACTCACCACCGACGATGACTTTGCCCGCCGTTCTTCGATTGTAGCTGCAAGGCGAGGCAGCAGAGGCGCCTCCATCGATTCGTCGCTGCCTAGAGCAACGTCATCAACGAAGATCCATTGATGGCTGTGCGGGAGAGACGAAAAGGGAATTCGTGCCGGTCAGACGTTGCCTTGGTCCCTCGGCGCCACGTTGCAATGCTCACAGTTGGAAGCCATCTGTCTCTAGAGTGAGCAACAGATCGAGGAATTTGCATGCCCCTAAGACTACTTGTAATAGATCAGTCTCATCATCGGAAGGTGGCTCCTCGATGGTGCTCTCGAAGAGCCGCATCTGCATTGGTGGACAAAAACCGCGTCAGATCCTTTGTCCCCATTTTCTCTCTTCCTTCGCGAACTTCCGAGGGCTCTGAGTCACCCATTGTCTGCAGACTTACCAATTCAGTGATCAACAGGGGCCACAAGGTCGCTAGATGCTGAGAATTGAATCGACAGAGCATCACTCTGAGGCAGAGGTACGCTTCCGCTCTGAGTAGGTCTAAGCCGTTTCCTTCCACCCCACCACTCCCACCACCACCACCTCCTCCTCCGCCTCCCGCACCAGCTTCCACACCTCCTCTTAAGATCTCGACCAGCTTTTCAAGAATAGCCGGCAATTGAGGTAGAAAGTGCTCGTGCCCAGCCGCGTACAAGACGAAAGACAGCCTACGAATGTTCATCGCTTTGCCGATATGCTCCGTCCTCCTGTTGGCAAAGATGTTCATGTTTGTTGACGTTGTCACACTGATACGCGAGATGAGCTCGAGGAAAGATCCCTTGTCCTGAGAGTAGCAAGTCACCAATATAGGCTCACACCAGCTCTGTCCAGACTCGGCAGACATCTGGAAGAACCTAGCATCGAGAAAGGCATCGAGCAGACAAGACCGCAAGGCTTTGCGAGCGCCGGATATCTTGGAGACCTCTGTTGCCAACGCCAAGACTGTTGAGTCTACGCTACCTTCAAAGGAGCGAGCCTTTGTCTTCAAAGGCGGGGCGATGATGTAGTATACGGCATTCGATGCAGATGTTGCAACCCTCTCGGGGTCGTTAGACGCTAGTTTCCGGAGGGTCGGCAAGGCATATTCAGCAAGGTAAGTAGCAATATCGCGGGAGGCGTGGGGAACCTGGGCATTAGTCTTCTCATCCATGGTCTCTCCAGCATGATCCCTCGCTTCCCTTCCAGCAATCAGGACACAGAGATCGAAGAGCCGGAGGTGCGTTTCTTGCAGATCCCTCCTTGCCTTCTTGTCTCCCTCCCATGCGCTGTTGCCAATCAAGCGCTCTGCCAGGACTGTAAAGCATCGAAGGGCAGGAAACAGATGCCCTTTGTGGGCGGCACTATTCGCCAACAAGTCCTTGACGAGTACGAGCACGACTGGGCAGACTCCTGCTGCTCCTCCAGGGGACATGTGCGACAGATAGGCCTCGATATACGACAGGAGAGTGTCGGCTGTCACGATCTGATCGGGTGTCCACGTCGGACGTGCAGAGCCTGGTGCTGGCAAGCGAGAGGAGACCGTATCGCAGAGAAAGGTCACGACGATCTGAGGGCTAGGGACAAGTTGGTCAAGGAGTTCCATCGAAGGAGATCCGTCTTGGTTGTCTTGCCTTCGCACCCGCCAACAATCCACAAGAGTCTCAGCTACACCATCGGAGTGCGCCCTGTAGAGCCTCTCAAGCATCCGCGAAGCTCTTGTCTTAACCTTGTCGTTCACAGCGGTGCCTGTCCAGATGTCGTGCAGGGTTGTGACTACCAGTTGCAAAGCTTCCAGAGCTTTGCTAGTCGTCTTCGCGACATGGTCACCTGAGTAGAGCGGCGAAGCATGACCATCACCACCAAAGATACCAGAGACATACCCTAATAGTCCCGAGCCGGCCGACTGATGGTCCTCGGGTCGCGAGGCTTGCTGCTGCTGGAGGCTACTCCCGTCATCGATGCCAGTTCCTGAGCTGCCGATCTCGCTTTTGGCTGTCGCAACCGGAAGCGGTAGAGCTATACTCGGACTGTTGTAGACAGCATCTCCTACGGACTCGTGTTCTGCACGCCCAGGTGGAATTCCGCCAAGCTTGCCTGCACTTAGTCCCAGCATGGCCACCTTCTCAAGAGCATTGAGCAGTAGCAACTCTTCCGTGTCGATCCATCGTCCTGGCTTGCGCAAATGGTTGCAGATGCATCCTCCAAGGGGTATCAGGAAGGCGTCCACTGCTTGACGGTAGATGCCTGCAGTCATCACTATGAAATCGACCCAATGGGCCAAGCTTGGCCGTGTAGAATCAGTACCGATAGCAGCATCGACCGTCGGCAGGAGATGTGGATGCGGCTTTGTTGAATTGTTGGCACTGGCCTTTCCAGCGATGACAGTGTGCAGGATGAGGAGCAGCTTGTGATGGTCATTGGCTTCGTGCCTTGCGATGCTCACAAGCAGTCGATTGATCAGACATTCTTCAACTTGTGCCAGTCGTTCCGGAGCCAGTCCGCTGCGTGCAGCAAGCGTCTGCAGGAAGTCGATGCATACACTGTGGGTAGCAGCATTAAGAGACCTGAAGAGCGGCGACGAGGGAGATCCTGAATGCCCACCCGTTCGTAGTGAGAGCACAGCGACATCGATAAAGCCGTCGAGGTGGGTTCGAAGGGCGTTTGTTCCAGTGATCACCGATGCCTTGGCGCCTCTGATGAAACCAGAGGCGCCATATCGAGCCACTGCAGCTAATCTAGCGAGAGTGTGATTGAGTACTTCGTGGTCAAGCCTGTCTTGGTATGCAAGATCCTCTACTACCAAGTCGCTTGCGCAAGAGATTCGGTTCACAGTCCTTCGTACCTTGATTGCTCCTGCAGAGATGATCGATGAATACAGCAGTACCAGGAGAGGTGTGTACGATCGAAGATGCGACCGTAGCCACGACTCTGCGGCCTGACGACGATCGTATTCGTCGCTGCTGAGCATGTCCAACAAGCAAAATAGCGGGGAACTCAGAGCGCCCGACTGCAAGCGATGATCATCGCTGAATCTCCAGATGCTCGCAAATCCTTCGGAGCTAGAGACGAAGCCTGGCGAAGACGGCGCTTTAAGGAAGCCTGCAACGATACGCCCCGGTAACAGTCCGACCTCGCAGACGTCATTCACCTGCCATACGAGTTGCGTAGCGACAGCAGCTTCGGACGGCGGGCGATTTCGTCCCATAGCTTGGGTCAATCGATCAATGATCAGGAGAGCCGAAATGTCTGATCCCGAAGACGGATATTGAGCAAGTCTTATGCGCTTGTCTAGCCCTCCACACGTCGCAGCTGCCAGCAGCGTAGTGACGACTGCCTCCAGGTCTGGAAACAGAAGGTCAGAGGATGAGAGACGTACTATCACCAATTCTAGCCAGGCTTGAGGCTGCCAATGAACACGTTCCGAGCCTTCCATAAATTCGAGCCTCTGAATCTGACCAGTCAGCAGCCTGCAAGACGGTATGACTAGCCTAGACATTCCGCCGGCTCGAAGGGCTGCAATGGCTACTTCCAAGGTGAGCAACAGTAAGCTTGATTGATCTTGGACAGCGTAGAGGTCGATTGGGGCGCGAAGTCGTTCAGCGTCATTCGAGACCGAAGCCGCGTAGAAGTTGCGAATCTTGTCGAGGAGACCAGAAGCAGACATTGGATATCCCGCGGGTTCTAAGCTGCCGTTCGCTGCCACATGTGTAGTGCGCGGTATAGAGTAGGAGAACAGCAGTCTACAGAGGTCGATGGAGCGTGAGAGACACTCGATCGCTTTCGCATCGGAAGTGATTGCCCTTGCTACGAGTGCGAGCAAAGCCACTGCTAGATTAGGCAGATGCACTGTCTTTGAGTCGTCGTCCTTGAAAGTAAAGTGGGTGAGAACAAATTCAAGGAGCAAAGTAGCAGGCGCTTCGATCGCCTTCAGGGCAGTTGTAGTTGCTGTATCACTTGACGAGTCCAACAAAAGAGGTGCTTGCAAAATCGACGTCCCGTCCAATGGGTCCTGACTCAATTCGACCTGCAATTCCGCAATCAGGCTGCGGGCGAGGATCGCCTTGTCAAAGGCATCGAATAAAGTCCCTGCCGTTGTGAGAAGCTCGCTGGCTTGGAGCTGTGCCGAGTCTCCGCCCTTGAGGTCCTCTACTTGCCACCGCAGAGCTCTGAGCGAGTCCAGCGCCAATGCAGTCGTCAAGCCTGCGCCTACTGCCCACTTGTCTAATAGCGAGAGAAAGATACGATAGGGTCTCTGGCGACTGGACAGCTCTTCTGCAGAGGCTGGTAGCTTGTGAGGAGTCAATGGGGGTGGGCCGCTCGAGAGAGCTACGGGCCCCTGTGAGACCATGTCCTCGAGCAGTGCTCGCCTTAGTATTTGAAGACCATATGTCTCGAAGTATGCCACCTCCTTCTCCTCCTCTTCTGATCTTAGGTCTTGAGGATTAGAGGTAGTCCCACACAACCATCCCCATAGTCGCCGGTTAAGGCTCAATTCTCTCCTCAGTAGTATCGTGACTGCGCTCCTCATCACCCTGGTCTGCTCTTCCTCAGGAAGTATCGCATAAAGATGCGAGTCAAGATATAGATGCTGTATCAGAAGGTCCAATCCACCGCGGACTATCAGGAGATCTTGAGAGGTCAACAGAGATGACACCGCCATAGGTAAGCCAGCGAGACGGACAGGTGGACGTGCAAGGCCGGAAAGTCCCCTTGAGGGAGGACTCCGTTTGACCAGGAAGTTGATAGCAGCTTGTCGCACATTAGCGTTTCCAACAATGACCGCCCACAGAGCACTCCAGAAGAGGTCCTCCCCTACACGCTGCTGCAGAGAATCCAAGAGTCGTAATGTGCGATCGAAGTTCTCAGCCCCCTCTTCCTCGAGACCTGGCAGTACTGCAAGTACAAAGGCTCGACATGTAGGTTTCAGATCTTCTTGTAGAGGAAGATAGAACTCCTCCAAGAGCGAGAGGACCACTGGCCGCGTTGAGGTGTTTGCACGCTCGAAGAACGGAAGCAGTCCAGGAGTCCATATCGAAAGATCGCGACGCAGGCCGTCAAGGGACAGGAGGATGAAGATTTGACGATACACAGCTAGAGCTCTGTGGTGAACGCCGGAAGGTAGTGCTGGATTCAGGCACTGAGAGAGTCGCTTGGAGAGGAGAAGGGAGCGCGGGATGAGGGAGGTAGGTACGGGCGGAGGCGCAGAGAAGATCTTCTCTAACCTGCCCAATGCTCCCACAAAGTCTGCCCACTCAGCAACGGAATCGAAGGATGCTAGAGCTCTATCCACGAGGGATGTATACTTGCGATAGCGAGCATCAGACAGCAGGGCTGAGCAGACGAGATGGGCAAGGAAAGGTAAACGCAATTGCACAGGATACTATCCAAAGGCACTGCTCTGCCTGCGCCTCTGTTCTGCATTGCGCTCTTTCTACGCTACTCACCCTTCTCACTTTGCCTGCCCCACTCTCTTTCCGCCTTTCGAGCCTGCGCCGACTTCCAATTATGATCTTCACGGTGTTCGCTGACGCTGACCGAAGCAGGAGACACAGCAGCTGACACGCCCGCCTTTGGCATCGGTCCCGCCATCGGCCTGGTGGTACTCCCTGGTCTCCCCGCGCTGTTCGGCAAGGATGGCGTCGTGGGGCGGGAGATGGTGGAAGTCAAAGAGGCTACCGATCGAGCCAGAAGAGAGGAGGAAGAGGCCTTGCTGCGCAGTGCAGGAGCGGATGAGGGCGGTCTGGCCGAGGTAGGTTGCAGAGGGGAGCCATCGGAGCGACTCGAGCTGGGCTCTGCGGGTTGCAAGGCGGCATCCCGATGTGAGGAGGGAGAAGATGGTAGCGATACCATCGCTCTGTACCGCAGAGATGCCAAGGATGGCAAGGATGCTGTATCCAGTCGCAAGGATGTGAGCGAGGAATGGTAGGAGTTCGTTTTGAATAGAGTAGGATCGGACAAGGGACCTGCAGCATGCACAAGCCAACGCCTGCGTCTTTCCGCTCCCGCTACTCCGCCTACTCGCTTTCACCACGACCATGAGCCATACTAGTACAGGGATCTGCTGAGAGCAGCAATGTCACACCATGCTGGCAGCAGCGATCGAGAAGCCTCGGAAGATTACAGGATAAACACCGTTTCATTCGATGGTCGTGAGGAGTCAGCCTGGTCCATGGTCATTATGCATCACGTCCCTCGATCCTCTCCGCTACCTCGCCTCTGTGAATCATGCCTTCTACATCTGCAATGCCCATGCTAGCCAAGATGCCTCCAGAGCTGATAACTGCCAAGACAAGCCAGGCCAAATATCCCTTCAGTAGTTGTTGCTGGAATGTGATGCTGAGTAGGGTACTGAAGGTTAGAGGCCCAATGGCTCGCATCGCACTCGATGCCATTTGGGCTAGGGCATTCAAAGTCCCTAGACGGACAGTGGCGAAGAGGGAGGCAGACTGATTGACGAGCAGCATGTTGCTTGCGAAGCCAAAGGAGGCAAACACTTTGAGGAGATTTGAAGCAACCACTGCAGGTGCCGGAGAGTACATCTCAATCTCAGTATTCTGCTCGCCATCGCAACTTTGCCTGCTGAACACTGGACTCACCAAAGCCCCACACACCCACTTCACTACCGGCCACACCGCCTTCGAGATGACGACCTCTTGCCACCACGTTCGCCATTGGCAATGTGATAACGCTGAATGGCAGAAGCATCAGCGCGAAGCGATATAGTCGCAGTGTGCCCAATTGCCTTTGCAGACGGGGGAACATGCCGATTTGAGCCACAGTGCCGACCGCTCCCGCCAAAGAGAGAATCAGTCCCGTTTGCGAAGGCTGCAACGACAGCCCACCGATATTAATGGGCTCATACTGTTCAAAAGGGGCCCACAGAGATGACATGAGTCAGTCACTGCTTGGAATCAAGACGATGCGCCAAGCCCTAGCACTCACAAAGAACAAGATCTGCATCGCATCTAGCCCCACCATGACCAGACTAAGGAATGCCTGTGTTACAAGAAGTCTCTGGATATGAGGCGTTCTGATAAGGCTCGTGATACTGCCACTGTTTCCCTCGGGATTATCGTTGCGAACAGAGGACTCAGTATCATCTGTCCTGTCTGCAGACTCCGTGCGACTGGATGGCTCTTGCTGCTCCTCTAGCCTTGCAGTAGCTGCAGCGGCAACATTTCCGTTCGAGCCTTGCCTAGCGTTTGCCCCGCTATGCGGACTGGCGGCTCCACTGGCTGTCGGTGTGAAGCCAGAGTAGAAGGAGCTCACTCTCCCTACGCGGCTCCTGAAGCGCGGCTGCTTCTGCTTCACCGAGACAGGCGATGCGCTGCCTTCGGAATCTTCAGTCCTCTCGTGTGACCTCTTGCGTTGCTTGACGATCTTCGGAAGGGTTTCGGGAAGAAAGAAGAGGCCGAATATGACCGACAACGACGCCAAACTGCCAGCGATGGAGCATGGGAGAAAGTAAGGATACTTCTCCCACAGACCTCCCAGCCCAAATTTGGCTCCTTTTGAGAACCAGGTCGGGTATTGCTGCGCAGGCTGGGCAAGGAAGCCGCCAAGAGCCGGACCTATTGTTACACCAATGCCCCAGCAAATGCTCAAGCTGGAGAAGGCGATAGGATGGTGACGAGAGGGTACCAGCTCTGCCAATGCCGATTTGACGCTGAAATGATTTATGCAGCGACCATTCAGCAAGTCTGTCTCGGGTTTTCTGCCTGACATTCATGACTCACACAGCTACATTGCCATTGAGAGCACCTGACAGGCATCTTGCAACCACTGCCCACCAGAAGCTCTTGGAGAGACCAAAGAGGACAATACTCAGGGCCGACCCTGAGAGACCGCAGAGCAGAATAGGCTTCCTGCCTCTCTTGTCGGACTGTCCACCCCAGAAGAGCAAGGTAAAGCACTGCGTTGCCATGAACAGGCTCTCGATGAGTCCGGCCCACAGTCCCACGTTGCTGTCCTCCCCCTTGAGCTCTGCCACAAGTGGATTGATGAAGGGGAAGATGATGCTAAAGGATATGGGCTCCGATAGACGTAGGACCATCAGGACCAAGAAGGGGAAGAAGGGAAAAGGCTCCTCCTCTTGCTCCTTTGGCTTTGGAAGGAGCGGTTGACGCTCGTCTGAGTCGTGGCCATCTTGTGCAGTGCTGCTCTGCCTTTCCTCACTGGAAGGCATCGCTTACGCTACGTTGATGATGCTGTCTCGCTGTGACTGAGGTACAGTCTACCAGCTGATGGGAAAGGAGATGTTGCAAGAAGTGGCGTGGTTGAAGGCTTACCGAGTCATGCTGCTGCTGCTGAGGGAACGGAAGTGGAATTAGGCGAGCAATGCACATCTTCTCTGGGGTCGGGTCGGAAGCAGGACGTGGGAGCCCCGCATTCCCTCCTCCGCCCCTCGTCCATCCCTAACCTCCTCGCCGCAGAGTGACAATGATACCTCGCAATGAGGTGCAAAGAGGTAGGATAAACAGAATGCAACGTCCAAGAACGCGGCACACTCTAAGGTCTTGCTGCTTCAGTAGGGCACACTCCGCCTCGGAGAGCTCCCTCACGTGCTCGACCGTGTGTCTCGCAGCCGAGGCTTCCTACTTCATAGTAGCAGCGCTCGATTGATGGCCTCTATGCGTTCTGAGCCCATACCTTGAGACGTTGCTCTTGCAGAATGGGCTCCTCATGCGACCTTCGCAAGAGTGCTTGGCAGGCCAGCACAGCAATGGACAAATGTCTCAGCTAGACTTCCTCTTCAGCCAGTCCCTCCTCATGATACTCCGGTCCACCGCTTCATCAAGTCCAGTCAGCGAGCACAGAACTGGCCATGGACAAGACTATGCGGCGGCGAACCTATTAATCGTCTATGCTCTCTTGGCGACAGAAGTGGCCCAGGCGAGCGTGAGGAGCGTTGACGCAGATGACGCCAAGCCACGCAACTCGCTGATTCGTCTGAAATCAGGGTTTGAGCTTCCGCCGCGAACTCTCCCTGTAGCCTCCCTCTCTTCAGTCTGCTTCGCGTTAAGTCTTGGCAGCGGGACCCACTATGGTGCCACCGCAGACTTGGCACTCGATGTGGACTTCCCATCAGCACAATGCAGGTCAGCTCAGGGTCGAGAAGAATGACTTCCCTTATCACTCCCAACCCGAGGCCCATCGAGGTGCTTCCTTGCAAGAACACTCCACTTCTAGAGACAGACTCAGACAAGGATGGGGGCAACGTCACTGTTACGCAGGGTAGGTGGCTGGCTTGCACCACCACCTCCAAAGGCGTCCGATGGTCGTGACCAGTGGCCATCTAGAGCAGCCTTTCTGCTCGCAGCAATGGGCGGATGTGCGGGTCAGGGTAACCTGCTACGATATCCTTCGGTCGTGTACAACAATTACGGTCTACAGTGGTTCATCCCCTACCTCTGCGCCGTTCTGTTCATCGCCATCCCAGCCCTAATCCTCGAGATAGCAGTGGGCCAAGCCTACCGAGGTGGTACGGTCATCGCCTTTAACAATGTCCACCCACGGCTCAAGGGCGTGGGCATCGGTCCCGTCCTGGTCAGCTTCATCGTCGTACAGTACTTTACTGTCAATTTAGCTTGGATCATGGTCTACTTTCGCCACTCTTTCACAAGTCCATTGCCATGGGAAGGTAGACTGGAATCATTCTACAACGAAGACGCCCTCGCCAATCCAGCGCCCGTCGGTGGAGAATTGTCTGCAGACATGTCGAGTGTATTGTCCTATGTCACATACCCAGCTAAAGCCCTAGTCGGAGAGACGGTGGGATGGAGCGCTTTTGTCTGGTTCCTCATCTGGGGCAGTATCTTCCGAGGTGTGGGCATGACAGGTCGAGTCGTCTACTTCACAATGGGACTGCCCATTGTTACTACGATCATCTTCGTAGGCAGGTCCCTCTCATTGGACAATGCCGGCGAGGGGGTGAGGCTCCTCTGGGCTACCTGGCGCGGAGATCAATTGGCCTCTGGAACCGTGTGGCAGACGGCGGTAGGCCAAGTCTTCTTCTCTACTGGTGTGGGATTCGGCTACTTCACCTGCTATGCCTCGTACAACAAGAAGCACTCAAACGCAGTCCTAGACGCCATCCTGATCTGCGGTAGCAATGTCCTCTTTGAAAACTTTGCAGCTTTCGCCGTCTTTGGTGTAGTAGGCTATCTTCGCCGCTGGCCGCAAGATGGTGTCCGTCTTGGTGCCTTTGTAGTAGGTTTCTTCACCCTGCCCGAAGCAGTCATCCAGATGCCAGGTGCCAACTTCTGGGCAGTCTTGCTCTTCTTTACGCTCATCGTTCTAGGATTCAGTTCCGCCTTCGTCATGTTGGACGTAGTGGCCACACTTCTAGTCGATTCGGGCTTGAAGTGTTCTAGACCAACCATCGTTACTGCTCTTACGCTGGTGTGCTTCCTGATGTGTCTGCCGTACTGCACCGAATTTGGCTACTATCTCCTGGACGGCGTGGACAGGTGGATCAACAATGTCGTTCTCATCTTTGTCGTATGGGCAGAAACAGTCAGCGCCAGCTCTGTGTATCGCTACAACGACGTAGTCAGTCAGACTGGCGCGCTCAGCTTCTGGATCTACAATGGTGGCTATCTCGCCGGGCACATCTTGGGCATCGGGCTCGCTCACGGCATCAGCAGTCCAGGCGCAGGAGCCGGAGCCGGAGTGGGACTCTGGGCCGTTTGTACCGTCCTGGCTACTTTTCTAGCACGACCCCAGGTAGAGTCCCACCTCGAGGTCCGTGCACCTGGCTTCTGGGGAAGGAACAAGTTCACCTCACGCTTCTGGTTCCTGGCCTTTTACTCTGGCAACCAGCTCCGTCGCGACCTAAACGTCATCATAGGCGGTGGACGCAATTGGAGCATCCCTTTCTTCCTACCAGTCCTACTGAGGTACGTCAGCGGGCCCGTCCTGGTCATCATCCTCAGCTTTGCCTTTCCTGAATTTCACACGCTGAGATACGACCCGATGATGATCGCTGGGTTCATCCTGTCGATCCTCTGCCTTGCGGCTATGCTGGTAGGCTTTGTCATGCCGAGGTACTATGATGTCTTTATACCTGCTTCGAGGAGGCATGAAGGGCTAGAAGAGACGTTTGTCAATGAGACCAGGTATGAGAAGGCAGATGCCGGAAAGGATGGGGATGTCGAGGTGACTGTCACAATGGTAGATTCCAATGAGGTGTAGCGAGGGTGAGACAGACTTAGAGGAATGTCGGGGCCGCTGAAATAGAAGTGTAGCTGGAGCAGTTGTTGGGAGACTTTTCACGCATGACTCTGGCTGCACTGAAATACTTGAGTGAGACTGGCAAGCAATGGTGCTAGCGTCTGTGGTGTGCTCTTCTCAGAGCTCATGGATGCTTCCCATGAGGCCTCATGCACTAGCCAATGATAGACGTCGCCCGTTCACCCTCCCTCCTCCGGCCAGGCTACACTGCGCTGCGCTTCGCTTCGCTTCGCTCTACCTGCCAACGTGCCTCCCTACTTCCAATCGCGCGCTGCTGGCCCGCCGGAATCCTGGCCTGCACTTGTTGCCGGCGCAGAAGCTTCTTTTGAGCTTGGCTTGGGCGAAAACGTGGAGTGAAGCGAGTGAATTGGCCCGTGCACTTTGCGTTTGAGTCGAGTCGAGTCGAGTCGAGTCATGACTGATTTTGAACCTCTGCAGAGACCCAGAGCTTCTTCGACTTCGGCAGGGGAATTTGACTGGGTGAATGAGCGAGGGAGAGAGGGAGAGAAGTGCCTGGGTGTAGGCAGGGCAGGGCAGGGCAGACGAGGCAAAGAGGGATTCGGCGAATTTCTTGAGGTGAGGTGAAGCCCCGACTCTCGCCCTGGCTCAGGGGAATCTCAACCCCCATCCATGCATGTGATGCAGAGAGGTGCAGACGGAGGATGACCGAGAACCACAAGCGCAAAGAGGCACCCACCGACCGACCGATAGGGTCCTTTGTGCCTGGAGGAATCTGCCGGCGGCCGCGCGGTGCTGCACGGACCGAGTCGAGTGCACGAGTGAGTAGGCGAGTCAGCGGAGAAGGCCGCTTTGCTTCTGCTGCAGCAGCTTCCTTTCACCCACCCACCCCTCTTTTATGTCCGAAGAGAGATGCAGAGCATGCATGATACCGATAGGGCAGTAGCCGACCCATCGCCACCCAGGCTGAGGAGTTCCTTGGACCGTGGGTACAGGAAAGGGATGCTTATGCGCAGTCGCGTAAGGGGGTTTATGCGCAGGGTTGAACCGGGCAGGACAAAGAGGGGGGGAACGCCCTGATTGCGATTGCGATTGCGATTGGGGGGGACGGGGGCGAGGCGAGGCGAGGCGAGGCGAGGCAGAGGACCCAGGCAGCAAGTCGGGTTGATCTGGTTGGGGGTGGAGTAGAGTCGGGTGGGGTGACTTTACCTGAGCAAGAGCAAGGCGGGTTGAGGCTAGGCTCAGCATCAGGGACAGGCAGGGACGGAGGACTGGGAGAGCAACCAGGCTCGGCAAAGGGCCGCGAGGCTGGGCATGGGCGAGGTGAAAGCCTGGGTGGAGTATATAACACCAAGTCGTCCTGCCAGCCAAGGACGTAGTGGACCCTTTCCTCCATTCTTCAACGTCCTTGAACCACCTGCCTCACTACCATCCTCGACCATTCACCACAATGTCCACTGACAAGATCACCTTCCGTGAGTCTGCCAAAGGAGAAGCACAAGAGAGCAGATCCTCCTCCCTATGACTCGACACCAGCTGAACACGTGCTCACCCCGTCTGTTCCCGCTTCAGTGCTCAACTGGCATGCCACGCCATACCATGCCCCCATCTTCCTTGCCCAGGCCAAGGTGAGCATCCCAGTACTCTGTCATTGGCTCGTATGACCATATACACACAGGCAGAAGGCTGACATCGGCCATCACCTTCCAACTCTTCCCACTTCCATCACCATCAGGGCTTCTACAAGGAAGAAGGCATCCAAGTTGCCATCCTCGAGCCCAACGACCCATCTGACGTCACCGAGATCATCGGCAGCGGTAAAGTCGACATGGGTGCCAAGGCCATGATCCACACCATTGCCGGATCTGCTAGAGGATTCCCCATCGAGTCCATTGGCACTCTCATGGATGAACCATTCACTGGAGTGGTCTACCTTGAGGGGTCGGGAATCACAACGGACTTTAGGTCACTCAAGGGCAAGAAGATTGGTTATGTCGGTGAATTTGGGAAAATCCAGGTGAGTCACGACGTCAGCACAGATCTTCTATCTCTCTTACAGACTGCTATCCACCTAACTCACACTTCCCTGTCTCTCCCCCAATCTCTCTCCAGATCGACGAGCTCACCGCCCACTTCGGCATGGCACCCAGCGACTACCAAGCTGTCCGTGTGGGAATGAACGTCTCCGACGCCATCAAGCGCGGGGAGATCGATGCTGGGATTGGACTTGAGAACGTTCAGATGGTAGAGCTCGAGGAGTGGTGCAAGGAACAGGGTCGACCTCCTTCGGATGTCAAGATGCTGCGTATCGACGAGTGAGTAGAGGGCGTTACGATGACAGAGCTCCCTTGATCATGCGCAGTGCGTGGGATTTGACACATCCTCCCCCCTTCCTCTAGGCTCGCCGAGCTCGGCTGCTGCTGCTTCTGCTCCATCCTCTACATCGCCAACAAGCCCTTCCTCTCCTCTCACCCCGAAAAAGCTCGGGCCTTTATGCGAGCGATTAAAAAGGCTACCGACTACCTCTTTACCTCTCCTCGTGAAGCTTGGGAGGATTACAAGTTGGTGAAAAAGACGATGACTTCGGCTGTCAATGAGAAGATCTTTGAGAGGAGCTTTGTTTATATGAGTAGGGACTGTGCGAATGGTGAGTGGTAGCGAAGGCGTGGCAAGATGCAACCAGCACCTACTGACTTCTCCCCCATCCTCCCTCCTTCCCTCCCTCTCACCAGTCCCCCGCGACTGGCAAAAAGTGACCTCCTACTGCAAACGCCTAGGCGTCGTCCCCGCCACCTTTAAGCCAAACATGTCCAACTCTTTCCTCTCTTGGCAACTTGCAGAACAGGACGATGCTGGTGCCGAGGAAAAGCAAAGGGCGATTCAAGGATATCAGATGCAGGTTGCGAAGAGGGGTGAAGGGATTTTGGGTGGGTTTGAACCGGAATTGGGTGCGGGGGTGGGAGTGGGAGTGAAGAGGGCTGAGCTGGTTGCTTGAGAGCCTTTTCGAGTCAGACGGGGAATAGTGAGGTCATGTCCAGACACACACCAATCAAAGAGGAGAAAGAAGACAAGCGATGAGAAAGACACAACCAAGTGCAGTGCACAATGCACAATATACGAAATGATAAGAGCTATGAGACTTGTGCCTCCGCTCCGTGTTCTGTTCTGTTCTATTCTGTTCCATTGCCATTTCCACGGGGGCCAGGAAGGAAGTGTGAATAGAGGCGAACGTAGGAATACATGGAGAAGGAGGTAGAGTGGGTTAGCTAGGAAAGGGTACGTACGAAGGAACGAACGAAGGAACGAGAGACGAACTGACGAACTGACAAAGTTCAGAGAAGTAGGGTAGATACAAGTAGAAGGTAGAAACCAAGAGTGAAGGGCAAGGGGAGAGGGGGAAAAGAAGATCTCAATGGTCTGAAGAGCGCTGCTCGACCCCTCCCATGATCGACAGGCACTATCTAGCCTCATCAAGGTCCGTCCCACGTCGCAACTCGTCCAGCGACGAGCTCACTGCCCTCCTCCCGCTGCCGCTGCTGCCGTCGGCGCTGCGCCTCCACTTCTCCTCGGACCACCAGCCGCCCCAGTGCCAGCACCACCAGCAGTAGGGGGCAAAGGTGAGCTTCGTGCAGGCCGGCTGGGACGCTGAGCGTGACCGTGACCATGAGCGTGGCTTGGGGCAAGACCCTGAGCATGGTTCTGAGGTTGGTAAGGCTGGTAGCCTGGTGGGAGAGGAGGTGGGTATTGAGCTTGATAAGGCTGATATAGCGGCTGGTGTTGATGCTGAGGCTGCATTTGAGCTTGAGCGTGAGAATGCGGAGAGAAGTGTTGTCCCTGCCCTTGTCCCTGTCCTGGGCGCTGCCCTTGCCCAGGCGTAGGTGGGAACGTGTAGGGCGTGTAATGTCCTTGCCCCTCCACTGCGAAGCCTGGAGGAGGGGCGGGGCTCATGCCCATTGTGTGCGGATTGGGAGGCACGGGAAAGGGACCCGTCTGAAGAGTCGGAGTGATGTTGTAGCCTAGCGAAGGTGAGGCGTGCTGAGCAGTACCGGCAGCGACGGCAGCACTATCCCCGTTGCCTGTTGACTGAGAAGCAACAGGACGCATAGGGAGCGAGTGGGGATGCTTCGGCGCTGACGCAAAGGGAAGTGGTTGTGCCGAGGGGGACATTGTGTCTTGCGCAACACCACCGTGCATTGACGGCGGTCCCTGCCTTCGTAGCGGCACCTCTCCATTTTGTGACACTGCTTCGCCAGCCTTCCTCCTGCGCTCCTCTTCACCATAGAAGTCCATGTCATGCAGCAAGCTCGTCCTGCTGGGATACCCATAGAAGATCCTCAGCATCTCCTCACCTTGGCTCCTCCCCAACTCCTGCGTGTCCCTACTCTGCGTCACACTCTTATTCTCCACAGAGTTCTCGAGCTTGATATGACGTAGCTCCCTATTGGGGATGTCCTTGACGAAAATGTGCTTCACCTTGAAGTGACCTTTCCACTTGCCTTCCTGAGCCCAGACGGACGAAGATGTCTCAAAGTCGACGGAAGATGTCATGAGCGCCATACCACAGAACTGGCCCGAGCCATTGACAGAGAAGAACAGGTAGACGTGCCCGGGAGGTACATCTCCCGCAGCGACTTCACTGGTACCACTGTCAGTCTCGGCCTTCGCTGCTTCTTGGCACTCTTTGAAGACCCTATCCAGTCGCTGATTGCCCTTGTCAGTAGAGGCCCAGATACCGTGACGAATAGATCGATGTACATCGTCCTCGGTAAAGGACTTGATGACAAGGAAGCGTGCAGAGGGGCGAGGCGATAGCTCGAAGTGGTCCGGGTTCAGCTGCAGGCGAGCCGCTAGGGAAGAAGGAGCGGCAACGGATGGGGCTGATGGTGCAGAGTGAGGAGTCTGTGATTGCGCGTTCGGCCCTACTGGGGGCCTCGGCGGGAAAGAGAATTGACCCGCATCACCGTTCGATGGCTGGTGATGGTGAGCGCGGCCAGGTGTGGAGGTAGGCGGCTGGTGCTGTTGATGAAGCTGCTGGACTCGATCTCTTCCCTGCTGTGGCGATGGTCGAGGATACTCCCCACCGTATTGAGGGCCTTGACCAAGTCCTTGCTGCCTACGCGGCGATTGGAAGCCATTGCCGTACTCGCCAGGATGCTGTTGCTGTTGCTGCTGTTGCTGGTGGTGATGGTCTTGTTGGTAGCCAGGCATCCCTCCGATCCCTCCAGCCATCTGAGTAGAAGCCGCCAAAGCTTTCTCGAGAAGCAGCGTTTTCTCCCGCTGCTCAGCCAAGGCTCTCGTCAGGGCAAGAGTGATCTGGTGCTGATTTCTTGTCTCTGCAACCGGCGTTAGACCCAGACCCCACTGCGAGGGCACCCCGTTCCGATCTATAGATCTCGAGCGCCTCAGCTCGGCGCCTTCTTTGCCAGTCCCGCTTGAATCGCCCATCGCCAACCTCTCCATCAGAGGCGATGGCATTTGGTGAGTCCCTCCTCGTTCCGGAGCATGTCCGCCCAGAATCTCCTCTCGCTGCGTCCACGCCGATGGAGCTGCAGTATGAGGCCCGTCGAGAAGTGTGCCAAGATGCAACCCCGAAGGACCCGAGACTCCAGCAGGCGGCGAGTAAGGCGTTGGGCGCAGTACGGCATCCGTAGACTGATTCTTGGTATGACCTGGTTGGAAGGCACCACTGCGACGCTGGGCGACGGGCAGGTAGGGGGCGGCACTTGCCGGCCCGGCGAAGCTGTCAGAGGGTTGATGAGCGTGCCCACTCCCCTTGGCGAGAGCGTCCGAATCTGTGACCAAAGACGGGAGCCTCTTTGCCGACTTGGGAGGGAGAGGTCTGCGGGAAGGGGACAAGGTAGATGTCGCATTCGAGGCATTGGTGGAATCCAAAGCATACGAGGGAGCCTGTCCGCCGCCTAAGTCCATCTGGGCAAGGGATGCATGCACATCCATGAGGCTCGGATGATTACCGCTGTGCGTAGGTCCGCTTGGACTTGGGGAGGAGCCCCGCGCCAGCTGTGAAGCATTGGGAGCTGTGAAAGTGTACGTGTATCGGGAAGGAGAAGCTCTTCCGCTGCCCTGCTGCTCCCGAGCTGACCAGGCCTGTGATTGAGACCAGGATGCAGGTGTATCGGGACCAGAGTCGTCGAGAGTAGCGGTGGAGCTGTAAGTAGCTCCCGCATCGTCACTGGAGGCTCCGCCTCCAAAGGCCGACTGTAGCTGAGATGCGATTGAAGGAGGCGTGTGACCGAAGCCGGGTGGAAGACGAGAGGCAGAGCCAGAGTGGCTGACTGCCGCATGTCTATTCGAAGTGGCGGCTCCTGTGACCCTGCCTGCCAATCCTCGACCAAGATGATGATTGAGTGACTGATGACGCCTGACAGATGAGGTGGATACGAGGGGAGAGGAGCGTCCAGAGGTACTGGTAGATCCGCTCTGTGGAAGACTTGCAAGCTGTTCGGCGGCGGAGGAACGCTATCGAGTGAGAAGTGAGCGGACATATGTCAGTACAGGGCATGTCTTCATCGATGTCAACCGGTGGACCGCCTTGGCATGGCTACAACTTCCTCCGCTCTCACTTACCTCATCTAGAATAGCCCTCTCCCACTCCTGATGTTCATTCTCCAGACCAACTATCTCCTTCAAGCTATTCCTATTTGGACTCCCCATCTCCTGCTGCAGCTGCGCCAGTACATTGCCACCGCTAGCCACGCTGCCTCCTCTCTGGTGTTGGCTCTGCCTCTGAGAAGTAGTAGAGGTGGAGGAGGGAGAGATGGGCTGCTCAAAGTGCTGAGGGAGCCTCTTCTTCATGCGAGCCGTCGAGGCAGAGATGGTGTGGTTTCTTCTGGGCAAGAGGGACACGAGGCCAGGTCCAAGAGGTACGTCTTCTTCGTCTGCCTCGAAACCAATTGTGGCCCCTTCGCTGGAAAGGACTTCTTGCAGCTCTGCCCGCTCATCGTCAAAGTGAGTCATTGCGAGGGATTAGAGAAGGGCGAGAGGAGTGGATGCAGAGGCAGCTGCCGAGTGTAGAAGAAGATGATGGAGGAGGTAAATGGATGATGGTACCAGTCCGAGGCGGGAAGGAGGCTAAGTGGCAATGTAGAGTGGTCTTTGCCCTGGGCAAGGCCCTGAGGCCCGGTTGTCGTGAAAGCGCTGAGACAGTCTGCTGTTGCTAGCCAGTACGAGCGACTGTCTTGGCCGTCAGAGTGCTACGTCTTTGTCCTTGCCTTGCAGGGTGAAAGTCGAGGTGAGGAGGTGATGGAATGACCGCCTGATGGTGATCTTACCAAGTCGTCGTCAATCAAGAAGGAAGGAAAGAGGACCGGCAGCTGCAGCCACTTCCCTCCTCTGTGCCCACAAACGGAAAGGCGGGCGGAGGGACGGACAGACGCACAGGCGGACGGAGGCAGTTGACGTGGGGCCATGCGCAAAGTTGCAGCAGACGCACAGACGCCGCGGAAGTCCGTCAGTCACGCCTGCAGTCACTCAGCCATCAGCAGCGTGGCCCACAGGTACGCCCTGCTGAAAGCTGTGCAGTCTATACGCCCCTCGAGTCGACGGGACTACCAGGGAGCAGGAGCAATACCGTGGCGAGAGGTCGCTTGCGGGTGGGGACGGATCCCAGCTCCAAATTCGAGGAAGACGCCCGCCCTGATTGCATACGACGATGATCAGGTACCACATGCAGCAATGCGGCAGTAGAGGCAGCCGATTGCTCGCAGCACCCTCGCGCCTCCACCCAGCATGGCAGGCAACACGGTCTAGTCGCGTCGTCGTGCGAACTTCTACCGTAGCTGGATAGCCTGTGTTCACCTGAGGACGCTACGCAAGTCTGGAACATGACCGCAATGCACTCGCTCTCGTCTACCTCACAAGCTACGGCTCCTAGCCACTGCCAACCTCCCACCCAGCGAGTACTGCCCCGCCCCGGTCCCGCAGTAGCAACTGTGCAAGCCGAGGCACAAGGCACCGTGATCGAAGTGGAGATCCAAGCGACCGCTCAAGTAGAGGTGCACGCCCCTTCCTGTCACTGCTCTCAAGAGACTGAGACACAGACATCTCCTCCGCCAGTGGACGAGCAGCAACCTGCAATGGGCACAGCGTGCGGCCTTCCAGCCCCTCCTCCCTGCCTAAGCAGCGAGCCATGTCAGCCGAGCTGCCCACCACCGACACCATCGCAACAGCAGCGACAGAGCCAGCAGAGCATCGTGCAGCAGCTCGTCTTCGCAACACCAGTCGTACCTCTAGCACAACTTCCAGCGCCTCCGATGGTGGTGCCTGCTTCACCTCCGCCGCCGCCTCCTCCAGGAAGGTGCGCGTGTCCAATTCCTCCCTGCCCACCTTGCGCAGGTCCTCCTGCTCCTCCTCAGCAACAGCAGCACTACCGTCACCAGCAATACCACTACTCTCAAGCTCAACAAGCTCCATCTTCCCCCTGTAACGACTGCAGACCTCAGTCAGTACCAGCACACCCCTCCCTCCCTCATCCTCAGTCCAGCTGGGAGCCCTCCCAGCCCACACAGCTCCAGCAAGCCGTGGCTACTGTCCTCATCTTGGTACTGCTGTTGGGAATTGTTGGTGTTTGAGGGACGTACAGACATGGAGATGGATAGCGGGGATACTTGATCCAAATGGGACTCAAGCTTCAAGACAAGGCTGGGGACAGGGAAGTTGCTCCTCGCTAAGGCTGATGAGATCAGGTCCGCCGGGGTCCGCAGGTTCTTCTTTAACTCCTTCTGACAAGGCAAGGCAAGGCGAGACAAGATCCAAACCTCTCATCTCTCCAGCAAACAGATCAGATCGGCCCTCGCAGAGCAATCCCACGCAAAGAGTGGCTCCGGTGCTTCTCCGCTACCAATCATAGGCTCTTAGCAGAGATACACGCGCAAGGCAAGGGAGTCGAGGACGAGGAAAGGCACAAGAACGAAAAGGTCTTTGCTAATGTTTGTCAAGTGACTGTCACTGTCAAGGTTGCTATTGCTATAGTACAAGGGATTGATCTAGAATGAAATGATGAGCATATGGCAGCTCGTTCCTTCTATTCAACTTCACACTACCTCTTCTCCCCAGCTCGCCCGCCTTGCCTCAGGTCCAAGGGTTCCGACCCCCATCTACACTATCATCCCCGCCCACATCTCCCCAATCATGTCTCTGATAAACGGGCATTTGCCGATCTGCCTCCTTCACCCTCTCCTCTGCTTCTTCTCTAACCTTTGCGTCCCCTTCTTCCCTCTCACTCTCACTCTCCTCCTCTCTCCTCCTCTCAGGAGCAGAAGGAGGGGCAGGAGTAGCACCCTCTTCCAATAGCTGATCGTGGTCATTGCCAGAAGGTTGGTTGGGATCACCAGCAGTCTTGTTCTTACTGTCCGGAGCAGGATTGGATGCGTCACTCTTCTCTTGACGACGAGCGGTATCCTCCTTGCCTGCTTTCTGGCGGCGAGCAGCAGAGCCCTTGGAGGCGGAGGCGGGACGAGACTCGTCGTCAGATCCCGAAGAGGAAGGAGAGGAGGAGGATGAAGCCCCATTGGACGGGGAAGAGGCGAGTGCAATAGGCGGTGTGACTTGTACGGCCACTTGGCCCAGATCGCCTCCCGTCCCGGGTGGCGGCTCGTCGGAGATGACCACCACCCCCTCCTTGATCTTGCCATCACTACCCTCAGCAGGGTTCTCCTGGATATCGCCCTGCGCGTCTTTGAGCAGATCCCCCTCTTTCCCCTCCCCCTTCGGATCTACAGACGCCTCCACAAGAGCAGTCTTCTTTTGGCCGTCGGCAGCAGTCCAGACTTTTCTAAAGACGCGCTTCTTGCCTAAGCCCCCGTGCCCGTCTCCCCCACCTACACGCGAGGCCGTGTCGCCCCGACGACGCTCGCGTGCCATCTCGCGTTCTTCTTGGATGGGATCGGAGATAATCAGATCGACTGCGCCTGCTTCGTCTGCTTGGTCTCCCTCGTCTGCTACAGGGCTGGTGATCTTGCCGTTCGAAGAGGAAGAGGCTTTCTTGCTGGATTTGGACTTGTCTTTGCCCGCCTTGCCCTTTTTGCTCGAGGAAGACTTGCTCTTGGACTTTCGGTCGCTCTTCGCGGAAGATTCCTTGCCAGAAGCGTCCGCTGCGTCCTTTGCGCCCTCTTCTCCCTCGTCATCCCCATCAGCCCATCCACCCCAGACGCTCTTCTTGACAGTCTCCTTCTTCTTACCATCTTCACCCTGCTTCGCCTTCTTCCTCCCTTCATCGCCGCTGATGCTCTTTCTCTTCTTGCCCTTGGCAGTCACTTCATCTTCTGCGCCCGTAGTCTCGCCCTCACCCTCACCCTCACCAGCATCGTCTACCGTTTCATCTGCTGCCTCTTCATCACTGTCCTCTCTAGCAACAGCGTGTCTCATCCGCTCCAACCAGCCTTCGACCCTCCGCCTGCGCTCGCGACTGCCATTGCCACTCTTCCCCTTTGAGCGACCGAGGAGAGCTTGCTGTTCTCCTCGGCCTCTCTCCTCATCAAAGTGCCCCGCGCGATTGCAGGCAATGGTAGGGAAAGCATAGTCGCCATAATCGAGCTTGCGGGCCTTCTCGTAGCCCTCCTCTTCCGAAACATTGGAAGGCGGCGAGTGAAAGTCGAGAGAAACAACACTGTCTCCGCTATGACCTCTCCTATCTGGGTGGTCAGAGAAGAAGAGGAGACCCGCCTCGAGCTGATAGCCCAGCTTCATCGCAGCTCCCTCTGCCTTCCGCCGGCGAGCAGTCTTGCCATCGACGTCTTTGCCTCCCTCGAGATTGCTGCGTAGTGGGTCGAGCATGCTTCCGCTCCCCTCCTGCTCGTCGTCTTCCTGATCGGAATTGTCATGGAGGACTTGCGCAGCCTCTTCGGCACTGAGGGGAGCGTAGCCCTCGTCCCTCATGCGCTTGTCCTCCATCCATCTGCGCATAGCAGCAAAGGGACCCTCGATGCGGCTGCCTTCTACCAGAGGAGCCACTCCACCGCCGTTGCTGGTCGTGTTTAGCCCATTAGTGGGAAGGAAGTACTTGCCCTTTCCACCCTGAGTATACCTCAGACCGGCGTGAAGTCTCCTGCTTCTGGCCACGCCCTGATGAACAGCTCCTCGCGCCGGCTCGAATCGGGCATAGCCATAGCCGGTCCCTCTCATGGTACCCTTGATGTCTTCGGTTACATCCCGCCCTCCAAGCGAGTCTCGCAGGGCATACAGGATGGGCAAGCGAGCTTGATGGGTGGCCCATGTGTCGACGTAGTCGCTGGGTGAGAAGGCGTACATGTGTCCCAAGGCAAAGAGGGGCATTTCTAGGGTGAGGAGAAGGTCTTGTAGACCCAGACGCAGGAAGTCTGTGTCCGAGATGGGTCCGACTGGGCGTGAAGATGCGGGAAGCCCGTCAATTCAGAGAATCACATTGACCAAAGACTCTACTCCACGTCCCCTGCACTTACTGCTCTTGACGATGCCCGCAGCGACAAGGACGCTGATAGCCCATCCCTGCCAAAAGGTCGCAAATACAACGCCCTTGACGGTAAGGAATTTGCTCGTGGGCCTGAATGGGGCCAGCTCAGAGGAGAGGGCGGACCAGAAGAGCGCAAGACAGTAGAGGGAGAGGAAGATGGAGATGTCTGGGGACGAGCAAGAAAGGAGGCCGAGCTTCAGCAACTCCGAGTGGCTTCTGATTTTTCTAGATCAGTGACTTACTATATACGGTGGAGATGTAGGTGTACCCATTGTTGGCCTTGAACTCTCCCTCTTGGTACTTGCCAAAGGACTTAAGGATGACCGTCGAAGCTGCGAGGATGGGCTTGATTTGCACATATTCTGTGTGAGGCACAATGGGAATGCCGAACCGTCAGCTTAGAAGCCATAGGTCTTCCAAAATACCTGAGGCCGTATCAACTCACGCAGTACACCCCTCTTGATGGCCAGAAAGGTATAAGGATCGCTCAAATCCAGCTCCCTGAGCACCAGCTTGAACGGCCAAGGATGCTCAATGGGCTTCCTCCCCACGAGTAGGATGAGTGTACTCCTCTCTCCTCCCAGGTAGGCTACGAGTAGCTCAAAGAAGCTATAGATGGCAAATGCCTCGTACAGGTCCCTAATGAGGTCAATCAGAAATGCTGCAGGGAGAGAGAAGAGTCCAATGAGTGAGGAGGTGGAGTAGATGGGAACGATGAGGATGAGACGAATGACGTGACGTTGGAGGTGAGGTTTGAGGTATCGTTTGAGGTGAGTGTAGATGGAGAAGAGGGAGAGGAGCGTTGCTGAGAGGGAGGATATGGTGGCGATGATCAGCAGCGAGGGTGGGAGGGAGCGACCAGCGCCCGAAGAGTCGGACGACATGGCGCTGGGTGGGGTGGAGAGGTCAGGGTGCTGCTGGCCGGCAGAGAGGGGAGAGGAGGAGGTCCGGGGGAGATGAAGCGGCCGCAGTGACCTCGAGGGTGGCGAGGGCGAGGTTTGCTTTGATGCTCTTCTGCTCTTGGCGACGTGGTGAGCCGAGGGGGGCGGGAAGCGCGAGTAGACTTGGGCGGTGGTGGTGTTTTTGGCGCAGGCGAGGCGATTGGCCTGTCATCCACTGCTGAGCCACCCGCCGCGTGGGGAAAAATCACATGGCCGATGCGCAGACGATAATTGCTGAGCACCGTGCTCAGTCCTATACAGCTTTGTCTCGGACTCGACCCCCGATGATGACTTCCATCTGTCCGTTCCATCCCATTTCACTCCCTCTCATCCTGTCCTTCACCACAGAGACGTCTTCCAGGTATATCCCCCTCCCCGCCCCCCCACTGTCTTTTCATCATGACCACGATCGTGAAGCACTCCTCCACCCTCCCACCCTCCCTCTCCTCCTTTATAAAGAAAGTCTACGAACTCTCAGACATCGAATCCGCTCATGAAGAGTACTGCACCCTCTTCACCTCTCCCACCCACCTCCAAATTGGGCCCATGAAGCCCGTCACCACTCACGAGGAGATTCTCCAGATCAGAAAGGATTCGTGGGAGCAATTCAACAAGAGGAGACATGTGGTTGAAGAGGTGTATGTTCATCCGGATGCTGCGCCAGGTAGTGAGCAGAAGATTATGCTTCATGGCTCTGTAGAGTTGAGCTTTAAAGATGAGAGCAAGGGTTCGACTCGGGCTAGCTGGGCTGCTTTGATGGTACTCGAGGGTATAGATGGCGGTCAGGAGCCCAAGGTTAAGAGCTACGTTGCCTGGCTGGTGAGTAGACCAGTACACCCAAGTAGAGTCAAGCTCAATCCTTCAGAGGTCGTGGAACTCTAGTGCTGACCTTCCTAGATCATGTGACGCGGTTCTTCAATCTTCGCATCAGACTATGGGATAGAAGTAGAAGTAGAACATAGATCACGCGATGAGCGCATCATTCGACGCCATTGCCCCCTTGTACATTGTATCGCGATGCTAGAGTATGCTTTCACAGAGCGGCAAGGAATGCAAATACAAAGACCCTGTATACCCTTCCCATGCCTAGCGTTTTCTCTCCCTGAAGAGTCTCCCAGCCTGCTCCACCTCGTCTGCCTTGATCATACCAGAATCTAGCTGACCTTGATTCAGCTTCTCTAAATACGGTATCACGCTCTTCTCGTATGAAGGCGCTCCCTTGTACACCATCAAGTCCTGCGGGCCATCCCGGTGGATATTCAGCAGCAGAGCTGGCAGTAGTGGCGTTTCCGCCAAGGAGGAGAGCGGGCGACGCATCGGATGCACGCCAAAGAAGACGGCCCCTGACTTTGGCATCTTGACACTGCTCGCAAAGCGACAACGGAGCCTCGCACATGTCAGCTAATGTGCTGAGCCACTCCCATCGATGCAGCTTACACTCACAAGGTCTGGTGGTCTAATCTCAAGAGAAGCTTACTGGGGTCCTCACTACTGCAGGCATCCTCGCTCCGCCCTGATTCATGACAGGCTCTCATCGGCTTTGCGACCGCTCCATTTCTTCCCTGCCTTGTGGGCAGCGGACCAGCCATAGGTGCCCAGAACAAGTCGTCCTCCGGCTCAACAATCTCCCAACTCGTTCTCTCGATGGGCGCCGATGGTTGAAGACGAGTGAGGGATCGCTCGACGGACTTGAGGAGCTTCTCATTGAATTGCGGGACTGGGTTGTGCGTATCGTGCAGAGAGAGACCGATCTTATCGCTCAACAGGTAGAAGCCGGGGAAGCATACCAGCCCGCCTGCGGTGATCCACGAGCCGTCATTGGCCTCCGAGGGAAAAGCGATGAGGAAGTCGTCTTGCACTAGCTGGGAGACGACTTTCAGAGCTTCGATGCCCACTTTCGGCTCTTGTGTAGTCTCGTCTACTAGTGATAGACGAGTGTCGGTAGCAAGATTGTGCAAGCGCTTTCCTGTCGCTCCTGCCTCCCACTGGAACATGCCTGGGTACCTCTTCACAAGCCAGTCACTGAGCAAATCCATCATCTCACCACAAGCCTCTACGATGCAAGGCAGAGCATCGCAGACGACCTTTCCCTGCACTTCTACGAGCTCCTTCTTGTACTTCAAGTCGGAGAGATAGCGGTGGTCGGGCTCGATCCAGTGCTCTGGTGACATGGGCTGGTGTGCCATGGTCTGAAAGTAGGGGTGGCGGATGGTCTTGTTGGCAAAGAGGTGGTCGCGAGCCTCATGTGAGGAGATCGTCTCGGCTGTGAGTGATGGGAAGGGGGTAGGTGAGGGGATGAAAGGCGGAGGGCCTGCTATGTAGTAGAGGGCTTGCAAGAGGTCAGCTTGCCTTCTCAGCGCAAGGAAGAGCCACCGTGATCTCTCTGATGCTCACCATACTCCTTCTCTACACATTTCACTTCGCTGACTGGTTGTCCACTGACGCCCTCCGCTCCCTTTCGGTATCTGCTGAGCAGGCTTCGTAAGATCGGCGCGCAAGCCAGCGCGACGGCCGCGAAGAGGAAGAGATCAAGCATGGTATCCAGGTAGCTAGCGTCGATGTTCACGATGAGGGTAACGACAAGGAGGTGGATGGTCTAGTACAGTATCGCCTTCACAAGCTACGAGCGATCCGAAATGATAGGCTCACCCGCGGGCTGGTGTTGCTTCCGTCCGGAGCGCTTCACCCAACACTTGCTGCCGAGGGTCTTTCTTTCCTGAGCATCCACCCCAAGTCGGGGCCCACAAGGCGGGGAGCTGCAGAGAGATGGCGCCTGCGCCTAATCAGGAGCGCCGCCGACTGGACATGCTGATACGGCGGGGCTGAGGTCGAGGCAATATCGGAGGGATCCCGATATGGAAACCGGACAAAAGCCAATGTATCAAGTTGGACAAGGCGACCGCTCCTTGGGCCAATTATGGAGATAAAGGAAAGGGCTAATCTCCTCTCGGGTGGCCCGTGCCCCTCGCACGGACTCCGCCGAGCTGCAGCTCAGCGGCGCTCTGGACACACGGAACGGGAAAAGGAGGCAGCCCTGGCCAGCTCTCTTTCCGAGTCGGCCCCTCTGCGCTCAGCACTCCTCGCGGCTATCTAACCTCGGCGGATAATCGACAAGTCCAAAGGGGGCTCCCGGCGGGCCTTCCCTAGGCCGACATCATCACAAGAGTGACAATGAGCCAGCCAAGGATCTCGCCGTACCACTAGCCGATCGGCCGGAGCTGCTGAGCGCTCCCGTGTCCACCCGGTCCGGCCTATCTGGACCTCAAGGCACAAAGGAGGAGGGGCAGCGCCGAAATACACCGCACCGCCAATTCTGGGCAAGGTTCCTCGGAATGACGAGGCTGGACAGATTCCATGGGTCTTGGCCAGTGTCACTCGCTCAGATGCCGCCGACGCCGTGAAGGGCCGGAAAATATCCGGAGGGCCAAACATGGCCGGCGTAGATCAGACCCTTTCCTTGGCTCATCCTAAACGCCCCCCTCCGATCCGCCTTTGCCCTTTCCCCTCAGCCGAGTCAGACCTCGGGAATAGGATGGCAACAAGAAGCGCCTTTGAGCGCCGTTTATGGGGCGGGAAATGTGAAAGATAGTTACACTCCAGCCCCCCGCTTGTTCCGTCCCCGATATGGAGCCCCCTGTTGATCTCCATCACTGTGCAGGCCACGGGGAGCCAATAAGATCAACCCTTGGAGAAGGGAGGGGGCGGGAGATTGCCTATCTTGACCGATCATATATAGGGCAAGGATAGAATTGGACCTTATCAGGGACTGAGCCTCCTCTGATAACTGTATTGTCCCCCAAGAGTCCTTCTCTATCGAAGACAATTGCTTCGAGGAGACCTCAACAACTCCTTATCACCACACGAGACAACTTTGATCCTGACCGTTACCACCGATCCCAGCACACAACATTCATCATGTCGACGTCTATGACAGAGACTACTACTACGCGCGTGCGACGCGCTCCCAACAAAGGTCTTGTGCCGGAGCCTAGATTTGATCCGGCTGAGCATCTCGCTTATCAGCCACCAACTGAGCAGCTCACCATGGAGCGATTGGGACTAGGTCACGTACCAACGCCAGTGAGTTTTGCAGATCGGACGACAGGTGTAGGTTCACATTGAGTGATGGTGATACTGACACGACTACGTACGCGTCCCCTTCTGTGCATCAGTCCCCCATCGGCGTCACCTCCCCCTTTCCCTTGGCATCCCTCTCCGCCGTCACCGCTCTACGCAACTCTGTCCTCCAACCTCAGGTGCTGGATGGATACATGACCGCCTCTGCCTTGGCAGGTCCACATTGCCAGCTGAGAGGAATGGCGCCCCATGCAGCCAAGTTCGTCTACGACTTTTGGACACACCCAACGACAATGAGGCACTTGTGCGAGGCGGCGGGAGAGGATTTGATTCCCGTCTTTGAGCTTGAGCTGGGACACACTAACGTAAGTATACAGAGTCCGATGAGAGATGTAGTTGCGACAGACAGGCTTATCTCATTGACCTTCATTCTTACAGATCCAAGTTCCTAAGGGCAAGTCACGCGAGGACTACGTCAGGACCCTCCACCCCGATCCCTTCCACAACACGCCCGCCATGGATCCACCGGCAGACTCCGATCCCAATCTCTCTGCCTCGTCCGACGAGGACACGCCAATGGTCGTCGACTTTCACCGTGACGCTTATCCTTGGGTGGCCGTCCTGATGCTTTCTGACGTGAGTATCGCCTCCAGAGCGCCACCGTCGACGTGTTGACAAGTGCACATCATTGACACCGTCGCCCTGCCGCACACCCTCCACCTTTGTCACTACAGGTCTCCAGCATGATCGGCGGCGAGACTGCCCTGCGTCTGGGCTCAGGCGAGCTCTTCAAGGCTCGCGGACCCGCTCTAGGCTCCTGTGTAATGATGCAAGGTGGTTACATCTCCCACGCCGCTCTTCCCTGTCGACCTCACCCCTCTCTCAAAGGTGCCGATGCCAAAGCTGCCGTCAACGAACGAATCACCATGGTGACCTCTTTTCGCAAACGCTCCGCCTTTGGATGGCGTGACGTGAGCAACTTGGAGAACATCCGATCTTGCTCGAACTGGAATGAACTCTACGCACAGTGGGTTACCAGTCGAGTTAGTATCCTCGAGGAAAAACTCAGCGGGTTCCGTCGTGTTCTCGAGGCACGAAGGAGGGAGGTAGAAGCTGAGCATGGAGTAGTGGGTGGATTACAGAGACCTGTCGTGAGCATGCAGGAGTTTGAAGCACTCAAGAGGGATGTGGAGGATCATCTTGAGAGAGCACTTCAGGAGATGCTCCCTTATGGACACGATTCGGACCGCTTCACTCCTATTGCGCCGGCTAGGGACAGTGCGGAGCAGAAGACTATTGGGTACAGTCGGGAGAAGCTTTAGATCATGGCACGGCGATGCCATCCTATAGTGCGCTCCTGTCTCCTGCTCTGTCTCTCTTTCTCATTCATACCCTCAGTCTTAGTTTATTCGTCCCGGCCATTCTCCCTTCTCACCCTCGTGTCGGTTATCTCCAATCTTGTTCCTAGATTTCCAAAGTGTCGAAGCTTTTTGTATGTAGAGTCGAAGTGTCGTTGTCTTTGCTGGCGTGTCAATGAACATCATGATCACAGATAAGGACCGTCCGAAAGGGAAACAACGCCAGATGGTACATCTATCTATTGCGAATCCACAAAGTAAATCTAAGCAGGCTGATCCATGAAGGGAAGTTACACAAGACGGAATCGAACCGGCACCATCTCTACACCCTCTACTCGCCTCTGGCTAAGCGACCCCTCACTTTGTCACTTCTGGCAAGAGCTTGGCCTCCTTGTTGACCCATACCGCAACGCTGTGCGCAGGGCTCTTGAATTCAGCCCATCCATCCTCGCCAATAGTCACCTCTGTATCGGGCATCCAGCCAATAGCGTCCACATAGACTTTACCTGCCTGCTCCTTGCCCACCTCCATACGCTTGGTGCCCTCCTCGTCACCCACGCACAGAACGACGGCGCATCCATCAGGGTGCTGCTCTGTTCCCATTCGCACCCATCCGACCGTGGTAGGGTGGTCCCAGTAGTCGCGCTGTTCACCGAACGCAAAGTGCTTGCGCGCCTTGATGAACTTGGACAGGTCAGACATGGGAGGCACAGAGGGCTGCTCGTCCCCATCGGCATGACAGCCATGCAGGTCTCCAAGGAAGATGCAAGGGTAGCCATCTTGACGCAATAGGGTGATGGCATAGGCAAGGGGCTTGAAGGTTGCGCTGACTGGGCTGGCGAGAGATTGTCCAGGCTGCGTGTCGTGGTTCTCCACTAGGGTCACGGCGTCGATGGGACGCTTCTGCACAATGGAGCCGTCGAAGATCTTGCGCAGATCGTACCCGTTGCCGGCATCGCCTGCCTCGACAAAGTTATAGTGCAGGGGAGCATCGAAGAGACTGAACTGCTCGTCTCCGAAGTCGCCGAGATACTTGAGGCAGGTGTCCACATCATCCTTCCAGTACTCGCCAACAGAGAAGCCTGAAGAAGGGAGGAAGAGATAAGGCACTGGTCAGTCATCCATATCAGAACTAGATCATCGCGGTCATTCTTCTACTTACAGATGGGACCCTCGCTCTCGTCGAGCTTTTCCTTGCCTTGCTCCTCTCTGACCTTCCTAGCCTCCTCTCGCATAGCATGGATGAAGTCCCTTAGGAAGGCGCTCGAGAAGTGCTTGATCGCATCAAATCGGAATCCACTGATAGGGAAAGTTCTGACGAGCCACTGACCCCACTTGATCATGTCTTCTCTCACTTCAGAGTGAGCATGATCCACATCGGATCCCATGAGGAAGTCGTAGTTGCCATTCTCATTGTCGGTGTCCTCGGCAAAGTGCTTGTTCTTGCCCAAGATACGGAAGATGCCCTTGTCGCCCGTCTTGTTGTCGTAGTCTACGGCGGTGAAGTGGTTGAAATTGTATTGGAATTCGCTGTACTTGCCTTTCCGACCCGGGAAGGTGTAGCCCGTCCAGCCTTCTATGTCATGAGCCTCTCCGGCATCCTGCTCTCGGTTATCCTCAGCTACCGGTTGCACCTTGAATGTCTCTGGCTTGTCTGCGCCCATCTTGTGGTTGAGGACTGCATCGATGTAGATGGCGATGCCATTCTCTCTCAGCTTGGCCATTGTCTCCTCGAGCTCCTTTCGTGTACCGTACTTTGTCCGGATCTTCTCGGGCTCATCGGGATTCTTGGGGAACTCTCCTAGATCCCACAGATCGTCTGCGAGGGACGGAAGTGCAGCAAGTGGCAGCGTTGGTCAGCATGCAGACAGCGAGGCCGCTCAAGACTCTCCTTGACAAGGGTCGCACTTACAGATGTCGTATCCCGTGCTGTCCTCTGAGGCTCCCTTCGTCGGCGGAGGAATCCAGACGGCAGTGATACCGATATCTGCGAAGTGTGGTGCGTTATCTGCCAGCCACTTCCAGTGATTACCGCCTCCTGGTGTGTACTGGTAGCATAAGTAGTGAGGATAGGGTGCATGTACGGCGCTTCAAGTCAGTGAGAGTCCACAAAAGAAGCTGTAGACGAGCGCAGCTTCGCAGTGCACTCACCCACTCGAATGCCTGCATCATGGTGTAGTTGCGCTCATCACCACTGAGGGTATGCTTGTTGGCAGCGAAAGCCATGGTGGAAATGCAGCGGGTGGATCAGGGAAGGGGGAAAGAAGGACAGAGGGAGATGTAGTATGGACGTGAAGACGAACACGACGTAGAGGCAGCCGCTTGGAAGAAGGCGGCTGCTATCGAGGCCCTTAGGGCTAGGCTCTCGGTGGAGGCTTCCTCGTGAGCTGGACCACTTCCAATCTCCACCGCCACAAGCGAGACGAACACCCAACACCGCCACGCTAGATGCATCGGACCCCAGTCCCCGGTCGCATGGGAGCCACGTGCGCGAGCTTAATCTTACGTAAGCAGCCATGCCTTCAGCGCTCATTTTCCTTGGCCAGACCTTTCGACGTCGTTGGCCGTGGCGGCTAGACGTCGAATTCGCCAGAGCAAGACAGATATCGGCGGGAGCTGTCCTCGACAGCATACTCCTCGTCGAAACAAGAGCGCACATGGGGATGAGGCGAAGCAAGTTGATCAGCGAAGATAGGAGTGCCTCTGAGAAGTTTGGTCTCGAGTATCAGCGTCCACCGCAGTGATCGCTTGGCCCCTACACCTTGGCCGACTAGCCCTCACGCATGCCATCTCGACAACAGTGCGAGCATTCTGTTCAGCAAAGGCTACGCATGAAGAGAGTTCGACTTGTTCGCACTGGCAAGGAGTGGCTCAATGCCGCAGTCTATAGTAGGACGCTAGACTCTGCGCTTCTCAGGTCTCGTAGGAGTGCTTGAGAGCTTGTTTCTTTGCTAGTACAGAGATTCTGCATGGTTCGGCGTCTCTGCAAAAGGGGAAGCAGGGTTTGGACTGCGCAAGGGCGGGCGCGTGTCCTGGCAGCAATCTGCCCTGTCACTTAGGCCCATGGGGCACGCCTGCATCTCATCTGCCTATCCTGTCTTCTACCTTTCTATACCCCGCTTCCCTTCACCCCCTCACCACCCCCCTCCCCTCCCACCGCCATGAATTCACTCTTCACTGTTGCCCCAGTCACACCCAAATTTGATCATTTCGAGCCCAAATTGCCACCTGCCGGACCTGAAAGCAAGGAAGATGACCTCTCTTTCGCCATTCGCGGTGCTAGCATGTGTTCTCAGCTCCGTGCCGCGTGGGGCGTCTACTTGCCACAAGGCTCAGGATCAATTGCTGAAATTGCGGTCTCCATGTCCCTAGTCTTCTCTGGCATCTGGCATTCTGAATTCGAAGCCGCTGACCAGAGCGTCCGACAGCTAGTCGCCACCAATGTCACTCTGTTCCTCTTGACCACTGGCATCGAGGTCGAACGCCTGCTGGCTAATATGCCTACCGACTACCTTCGACGTGGACTCGTATGGGGTGATCTACTCTTCGTCCTCTGGGGAGACAAGGCCTACCGCATCGGCAAATACGGTCCTAAGCTCACTCTCACTGCTCGAGTCCCCAGCAACGACGGTGCTGCCCCCAAACTTCTCACGTTCGCTTCGCTCCACCACACTTCTCTAGACAGAGACACTGCAAGACTGATGTTTCTTCTGGCGCTAAAGGTCAACGCACTACCCGAGAGCGCCATGGACTTTGTACACCGCTACAAGACAGCTAGCTTGCTCGCGTCGGATGCAGCTCAAGTCGACGCACACGGCAGACGCTATGTTGTCTTCAAGGCCCAGGCGTCAATGGCCAAAGAGCCCGTCTTTGCCTTCCACACCGCATCAGACACGGCGTCGGCGGCTGGAAGCTCCGAGAAGCCTCTGATCGTACCTACGAAGCAGGCATATACGCTCGCCCAATACGAACTGGATCTCCGAACCGCCATGCTACGCAAGTGGCCCTTTGCATACAGCTCTCAGGAGCTTCGCCAGATTTGGGATATGGGAGCTACTAAATTTCAACCTGGATTCGAGAGTTTCCCTCTGAATGACTCTGATGTTCAAGAGATGATGGACCACACTAATCTGCTCTTGCGCAAAGGTTCAGAGGGGAAGAATTGACCGTGCACTTTGACCTGCGCCAGAGAAGGTAAACTCACACAACATGTTGGGAAGTGACCCTACTAGAACGCACAGCACCACACGCCCACTACCACACTCCTAGTACCATACCGCCAGTACCACCCGGCCAGTACCCACCGATACCCGCCACCTCTCACGTACATCCAGCCGGGCTCAATCTTCTTCTGACCATTTCGCGCTCACGCCTGTCACTCTAGAGAAAATTCCTGTACGATGTCCTGCCTTGTTCAATGGCATCAACGTCTTCCTTCAAGTACGTCCTGTGCAATCTTGAGCGGAACCACTTGACTGTCCATTGCCCTTCCTGAAGGATCGTGGACGTGGACGGCTAGACTAGCCGGAGCCAGCAGGGAGGCGTGCGGCAGCGCCAGCTAAGCCCGGGCTAGGGCTGGGGCTGGGGCTTGGGCCCGGACTCGGAGTCTGGATCTGCTCATACTTGCTGTACTGTACTCCGCTACGGGCATCGGGCGATGACCTAAGATCGGAGAGGGCGTTGAGAAAGAAGGTCAATGGTGACGAAACGTCCAAAAGGTGCACATCATATCAGAGGAAGGTACACACAAACACACGCTGAGAGGTATCAAGTAGTGACAGGATCGACATTTTTTCGTCTAAAGAGAGAAGAGACACAGAGAGAGTGACAATGGCAATAGAATAAGAAAAAAAAGTGTTGAAACATTTGGAAAGGGGGGGGAAACTTGTAACGCTGAGTGGAGAGCACCTGCCGAATCCAGTTGAGATGATGGCCACCATCGCACCCATGTATAGAGCGGGATAGCGAGCTATCATTTGCGCAACATTTTCTTTGTGTTTTTTTTTACATGGAGCTCTTGAGGTCCTCGTTGGAAGCGTCCTTGGTACCGTGGGTGATGGAGTGCTTGGCACGGTCGGCAGTGACGGCCTCATCGTCGGCGATGTGGGCCTCGGGGTCGACACGGGCGTTCTTCATCTGAGCCAGGTACCTAGCGGAACCACGAGGGGAAGTGGCAGCGTACATACCATCGACCTCCTCGAGGGAAGCACCCTTGGTCTCGTAGATGGTGAAGTAGGCAAAGATACCAGCGCAGAAGCAGGTAGCAGTCCAGATCCAGAAGACCTTGGTCTGCAGACCAGCCTCTCCGGGACCAACGTTGACCAGGTAAGGGGTAGCGTAACCGATACCGAAGTTCCAGAGCCAGTTGGAGGCAGTGCAGAGGGAAAGGGCCTTGGCACGGATGGAGAGAGGGAAGATCTCACCACAGACGACCCAGGCACCAGGTCCCCAGGTGGCGGCGAAACCAGAGATGTAGATGCACACGAATGCGATCATAGCCTTGGAAGCCATGGGGTTGTCGTTTCCGTAAGCTGTTCCGAGAGCAGCAACCAGGAGCTCACAGACGGCCATGTAGAAGGCACCACCGACCAGCATCCATCGTCGACCAAGGCGCTCCATGAGGAAGAAGGAGGGGATGGTGCAGACAACGTTGACGACGTTGCTGACAATGGAGAAGAGGAAGGCGTTGGAAGAGATGGTGCCGAAGAAGATGGTACCGTAGTAGAAGATGAAGTTGATACCGGTGAGCTGTTGCCATCCCTGGAGAAGAGTACCAGTCATGGTCCTGAACCAGTGTCGTCGCTCTCCACCGGTGAAGCAGTCCAGGTAGGTACCGTTTCCGTAGGTCAACTCGTAGTCGTAAGCAGTCTGGATGTCGGCCAGCTCAGAGCGGACGAGGACAGAGTCAGCAGAGTGCGAGTTGAGGCGGGCGAGGGCCTGGGCAGCCTTCTCGGGCTTGCCGACCTTGACGAGCCATCGAGGAGACTCGGGCAGGAAGATGAGACCGATGGACATGACCAGAGCGTAGCCGATCTGGACACCGACGGGGATTCGCCACGAGCCAGTGTCGGCGCGGTCCTTGGTGCTGTTGTTGACGATGGCGGCGAGGAGGAGACCGATGGTGATGCACCACTGGTAACCGGAGACGACGGCACCACGGATCCACCTGGGAGCAGTCTCGGACTGGTAGAGAACGACGAGGGTGGAGACCATACCGATACCGAGACCGGCGACGACACGACCAACGATGAAGACGGGGCGGTTGGTGGTGGCCAACTGAATGATGACACCGACGACGAAGACGACCATGGTAGCTTGCAGACCCAGCTTTCGACCGAGAAGGTCACCCAGGGGAGCTCCCAACAGGGCACCGAAGAAGGTACCGGCGGATAGGATGGAGGTGATGAGGGAAGTCTCACCGGTGGTGAGGTAGAAGTTGGGGTCGTACGCTCCAGTGGAGGGGTCATTGTTCATGAACTCTCCGAAGTCCTCCTTGAAACGCTGCATAGCCAACAGACCGGAGATTGTTCCAGTGTCATAACCTGTTCACGGCGTGGAAGAGGTGGCGTCAGTACCAGAGCTTGGAAGCCTTGAGCGCAACGTTTGCAGTGGCCAAGTACTCACCGTAGAGGATACCACCGAAGGCGGCGAAGCAGGCCACGAGGATGGCGGGGAGAGCCTCTCGGGCGGTGGCAGGCTTGGAGGCGATGACCTGGCCTGACTGACCACCGAAGTTGGTAGGTGCGGCGGGCATGGTGGAGGATGTGAGGAGTGGAGTGGAGAGGAGAGGAGGGAGAGAGGGAGGGAGAAGGTGGGGGGAGAAGAGTAAGGAGGAGTGGAGTCTGGGGATAGGAAAGCAAACAGAAGATGGGGGCCGAATTCAGGAGAGGTTATATACCTTTCTACCCTCAGGCACAGGTACCAGACGGTGCAAGCAAAAAAGAGGCGCTGACATGGGGGGGGGGGGGAGCCGCCTTCCCCAATTCCCCCGTACCCCCCGCACCTGGGGTCCGGAGGCGGGGTCCCCTCTGTCACCCAGCACTGAGACAGTATTGCCCACCGTTGGTCGTGGCAGTGGCGGGATGCGGGACGAGGTGCGGATGTGGCGGAAGAGCGTGGCAAATGATTTAGCCTCAAAGTCTAGAGCCCCGGGCAGCCACCCCCTCATTGGGGCGCTGCACCACTGGGCGGGCGCAGGCGGAGTCAAATGCGGACCTCCCGCCACGGCCGGGTGAAGCGAGATGTTGTTGATCGCCTGCCCTGTCTTGCTGCCACTGCGCCCTACTGCCCAGCCGATCGCCGTGTGACCGCGGCGGGACAGACAGGGCCAAGGAGAAAGTCATTTGTGGTGGCATGGCATAGAATAGTCGCATGACCTCCCTCGGCTCGGCGCTGGGCGCGGGCGATCGAACAGCACCTCACCCAGAAGCCCCTTGTCCGGCAGCCATGGCTTCCCGTCCTCCGCGCACTGCTGTCACGGAATGCCGCCCCCGCGGCTCCCATCCCCCTGCCCCCCACCTCCTCCCCGTGTCTACGCACAAGGTGCTGCATGCTCGGCCACGAATTGCCACATGTGCTAAGTGGCAAGCGACAAGAATTCAAATCGCCTATATTGGTGTTTAGATCAGTGGCGCACATCGACGATGGTCCAGGCCGATCGATGCAAACGCTCGGTGCTGGGACCGGCAAGACCCCAAGCTTCCCTCACAGTGAGATCCTTGGGGCTAAGGTAACTTACCCGGAGGTGCAGAGCGTCCTCGTGTGACACGCAGCCCAAGGACCCTCGCTGTCTTTTCCCAACGCCGCTGATCTAAGTCAGGATCACGGCAGAATTCCAGCAGAGGAATCAAATTGCAGTCGCCGGCGCCATTTCTGCGGGCGTTGGATCCGAGGAATCTTCTCCTGCAGCGACAAAGTGGTGGCTGCCGCTGCCGGCCTCTTGCGATCTTGGCCTTGGCTCCCAAGCCTCGCCTTTCCTTTTTTTTTTTTTTTTCCTCTTTGACACGCGTCCCGAGAGGGGGCGAGTTTTGCCTGCCGCGGAACATCCGTAAATGGAATCGAGCCAAGAACAAAGTACGGCCACAGGCGGTCAATGAGCTATTCGCAGCCTGATCGCTCACCGAAGACGCAACCACAACAAGGATCAGCCGCGGTCAAGCGTCATCATAAAAAAGTTGCACAATGTGCTTAGTCCGGTATGCCCGCTGCGTGAGCTGCCTGCCAGGGCAAGTCCATAGGCAGGTACAGCAAGCAGCCCCATCGCTGCCGCATAACCTTTGAGATTCCCCCGTTCACGGCAGCGCCTGGCACGTCTGTGTACTGTCAGTCATTGGTCTGGCCAAAGCTTACCCACGGCCATCCCTAGCGCCTTACCTCCTCGGCTACTCCCCCCACAGCCTCGGCTGCTGAGACTGCCCTGAGCTTGGATGTAATTGTCGCGGCGCTGAGTCGCTTAGACGGCTGAGCGGCGAGATTCCGCACGCTTAGACAGTAAAGCGAAGTGTGGGGTGCAGGGAGCATCTCTCGCTTCGCGTCGCACACCCCCACATGCCGAGGGCGGTCGGTGCAGGCAGCGCCTGTCCGCTTCTCTTCTCGTCTCGCCTACACGCCACTCTCACCTTCACACAAGTGTACACCGCCCTCCCCAGGAAATCTCCCCCCTTTAGCCATCCATCCAGGCCCTCCCGAAGCGCCGATTGTCGTCCCATGTCCGGCCGGATTTTCGGATAGGCAGAGGGTACCTAATCGGCGCACAGCCATCAGACAGGCAGACAGGCACCCAACCAGCCATGAGTTCAGAAGCCGTTTAATATGCCGCGCCAAGACCGAGAGTTGAGACCCACGGGGACTATCACTTCGGACGAATTGGGCAAAGGGAGATGGCCCCCCAAGGCCCAGGCGCATACGCAGACGCAGGCTCACGCAGAGATCGGAGGGTGGAAAGAGTCCGACCCCTCCTCCTTCCCCTACTACTACAACGCTGTAGCAAGTTGTAGCAATCGCATCTAAGACCAAGGGGCCCCCCTCTCCACCCCGCTCCCTCTTTTCTCCCACCAAACAAAAGGCCCGCTTTCGATCTCTCGCAGCCCCCCTCGCGTAGGATTTCCTTATCAAAGGAAGTTCGGCCGCATCCCCGGCGTGGCTTATCCGTATTCTTGCCGCCGATTCGGGGGCGGGGGCGGGGGCAGGGGGAAGGGGGCCTAGTCGGTTCGATTCCCCCGTACCAATGAGATTTGGCCGTTGCCCCACAACTTTTGTTTCCTTCTGCTCCAGACACTTTGTACCTCTCATGACCACGACGCTGAGCGCGGGATGAACTCTATTTCCTTCTGATCTTCGAGCTCCTCTGCCGCTGCTCCTTATCTCCCAAATCAGAATGATTGACGCCTCTACCTTGCCTAAGCACCACCGACGCTCTCACACCACCGAGTGAAACAAAGCAGCGGCATCTCACACCACACAAACTCAGCTACCGATGTATCGGGGGTGGCGTTAAATGCCATCGTGGGGTATCGCATGCATTGACCGCTATCTTGCTCCAACAAGGGCTGACACATTTCCAGTGCAGCCGCCTTGTTTCGAGTGCCTAGGCGACTTGATATCGCTAGCTCGGCTCCGGCTTACCTATCGCCCACTGTCACTCCTCCTCTCCCTCTCTCACTCCTCCACTGTGTCCAGCCCTCCTCTGCTAGGTGTATGAGCTCCACTCCCGTTGCTGTTGCCCATCCCCATCGAGGTCATCATGACACTGTTCCTCCTAATCTCCTGCGCAGTCACCTTGGGCAGATCAGCCGAAGAGATTCGGTGAGAGATACCACTCGCCTCGTCCGCCAGCGTGAGGGTTAGCGAAGGAATCGGCATCGTCTTGGCTGTAGGAGGGAGGGCGTGACCTTGACGGAGGGACCGCACCCGAGATGGAGCGCCAGGGGTGCCAGAGCCTTCGGCGGCGGCAGCAGAGGCTGAAATGTCGATTGCGCGACGACGATTCGTGACGAGGGGTGCAGTATAAGGTTCTGGCTCTGGGGAGCGATCCGCCGCTCTGGCAGGCCGCCTCGCATTAGCAGGATCTGAGGTACTGGCCGCCGATGTAGGCGACTCGGTAATGACGCCATCATAGGTCGCTACTCCCGCTGCTGCATCTCCTGGGAGCTCCTCGAATCTAGTGACGTTCATTGCCATTTGCTCCTCCTCGCTCCTCAACAGCTCCTCGAGCACAAAGCCAAAGTCCAGGCCAACGTCCTTGAGCTGTTGACCACTCTCCAGGGCTACAGCTCGTGCTCGTGCGGCGGTAGCCTTGTCGTAGCCTCCAGTGCTGCTTCCGACATTGACGTTACCATAGACTTGACGTCTGAAAGTCAGGGCAAAGGAGTGGATCTGGCTAAGGGCCCAACGCACAAAACCCGAAGCCATGCCCGTCTCTTTCCAGCTGACCATGAACCACTCGGAGGTGTTGCGGACCATGCCGAATACTACCATTGACAATTCGGCCACGTAGAGCTCGGTGTCTCCTTCGAATTTGATGGAGCGCTTGCGCTTGCGGAGGAGGTCTTCCCGAGCATTCAGGAATGTCTGGCGGGCGATTGAGGAATAGCCGAGAGAGTTCAAAGCGCTCGAGATTGTGATGAGGGATGACTTGCGCAGACTGGGCGACTGCAGACTGGCAAGGAGAGAGGAGACCAGCGAGCCTATATGGGAGTTGAGCCTCGACGTCAAGACTTGATGAATGGCGTCCGATGGTGTATAGGTAGATAAGACGGCTTTGCCTGCGGATTCCAGGAGACAGGACGGTGGTCAGTGGTAGGCCCATCTTGGATTCGACCGATGAACTCACCTTTGGAGACCTTCTCGCATGCCTCTTTCCACCTTCTCAGAGCAATGTCCACCGCTAAACCATCGCTCCAGTCATTCAACCATCGGTGAGGGTCCTTCCTCTCCTCTTTGACCCTCTCGCTGGCCAGCTTCAATACTCCATCTTCCTCTCCACCTTCCTCGGCCAGATCACCAAGGAAAGACTTGCTGACAGAGCTCTGGCCGGGCTTTTCCATAGCCATGCCCGCGTAGACGGAAGCTCTCCGTCCCAACATGGAGGGCGCACCTGCACCGCTACCGTCAGCCCCACTGCCTCCTTGCTTCTTCTTTCTATTCACCAACTCTTCAGCAACGCGTCGGAAAGCATTGAGAAGAGCCTTCTTTGACTCGGTCCTCTCTGCACGAAAGACGAAGGTCTCTTTGCCCCTCTTGATCTTGATCGAGTCTTTGATAGCGCCGGACACTGAGGCAGAGCCAGCATCAGCAGAACCTCCTTTCATAGCGCTGTCCTTCAGGTCCACGACGACAATGTCGCCAAGAGCAAAGCATCTCTGGGCTTCCAGTCGTACCTTTGTTGCCATTCTACCTTTCTTTCTGGCAGCCACCAGGAGCAGATCATCCAAGAGGAACAATGCAACGTTGTGGCTTGGCCGATAGGTCGCAGCATTGAGCTCGACAAAATCAGGAGCCTCTGCGATGAGATGACGTCCTGGCTTGTAAGGGATGAACTTTTGCGAATTGTCAATGCCCTCCCACAGGGCGGTGAGCTGAGCACGATATACTTGCTGCAGCGAGAGCATGGAGGAACGACGTGCAAGTGGATTGGCGCTGGCGGCACCCAGGAAGGACTTGCTGCTCTCATCTTGACTTTCGAGTACCCTCGGCATACCTCGCCACTCTGTGAGCAGAGACTTGAGTTCAATCATTTCATTCTCAAGAGCCCCCACCTGACTCGAGATAGCAATGAAGTCTGAGTAGTTCGCAAAAACCTGGGACTTGACGTCGTCTTTGACTGCCGCCTTTGCCGCTGTCAGGGTCTCAGAGAACTGGGAAGGACTCATGTTCGGCGGCAGGTGGAGCCGGAGGTAATCAGTAGGAGAGAAGTTGTCAGGCTGCCTCAGCTTATCTAGACTGATAAGATTGTCGCTGCTGCTGTATCTCCGAGTCGAGTCCAGAAGTGATTTGAGAGAGGATCCTTCCCATGCGAGCGTGGGATTCCGTGATGAAGACGAAGAGGGAGACGGGGCACCCTTGGCAGGCGGGGCGAGACCGAGCTGCTGGTGATCGAAGTCGTCGTATCCTCTGCTCGTACCGTCGCCTCTTTGATCGTTGAAGTGATCGCCCGGAGCTGAGCGCCCATCGCTCGGCCCGCCAAAGACCTCCCCTCTCGGCCCGACACCTGCCTCGAAGCCCTCTCCTAACACAGGGAGGCGGCGTCTGTCTGCCCCCGCGCTGCTTCCTGCCTCCAACTGATCGTAGGACGACTGTATATACGCTTGCTGCGAGAGACCACTCGGCAGACTGGGTACAGCTGGGATCATAGCCCCCGCTGTGGAGCCTCCTCTCTGTTCATCTCCATATCTCGTGCTTAATCTCTTCTTGAGGTTGCTGCCAACGAGAGTAGCACCACGCGGACGGCCGGGCCCATTACGGCGAGGTTCAGCATCACTCTGTGGAGCTTGCCGTTGCTGCGAGGAGTATGATGCGGCATCGCCTTCTGGTGAGCGAAAGGGCTGGTTGGACGTCGATCTTGAGGGGATATTGTTGGTCTGATAGGTTTGGGGGATGCCAGCGGACTGCGCATCGTACACCGTCAGACGGCGTGTTCGCACCGAGCGTGACATGGTGGATGCCTGCCCGTGAGCAGTGCCGATGGTGAAGGATGGGCAGAGAGGCGAAGGTGGGATTGCTGACCTGCGCAGACCAAGGCGTTGCTGCTGTACGATCGGGTCGGTGATGGTGTTGGTTGCTCCTGCGCGCCACGGATGGGCCACCCCCGCATCGTAGGCCGGAACGGAAGATTGGCGCCCAGTCCAGCGTTGCGCTTCCACGCTCAGATCACCTTGGCGTGCAGCGAGGACGTGCCTTCCTTCCTTCTTGGCCTGGTATCACTTACCAACACAGATCCCCCTAGTCGTCTCGTGCCGCAGGAGGCGTCCCTTTCCGTCTTCTCCCTCTCCATCTTCTCGCCATGGCTATCCTAGCAGTCACCTTGAACACACTCTCGCCTGCCCTCACAAAGGCAGTGGAGCCGTTTTGCACAAAGTACGGCTTTCCCCATCTGGCTACGCACTTCCCCCTCGCCCTCGCCTCCCTCGTCTTCTGGGTCTCCCTCCAGTTCGCCTCGGCTCTCATCACTCCATCCCTATATGCGCCTTACAAGAACCTTCCGCGAAAGACGCGCGTACAGTGGCATGTACACCTCGTAGCTCTCGTGCACGCCGTCATTATCACCCCCCTGGCAGCGGCTCAGTGGTATGCTGTCAGGCAGGATGGGGGGCTCGTGGGAGGCAAGCATCCCTTGGCAGCTAACAGGCTGTATGGCTACACCGTAGAGACCGGAAACGTCTATGCCATCGCCCTCGGCTACTTTGCATGGGACGTAGTCGTCTCTGCCCTCTTCGACGGCCCCGCCTTCATCGCCCATGGAGTCGTGGCCATGGTCGCATTCACTTTCGTCTATGTGGGTAGAGCCGACATTGGATTGAGGAAAGAAGCAGCCGTGCTGATCTCGCCTCGCTGACTCTTTATCATCTTTCCATTCCTCACAGCATCCCATCTTCATGTATGACGGTCTGGGCTTCCTCCTCTGGGAGCTGTCCACTCCCTTCCTCAACATCCATTGGTTCATGGACAAGACGGGCAACACCGGCTCCACCGCTCAGCTCGTCAATGCCTTTTTCCTCCTCAGCTCCTACGTCCTAGCTCGCCTGACATTTGGAGTGTACAACTCCTACTCCTGGTTCAAGCTGGTCAACTTCCCAGCCACACCGCACGTGCCTGCGATCCCTCTGCCCATCAAGCTCTTCTACTCGATAGGAAATGTGACGCTCAATACCCTCAACTTCATCTGGTTCAGGGCAATGATCGCCGCGGTGCAGAAGCGATTCACCTCATCTCCTTCGGATGCTGACAAGAAGAGGCTTGCCTCTGGCAAGGTTACACCCGAGGAGAAGGAACGCGCTAGCAAAGCAGACGAGGACGCTCGTATCATGGCTGGTGTAGGTCAGGAGAGCAGGGAGGACCTCCGAAGAAGGGTCGCAGCTGGTCAGCCTGTCAAGGCTTAGGCTGCGGCTAGAACAGGAGGCGGCCGGCTCAGAGTTTGAGGGAGTATGGAAAAGGTTGTGATATATGCACCGGTTGCGGACAGATCTGCGCGAGACGAGAGTAGGGATGGGAGCGGTAGACGATAGCAAAGAGATGGGCCGGAAATCTAGAAGATGCGGTCGAGCGGGACAGGCTCTGGCTCTCGCCCAGGAAAAGGATTTATTCCACTCTGAGAAGCCGATACACATGGTCGGAAGTCATTCGACAGTGCACTACGATGTCGTCAGGACGTGGTTATAGCCTCCTTCTCCTTCTCAGCTGGCAATGCTTGCTGGCTTTGCTGCGCTTCCGCAACCGCCTCTGCTTGCTGCCCATCTCTAGCCTTTAGCTCCTTCTCCTTTGCCCTCTCTTCCTCCTCGCGCTCCTTCTGCTTCCTCGTCCTCTCCGCCTCCTCTCGTTCCTTGGCCAAGCGCTGCCTCTCTTCCTCCTCCTTCTGCCTCTGAATGCGCTCCCTCTCCCTCTGTCTCGCTGTCTCCTCCTCCTCCTTGATCTTCCTCTGCTTCTCCTCCTCCCTTTCCCTCTTCTCCTCTTCTTCCAACCTCTCCATCTCCTCCTTCAGCTCACTCTCATCCATCTCCTGTTGTCCAGCAGCCAAGCGCACCCTCTCCCCTCCATCCTTGACCGCCTCATCGATTTCCCTCTGATCGGCCACGACGTCTTCAAGACCCTCCATTGTGCTCTCGACCTTGTCGCGCTGCAGACGAGGGTCGGCGAGGAGGTTGCGCAGGACAGAGGTGGCCGTCTCGTAGGTTCCGAGGATGGAAGCATCACCAGCTGTTTGTTCGATTTTGAGCAGGATGGAGGAGAGGGTGGAAAGGGAATCAAGACGCTTGTCCAGGATGGACGATAGGTGCTTCTTGAGCTTGAGGGCATTAAGAGCTTGGGGCTTCTGGGAGGCGCGGAGGTGCTGTTGTACTTTGGCATCGCATCTATGGGGATAAGTAGTGTGAGCTGGATGATCAGTAAAGCAATTCGGTCTGCCTATACGACTGAGAATTTCACTCACTCCGTCATCCTCCTCTCAAGCTCCGCAACTTGCGTCTCCAGTCGGTCGTGTGTCTCCTTGATAGCCACCAAACCTCGGTCCTGTTCAGTAATGGCCTCCACCTCCTCCCCCTCATACGCAGCCAGCTTCACCAGCCCCTTTTCCACCCGCGCAACCTTCCTGTCTCGGCAGAGGTGTTTGAGAACAATCTGTTGGTCTACTTCGGAGAGGCTGGGTTGTGCTGAGAGGAGGCGGGAGCGAAAGGTTGCGAGAGGGAGGAGAGAGTCCAGTGGGGAGAGGGTTGCTTGGGAGTAGTGAGCCTGCAGGAAGGCGGAAGCGGTACGCTACAATTGATGCCATGGCGCAATGAGATGGTCAGCTACCCTGCTCTGGTTCATTATAGAGGACGCTGAGTACCTCTGCTCACCTCTACATTCTCCCACACGACCCACTTGCCCCTGGCCTTCTTCCACTCTTTGAAGTCATCTTCGTCGTCCTCCTCCCCTCCACCTCCGCCTGTGATGCCTAGATTAGACAGAGCCCACCAGAGTGGTTTGCCGACGACAAAACCGACAACACTTCTTGCAGAAGGAACGTAAGAAGATCGAGAGGCGGCCACCCTCGAAGGTCCAGCAATGGCAGCAGTGGTCGTAAGGAATTGGGTCAGAGAGACAAGATGGGATTTGGACGCCATATCGAGCTGTAGTCAACATGGAGGGCGGGGACCAAAGAAGGTCAGAATTAGCTCACGTTGAACTAACAGATAGTACTCACCACGACGGTACCGATACCCATCGGTCTCCCCACTTGCTCAAAGCTCCACCCGTCGAGCATCTCCTCATCCACATGCAGGACCAACCTATCCTCTCCATCACGCTGCCTTGCCTTGCCCTTGACATCGTCCCGTTGAGCCCTCTGCCATACGACATCTGTAAGTATCTTGTTCCACCATTCCAGGTTGGCGCGATAGGCTGCTGGATTCGAAGAGCGCAGAGAGGAGAGGGAGGAGTAGAGGGAGGGAAGCGGGGAGGAAGGGGAGTCGATGTCCTGGAAGTCTGCGTGACGGGAGAGATACGAGGAGAGGGAGGGTGCCGGGGATGACACAGCCGCAGCGGTCGAAGACGACGAAGTCGACGTCATTGTGGCAGCGACGATGACTGCGTGGAGGTCGTGGTATGTATTGGAGGGTGATAAGGGGAGTAGCGAGTGTCACTTTGTGCGTGATGCTCTTTGGCGTCGCTGCTTCCGCCTCGGCTCCACTTCTGCACTCAGCCTTTCCGCTCTACCACCACTTGTACCGTTGACCATCACCCTCATTACCTCGCCCGAAAGCCTCAGCCGCTCCTCTGCTCCAGCATGGACGAAGCAGCATTGCGGGCAATGCTGCCTATGGGCTTTGGCAAGGCAAAGTCTTCCGCTCCCAAGTTCGCCAGCAGCAGCAATGGCAGCGGCAGTGGCAGCCATGACTTCTCTTCCAGGCCATCCACTTCTTCTGCAAAGGTGATACAAGGGCCCGCAATGGGACCAATGGCGGCCAGCAGGAGAAAAGCAGACGACAGCGATGACGACGAAGACGACGAAGACGATGATGGACTCACAGCAGAGGAGAGGGCCGCAGCCTCGGCGCTCCCTGATGATGATGACGACGATGACGATGGAGATGACAATGCTTCCGACTCCTCCGCCGATCTCGGCCCAGAGCCAATAGGTGCAGATCCCTCCAGCACATCACTGCCCTTTGGGTCCACGCTGCAACTCTCTCAGCATACAAAGTCGGTCTCCGCACTCTCTGTTGATCCTTCAGGCGCTCGCGTAGCCACAGGGTCATACGACTATGACGTGCGGCTATGGGACTTCGGCGGAATGTCTTCCAACTCCCTCCTCCCGTTCAAGACATCCCAGCCCTTTGGCTCCTACTGGATCCATGACCTGGCCTGGTCAAGCAACGGCGAGCAACTGCTTGCGATCAGCGGAACTAGCCAGCCGAAGCTCTTCGATCGCGAAGGCGCCGAGATTGCTACTTTTCAAAAGGGAGATGTGTACATCAGGGACATGAAGCAGACGGCAGGACATGTTGCCGAGGTGACTTCGGGTAGCTGGATGCCCTATCAGTCAAATACTTTCGCCACTAGTAGTGCTGACTCTACGATACGACTCTGGGATGTAGAGGATAGGCGCAAGCAGAAGACGGTGATCAGTGTCAAGTCAAAGGACAGAGGGGCCAGGACAAAGGTCAGCACACATGTTTTCAGTCATGATGGAAAGACACTGGCAGCCGCTTGCACCGACGGCGCACTACATCTATGGTCCACGTCTGGGTCTTACTCGAGACCTAACTCGACCATCGAAGGCGCTCATGCCAAAGGGACAGATACGAGCTGTGTGGTCTTCTCTACCGACGGCAGGACGCTAGCCAGCCGGGGAGGCGATGATACTCTCAAAGTTTGGGACGTCAGATCTTTCCGGAAGCCATTGGCAGAGAGATCGGGGCTTCCAAACAGCTACGGCCAGACGAGCGTCATCTTCTCGTCGGACGAGCGGACGATTCTTACGGGCACATCGGCTTCGCGGAGCGGCAAAGCAGTGGAAGAAGGAGACGACGTTGCTGCCTCTTCCTCTGCAACGACGAGCGGCTGCATCGAGATATTCTCTCGCCTGGATCTCTCCCCGCTGCAGTCCGTGCAAGTCCCCACTGCGTCCTCTAGCAGCAAGCCGCACTCGATCATCAGGCTGCAATGGCATCCCAAGATTAATCAACTCTTCAGCACCACCTCCTCCGGCAGCTGTACCATCTTCTACTCTCCCGCCCAATCTCTTCGCGGAGCTCTCCTCCCACTAGCCAAGACGACTTCCCGTCGTACCCGAGCTCCCTCTCCCGAGGCAGGAGAAGAAGGTTTCCACGGCCCCATCATCACACCTGGAGCGACAGACTCTGCTTCTTCTCGCGGGCAGGGACAGAGTGCCGCTGCGAAGAAGCGTCGTCTGGAGCGTGAGAGGAAGGACCCTACTATTTCTCGCATTCCTCAAGTACCGATGAGCGGGCCCGGAAGGGGTGGAAGGATCGGATCGGCGGCGACACAGCATGTTGTTCAGGGCATCTTTAGAGATAACACGAGGGAGGAGGATCCTAGAGAGGCTTTGCTCAGGTATCATACCGCTGGGAAGGATGGAGAGGAGGAGAGAAAGTTCACAAAGGCGTGGGAGGTGAATGAGCCAAAGAAGATCTACGCAAAGGACGATGAGGACGAGTAAACGGCGCGTGGGGACGGACACGGGGAGACGATAAGACTCTTTTTGAGGATGGGAAATTCAGGTACAATACAGGCATCCTTTACTCCATCTTTTGATCAACCGCCCACCCAATACAAGTCGGGGTATCTGTTTTCCATCCATCTCTAGACGTGCAGCTCTCTGTCTCTACTTTCAGAAGCCATGCGAGAAGTCGAAGCTGAGGTAGCCTGGTCCAAACTGATTCAGCACACCAGAGGAAGAATCCTTGCCCTTTCCACCACCACCTCCTCCTCCGGCTCCTCCAGAACCAGCATGACCGCTACCTCCACCTCCTCCCGCTCCTGAAGTCGAATCGTCTCCATGCGGACTGCTGGGACGCGTGACGCCTGTCCCTGCTCCATGGTAGCCGCTCGAGGTATCGTCCGTCAGTCCAGGAAAAGCATCATGGTGGTCACCTCCGCTCCCCGAGTGTCCGCCATGTCCGCTGCCAGGTGTAGCCCCCACCGAATCGTCAGAGGGAACAGAAGCGGGCTGCATATCGATACCGCCATTGAGCCCGTCTAGTGGCCCGCCCAGACCAGCAGGTACGAGCTGGGACCACCAGACATTGTCGAGCATGAGAGAAGACGAGTCCATGGTCGTGGATGAAGCTGAAGGAAACATCGTAGAAGCGTTGAAGGGAAGGCCTGTGCCGCCGCTCAGATCTGGCCCTCCTTGCTCTCCCCCAATGGGAGAATTGCGGGCCGTCGTTCGACCACCTGGACCTGTACCGAGCATGGGGTCCGCAGCCGAGTCACCAATGCTGAAGGCGGCCGATGCTGAGGCGGGGTCATTATTGCCATTGGAGTAGCCATTATGGCCATTGGCCTCGTTGAGCCCACGAGTGAGGTCTGCAATGTTGACTCCTGGGGCTGACTGCTGTTGTGCGTTCGGCGAGACGGCTCGCGATGGGAAACGACTATAGGTCGAGCCTGCACCTGTCCCTCGGCCCTGTTTCTCTGCTTTGGCATGGGCCAAGGTCGAACGCAAGAACCTGCCGTAGAGGGCAGGGGTATGCGTGGGTCCAGCAGCCACATCTACGAGCATATCGGCTCCTTCCTCCACTAGGCCAAAGATCTCATCGCAATCAGCATAGTTGCTGAAGGTGGGTCTGGTGAGCTTGAGCATGAAGACGAGTGCGAAAGAGAGGAGCAGTATTTGCGTATCCGGGGCGTATCGCAGGATGGGCCTCATACCGTCGCGAGCAGCATAGAAGAGGGCTTTGGCTGCATCGTAGCACTTGTAGAAGTACAGTCCACGATCCATGGAGCTACCAAATTGCAACCCAAAGGAGTGTACCGTAAGAGAAGCATAGTGGTATCGAAGAGGAGCTTGCTGGATGAGATAGTACAGAGTCCTCATGGTGTGATCGGCATCGTCGGAAGGCGGAATAGGTCGATTGGCAGCAGCGAAAAGCTGGCATATCTCAATTTCCCGAGGCGAAAGCGTCTCATCGATCGGTGGAATAGCAGGGAATCGATTACGGCTGTCACCAACGACGAGACCTCTTGCGCCCCAAAAGTGTCTCCATTCCTCCATCTGCTCGTAGAAGATTCTGATCATGTTGGAGAAGTCCAAATCGGCATTGAGACCAGTGACGGAGCTGACGGACGAGTAGAGGAGATCGATCTGCCTCGAAGTCAATCGGACGAACTCGCTGATGGCGCTCAGGGCCACATCGGCCGGCTGAGCAAGTCGATCCAAAGCCCATGCCCGACTGTTGCGGATAATGTAGTCCTCGCGAATCATGCTGGGCTTGCCCATCTGTGAGCTCAGTGAGCGGTCCACGACAAAGCAGAAGATCCAGGTCCTCTCACGATTGCGAATCTCCTTCTCCCTTTCCAATACTGTCGGATCATCCGTACGCGGGTGTCCTGGCAGGCTGGCTACGGATTTGCGATGCAAATTGAGATCCGTTGCAACTCGGAAAGCGATGCCAGCAAAAATCCAGCTCTTGTCTTCCTCAAATCGCTTGGCTGGCTGGCCCCACATGGTCAGCAGGAGGAATGCCTGGACGATCTCTACCGACTTATAGCCCTTTTCCAAACATCGAAATGCCTCTTTTGTGGCCTGCTGTAGACACTTGGTGTGTAGATCGGGTCGCGCGGTATAGTATCGCGAAGCAATGGCGAGAATGACTGTGAAAAGGAAGGGTGACCTGCCACAGACGAATTGAGGCGTATGCCACTCGGGATCGAGGAGGACGATGTGTTGATCGCAATTGTGAAAGAAGATGCTGAAGAGATCCAGCACTTCTTTATCACTGACTGTCCCGCTGGTCAAAAGCTCAGGTGGAAGCTCTCTGTCGATGATGACTTTGCGCAAAGGCAGCATCGACATTGGTCCTGGCCGGAAGTAGGTCTTGCTAGCGACGCCAAGAGCGGGCTCGTCCGAGAGGGAGCCCTTGCGCTTGACCTTGCTGCCAGCCTTTCCGCCTTGTGCATCGCCGTCCGCGCCTTCACCTTCCCCCTCCTTGCTTCCTGAAGTGTCCGGCCGACCACCTTTACCGTCAGCTGCAGTGCCTCCTCCCCTGCTATCTTGCTTGCTCCGCCTCATTGAGCTCATCTGATTACCCAAGCTGGCTTCAGCGAGCAAACCTAGAGGGTTCATGCTGTCCGGAGGCAGTGAGTGAAGACGAGGGCTGGGAGGTCTCCTCAGCCTGGACGCGGAGGAGCCGGAGGCAGATGACGATACAAGGCCAGGAGCCATGGAGGCATACTTGGCTTGAGTGTGCGTCTGCGATGGGTGGATCATCCCAGCTGGCCCGCCACCAGAAGCCGTCAACTGGCTCGGGGCGATGCTTGTAGGGGGATCCATCAGACCGCGACGGGAAGAAGTCCCAGCAGGTGTGGGCGGTAAGATCTCACGAACGGGCGATTGAGGTCGTGTGAGCATTCCACTCGCGTGCCCGAGGCTATGTGCATGCGCAGGATCTCGGATAGAGCGCAGAACCGTATTGAGCGTGGCCTCCATCTTTTCCAAGCTCTTTGCCAAGTCGACGTTCGACTGCTTGCCCTTTGCTTTGCCAGCTCCTTTGAGGCCCGCTGCTGAGAAGGAGTTGTTTGGGCTTCCTTGCTCTTCTGGTAGAGCTTGAGTGCTAGCGTTGGCAACAGCAGCTCGCTCTGCTCTCGCTTTTGCGGCAGCAGCGGCGCTGGCTGCTGCCTTTTTGCCTCGATTGCTCTCTTCAAAGTGACAGACATACCCGGAATGCTTGCAGCGATCACAGGGTGGACCATTCTCACCACCCGTACATCTCATCTTGAGCTTCCGGCAGTGGGTACAAGCCTTTGATCCTCGGGGAGGTTTTGGGTTTCTTGATCCACTTTGATCTTGTTCGCTCCGGTCTGGGCTCATACCAGAGGCGGAGCGGTTGGTAGAGTCCTGTCTTTGTGAATTCTGGAGACGACGGTTTTGACCTGAAGCCCCATTCGACCCGTCACGCTTGCGCTTGCGCTGACTGCCGTTAGCCTGACCAGACTCGCCATCCTCATCCCCATCACCCAAATCGTCGTCATCATCGTCGTCGTCATCCTCGTCATCATCTTCATCCTCGTCGTCCTCATCCTCATCCATCTCATCTTCGCTCTTCACATTCGCGTGAGGCCCGCTACCTCTAGGGGTATTGCTCTCGGTAGGGGTCCATGTTCCCCCAGCCATGACTGATCCACCTCTGCTCATGCTCGTATACTGGTACACTGGCGCGGGCGTGGCATAAGGCGATGCATGCGGGGAGTGTCCATTGGGCGGTGTACGTATGCCGGAGTGTGGATGGGAGAAAGCCGGCAGGGAAGAGGTGGATCCAGAAGGTCCAGCGCCTCCATTGTTGCCATTACCGTTGCCGGCAGCTATTCCCTGTCGAGAGTGATACATCTGTTGCAAGCCCACTTGCTGTATAAGCAAGTCTAGATGAGTTGAGATGAGCGCGACCGGGTCCGGGAAAAAGGCGATTGGGATTTGCCGAGACCCTCGCAACGGGCCGAGAGCTCAATCGCGAGGGGATGAGCTCACTGGTCTGGCTCCGCGAATTGACGCGATGGATATCGTGTGGACGCTGTTAGGCGGTGGATGAGAGTCGTGATGTTCGTCGTCAGAGCTTGCCAAGGAGGACAAGGTCTTGTAGGAATGAGAGATGAAGGTAGACCACTGGGAAGTTATCGCCCGGCAGTCGAAATTTGGGGCGCATCGCCTCGGCTGAGCTCAATCCAGCTCAGGTGAAGCCACGCCCAGCCACAGCCGCCAGTCCGCACCCAAGGCAGTCCGCGTCCGAGACTCGACGACAGTATTGTCCTTCCCTCAAATCAGAACATACTACATCATGACTAGGTAGCTATTACAGTGACGAAACACGAGCACAATAGATGGTACAGAAGCCGCAGCGCGCTGCGGGCCACGCTGCAACTGGGCTACTGACGGACAAGGCGGGCGGGACAACCGGGCCTGCCTTCTGTTCCTCCCCTTCCTTCTGAGCGCCTCAGTAGTCGTCTTCTTCGATGATCCTCTGCGCATGAACCTTCCTCGGCGCAGAGGCAATGCTGCCACTACCACTGCGGCTCGCGACCATTCCACTCGACACAGGGCCAGGTCCACTTGCCCTGGACCTGTGGGACTCTCCCCGGCTGCCGCCGCTCTTTCCGCCTATACTGTTGGAGCTCTTGCTCGAAGAATTGAGGTCGCTACGGGCGTCGAGGAGAGAGGAGAGAAGGGAGAGATCACCAGCGCGTGTGGAGAGGCCGGCATCGTGCTCGGACTGCCGACAGAGGAGGAGGATGCACATTGTGCTGATCAGAACCCAGTCCATGCCTGGGGCTATCACCATTGCAACGGAATTTTTTGCGACTGTTTGTAGCAGAACGAGAGGGGAGAGACACTCAGTCATGAAGCTCGTAGAAGGTGAACGTGAGAGTCCAGACCGCACCACTCACCGTCAAACTTCTCTCCGTTCCAAACGATGCTGCCGCCGGGGTTAGCACCGATCCTAGCCACTATCCTACCCTCCCATGTGAAGTCGACTGTGCCCATGCCGACATTCTCTTGGACCCAGATGGAGGCGGGCCCGGCATTGTTCTGACCATCCTGGCTCAGATTGGACCGCAGCTCCACACCCCACTCGAAAAAGGTACAGTCCAGAGCCCGTGCTGTGAAGGCCAGATCTGATTGAGGATTGTATGAGGTATCCATACCACTCGAGTGGGAGGTAGACGATGCGGTACTGGTTGCTGCGTCGCTATGTCTGGGGCCAGCGCCGCTATTGGCTGCAGGAACAATGTACTCTCCGTCTGGTCCGGCGATGCCGCGTGGTGTCATGAAACAGCCTTTGCGGAAGCCAACGCACTCGTGGGTGCCTTCTACACGAAGGAGCTGATGACCCTGTGGAGTATTGATGTATGTTATTGTACGTTTGCGATTCGACTTGCTCTGCGAGGGTGGAAGGGGTGACGGGTGAGGAGGTAAGGACGGGAGGGCGGTTGGGTCAGCTCACTGTGGGTCTTGCAGCTCTGCCAGTGCTTGTCAGATGCAAATGGACCTGCAATATTCACCTCACTCTTGAGCACGACTGCTCCTTGCCGCCTGACGTCCTTTACCGACAGCTTGCCTGTCACACCTCCGAATCCCAGTGCTACCTTGAGCAGAGTATGCTCTCTCCTATTCACCCCTCCGAGAATGCAGCAGAGGTCCGAATAGCGTGGGAGGGGCTCGATGGCCTCTGCCACAATGGTAGGACCAGAGCTGGAGGAACGAGAAGAAGAGTTGCCCATGCTGCGTGCGAAGAAAGATGTGCAGCTGATTGAAGAGGTAGTAGTGGGGTAGTAAAGCAGACAAGAGGAAACGGGAGGATGGAATATTACCTTGGTCGAGTCCTAATCTTGAATTTGAATACTGGCAATGTAGTTTCGGGTAGGTGAGACCGGCTCTGGTTGAATCTGAAACGCGGAGGATAGGGGAGCAGAAGGGGCCCAAGCGAGGATTTTGTGCTGGATCAGTGATCCTCGGAGAAGCGGCGCGTGAAGGGGCGGGAAGAGAGGGGGTGCTGAGAGCCTTGGGAGTAGGTAGCGCAGAAGTTGAAAGAGGATCTGGTATAAGAAGAAAGAGGAGCGCAAAATAGACGGAGACGAGGAAGACGTCAAGGGATGAATGCAAAGTATCGCTGCTAGGCACGCCTTATGCTGGGTGGGATGGCTATCGCCCTCCTTGGCGGGCCATTGGCAGCCGGACCAAGCAGGGTGGCGTCGTGCAACAAACTTTTTAGTGACCTTTGGGCGTGAGGCTGCTTGTGCCGTCTGCCGCCTGGTGCCTGCGCCCCCGTCTTGTGGTACTCCCGCTTCCCCCTCCGCTCCTCCGCCCGGCCCACTCCTCCGCTCTGACGAGAAGCGACTCACGTCAAATCTCTCTGTCCCACGCAGGCGCCCGTCGCGTCGCAGCCACGCGACCACTTCTCATTTCGCACTCCCTCGCTTCACCACCAAGGCGTGGGCGTCTGACAGTGCTCTGAAGGCAAGCACAGCAACTGGCAGACGGCAGTGAAGAACTTGTGAAACAGATGCAAGGCGCAAGGTACAGTCGTGCCAAGCAGCGCTACACAGATTCTGAGACCGGCCATGTATAATACTCTGAGTGGTGCGGACGTCGACCACAGCCGGTGCAGTCACCGTGCAGGCAGCAGGGCGAGCAGGTCTTCTCATCACCTTGAGCCTCGTGCCAGGGACATATAGCAATGACCTTGTCATAGCTCCTTTCCACCGATCCCACACACATTCTGCGCTCGGTGTCAAGTGGCCGCCCGAGAACAGCGAACCAGATATAGCGAGAGCTTGGCGAGAGAGCGCAGAGATGCGTCATCGGCTGTTGGTCTCAAATGGTACCTTCATACTAGTCGTGAAGTCCAGACTTCAAAGAGCGGGGAGCTCTCGTCGATTCCCCTTGAGGCGTCTCACGATCCATCAGGGTGCGCTTCGAAAGCTCTGTCTGACATCTCACTGTGGTTTCACCTCGTAGTGTAGCGCAGCATCACCAGCGTGTATATGACTTCCTCGGTCGAATATCGGAGCGGAAGCAGCGATGGTTGCTGTGACGCGCGCGCGAAGGGCCACGCCCCCCACGAGACCAGGCGGTCCATGCAGAGCAACTCTGTCGGCACTCAGCTCCAGCTCATCGTGTTCTTCTCGCGGACAGCTAAAAGCTACTATAGATCCCTACCATCGCCAGCCCGTAACATCGACATCCATACGGGCGACAGCTGGCACTGCGACACCTTAAGAAGTAGACTCAGACTCTCACACTCGAGCGAAGACACACCGTGTCGCTCTGCGCAGACGTCCTGAGCTTCGCCAGCAGCCCGCTTGCCAGCTCCACACAGGCCAGTCTCCCTCCCTCCATACTCTCTCCGGCCCTGGCCCACAATGTACTCGCCGCCGCACCACTCTACTCGGTCTCCACCACCTCTGCAACATCCCATCCCCACTCACCCGCCGCGGCAAGTACCCGACCCACCCGGAACACCCACTCCCTCGGCAGCCGTTTCCGGCTCCGCAGACACACACATGAGCTCTGTCCGTTCCAGGGCAGGTGGGGCAGCTCCTACGGGCCAAGTTTCCTCTACCATGAGCGCTGGAACGAGCTCTAGCGGGAGCTGTACTTCAGGCCAGGCTCCCTATGCCAGATATAGCAGCCCGCCCATTCAACCTCAGCAGCCAGACACAGGCTCCATGGCAATGGGAGGCGGTGGAGGTGGCATGGGATATGGACAAAGTTTCGGATCGGCAATGAATGACCACTCGGCATACGGCCAACAGCAGCATCAGCAAAGCGGATACGGCAATCCTCAGCAATCATCGTACTATTCTCAGCAGGCCGGTGGAGCAGGACAACAGCAGCAGAGTCAATTTGGCGGATTTGCCAACTTTCTGCCGAGTGATCCGAATGTGAACATGACCGCTCAAATGGGAATGCACTTTGGTCAGCAGATGGCAAGCGTAGGAGGAGAATACATGCAGAAGAACGTGAGTACGCGAGCTCCCGGGATCGCGCTGGCAGACTGAATCAGAAGAGCTTACATTCTGTCTCATGACACTCCCTCGTCGCAGATCTCGACATATCTGCCGTCAATGGCAACTCTGAGACCCTTCTTCAACGTATCAAATTCCTACGTCCTTCACAAGCTCCGCGTCATCCTTTTCCCCTGGCGGCATAGACCCTGGTCACGAGCTCATCGGGCGGCAGGAGGTGGAGGTGTAGCAGTGGGAGGAGTTCCACCCAGCGGTGGAGCCGAAGCGGCAGGAGGTACTATGGAGTGGCAGACGCAGAGGAGAGTCATCATGGAAGGATACGCTCCTCCGAGGGAGGACGTCAATGCGCCGGACCTGTACATACCAGGTGAGTTGCGAGCGGGCGTATCGGGAGCTTAAGAGCTTGGCTGCTGACTCTCCCTTACCTCTGGGCCCACCTCCTCCAGTGATGTCCTTTGTCACCTACGTCCTCCTCATTTCCGTCATCCTCGGCCTCTCGAACAAGTTCCGTCCCGAGATTCTCGGCCTCACAGCCTCTCGCGCCCTAATCATCATCGGCGTCGAGCTCCTGCTAATCAAGCTAGCCTGCTATCTCCTAAATGTTCAAGGAAACCATTATGGGATCTTGGACTTGACTAGCTATGCAGGATACAAGTTCGTGCCGGCCTGCGTCACACTGGCTGCTTCAGCGTTGAAGCTGGGAGGACTAGTGTGGTGGATGAGCTTCGTCTACTCGTTCGCCGCGTTGGCCTTCTTCCTCGTAAGTACACCAGAGGCAGATTGCCCTCTGCAAATGAAGATCAAACACTGACCATTTCCCCTCCTCATTGCCACCCATTCCTCCTCGCGCTACCGCTACCGCTACCGCTCAGCTCCGCTCCCTCCGCCACATCATCCTCCCCGATGCAGCCAGCGCCCCATCTTCCTCTGCAAGCGTAACCACCATTACCCACGCTCAGCGCAACAAGCGAGTACAGCTCCTATTCATCATTGCTGTACTCCAATTCTTGCTTGGGGCCGGGTTATGTTTGAGAGTGACTGGATAAAGGAGATTGGGAAGGAGAGAGAGAGAGAAAGGGGTGGAGCTGGCAGAGGGGAGAGAAGAGGCGAGTCGAGATAGCGCGGGTCGCTCTGGGTTTGAGGTGGCATGAGATGGGATGAGAGAAAAGAAAAAAAGAAGGGCAGCATATCAGCGACTACCACATCCAGGAACTCCCACTGCTTTTCTCCACTCCCCCCTTTGGTATCACACTAGCGCATCGTCACGCAATTCTCACACCTTTTGGCATCACTCCGCCCCTCATCGTCCTCTTCTTTCCTTGCGAGTGCTTGGAAGGAAACAGTCACGAAACTTCACACTCAGAGAGCTTCAAAGGGATGCTAAAGTGCTTTTTGGAGGGAATGCGACTCGAGGTTGCGAGACTGACTGGCTGCGGACTACGAAAGGGGGGCTAGGGCTAGGGCTAGGGCTAGGGCTAAGACTATGGTAGTGTACAAGTACATGGGGCTGTGCCAAATGGACCGATTGGGTCGATTGACGCCGGAGTGGATGAGGCAGCAAGTGAGTGGGCGATGGGAGTTGGTACAAACAGACAGAGAGAGGGGGGGCGCATCTACATTCAGTGGGATTCGAGCTTGCAAGGTCGTTGCCTCGCTGTTATCTTCTTCGAGCGTGGCTTCTTTGTCCCGCCCTGACTTCTATGGATGACTGGCCAGGCATGGAGAAGTCCATCGCAAGTCGGCCCACATCCACAAGAGCGACGCACTGGCTCTGTCTCCTGCGCAGGTATTGCGACCACTACCGCTACTTATCCCGCTGGCGCTCAACAAGAGAATGGGCTTCCCACTGCTCCCTCTGCGAAGCTCGATTGGATATCGACTACACTTGCGTAGGTCCCCGCAACGAGGATCATCATTCCGATGAGGAACACTGCGACGTTGAGAATCGTCAGCACCAAGTTCCTTCCCTTTTTCCAATCTCCCTCTCGCAGGAGGAAGATCCAAAAGAGTGGTGGGAAGCAGAAGGTGAACCATGAGATGAAGAGGGAGGAGATGAGACCTAGGAGTGATGAGAAGAAGGGGATGAGCTCGGCTACGAACCAGGCAAAGATGGTGATGCCTAGAACGAGGGCTACCCAGACGATGGTACCCTTCTTGGTGCTGATCCATTGGTGGGGAGTACCGCGGTACATCTTGTCGTAGATGAATCGAGCTGCCGTCTGCGTGTTGATGGATCCACTGATAAAGACGACGGGGATGGCCAGTCCGAACGCTACCTGGCTCACAACTTTTGAGTTGGACAATAGTGCGGGAGACTGCACGTCGGAACCAATGAAGACGAAGCCGAGGGCTCCGGTGAGGGAGTAGATCACAATCTCGCACAATCCCAGAGCCCAAATCGACTTTGTGAAGTCCTTTGGCCTACGGAGCTCTGCCATGAAGGAGAATTGGCATTGTGCATAGGCAAAGGCGAATACGATGTTCAAGACGCTTGCGAATGCCTCGGCGAAGCCCGGATTGCTCTGCGGGAATGCGTACCAGTCGATTCCGTCCAGTCCTCCAGGCTTCTTGCTTCCTGTAATGCCTGCAGCGATGATGGTCACACCAATGGCAAGCATGATCGAGGTGAAATCGATGTATCCGAGGATGGCCATCTCGCTGAAAGTCTTGGGAAGAGCCAGGAGGAAGAGGATGACGGCGCTGACTACCGTGAAGACGATGGCACAGACATTGGAGTCGGTGATCGTCTGGAACAAGATCTTGCCGGTAAGCGCGTGAGAACCCGTAGTGAAGGACAAGAGCAGGAGGAAGCACGCTGTCGTGAACCAGTAGCCGATGGAGGTGGCCATCTTCGAACCACCGAAGATGCGGCCGAAGAGAAGACCACCAGCGAGAGGGTAATTCTCCAGATGCGGGAACTTGAGCCAAGTGTTGCCGATGTTCAATGAAGAGTAGATGGCGATGAAGCCGATGCCAATGGTGATGAGCAGACCTGGGACAAGACCGAGTGTGGCATAGGTAGCTGGCATCGACAGCTGCGGATGGGAGGTGACGAGGCGTTGCAGGTGTCAGTACGAGGTGGCCTGCGCCGACGCTTCTGGGGACGAGTGGACACTCACCGATCCGAGGGCAATGGCTTCAACGATGAGGACAATCGTGAGTCGTGGCCATGTCAGCTTGTGAAATTTGGCCTGGTCTCGTGACACATCGTCCAAGTTGGCGTCGGTGAGGGAAGGGGACTTTTCATCTGTTCGTGGCGAGTTCTTGGACACGAGAATCTCATCATCGGTAGTGGTCTTTCCGACTGGGGTGTGCCTCTCAGAGCCAGAGTCTTCGAGGTGGTTACTGCCGGTATGGGTGGCTACACTGGAGCCTTCGTGCGACATGGCGATGTGGTGCTAGATGGGTGGGGGGAGCCAGTCAGCTGAGCCAGCTGGGTCAAGAGACTGCCAGAAGAGGTGTGTGAGGAGGATGTAGTCTACAGAGGACTGAAGAAGAAGAAGAAGATGCGGGGGATCTAGGTGGGATCGAACTGTGGGAGAGTTGGTGAGGGACGTTAGTGAGGGCGAGTGATGAATAGCCTTAAGGGAGGGGTGGGGTGAGCTTCTTTGCACACGACGCAATGGGCCCCGAGTACCCGCTGGACAGAAAGAGCCGGGTGAGGCGAAAGCTTTGAGAATGACCTGAATCGGCTGGCCCTCCTCGCCTAGCTTTTGCTCAAGGTTGCTGTTTCCCTGTGCCAAGATCGTGGGGAGGGACTCAGCGGTGCGCCGGAGTGTTGCAGTAAGGCTGTTCATCATCGTCCTTCTGGACCTCCCCAGCGCCCAAGGAGCGGCAGACGCTCAGAGGAGGTACGGCGTCCATTCATCTCCCGCCGGCAAGACACCAGAGGAGAAAAGAGGAAAGATTCGCCTCTGCGCTCCTCCTCCTCCGCCGCTCCCGCCGCCGCCGCCGCCGCCGCCGCTGCTCCGCCCATCGGCAAAAACACCCGGCAACGTCATCCCATGTGCCGCCCGGACCACCCCCTTTCGCCGAATCCCCCAAACAGGCGCCAGGCGCACTGCACTTTGCTCCCCCACGCAACAGAGTCAGCCCAGACTCAGCGTTCCTTTCGCTTAGAGGACCCGATGACGGTACCGAAAGGAGATTCTTGATAGTGCAGGGCCATGCGAATCAGAGATAAGGTGTTCGCTGACTTGGAAACATTTCCCTGCTGGGGCAGGACAGTATCGTGGGCTGGCCAGAGGGATCGCATGGCCTCATCGGGGAGGAGCAGCCACGGTACCAATGAGGTCATTCTTTCCCGACAATCCCGATGAGAAGCGTGGGGAAGCAGGGCTGATCGGAGAGCAGGGTGGAAGCAAGAGGATAGCATTCCGTTGCGCACATCTACCATCCAACCTCTTGCTTCCCCAATTCGTTCGATGGTGGATGGTGCGCCAGTCCTGCCACTGTATTGCACCTGACATCTTCGAAGCAGCATGGAGGAGAGAGCAAATGGGTGATCTCTGCGTCGATAGCACGCCTCAACAGGAGATCCGTGTGGATGCCTCGACAGTAGCGCAAGGCAAGGGTGCAAGCGGCGCGGCTCAGTGAACCTTGGAGAGCAGGATGGACGACCTGCATGGTGCATACAGACTGCTCACCACTGACACCCTCAACCCACACACACGACCCCTCCAGTGATGTTCTCGTCTTTCTCGCTCTCCGAGGTACAGCTCCTGCTCATCTCACCTCTCCCAGCAGCTGACCATGCCCGTTGCACAGCCCGTAGAGCATCGCCTCTACCTACCACCTAGATCCATGTCTCCTGTGGGACGTCCACTGCTGAGCTCGCCTTCGTCTATTCGCGCCTCCACCCATCCAGCCACGACCAACCAGAAGGGCAAAGCCCAACATCGTAGCAGAAGTAGCAGTCACAAGCATACCGGCCCTTCCCCTTCTGAGTCGACTGGAGCTCCTCCAGAAAAGCACACCAAGTCCTCTTCCTCCCACTTGCACCCACCCATGCATTCCAATTCACACTTCGGGGCTCCTACGGTTCCTCTAGACAGGCACGGAAAGCCCATCGATCTAGCCGAGCTTCGTGCCAAGAAACAAGTCCAAGCCTTCTTCAAAGCCTTTGCCGATAGTCTTGAGCCCACGCTCCGTCGTACCCTCTCCAATTCCCTCACTGAGCAAGAAACTCGCGCTCGTACCCGCTTGAGAGAGACGGTCGAGTCGGTCCTCGAAGAGCACAAGAGTCGGGTCACCCGTGAACTCTCCCGCAAGAGATACGAAGAACGTCTTGTCCGCTATCACTCTGCAGTGCAAGAGTACCACTCTAGGAAACATACAACGATCATGCTCCTCCTAATGGAAATTGGAGGAATTACACTACTGGCTTTTCTCTATACGTATCAGGTTATGGATGGACATCTAGGTGCGATCGCTAGCTTTACACTTTCGGCGGTTTATACCATTTTCATGTGGAGGAGAAGCATGCTGGCACCCCCGAAGAGACCATGTCCTTACGAGTCGATTGCTGGTCCACCACCGATTCTGAGTGAGGCGGGGGAAGAGGAATTGTGAGTATTGCCCCCAATATACAACTGGTCGAAAGAAAGAAGGAGAGAGGGGGGAAGATATCGTGGAGGTGGTGCTGACGTGACGTGGACCCTATCTCTTCACGCTAGACCACGATCCACCTGGTACGAGCGAAATCTGCGCTGGCTACCTGTCCCCAATAGACACACGGTCAAGAGAGCCTACGGTCTCTTTGACTGATCCAAGATGCTCGAGGTTGCGTTGTGCGACCTTCTCAGCTCCACACCACTCTCCTACCCAAGGTAGAGCAAAGCAAAGCAAAGCAAATCCTATGCCGCTTACTTCTCGTCGCACATCATGTATCAACAGTCAACTAGCAAATCTACCCGCTCTCATCTAGAACCGAGTGAAGTCATGCGCGCTCGTACGGGGTGGCTTTCAAAGCCGGCAAGAACGATAGGTATAGTACATTGTGAGAGTGTAGTTCGTTGCATGTGGAGATCAGTAGATGCAGCGAGCAGCGAGCGTAAGCGCAAAGCAGCAGAAGATTCCCTCTGAGATCATCAAGGGTGGTACGAAGGGATGACCACCTCGCACTGGAAGAGGATCAGCTCGTCCTCATCCCCTCCCTGGCACGCTTCGTCCGCCCTCCCTTGTCTATCCTCCTCCTCCTCCTCCTCCTCCACTGAGGAGCTAGTGTCGAGCGAGCAGCCCAGCACAAAGCCAGTACCCTTCGGTGGTGCTCGACCTCTGACTGCTCGCAGACTCGTCGAGGCTCCTTCTCCCCCTCTCCTCCCCACTGCGACTATTCCATTCGAGCTCGAGGCTATCGACATTCCCCTGCGCTCTTGCGCGGAGGAGACCGATCTCGAAGAGGACGAAGAAGAGGAGGAAGACCCTAGTCGACTTCTTGCGAGGAGACTAGTCGCTGCGTCTAGATTGAGAGGAAAGAGGCGCGAGCCTGGAGGACGCGGGTCTAGCGAGAGGGCGTGGAGGGGTTCGAGGAGAGGGTCCGTTGAGAAGTTTTCCTTGTCTGGAGTAGCCACATGAGCAAAAGTGGTGGATGGAGAAGCTTGAGCATCGAGTTCCTTGGGCCGAAGTGCAGGCAAGACTTTCATTGTCGTGTTGCTAGTGCTGCCCTTTGATTCAAGGTAGCTCGACTGTCTAGCTACCAGGGGCGGTCTTGCTGGCGGTCTCCCACCGAAGGTCCCACCCACATTGCTCTCCTCGACTCGCCTTGCAGGAGATAAAGCCTCTGCTAGCTTCGTCAGATCCGAGCCAGGAGAATCGGTACGCTGACTGGAGTGGCTTGCATAGGACGCGGGGGTAGACGGACGCGAGTCGTCTAGGAGCTGCCGATGAGTTATACCTTGAGGCAGATAGGCAGAGGCGATTTGCGGACCGCCTCTCTCCTCTCCTTCTGACTCCAGATCGTCCTCCTCGCCTTGCTGCGGCTGGATGGTCCGCAACCCCTCCATGTTCAGCCTCAACCCTCTTCTCACTCTCCAGCCCTCGGCTCTCCACGAGCTTCTCCTCAATGTAAAGAGGAAAAGGGACATCTTGCCTCCTCCTCTGGCCACTGGGCCTGCCATAATCACGTCAGAAATCTCCTCTGTTGATATAAGGAAGCGTATCAGCTGACGTTCGAGGGTAGAGAGGAGCTTTGCACTCGGCGGGGCGTAGCTCGAAGCGGGAGCAGAGGAGGATGAGGATGATGGAGGACTTTCGAGGTCGAGATAGTAGATCTCTTTGGGTGACAGTGGCGAGGAGCCTATGACGAGGATGAGAGGTAGGGACGAGTTGCTGAAAGGTGGCTCTGATGAGGCGTGTATTGCTGAGCGTATATGCTTCTGCACCTGGGAGACCGAGGAGAGTAGCTGAAGCAGGAGGAAGTAGGTGCGGGGAGTGAGCTACACGCTGACGCTGCGAGACCATTTATCACATCACTCACTTGATCTCTCTTGATGGCTTTGGTACTTCTGCTTCTGCTTTGAGGCCCCTCGCTGTTTGTCTGCTCCATTGTCCTCTCCTTGTCTAGCTGGGCGAAAGTGGTGCTGACCAGGCCCCTTGCGAATGCAATGTGCTTGATGGATGCCGTAGTCAGTGCGGCTGCTATCTCTTGAGCGATGCGTGGCCCATCTTTGGAGCAGCCTTCGCCCTTGAGGACATTGACAGATGTTAGACTGCTGCTATTGGCGTTGGATGAGGCGAGATGCTTTGCGATGGAAGTGGTGAATGACAGTTGCGGTAGGAGCGACGAGGACGGCAGCTGGACTGGAGGGCTGGGAGCAGGAGCCATGCTTATGCAAGAGCTCTATGGAAGCTCACTCTCCGCTCCAGTAGCCCAGAGAGTGGACTGGTACTGGTTCTCTATTCAGATGGTGAATGGATACCAGCCCATGCAGTCGGGCATGTCAGTGTAGCGCCTCAATCTCCCCTCCCGCTTCCTTCCTGTGTCGCGGAGCGGAAAGGGCGGCGTGGTGTTGATCTCTGGCGGCTCCGCGCAGCGCAAGTGGCCCTGCCTGCCTGCCTGCCTGCCTGCCTGTCCGCCTGCCAACGAGAGCGGGGGCGCTCCTCCAAGGCTCGTGTCGCAGAGAGACCTTCTCGAGCGCACACAGCTCACACCCACTCCATCTCCACCACCATCACCCTCGGCCTCCTCATACCAGCACAGGGCCAGCGAGAGTCACGCGCCTTGGCTTCCATCCCTCCACTGCTGCGTATATACCCAGCACAAGGGGCTCAAAAGCATCCTCTCACCTCTGCTCGTGTGGTCACCCTTGCCGGCCTCTCCCCTCTCAGTCCGCCCGTGCAGCTACATAGGGTAGCACAAGTCCTCGCCCCGACAGGGACAACGACGTACAGCTTGCTGTTCATACCCGCATAGGAACCAGCTGTATATCAGCGTACGCCCAAGATGCAGATGCTCACAAAGGTTCGTACTGCTCAGCTGTCTAGGCTCACAGAAGCTCTTCTAACCCACTCTTGCTACCTTCACTCCACCTCTACTTCCCGTAACAGTTCGAGTCCAAGTCCAATCGGGTGAAAGGCATCGCATTCCATCCCAAGCTTCCCCTCTTGGCAGCAGCTCTCCACAATGGCTCAATTCAGCTGTGGAACTACCAGACGGGAACCATCTATGATCGCCTGGAAGAGCACGATGGTCCAGTGAGGGCCATTGCTTTCCATCACTCTCAACCCCTCCTCGTGTCCGGAGGAGACGACTACAAAATCAAGATCTGGAACCACAAGACGAGGAGATGCAACTATACCCTCAGCGGGCATCTTGACTACGTCAGGACCGTCTACTTTCACCACGAGCAGCCTTGGATCCTCTCCGCCTCTGATGATCAGACGATCAGGATCTGGAATTGGCAGAGCAGAACATGCATTGCCATCATCACCGGACACAACCACTATGTCATGTGCGCGCAATTTCACCCCAAGGAGGACCTCATCGTCTCGGCATCGATGGACCAGACCGTAAGAGTCTGGGACATCTCTGGCCTTCGCAAGAGGAGCACCTCGGCCCAGCCTCTCAGCATCGAAGAGCAGATTGCCCGAGCCAACACTGGACAGGCAGATCTGTTTGGCAACACAGATGCCATGGTCAAATATGTCCTCGAAGGTCACGACCGCGGAGTCAATTGGGCCACGTTCCATCCCACTCTGCCCCTCATCGTCTCTGCTGGAGACGACAGGCAGGTCAAGCTCTGGAGGATGTCAGACACAAGGGCTTGGGAGGTAGACACATGCAGGGGACACTTCAACAATGTCTCTTCCGCTCTCTTCCACCCTCGACACGAGCTCATTGTGTCCAATGGAGAGGACAAGACCATCCGAGTGTGGGATATGGGCAAGCGGACGGCAGTAGCAACTTTCAGGAGGGAGAATGACCGCTTCTGGGTCCTCACCGCCCACCCCAACCTCAATTTGTTTGCTGCTGGTCACGACAATGGTCTCATCGTCTTCAAGCTAGACAGGGAGAGGCCAGCCCACTCAGTCTACCAGAATCTGCTCTTCTACGTTCGCGACAAGCAGGTTCGCCAGCTAGACTACAGTACTGGCTCAGACCACGCCTTGCTTTCGGTCAAGCGCCTGGGCAATCAGTACGTTCAGCCACGTTCCCTCAGCTTCAACCCTGCGGAGCGGTCCGTCATCGTGACTTCGATCTCTGGCGAGCAGGGCGTATTTGACCTCGCTCCCTTGCCAAAGGAGGGCAGCGCGCCCTCTGAGCTCGGCGAGTCGGGTACGATCGGCAAGAGGGCCAATGCTAATACGGCCCTCTTCGTTGCTCGCAACCGTCTAGCCACCTTTGACAAGGCAGCACAGACGATTGATATCCGTGATCTCAACAACAGCGTCACAAAGACGATGCCTTGCCCAGTCGTAGTCAACGAGATCTTCTTTGGTGGCACAGCGTCACTCCTGCTGTCTACTGCCACTGGTGTGGCTCTCTTCGACATCCAGCAGCAGAAGGTCCTGGCCGAGGTGGCATCCCCCACCGTCAAGTACGTCCTGTGGTCTCAAGACAACTCGCACGTTGCTCTGCTGTCCAAGCATAGCATCACTCTGGCTGACAAGACACTCAGCAAGACTTCGCTGGTTCACGAGACGATCCGCATCAAGTCCGCTGCATGGGACGATGCTGGAGTCCTGCTCTACTCGACGCTCAACCACATTAAGTATGCTCTGCCTCAGGGTGACTCCGGTATTATCAAGACTTTAGAGCAGCCCGTCTACCTGACAAAGATCAAGGGGAAGACTGTCTCATGCCTTGACAGAACTGCCCGGCCTCGCAACATTGCTATCGACCCAACTGAGTACCGCTTCAAGTTGGCTTTGGTGCAAGGCCAACACGAAGAGGTTATGAAGATCATCAAGAACTCGAATCTCGTCGGTCAGGCCATCATTGCTTATTTGCAGAAGAAGGGATACCCAGAGATTGCACTTCACTTTGTTCAAGACAAGTCGACTCGCTTCGACCTTGCCATCGAATGTGGGAACCTCGAAGTCGCCCTCGAGACTGCTGAATCGATCGGTGCAAAAGAAGTCTGGGAACGACTGGCAGATGCTGCGTTGAAGCAAGGCAACCACAAGATTGTCGAGCGAGCATATCAAAAGACGAAGAACTTCGAGCGCCTCTCCTTCCTCTATCTCATCACTGGTAACACTGAGAAGCTGGCCAAGATGGCAGTCATCGCTGACAAGAGAGGCGACCCTATGAGCCGCTTCCACAACGCCTTGTACTTAGGCGACGCGAAGGCACGATCGAGGATCCTATCGGATGTAGGCCTTGACGCCCTGGCGTACGTCAGTGCGAAGAACAGCGGCGATCTCGATGGCGCTGCTCAGATCGCTGCCAGAGCCGGTGTTGAGAGTGGGATGACCGAGCTTGAGATGACAAACAATGTAGGCTCGTCGAGTTCACACACCCTCCGACCGCCTCCCGTGGTCACAAAGTCCTACCAGTACAACTGGCCGCTGAAGGACACTACCGAGTCCTACTTCGACAAGGCTCTCTTGGCAGATGTGGAAGAGGGTGGCAACATCTTCAAGGACAATGCCGTGAATGGAGAGCATGACGCAGATGGCTGGCTGGACGGCGATGACTTTGTCGATGCCGAGGATGAGGAGGAGGACGGCTACGGAGCAGCAACGAGTGGCACTATTGCAGTGGATGCCGGAGACGAGGAAGCGTGGGATCTAGAAGATCCTGACCTGCCTGTCGATGAAGCGGACGCTCCCGTGATTGCTCCTCTATCGGCGCCGAGTGCTCAGGAGGGGTCTCTGGATCCAGGATCTTCCGAGGCGGAGCATTGGCTACGCAACTCGCCGATTGCTGCCGACCACGCTGCTGCCGGATCGTTCGACACAGCCATGACTCTCCTCACGCGCCAAGCAGGTATTACCGACTTCAACCCTCTGAAGCCTTACTTCCTCTCTGCGTATCAAGGCTCGAGAGCATTCTTACCAGGAGCAGGCGCTGCCTCCCTGCCCTCTCTTGAGATTCCGCTGAGGAGAAATGTGGACGAGGAAGAGATTTCGAAGGTGCTTCCTGCCCAGGCTAGGAGCGTGAGAGATATCACTGCTGGAGAGCTGCAGGATGCTTATAAGGCTGTGAATACAAACAAGCTGGAGGAGGCTGAAGAGTTGTTCCGCGGGATCCTCTGGAAGCTGGCTATGACTGTTGGAAAGGATGCCGTAGAGGGCCAAGAGGTGAGTACAAAGCTGGAGACGAGACCCAGGCGTAGCGATCCTGTTGCTGACTTCTCGTCTCTCTATATAGATTCTGGACCTGATCATCCTCTGCCGAGAGTACCTGCTGGGAGTTGGCGTCGAGCTCGCCCGCCGTCAGCACCTCGCCGCCCACCCAGAGGACGTCTCTCGCCAACTGGAGCTGGCTGCCCTGTTCACGCATGCGCAAATGCAACCCCCACACCAGCAACTCGCCTTGCGCACAGCTATGAACGAATCGCGCAAGGTAGGCAATCTCAAGATGGCCGCTGGCTTCGCCAAGCGTCTTCTGGACCTGAAGCCTTCGAATCCCAAAGTGGAACAGCTGGCACAGAGTGTCATTTCTGCCGCTGACCGCAACCCGCGAGATGCAGTCGTGGTCTCTGGATACGATGCCCATGAGAGGGACTTTGTCATTTGTGCGGGCAGCCAGGTGCTCATCCCCGCTGGAGGTCAAGGGGCCATTGAGGATCCCTTCACTGGAGCAAAGTACTTGCCTGAGTTTAAGGGGTCGACGTGTAGGATCAGTCGCATCAGTGAGGTTGGAAAGATTGGAAGTGGGCTGAGGACTTGGATTTGAGAAGAGAGGTGGTGAAGAAGGGCAAGGGAGTATACGGAGGATGTTGCCCTTGTACTCTACAACGAGTCAATCAACGATCAAGTGTGCTACCGATCACAACAGTGTGTATGCATGTTCGCTCGCTCAATTGATAGTGAATGTCTAAAGTACAAGTGAAAGGGCTCCCTCTCCCGCCATCTCCCTCCTCCCCCTTCTCCTCCTCTCGAGCCATATCAGAGCACGTTTCTCTTCCCACTTGTGCGCATGTAAGGTCGCAAGATCCACTCCACATCGGCACTGTCTCCCATCTCGAGGGTGCCCTGTCGGATCTCATAGGGCCGCATCTCGAATCGTGGTCCAACTTCGGCTAGGGAGACTTCGCGGTGAGAGGTCTTTAGGAAGACGTGATGTCTGTGTAGGTGGGTGGAGATGGTGGAGGAGAGGGTCAGAGGGGAGCTCGATGTGAGGAAATCTCATAACATCGAGAGACGGGGGTTTTTTGCCGGACGGCAAACTCACCTGAAGCTCAAAAAGTCCCTCTCGTTCTTGAATGTCATGACCCTCTTACTCTCCTCCTTCGGCACTGGAAACAAGTACTTGAGTACATCCCTCACTCTTGCTCCCAATTTGCTCTCAAACCCATCAAAGATCAAATGTGGATACTGTTCGCTGACAGTCGAAGTGGCGTGTGCAGCAACTTCATGACGTAGTACGACATTGTGTAGAGTGAAGAGGACGGTAGGTCCGTGTGGAAAATGGCTGACGACCATTGCGTCTGGCACACCGCGATGCTCATGCACCACAACTAGATCGCTGATATCATTTGCCCTCGCTGCAGCGGCTAAATCGTTGACTTTGTATCCACCACGATTGATCCTCGTTGAATTGGGGAAAACGAGTCGCATCTCCTTTGCGAAAGCAGTGAGACGGCTAGAGGGATTACGGGAAGTGGTGAGGAGAATTCGCGGGTCACGACTGCCCGCCGTGGCGTACTCTGAGTCAAAGCTAGTCAGAGGATCAGACTGAGCTGCATCCATATCCACTCCTCTGGCGAGCTTCTCTCCCTGAAGCGAGGCGACATCACCACGAAGCTCCTTGGGGATCGCTTTGCCCTCGGCGAGGAGTTGGCGGATTCGTTGCTTGCGGGAGTAGAGTTGGGCTTCTTGGGCCTCGAGGGATTTGCGGTAGAGGTACTCGCGACGCTCGCGAGATTGGCGGCGGAGCATGATGGTGGAAGAAGTGGTAGGGCGTGTTTACGAGAAGGAAGTAAGATACGGCGTGGAGTGACAATGGTGTGCTGGAATGATAGGATGCGATGGATGGCTGTAGCCGGTGATGGCCAGAAGGAATCACGATGGCGCTGCTGCCTCGGACGCAAAACCAAAATTTCAAACGCCGCGGCTCGACTCGCCCCCTTTCCGCTTGACTTCCCCATTGCACGCTCCTCACAGCATCGGCATTGTCCTTCTCTATAAGGTCTGACTTCAAAGGTGTAATGATTGGCATTACTATTCACAGCTTCACTTGAGCTCTACAGCTTCCCCGCAAAGAAGTCTGACAGGGCCTGGATGAATTCTCGCGGCTTCTGCGCTTGCACCCAGTGGCCCGCCTCGACGTCTACGTGGACAGCATTCGGGAAGTACTCCTGGCAGTGGGTGGTAGAGAGATCGAGGAGGAATGATATGTGAGCCACAGCTCCAGAAGGGCATCCTATGGTTCTTCACACCCTCCTGTCCACGCTCTATTTCACTCACGTTACACAGAGGCTTGTTCCTCCGATTGATATACTTGCTCTCCGTCCCTTTGACGAACAAAGTCTTGCCGTCCCACGTCCGGTCCGAAGCATCATAGGGAAAATCGCCAATCTGACTCATGTATCGCTTGATCAGTGATACAGGGATTCTGAAGCACCACGAGTCGGACGAGTCGCTCTTTTGCAGATTCGTGAGCAGGAATTGGCGCACGCCCACGTCCTGAGAGGCGAGGGGAGCATGATTGAATGACATAGTCCGGACCAGTCAGATTGAGCCAACGCCTCTGACTCATCTCACGCCGGGATAACTCACCGGCTCAGTCTCCTTGAGCAGTTCATCTGCCTCTCCCCTCGTGCGACATCCCTTCTTCTCAATGGCCAACATAGCCTCAATGTACTCCTCAAATTCCTTGCTCAAGGGTCCCCTAGCAGGGCTCATATCCACACTGATCAGATACTCCAACGTCCCCTCTTTCAGCTCCGGCGCAAGAGCAAAAGCCATGACTGCTTTTCCGCCCATGGAGTGTCCCACGAGGGCAATCTTCTCGAGCTTGTGCTCCTTGACGAACTCTAGCAGGTCCAGAGCCATATCCCTGTAGCTCATCCCCTCTACATGCTCCGTGCTGGTCCCATGGTTGCGCAAATCGACGGCATAGACCGGTATGCCGAATTGCTTGGCCATGGCTTTGGCAAGGGAGCGCCAGTTCTGCTTTGAGCCAAAGAGGCCGTGGCAGACGACCAGAGACTGAGCTCCACCGGCGTTGGGCGAAGCATCCTTGGGAGGGGAGTGCAGCTCGTACACAAGCGAGACGGGCTTCTCGGTAGGTGCTGGAGGGGTAGATTGGGATGGATCCGTAGTTGCGGCTCGACGTGGACTAGTGGAGAAGGGCCGATGGAGCCGTGGCAGAGGTAGAGGCGCTTGGCCCACATGTGGTGGAGCTGCCGGGGCTGCCAGCTGAGAAAGGCCGGACGTCAGTCGACTGACTGCGGCAACCCGTCCACCGGCAGGCCCGAAGGTCGACCTGGACAGCAATCTCGCAGCGCTCCTGGACGACATTGTTGTAGGCAAGGCCATGCCAACGAGGTCGAGGTGGTCGCGGTGGTGATCTTGTGCTTCCTGGCATGGCTGGAGCGCAGCCTGTGCCGTGTGGCTCTTTCCGTTGAGTGTGGCTGCGCTCCGCTCCACCCTGCGAAGAAAGTCGGATGTTCCTTCTCGCTGACCTTGCTCTCTTCTACCTCTACGATTTGTATTGGTATCTCCTCCTATCCCTATCACTCATCCTCATCTCGCTGACGATGGAGAGTGAGCTGGTCACGCCGCCTTTCCGGGTGAATCAAACGGACACCCACGTCATCATCGAGGCGCAGTGTCCCCTCACTCCAGCCAATCTCCAGCCGGAAGCAGTGGTAGAGGACACAATCTTTGCACTAAGATGTCCGCCATACTATCTCCCGTAAGTGGACACAGGATCGAGGATCAGCCGGTGATGGAATAGTCACTGATGGCAGTAACACTTTGTTTTGCTTCTCGTTCTCAGACTGCACTTCCCAGCCGCCCTGTCATCGGTGGAGCAGGTACATCGCTCTGGCTCCGTCATCCGTGTCGACCTACACAAAGCAGATGCCGGTCTGGACTTCATTGGCCTCGAGGACATTCAGCCTACCATGTTCGTAGATGCTGATCCTCAGTCTTTTTCTGTAGCAGCCGAAGCTGGACCCTCTAGACAGAAGAGGGAAAAGGACGAAGAGGCAGAGGCCATACTCAAGGAGGTGCTGCAGAGGGAGAATATGACGGCGGTCAAGGAGGACAAGACGGAGAAGCGCACCAGAGGAACCAGCGGAGGTGAGTAGAGCAGCAAAGTCTTGAGTTCGTCGAGCAAGATCTGAACCATTCGATAATACCCCAATAGCTGGCGAACTGTTTGCAGACCTGAGCACGGAGGAGCTTCAGGCCAACAAGGCCGCGGCAGAGTCAGCTGAGGACGAGCGCTTTGACGAGCAGTCGTACCTCGATTCCTTCGTAGACGAGGAGGGCGAGATTGAAGAGCTACTCAGATGGAAGTACGAAACAGGACCTACCTCCTCGTCCTCCTCAGAAGCAACAGCAGAGGCTACAGAGTTGGCGGTGCCAGCCCACTTGCGCCTTCTCTTGGTAGACTTGCTCTACGCATATCACCTCTCCCTCCTCGTCAGTACAGGACCTCCAATATACCCCTGGCTACTATGCACTCTATCGAGATCACTATCAGCTCCGCCTTCCCCGCCGTTCGCTACATCCGATACAGTATCCTCCGTGCTACGCTCAGGCTTCAGGAGAGGCCTCACATTCCCTCTACATCGCAATTGGAGGCTCTGTCAGAGAGCGGCCGCAGACGTGGTATCACGCCTGTCGTCCGGAAGGCAAGAAGTACTGGCTGGTTTATCGGATATGTCAGGCTGCCTTGTGGAAGGAGAAAAAGAGGCCACAGAAGGACCTGATGAGGCTGCCAGATGGGGCATCTTGAACGAGTCGTTGGTGAGACCCCTTATCGCCAAAGTGCAAGCAGATATCAATACCTCCTACTCTACATTGGCAGAAGAGGTGAACGCGGTAGCTAGAGGCCTCACCAAGTCCAACGTGGCACCATCCTGGGATCTTGAGCTGCTGGAGCAGATGGCGGAGGATGTGATAGCGGAGCAAAGAGGAGAGCAAGAAAGCCGGTAGGTGTGTTGTCTCAGACGCTTGCAATGTCATCGAAATCTAGCCTGTTCGTACGAGACTGACACAGTCACCTGTCTTCTTGCTTCGTCCTTAGGCTCAAAGAGGATGGGCGGAGCATCCTGGACATTTGTAGGTCCCTCACGCCGCCTTTAGCACTGCAAGAAGGTCGCGATTCATTTGCGGCTGAGCAAGACACACAGGAGGAGAGCAGATTGAGATATTGGCGGGCAACAGAGGCCCCTTCGACCCTACGTAATCTCGTCAAGACACTGCAGACTTACGCACTACGTTCTCATCGTCTCCATAAGCAAGCATCTGACGAGGCGATAGGTATACAAGCAGCCGTAGTGATAGCTGCTTCCCGCTTTATTGAGAAGTCCCCCCTGGCCTCGCGGGAGTCGCGGAAACTTGCCCGCATGATCCTGATCTCCTCCGTAAGACCAAGTCTTGCTGTCATCAGACATGTCCTGCGAGATCACCTTCGCTCCCTTTTCGCTTCCTCGTCTCCTGGAGCCGTCAATGAAGAAGGCAGGCTGCGTCACGAGCGCGCCCACCTTTCGAACTCGGCAAAGATGTCCGCCTACCTAGAGGGAGAGAAGTGGAAGGGAAAGCAGCGGACAGACATTCCTGGCCTGGATATGGCAAGGAGCGATGGGGCGGGGAGTCATCTGACTCTGAAGGTGTGCTTAAACATGATCGCCACCCTTTCGAGCAGCAGGAAGCAAAAAAGGCCCAATGAAGAGCCTTGGGAGGCGCTGTGGCCGCTGATCGTCCCGCCCCTCGTCACGCTCATCGAGGATTCAGATCCGGTGTGGAGAGAAAGAGGAACAAGACTGCTCGTCGAACAAGTCCTTACGCGACGCACCCCAGGCAGTGTCGGTCACAAAAATCTCTCAGCGTCCGAGCTCCAAGCTGTGCCCGTCCAGCTACTGCAGCGCTCCAACCTGGTGCCCCTGCTACAGACGACTCTCTTCAACTCTCTCACGTACCTGTCTCACCCGGTTGGTGCCAGCCTACTGCATTACGCTCTATCTGCTCTGATCCTCCTTGCCAGGAGCCTATCAGAGCGTAGTCGCGAGCGGGCGGAGATGCTGATGAGGATCCTGCAAGAGGGAGTGCTTCGCACTTGGACTTTCATGCCGAAAAGTACGATGCCCACATCACTCGATCAGGATGAGGAAGAGGGTGGAGAGGGAGAAGAGCCAGCAACAGAGATAGACGTCCTCACGACGACTTTCACGCACCTCACCTCCCTCTGCATCGAGCTCGAAATCCTCTCTGCCCGATTCCTGGACGTGGCTCTGGACTTTCTCTCGGCTCAGATTTCCGGGCTGTACGAGAGTCTAGTAAGCAGTACCTCTACCTCTGCATCTGTGGGAGCGAACGCAAAGACCTTTGCGGGACTGGTGGATGTGGAGCAGGAGAGGAAGACGACGAGGGCGAAGCTCTTGCGGGGGAGAGAGGCGGTGCGGGCCTCCCGGGTGCTCGTAGAGCAGGCATGTACAGAGGCCATCGTCGAGCCTACTGCCGTGACTGAAGAGGAGCACAAGTCCACCCCGCATCCAGACCAAGCTACCAGCAAGGATGATCCCTTCTTCCCCACCATTCCCCCTGGACTAGCCCAATGGACCTCCAAGTGTCTCTCTGCATACGTCAAAGCCTGGCTCGCTCTAAGCGATGCGCCCCTCCTGCAGAGCGAAGGCGCACGGACGAGCCCTCTGGAGCGGGAAAAGGATCAGCTGGCCGAAGAGTTGAAGAGTGCGGTTCGGTTGTGGACGCGAGTGCTGCCTGAGCGGGTCAAGGAGGTGAGTATCAAAGTGAGACGGGATGACGGCGGACTGATGAGGGAGAGGAGCTGTGCTTATGGGCAACGAGGATGGAGATGACAAGGGTGAGAGGCTGCGAGACTGACTCCAATGCCTCCACTACCCATTTTCCTCGTTCCTCCGGTGCGGTGCACAGATTCAAGAGAAGGTCGTGGCTGCAGAGCCGAGCTTGCAGGATCTCTTTGCAGCTCTCTAGCCAGACGTAACATCTTCGTCACAACTAGCAAGCTCATTGTCATCCTGACTTTCATGAGAGCCCTTAGAAGCACTTCACTCCCCGTACCAACTTTTCCAGATGCACGCACTGCAACGCAATATCATACCCGCTCACGCATTATCTCACATCCGATCCTTGAGGGTAAAGAAGGAATGTCATTCCGCGTGATACGCAAAGTTTAGAACAATTACTATCCCGACGATCTATATGTGTTTGTTTGTGTCCTCTCGTCACTATCCAAAGCATGCCAGTACGGACCAAAAAGGAGGCAGGTAGAGCTCGATGCTTTCAAGTCTTTACCACGCTTGCAGCGAAGAATGCAGCGGAGAAGAGGAGATTACTCTGCCTTCTTCCTGAGGGAGTCGACGTCGACCTTGCCCTCGATGATGTCCTTGAGCTGGTCACGGATGACGATCCAAGATCCAAAGAGGGTGTACTTGATCTTCTTGTTGTCGCAGTACGTCTTGAGATCATTGTCCTGCTTCTCCTTGACATAGAGGATATCAGCGTGGGCAGCAGCAGACATGTCCGAAATTCCATCACCGGCAAAGAAGATGAGGGGAGGGTTGGGCAGAGCGCGATAAGGCAGGATACTCTTGCTCTTGTCGTGACCATAGTGGTTGTCTGGGTGACGGTAGACGAGCTTCCAAGTCTTACCCTCCTTCTCGGGGTCGGTGAATTCGACTTCGTTGGCAATGATGTCGATCTTGTTGGCCTCTTCCTCACCGATGAGGTTGGAGAAGATGGAACGGATGATGGGGACCATGCCGGAGGAGACGACTACGACGGGAACGTCGTGCTCCTTGGCGTAGGCGTAGAACTCCTTGAAGCCAGGGTCGAGGGTGACGTCTGCAAGAGGAGAGAAGATCTCAAGTCAGTGACACGTTCCTCCTTGTGAGCGCTCATTATCGTACTGCTGCTCACCTCTCCTGACGAGCTCCTCCATCTCCTTGAAGGGCCTGTGCACAGACTCGAGCATAGTCCTGAAGCCGTCCTGGTAAGAGACTCGCTCGTTGATAATCTCCTCGTTGATCTTCCTTCGCTCAGTGTAACCCATGCCGACGGTGTCCACCATGTGGTCATTGGAGTCCTAGATGCGTCGTATGGACCGAAGGCGAGAGAGATGGTCTGTCAGTGATGCGGATCAAATTGTATCTAGCTCTGCGGGACTGAGGAGTTGCTCAGAGACACTCACGAGGAGGGTGATGGTTCCATCGAAGTCGGTGATGACGATGTACTTGGCATCCTTGTACTTTGCCTCGTCCTTGATTTGCTGGGCCATGATGATTTGTGTGTGTGTGTGGGTGAGTGGTGGGTATGGAGGGGGTGGTGTGAGGGGTAGAAGAGGGAGGGATGATGCTCTCGACCCTTTGCGAGCGTCATTCCTCCCGATCTGCTGCAGCCAATTGATTTCTTCCCAACAACGTGGTCCCCGAATGCATCTACACATTCTTCTCCCGTTCCGATGCGCGACCTGCCTGTGCCTGTGCCTGTGTGCCTGTGCGCGGTAAATTTGCCTCGCTTCCTTGCATTTCAAGGCAGACCTTCGTATTTCAAGCTTGGGCTGGTGGAGCTTCGCAAGCAAGGCCCACTGCCAAGAGTAAGGTCAACCTTCCGTCCTTCACTCTGATCACCACAGATGAAGACGTCGTACCAGTTCTCAAACCTTCTGGGATCAGTCTACTCGGGCGGCAACGTCGTATTCACACCAGATGGATCTTCCGTGATCAGCCCAGTGGGCAATCGCCTCTCCATATTCCACCTCACACGCAATACGTCCACCACACTCCCGTTTCAGACTCGCAAGCCAATCGCGAGAGTCGCACTCAACCCTAGAGATCCTAACTTGGTCCTCGTGGCAGATGAAGATGGGCGAGCACTCTTGGCAGACATCTCGCGGCGGAGTGTCATAGCATCAATCAACTTCAAGAGGCCTCTCCGCGCTGCTAGATTCAGCAACGATGGCAAGTTCATCGCCATTTCTCATGGATCTCAGGTGCAGGTCTGGAGAATCCCGCTGGGAGTAGGAAGGCAATTCAATCCCTTTGAGCTTCATCGTACCTACACTGGGCACTCTGACGATGTCCTGTGGATCGAGTGGAGTAAAGATTCGAGGTGAGTAGCTGCGAACAAGGGCCATTGAACATGAAGGAGGAAGAGCAGTCGCTCTGAGCTTCCCACATTGGTCATCACCTTTCTAATGATGCTTCAAACCAAAAAAACTGATTTAATGAGGCGGCCGACTGGCCGAGAAATTGTCGCATACGACTGAGGGAAAAAGAGATTAGATGACCATGTGGGGAGCGAAGAAGAACGGCCCAGACGAGGATGAGTCTCAATGCTGTCTGAGGCAGGCGCTGACAGAAGCTCCTCTGCATTATGGTCACCCGTGCCACAGCTTCTTCCTCACGACTTCGAAGGATCACACTTGTCGACTCTACTCGCGAGATCCCGTACCTCTACCTCCCAATCCCAACTCGGTAGGCTCTGGGCCATCGACCACACGCTTCAGACCCAAGACCTTCTCAGGTCACAGAGCTCCGGTCATCAGCGCCTTTTGGTCAAATGACGAAAAGGAGATCTACACAGTCTCGAGGGACGGCGCTTGCTTCGTATGGCGTGGCAAGCATCCCGAACAGATGGACGAGGACGATGATGAGGTTGACTCAGAAGAGGACGATCCAGAGCCAGTCGCTAACCAGGCTGCTCTCACTTCAGCAGCGATGCGGTCCGGCAATCTCAACGAAGAAGTCGCTCGTATCGCTACAACCAGGTGGGGTCTCCTCAAGCGCAACTACTTCTCTCGGCCAGACACACGAGTCACCTGTGCTTCTTTCCACCCCGCCAGCGCTCTCCTCGTGGCAGGCTTCTCTGACGGAGTCTTCGGTCTCTGGACTATGCCTTCCTTCGACTCTATTCACACGCTGTCCATCTCCAACACCAACATCTCGTCTGTCTCGCTAGACCCAACCGGAGAATGGTTGGCATTCGGTGCGAGCGGACTGGGTCAGTTGCTCGTCTGGGAGTGGCAGTCGGAGAGCTACATCCTGAAACAGCAGGGTCACTACTTTGACATGAACGCCGTGGCGTACACTGCCGATGGTAGCATTGCGGCCACTGGAGGAGATGACGGGCGGGTCAAGCTGTGGAATGTGGAGAGCGGCTTCTGCATTGCCACCTTCCAAGAACATTCAGCTCCTGTCACTGCTCTCGAGTTCTCAAAGGGCGGAGCAGGCGTCTTGTTCTCGGCTTCGCTAGACGGCACTGTCCGCGCCTGGGATCTTTTGCGGTATCGCAATTTCCGTACCTTCACCTCCCCTTCACCTTGCCAATTCGGCTCACTCGCAGTCGAGGCGAATGGCGAGATTATCTGTGCCGGTGGCACTGCCGATTCTTTCGATGTCTACCTTTGGAACGTTCAGACGGGCAAGCTGCTCGATGTCCTGAGCGGTCACGAGGGTCCTGTCAGCTCGATGATGTTCTCGCCCGACGGATCAGGCATGCTTGCTACGACCGGATGGGACAGGTCTTTCAGGGTATGGGAGATCTTCCGTCGTACTGCGACAGTCGAGCCAGTGACACTCAATGCCGAAGGTCTTGCACTTGCTTTCCGTCCCGACGGTCTGGAAATCTGCATCGCGACCTTCGATGGACAGCTGGCATTCTTTGACTCACGCACCTCGAAGCAGACGGCTGTCATCGAGTGTCGACGAGACATTGCTGGGGGCAGGGCTGTCGACGACAAGGTCTCCCGTAATGCCAACGCAGGCGGTACTGCCTTTACTACGTTGAGCTACACAGCAGACGGTAGTGCCATCTTGGCAGGAGGCAATGCAAACTTTATCTGCCTCTACTCGGTCGCAGAACGAGTGCTGCTCAATCGCTGGCAGCTCTCTCTCGACCTCAGTCTCGATGGCACACAAGACCGTCTTGACTCGCGTCGCTTGACAGAGGCCGGAGCGGCGGAGTTGTTGGACGTGTTCCAGAATGAAGACGAGATGACGCCCCAGGAACGCATCGATCGTTCCCTCCCGGGTGCACAGTCGGGCGATATGGCCAAGAGGACCACCCGACGCAAAGCGCGCACCAAGGCTATCCGCTTCAATCCCACCGGCCGGTCCTTTGCCGCGGCTACTACCCTTGGTCTTCTAGTGTATAGTCTGGACGCTCCTGGTCTGCTCGCCGAGGACTCCTTCGATCCGCTGGAGCTGGAGATCGAGCTGACGCCCGAGGCTGTGCGTTCGGCCATGAAGAAAGGAGATGCGCTCCTGGCCCTGTTGGGCGCGCTGCGCCTCAACGAGGGTCCGCTGCTAGCAGAGGTGTACGAGCAGGTGCCGATCAACGAGGCGCCTCTCATTCTCTCGAGGCTGCCTACCCCGAAGGCGTACATTCCGCCCCTGTTGAGATTGATTGCCAGTCGACTGCGCCCCGTCTCCTCTTCTTTCTCAAGCGCAAGTCAGTCCGCTAACGGATCCTCTTCTGTCACTAGCACCGCTTCTCGCACCTCTTCAACACCCAGTGGCTCCCCTCATCTGGAGTTCTCCCTCCTCTTCCTCTCCCACCTCCTCACCATCCACGGTCCGCTAATCCAGGGCAACGCCAACGTCGGCGAGTACGCTACGGCGTGCAGAGCTGTGGGTGCGGCGCTTGCGGAGCTCAGAAGAGGGGTGAAGCGACTTGGGGAGGATGCTGGTGCGGGGGCGATTTGGACTTGGGAGGCATTGCAGAGAAAGGAAAAGAGCGGGAGGGGAGTGCGGGTGGGAGCGGGGGCGCCAGCGGGGAGCGTGAGATGAGAAAGAATTGCTTGAGAGAAGAGAGGTTGCTGGAGTGAAGAGGAGTGCTACAGCGGCAGTCGCAGTTGGATGCACTGGCTACGGACCGCGAGCGATGGACGCATTTGCGAGAGGGCTGTCAACGATCCAAGCAGCTCGTACACTCCTTTGCCACCCCAACAGATTACGAGCTCGAAAGGCTCCAAGGGGTACACCATCTTGCACGCTCTCTTCGTCGCGCTAGAGGGATTCTCCCGCGCTGGCGTTCTGGGCTCATAACCTGGTGGGGTGGTAAAGAGGTGTACGAGTGGGCTCTGAGACACTGCTTCAGCTGCAGTAGAGGAAAGAGGTAGATCAGAAGGAGATCGACGAGGAGATAGAATTTCGTTCTATCTGCATCACAATATATGTACACTAGCACCTCGGCGACAGATTGCCATGACCTCGTCTGCCTACCTGCCCTAGCCCTGACTTTGCGTAGCTCTGACCCTCCTCCCCACCTCTGGAGTTGCCACTGTTGCTGCCCGCTGGCTCGATGCTTGCCATTTCGTCAATGCCTGAGCACTGGCGTCTTGCCCGTACCCACCACTGCCGCTTCAGGTGGCGGCCAATCGCTCTCCTTTCCCCGATCCCCCTCTGCCGTGCCCCTAGTCAGAGTCCAACTAGCCCAGGTAATATCCCCAACACCGCCCGAATCGCCCACTTTGTTGGGCACATCGACATTGGTAGCATTTGGAAGTGGGGGGACACCATTTCCTGGTTTTGGAAAGGGGCCGGTGGGGCTCCAGGTAGAGTGGTTCTTCGTCGTTTGGAGAGGCAGGGTGGGAGAGAGGGTGAGTGAGTACGGGGGAAGAAGGAGGGGGGAAGAGATCAAGGTGTTGGGAGGGGGAGGAACTCACTTGTACAGACGCATAGGCGCGCAGGGCTGCTCTGTAGTAGCAGGCAGTGGCTGCTGGAGTGAGATATCCTGGAGGGGTATAAAGACGGAGGGAAGGGAGAGGGGAATAGGGGGGATTCAGGAGGTGCGGATTCGTCAGTCAGCTGCCTAGCTTGTTGGCGTTCGCCGTACTAGGTCGCACCTGCTACTCACGGTCCCTCAACGAGTCCCTGGCATTGTCCGCAATCTTTTCAGGTGGGAGCCACCCCACCATATTCTTTTCACTCGCCTTGTGCCACCAACCTTCAACCCCTTTAGCCTTGGGATCTCCTTCCGCCTCCCACATTGCCCTGATCGCCTCTTCCAACCCCTCGAACAAGGGTCCGGTGACCTGCACGTAGTTCTGTGCGGGCGAGAGCGGATCGCTTACGAGTGCCGGATGAAAATGTTGTGTCCATTCCATCTTGTGAGCAACTGTGACCGAATGACAGCTGAACAGGTACTTGCTCCTTCCCGAGTAAGAATTTCCCTCGGAGTGGATCAGGTACTTGCGGGAACAGTGATCCTGTAATGGTACGAGAGGCTTATACTCTGCTGAGTTCTGCGCCCCAAAAGTCGTTTGGAAGACGTCGGCCCAGGCATCGGGATGGTTTGCAGGCAGGGCAGAAGCGGCCTTTGTGCGGTTCAATAGGTCGTGGCGGATGGGATACCAATTGACGAAGCCACGCCAAAAGGCCCTATCATCCTTGCCTGCCCAGCCCCCCACCTTTTGTTCCACCTGCCTACTAAGGTCCACTACTTCCGCGTAGCTCGGAACTCGAGCTTCTGGCCAGCCAGCAAAGCCAAAGTCTGGAGAGAGCCAATTGCCCTCTGTTTTTTGATCGGCTAGAAGTTTTGCAAGGACCCAAGCAGGACCTGATTCGGCTCCTGGGAAGCCTTCTTTATCTCCCACTGACATGATTAGGTCGATTGGTGGGAGAGGCTCTCCCGTGGTTCCCGAAGTAGAAGATTCGGGGTCTGCACTTACAGCATCGTGTAGGAGCATGAGTATGGCAGTAAGGCGCGTATCGACTCCTTTACGCAGCGAGCGTATGTACACTTTGCCATCCCTAATGATCACTCTGGCCCAGCCCCAATTGTTTTGTCCATTCGCAGCTCGCTCCAATTGGTCTACATCGTGCTTGGATATGCCTCCTCTCAGCTTCCAATACTGTTTGAGTTCTTCCAGCTGCGGGTATAAGAGTGGGAACTCCTTTGCACAGACGGACTCTGATAAGGCGAGAGTGTTCCTTGCCGAAGGCGGAAGTGGTTTGATGGCCTTCAACCAAGGGTCTGCTTCCCCTAAGGCAATCGGACCCGTGGGAGGTAAGACGCTAAAGACGAGTGCGACTACACAGAGTGCGGCGGCTAGTAGCGGAGGGACATGTGTGATGAGGAGATGTAGGGGGCCGTTGCTGCGCTGCGATGAAGAGTTGGGGTGTTGCCCGAGGGGCTCGTATGCCGCCCAGGAGCTCATCTCTCGCTCTCTCCCCTGGCAGTGGTATACCAAGACGCTCTTCCTGACGTCTTATGGCGGGCCGACCCCTGAAAGAATACGGCTATTGGGTCAGAGATCCTGTATGCCAGTCTTGGCAGAAGCAATGGGCTGAGATGACAGATAAAGCTCGACTATGGCTGTGGTCCAACTTTTAGAGCTGCCCAGTTCCGAAATAGACCAAACGGAACGGAAGATGGCCAGCCACACGGGGATGAATATATGCAGGGGCTTGAGATCGACTGGGCGTATGAGACAAATGGCCCGCGAGGCACTTCGGTACCGAGAGCACCGGCTAAGAGAGCGCTCAGAACAATGCAGCAGAGGGTGGGTCGTAGGCTGATGACGGTAGACACAACAGTGGTAGTCGTGGGTGGTTGGATGAGTAGTCAGTGGTCAAGCTGAAGATAGCTCTGGTGTGTAGCGATCAGAAGGGGCCTCTCAGGTGTGAAAGTCTAGCCGAGCTCCGACTCCGACTCTCAAGGGCGATTCCGCCCAGATCCTGCTTCCTACGTAAGGACGCTCTACGCGAAGTCGGTCTCAAGGTCTGCAAAGAGGTCAGAGGAAAGAAAAAGAAGACGGCGGAGGCAATCACACTTCGGCAATTGAGGGTCACATCACCCTTGGGTGACGGTACAGCCTCACACGATGAGACCACCGAGCAACAGAGAGACTGGAACCGTACAGCGCATTCGGTGGCAGATCACACAAGGACAAAATAAAAATGGCAAGAGGTATTAAATGCCGTGACTCATGGAAAATATACATCCACAGGCAGCTTGGCAGACTTGAGACAGAGAGAAAGTCACCATTGCTCCTTATTCATTCCTTCCGGATCCACTTCTTCACAAGTCAGCAATCTGCCCCTGCCCCTGCGCAGCCCCGGCCGAGCTCGCATTGTCCCACAGCTCGCGAAAAGCTGGGTCTTGCATCATCGCCTGGAAGTCCATGTAAGCCTCGTGGCGGATCTCCTCATTCAGCTCCCCGCCTGCGCCTCCACAAGTCCCTACGTTCCTGCCATTCTCTGGCAGAGTCGATGCTGATGCTAGTGCAGAGGTAGAGGCAGAGGAATTGAAAGCCATCTCTGATGTAGAAGAGGAAGAGGAAGGAGCCGCTGTAAGCTGTTGCTGCTCACCGCTGGGAGCAAAGCCGCTCAGAAGGCGCGACAGGCTAGGCGACAGCGGCGTCAGATCCGGAAAGGGAATAGGATTTCCAGCAGATCTTCCCCCTGCTCCTCTTGGAGTCGGCCCTGGCCCATTTGCAGATGCACCTCGAGGTGCAACACCAGGCGTAGCAAAGAGTGGGCTCAAGGAGCCATGAGAGCCCAGCAGGGCTGAAAAGTCCCAACCGCCAGGACCTGCTCCGGCTCCACCAGGGGAAGCGGCATTCAGCACGCGCTGCAAGGCAGGAGAGCGGGCTACGGCCGAGGCCAGGGCGAGAGAGGTGGGATTTACGCCAGACTTGCTCGAGGGGGTGCGAGGAAAACCGATGCTGCTCTCTTTGTTTGCTCCTCCTCCTCCTAGCCGAGGCGTCTTTGGCGGGACGAGGGGCGCAGCCATTGCGGTGTTGGTGATAGGATTCGTGTCGGTCCTGTTGGTGAAGCGTGGCGAGCTGCGCACTTTACCAGGAGTTGTAGGAGGGGCAACGCCTGCATCAGCCTTGGACGAAGCCTTGGGGCTCGAATTGCTTCCCTTTCTGGGCGTGAGGAGCGTGTTGGGCGATCGTGGCTCCAGAACGGGCGTCTGTCCCTCGCTTGACTGACCAGTACCATCAAAGGGCGTACCAGCAATAGATGTTCCGGCCCCTTCTTTGCCGCTCGACCCTTCACCTCGGTCACCTCCATTCAGATTCACTCCAGGGAGAGCGTATGCGGCCACCCCTTTCGATCCCTCTTCGGTGAAGTCCCGGAGATGTTGGCCAAAGTCGAGCTTCTCGTGCAATTGAATACCACCAGCGAAGTGGTCTAGGCTCATAGACCCATTGCCCTGGATCTCGATACTGCCAGCTGCTCCCGGTATACCAAAGTTGCTGGCTTGGAGTAGCCCATATGGGTCTTCGAGCATGTCGAGGTACGACTCCACTGTACCATGGTCGTAAGGAGACAGGACAGACAAGTCATCTCTAGGGGATGATCCGGCCGAGGATGAGGGAGCGTCTTCTACAGTAGCAGGTAGGGGCTTGCGATGGGGCACTAGCGCAGTCGACATGGGGCTCTTGCGAGGACTGGACATCAGTCTTTTCCTCTGAGCGGGCGAGAGGGATGCACGAGCAATAGGTGCGATCGGAGGAGGATTGATGGGCGTCGATCTGCCGCCAAAGACATCCGTCTCGTCGTTCCGGGCGAGACGAGAGGATGTGGACCTGGCAGGCGAAGGGCTCACGCCTTTCGTCAGCTTTGTCTCTGATCCATCAACAGATGTGACGTTGAAACTGGGTAGAGAGGCATTGCTTCCCGAAGAAGCAGCAGCGGCAGCGTCTCGCTTCCTCTTCTGCCCAAGTGAAGGGCTGGCAGGACAGACTTGACTGCTGCTCATCCTGCCCTTCCTCGCCATTGTAGGCGAGTCACCTCCTGGACCATCTTCCTCCTCATCGTCGTCGTCTTCATCCCGGCCGATCTGAACAGGAGTCTTGCCAGATTGCGACCTGGTCGTGGGCGAACTGGAGAACATCAGAGAACTAGCCGAAGTAGTCTTGAGCATATGAGACCTTCCTTTGGTCAACTTGTTGTCAAAGCGATTGCGTGAAGGGCTTGGAGAGCCAGGAGAGGTGAGGGAAGTCAAGGCGCTCGACTCGTTGCGCATCGATCTTTCTTCTGACTCGTCGCCAAGACGAGATGAAGGCGAAGAGGTAGCGGGCAGCCTGGCAGCTGTGTCGGCTTTGTGGGAGGCCTTCATCGTGGAGATGGGCGATTTGAAATTGGTGAAGGCACTGAAGACATCCAGATCGAGAGTCGGGGTAGCGCTACCGGTGGCCGCATTTGCGACAAAGGAAGAGAGAGCGGCCTGGCTGTCTGACTTGCCGCGCTTGCTGGTAGGACTGCCCGACGTAGTAGCATAGGGGTTCTTGTCTTCCCGCGTACCAGTAGGATTCTTCCTAGGACTCCTTCGCGGGACCTCGCCTGCCCCTGTCAGACCAGGGAAGCTGTTGACAAAGGACATGACCTGCTTTGGGTCATTGAAGTCAAAGTTGTTGAAGTCTCGATCGAGAAGAGCATCGAGAGCGCTAGTCGGACTGGAGTCCAAGATGTGCGAAGGAGCTCCATAGCGGCGACGAGCAGGAGTGATGCCCGGTGTTGAATGGATGATGTGGTGATTGGCAGCAGTCTTGGAGACCGATGCTGCTCCTGTTGAGTCCCAGGGAAAAGTTCTGCCACCCATTGCCCTCACTGGCGAGCTCTGTGCGATGAGCGGCATCGTCATCGGCTCATCGGCGGGCTGATCATCTGAAGGTTCGCTGGCAGGCATAGCTGCTACACTCGAGAGCCTCTCCCTGTTCTTTGCGTCTCTACTCTTGCCCTTGCCAGCGCCCGTCTTGCATCCCTTGGGCCTGCCAGGCTTCTTGCCATCAGGGTTCTCACGAATAGATCTCTTCGACCTCAGCTGGCCAAAGCTGTCCACAGCGAGATCCTGCTCATCCAGAGGTGCACGGTTTCGTACCCGTTTCCTGGCTGGCGGTGGCGGAGGAGGAGGCTGAGGTGTCTCCCGACCCGCAACTGGAGAAGAATATTCGATCTCGTCACGCTCGTCCTCATCGCCCATGTCGCTCTCTCCCGGAGCTGTCTCCCTCGCTTTGCGCTTTGCAGGGTACTTGCGCTTCTCGAGCTTCTCCGGCCTGCTCTTCCTCCACTTCTGCCAGAAAAGACCACAGCGGTTGCAGGCACGCCAGGAACTGCGGCCATTCGCGGTGACAAAGCCGGCCGAATCGGTCTCCAGACCTTGTCGCTCCTCCACTGGGGTCGCATCTTTGCAAGGGTTGGACTCAAAAGCCCCTGGAAAAGGTACCTTGGTGCCCTCGCTGAGAGTGACGATGCGCCAGACGGCCTTGATTCTGTCCTCTTGTCCACAGTTGTAGCACTGATACATCTGCTCGGATTTGCTTCCGCTGCCTGAAGCTGTAGAGTCTTCATCCGTTGAACCAGCCGGCTCGGCGACTGAAGACAGCCCGATAGCACTGAAAGTCCGCGAGAAAGCAGGAGTCACAGCGGCGCCACTCTTGAACTGCGGTTGTGACACAGACCGATTCAGCCTTGCGCCTTGTCCCCCTTCGGCAATGGTTGGCAAATTGTTGACTTGGTTCTGCGCCTGCCGGGCTTGCAGAGCCTGTACCAGTGCTAACAATTGCATTGCTTGAGCCTGTTGGGCAGATGTGGTTCCAGGTGGCAATTGGGCTGGGAGCTGAGGAGGGGGAATCGGAGACGAACTCCGTTGCGAGTTGGGCGTGGGTGCTGAGAGTCCAGTGGTGGACCTGCTGGGTCCAGGCTGAGAGATTTGTTGCGTGGGGCGCTGCCTGACAGGCGAACTAGCAGAGATCGGTTGCCTTTTGGCACCTCCAGAAGAAGTAGGCGTAGCAGCAGCACTCGTCGATTTTGTTGTCCCGCCGAATTGCTTCAGCATGTTGAAGTACTGCTCCCGGCTCTGCGCCTGTGTCTCCTTCATGCGGATCTCAACATCGAGGTACTCGACGACGTCGTCTTCCTCTTCCTCCTGATCCGAGTCACTGCTCTGATCCCAGCTGCGATCTGATCTCTCGGAGGAGACCTTGCCGACCACCACTGTGTCACCGTCCCCCTCTTCCTCCAATACCCAACCGAAGAAACCCCTGCCCACAAAGATGGAATTGGGATCCTTCGATGTGTCCCTTTCGCGAGAGCCAGATGCGACGGAAGGCGATGTTTGCGTGGTAGAGGCTCTGTGAGCTCGCTGCCTCTTTGTTGCCTTGTACGTCTCTTCAGGATCCACGACGTAGAGGATGAAGTCCTTCTTGCGATCGAGAATCAGTTCAGGACTGCCAGGGATGTGATGAGCAGGTGTCAGCGCGCTCCTCTCGTCAACTTCCTTCGCCATGGCAGACTCACCTAGAGATGCAGATTGCGCTCAGACACGTCTTGAGCGTGACCTTGCCGAATCGCTGCGTGGCGCTACCAGTAGCGCCACTCATCTCGCCAGTAGTGTTCGAAGAGCGCCTCATAGGTGGCAGAAGCTCGATTCCCGTCGGACGACCCAAAGGAGCGAGCATGCGGTGAGGGGATGACTCTAGTGTATACCAGACCCGCACTGGGAAGGCCAGCAGAGCAGAGGGCAGAAGAATTCAGGTAGTGCGTCAGCACCACTCGGTATGCCCCCCTGTGACTCGATGTTTGCTCAGTACTTACCATCCATGACGCGTCTCTCAGGCCTTCGCCGCCTCGAGCTACCAGCTGAGGAGGACGACGGAGCCGAAGCTCCGAGAGCCATCACGGCGAGTGGGAGAATGTGACTTGGTGTTTACAGCGTGTCGTGATGATGTTGTGTGCCTTTAATACGTATTCGTCTGCGGAACCCTTTGTTCAGGTATGGTCGTGGATGCTCGTCGGAGGCAGATGGTCGTTGGACGTGCAAGACGGAGGTAGATGTTCGCAAAGCGGCGCGTGAAGGTCTGTCTGTCGTCGAGGAGAAGCAGCAATGCGGCAGTGTGCTAACGAGGGTATAAGAGTGCGTCGTGATGAGTCAGGAATCTATATCGAGTCGAGTCAGTGGAAGCAGTGGGTGGGTGAGATGATGTATGGAGGGAGGAAGGGTGGGTGAGGGCAAAGGCAAGGAAATGCGCCCCCCCGCGCCTAGGTGGCCTTCTAGATTCCCATCTTTGGCTCCGCCTGGCGCGTCTCGGCCTCACCTGTCGCGTAGAGAGCGTGCAGCAGCAAAGGTCAGCGGGCAGCGCCACGCCCCCACGGCCAAATTTGGCAAAGGCTCATGCACCCATCGCGCTCCACATCCCCAGCGAGGCTGATCGTGACTGAAAGATATTGCAAAAGGGGGGGAGAATACTACAATGGTACAAAGAGCGCTCCCATCACGCCGCGACAAAAACACAGCTGACCCCAACACAGCGGAATACACTAAATACACAGCAACGCCCTCGCTCACCACGGTTCCAGACTACGAAATCGACTCAAAGAAGCCCTTGATAGGCGCAGACAACCTTCTGCGCAAGCTCCGCTTCTTCAGCCTTTCCGCCGTCTGATCTGCACTGGCAGCCGAGGCAGCAGATGACTTAGACTGGGATTGGGCTGCCTTCTTCTCTGTCTCCCTCTGTAGCGACGATGGCTGGCCCTGACTGGCAGATCGACGAGGAGTCGGCGACGAAGTGGCACCAGCAGCGGTGCCAGAGGGTGGGTTGACACTCTCGCGAGGAGCAGACGGCTTCTTTGTCGCGGCTCCCTCTCGCTGCTGCACGGCAGATGCAGATGTACCAGGTTCGAGCTGAGGCACCGAAGTGGCTGCCCCTTTCGATGCCTGGGCTGCAGAACCTTTGCCCTCTGGAGGAGTAGACCCAGAGGGTAGAGAGGCCGCGCTAGAAGAAAGGGACGGGTTCCATGTTGTACCAAAATACACCTTGTCCTTGTCCCTGCTCTGTGAGCTCTTCAGGGGAGACATAGCGCTGCTTGACGCAAGACCTTTCGTCGTAGCTACAGCCAACCTGTCGGGATCCACAACCCTGCGCTCGTCGGCGCTCGGACGTTTCGCACGAAGTGGGTCTGCACTCTTGCTGTCCTCCACGCTTCCAGACAAAGGTGATACCTTCGAGACCGGAGGCAGAAGAAGCGCAGGAGTGGGAGCAGGGCTCGAACCTAGCTTACTTGGCTTCGTTGGACGAGAGCTGTCTGATTTCGGGGACTGAGATGGAGAAGGACTGTGTGCATGCTCTTTGCCGGTGAGCCGCGCCGAAAGATGAGACTGGTTCATGGCAGGGGTCAAGAGCGCGTCCGACCCTCTTGTGGAGCTCTTCTCCTTTATACCGCCCGTACTATGTCTCCCACGTCGAGCACGATCATCCTCTGGAGTTTGCGACTTGTTTGTAGGTGGTACGGTGTGCTGTGCCTGGGTCGACTGGACTTCAGGTGCAGCATGCGCATGTCTTGAGTCTTCGGATGGGGTGCTCCTATTGGAGTTTCGACTGGAGCTCCTCAAGCCGTCTCTCAATCGATCGAAGAAGGGGCTATTCGAGCGAAGGACTGGCGACGAGAGGGCGGGCGAAGGAGGAGCAATGATTCTTCCAAGCGAGTCCTCATGGCCGCTTGTGACCGGAGGCTGGGCGTCACTATTAAGAGACGATCTCCGCAGGAGTCTCTGCTCCTTTGCGATGTCCTCTTGCGTTCCGGCTTCCTCCAGCATAGCCATCATAGCTCGGGCGCCACCTCTTCTGCGCACCTTCTCGTTCCTATGCCTCTCTTCTCGAGCTCTGACTTCGAGCTCGACTTGGTGAGCAAGAGCTGCGTCTGCGTCGATGGTCTCCTCCTCGCTGACTCCAACCGGACTTGAACGAAAGGCCGGGAACGAATCCACAGGTTGAAAGTATCCATCATGAGCCATCTCGAGCTCAGGAGACGACAGTCCCGCAAGAACATTAGGTTGACTGGCCCGCCCATGCTTCTTGTCGACCTCGTCGACTTGAACTTTGTCAGCCAGAGATGTGCCAATTCCCTTGTTGCGGTCCAGAATCTGCTGCAAGTCAGCGTTTGCATCTTCATCACTTTGCTCGACAGCGGGCGGAGGTCTCAGTGCTACGTGAGCTTCGTTCGATCGGGCAGAATCGTTTGCCGAGGGTTGTAAGACCGAATGATATGTGACCACGCCTCTGAAGCTCTGATGAGAGCCTATGGGCGCAGATATCCTCGTCGGGTCATTGGCCCGCTGTGCAGACAGCGGAGGCGGCGATCTTGTCGACCTTCTACTACTGTCAGGTAACACCAGCGCGGTATCGCTGCGGGACAGACTCAGTGCTTGAGCTTTGATCCGCTCTCCTCCAATCTCATTCTGAGCTGCTTGCTTGCGGTCCGCTAGCCATTTCGCCCTTGCACCTTTTGACCAGTGAGCAATGTACGTCGCACTGAGGCTGGCGTTGATCCTGCCCGAGCAGTGCTGGCAGACACAGTCGATATTCAGTGGCACTAGCTCAGGCTCTGATACAATCGGCGAGGATTGATCCAACTCCGAGTCAGAGGCATGATCATCTGTCGTAGGCTCTTCGGGCTGAGACAAAGGAGAGCTCCTGCCCCTTCTCAGCCAATGTGGTCGATGACTACCGGGGGCAGCTCTCACGAGATGAGAGGATTCAGAAACCGACCGTGTGAGCGTGCTGCCCGATGTACGTGCAGTGCTCGTTTCGGCAGGGCTAAGCGTCTTGGCGGAGAGACCGCTCGTGCGAGAAGCCCCTGAATGTTGCTGCGACCCATCCTGTGTGCCGGGCAGATCCAAAGAGGGCGACGATTTTGCTGGCAGCTCAGCAGCAGAGAATGACGGTGATGAAGGCAACGACCTCGCCGTGGACTCAAAAGTGTTCCGGTGTTGCCTGCCAGCTGCTATCAGCAGCCCTTCTGAATGGATCACTGGCGGACCCTGGCCGTCATGAGGGTAACGCTTGGGGGACTTGAGGGGTGCCGAAGCTTGGGAAAGAGGAGCTGATAGCGCTGGTGCGGCTGCTATACGTGGTGCAGGTAAGTCATCTTCATCGTCGCTGGCCGATCCGAGAACAAGCGGTCGGTAGGCAGGCCTTGGCGCTGCGACTCCCTTCTGGGGCGTAGGCGCCTGCAAAGTTGCCTTGAAGGATTGCGGAACGACCTTGACAGGTGTGCCCGGCGCGATTGGAGAGGCAGCAGCGGCAGCAGTAGAGGTAGATCTCATCGAAACGGATGAGGAGCTTTGGTCTCTGCTCATGCTACTCGCTCTAGCTCTTCCGGGCTGTTTGAGGATACTCTTCAGCGAGGGGACTGGTAGAGTGTTGGTAGTGCTCAGTGTCGCATCTTTTGAGACCAAGGGACCCTCTGCCCTTGGCTGATGATGTTGCTGCTGTATTTCTGTCTGAGGGAGAGCCGGCTCATCGGCGGAGACGGGATTGTATACTTGCGTGATGTGCTGAGGCGGCATGCGTTGCAGGTCATCAGAGCCTCTGCTTCGGCTAGGGCCCGCGAGCGAAGATGACTCATGTTCGTTTGCTGGGTAGGATGGGATGGCACTAGAGTATCCGACTGGTCTGGTAGATGGCAAGGGAACCAAGTTGGGCGCGCTCAGCTCAGTCGCATGCTGCATCGAGTGTTCCATTACGTTGGCACGTACTCACATCAGGATGCACTGATCTGCAAAAGCAACTTCCTTGCTCCTTGCCTGCTTCTCCGTATCAGCGGATGATACTGCCGGACCTGCTGTCGGGGCGCTCATGACCCCTTCTGCCTGGGCGTGTGTATCGCGGGGTGCAGCTGTATCGTTGAAGTGGCCGCTCGCACTGACCGCATGGCCGAAGGCAACGTACTACACGTCGTAGCGGCGCTGGTACGCCTCTTTCTAGCGCCTATCTATGTACTCGTGATGGTGAGAGCGATATCAAGGTCATCAATCAAGAGGATAGCGTTAAGGGTTCGAGCGTTGGTGTCTAACACGATGCGGCTGAGGAAGGCTGACTGGTGAGTCCTGTGCGTCCCCTTGTCCTCGGCCAGGGGCTCCGATCCGAGATGCGAATCTAGGCGTTGCTCTCCATTCCACTTCCGCACGGCCCATTTCAGCTCCGCTCCTCGGCCAGATTTTGACGCAGGGAGAGTCCTTCGCAGGGAAGACAAGAGCGGTACCACTCCACCATCATCCCACCTGCGCACAGAGATTTCAGTCCACGGCTTCCCTCTAGTCGTGTAGGGCATTCGGTGAAGCGATGGCGCCGAGGAAGAAAAGTGCTCAGATCAAGTCCAGTGGAGCAACGTCTTCCAAGGCCGCGCCTCTGCCCGACTGGGTCAAGAACAAGGGCGCTAAACCACCTCCGCCAGGGACAGCTGCTGCGTCCTCGGCATCCTCTGCTGCTGACAAGGGCGGTAAGGCAGACAAGAAGGACGGCAAAGGGGACGCTAATGGAGGCAGTGCCGTATCCACGGCTGGGCCTTCCTCACAGCCTGTCCGGCCTCCACCTTTATTTCCTCCTGGGACAAAGACTCCCCTCAATCTGCTGAATGAACGAGTGCAGAAGCTTCACAAGGACTGGAATAGACCCGAGTACCACCCTCATCCCGTCAGAGCATCTACAGCCTCGAATCAGGAGTCGGAGAAAGAGGAGACTTCAGACGGCAACTTCTTTCAGTACGATAATGGCAAAGCTGGACAGCACGAGGGCAATGGATCTCCTCAGCCCTGGACATGTTACGTGACGCTGTCCAGACCCAACCCCAAGGACAAGAGTACCAACGACGTAGTAAGGCTAGTGCCCGATGAGAGAGACTCGAACCAGAGATTTGCAGCCGGCATGGTCGAGAGCAAGGAGATGGCAAGGCATTATGGAGCTACCTACGCCCTCTTCAGAGTGAGTCTGAGTGTAGCAGAACAGCTACGAAAGGGATCCTTACTGACTGCTCACTCTACAATGGTCCCTTTGGCAGTTGTTCTCGCAACTTTCATTAGCTCTGATGCTGCCACCTCAATTTCGAGATTACTGGTCTTCCCTCGAGGCATGGAAGAAGTCGCTTCCTCCACACATTCAGGCAACTCTCTTTGCTCCAGATCCCTTTCTCGCTCAGGAGCAGGCGCGGGCTGCAAAGAAGGAGCGGGAACAGCAGGCCTTGAAGAAGGCTCAGATCAAGGCGGACAGTCAGAACAACAGCGGCATTGATGAAGACAAGCTGCCGAAGAGATGGAAAGAGGCAAGGGAAGTCAGGATGACAAAGAGCATGAGAGACTGGGTAGAGGAGATTGTCAAAGCGGGCAGCATCAGCACCTATGATGATGAAGCTGATGACCTGGAAGAAGACGGCGGCTCATCGTCTGCCAGTCCTTTGAACGGTAACTCAAAAGTCACTATCGATACAAAGCGCCTCGAGGCCCAGCTCTCGCAGCTTGGCTTCCGCTCGGGTTACATTTCCTCTGGACTCTCTTGGCTAGCACGCGCTCGATCAGCTCTTCTCGGCCAGGTCAGAGTCAAAGACCATCTCGTTGCGTCCATAAAGCAACAGTCAGATCACGAAGCCCTGTTGACCTACCTCACGCTCTACGTGCCGGAGGAGGACCTTCCCGATCGCTTCAAGGCTTCCAAGAATTCTACCAATGAAGGCTTCGTGACCTCAACGCAGCGAGGTCAGTCGAAGGAGGATGCTTTGAAGACTCAGTGGGCTGCTGAGCGTATAGTCAAGGCGGCAGGCTACCCTCGCAACGCCGTCGAAGCCGCCATCACTTCTGAGAGCGGAGGGGATGTGGGAGCTAGAGAGCTCGCAGCTTTGAGGAGCCTTGCTGGGCGTCTAGGTCAAGAAGAGGGGTCTGCTGATGGTGTCGAATCGCTACTCTCAGCGCGAAGACTAGAAGCGCGGCGAGAGGAAGTAATGGTGCTCAAGTCTATCCTGGGAGACGACCGGCTTTGTCCAGTCCCAGTCGAAGAGAGACCCCTCGGTTGCACCGATTGCACCGATGACTGTTTCGATGTCATCATTGCTGGACCATCTCGTATGCAGGTGGAAGGAGGTGGGAAGTGGGGCAAGGAAGAAATCCGACTCAGGGTGGTGTGGAAGATGGATCCCTACCCGACTCTCGAAGGTGAAGCCCCTGTGAGACCGACATTCTACGTCGCCTCTCCCGCCCTATCCACAAGCTACGATGCTCCCCGACTCCCTTCCTACTTGCGTCTAGCTCTGACAAGACATCTTCTCAAGAAATTGCAGACTGAGACCTGGCTCGAGGACGGGCAGGCCTTGCTGCCCATGATCGAAGACTTGGAGGAGAATTGGCGGGCGATAGTCAACGGCGACAAAGTCAGATTCGAAGAGGTCATGGCGGGCTTCACAACTCGACGACCGAAAGCTGTTGGCACAGACACAAAGGAAGCTACACAAGCCAATTCTTCTCGGCAGACTTTTGCCCCTGCTCGACCACTGAGGCGAGATGCGGGCATCGATTCAACTCTACTGAACGCGCAGCAAGCTTTCAAAGCTTCACCTGGCGGGCAAAAGCTGCTCTCACAGCGTGCCACTCTGCCTATCTCGCATCACTATGACTCTATTGTCTCGACGCTCTTGGCTCACCGCCTGACGCTCTTGACAGGATCAACAGGTAGCGGAAAGACGACGCAGCTGCCGCAATACATCCTGGACTCCTCTATCGAAGCGGGTGTAGGCAGCGAATGCAAGATCATCGTCACGCAGCCACGACGAGTCTCTGCCATGAGTATCGCGGAGCGCGTAGCTCATGAGAGGGGTGAGACCATTGGCAACATGGTCGGCTGGGCGGTCCGAGGAGAGAAGAAGGTGGGAAGGGCAAACAGAATTCTGTTCACCACAACGGGTCTGCTCCTCAGACGTTTGCAGACAGAGCCTGATCTCGCGTCCATCTCTCACCTCCTCATCGATGAGATCCACGAGAGGTCTCTCGATTCCGATCTTCTTCTACTCGAAATTGCCTCCTTACTCAAGATGAATCCGAAAATTAAGGTGGTTCTGATGAGCGCTACTCTGCAGAAAGAGAAGTTCATCAAGTACTTTGCTGGCAGGATCGATGCTGGTGAGCAAGGCATTGGAAGTGTTGATGTGGAAGGTCGGATACATCCAGTAGACGACTTCTACCTCGAAGATCTGGTGAAAGAGACTGGCTACCGTCCCTCAGCGGCTTCATCGTCGTCGTCTTTCGGTAGAGGTGGGATGGATCGTGGTGCCGGCCCGCTCAAGGGACTCAGAGAGGATCTGACGGCTCATGGCTTTAGCGAAGGCGAGATCACTGCTCTGGAGGTACTCGAGAGGGAACGACCCGGGCAGGCCGTTGGGCCACTCGACTTTGAGCTCGTGGGTCGAGCTGTCAAGCATGTCGCTTTGAGAGAGGCGGCAAAGGAGCAGGCCAGCAATGATGGACGCGTCGGAGCGATCCTGGTCTTTATGACGGGTGTCGGCGAGATCCGCCAAGCCTGTGAGGCCATCAGATCGACACTGCAAGGCATGCCGATCGAAGTATTGCCCCTTCATTCGAATCTGTCGAATGAGGAACAACAGCAGGTGTTCCGTCCGGTGCGAGCTGGCGCGAGGAAAATCGTGGTCTCTACCAACGTGGCCGAAGCATCCATCACTATCGACGGAGTCACTGCTGTCATCGACTCTGGTCGAGTCAAAGAGACAAGCTACGACCCAGACACTGGCCTTACGAGGCTGGTGGAGAAGTACACCTCGAGGTCTTCTGCGATGCAGAGGAGGGGAAGAGCTGGTCGAACAAGACGAGGCGAGTGCTGGAAGCTCTTCACCAGGACTCTCGAGGAGAAGAAGATGCCTCAGGATAGTCAACCCGAGATGACGAGAGTGGCACTCGAAAGTGTGGTTCTGCATGCCCTTTCGATGAAGAAGAAAGATGTGACGACCTATCTATCCTCAGCACTGGATCCCCCATCGATGGCCTCAATCTCTTCGGCAATCACGAATCTGCTCGAGGCTGGCGCCGTACGCTCTCTCGCATCGAGGGAAGAGCTGACTCCAACAGCACTTGGTCGCCATCTGACCAATCTGCCATTGGACCTCAGACTAGGAAAGCTGCTCATCTTGGGATGCACATTCCAATGTCTCAGCCCCCTCCTGACGATTGCTGCCCTCATGTCTTGCAAGCCACTCTTCGCCATCCCCTATGAAAAGCGAGACGACCTCAATGTTATTCGCGAGCGCAAAGCCGTGGGCAAATCGGACCTCCTCACTGACGCTGCCATCTACGATGAGTGGGCTTCGATTCGACGCAAGGGAGGTTCAAACGCAGAGATGCGCAATTTTGCCGCGGACAACTACCTCAGCTCTTCTTCGCTAAGGGACATCACCTCCACGCGTATCGACCTCCTCTCCAACTTGCAGGAAATCGGCTTCGTCCCACGCAAGGGGTACAACCCCGTGCAAGACCTGTCTTCTCCGCACCCCCTCGACACCCACTCTACCAACCACGCACTGTTGCGCGGACTACTCACCGCCGCCCTCTGGCCGTCGATGATCCGTATCGCGCACCCGGAGGCCAAGTACAACCAAGGCTCATCGGGTACAATTGCACGTGAGACCGAGGCTCGCTCTGTGAAGCTCTTTGACGAGGCTGGACGGGTCTTCCTGCAGCCCTCGTCGGTCCTCTTTGGCCGCAATAAGTTTGAAGCGAGCCATCTCGCCTGTTTCAAGAAGAGTGCGGGAGCGGGGGATAAGGTCTACCTGAGGGACGCGACAGAGGCGCCCATCTATGCGCTCTTGCTCTTCTGTGGGAGAATCAAGATCCACCATCTCAGGGGAGGTATTTCCCTCGCTTCCTCTGCCGGAGGTGCCGCTGCAAAGCAGGTACTGACTACCACTGGAGGTGCTGCTGGTGCTGCTGGTGCTGGTGGCAGCGCGGCCAACTCTGGTAAGAGCAGCAGAGTCGCTACTCCCGTCAATGGCGCTGCCGTCGGTTTCGGTGGTCAAGAGCCTCGCAGCGAAGTCTACACAGACGACGAAGGCGAGGGTTTTGTGCGTCTGCGCGCTCCTGCGCGTATTGGTGTATTGAGCTCTCAACTTCGTCGATTACTCGATGCGCATCTCGACCGGGCTTTCGATCGCGATTCTTCAGAGCTAGAAGGTGAAGGAGGCGCGAATGGGAGTAGAGAGGAAGAGGAGCAGAGGTCGTTGCAGATTCTAGAGGTGATGCGGGCGCTGCTTGAGAGGGATGGAATGGGGACTGCGCCGGTCTAGCGATCCCGGCAGTAAAGCCCTTTGCTACTCAACTTTACCCTACCCTAGACGAATACAATCCAGTACACACATCAATGTAGCCTACATCAAAGAGAATTAGATTTGTGCAATAGAGATACATGTCCTTCCTCTCTTTCTTCCTTTCTTTGCCTTCCTTCTAAATCTACTTGAACTGATTCTCCGTCGAATCAGCACCCATGGCACTCGTCGCACTCGATCCACTCGAAACGGTCTGAATCATACGATCGCTCAGAGCTGCTCCGCTCCACTTCTGGTGTGTGAGGACATCGGTACCGATTTCCTTTTCGCGACGTTGGATTAGGTTCACGTAGGCTTGCACTGTGAAGTGAGGAACAAGAGGAGAAGGAGGGGAAGGAGAAGGGGAAGGGGTGGTCAGTGATCAGTGATCAGGTACAATGCGATGCGGTGCGCGAATGGTGGCCCAACAGGACCTATGGGTGTATCGATTGGAATAGGCGGACACTTACTTCCATCAGTCTTGTAAGCCTTTGCGAGTTCAGCAGAGATCATTCCCGTCGAGTGTAGGCCGGCGAGGGAGATGAGCTGGAGTACGAAGCCGGACTGGGCGAGGTCCCAGATGAAGTTGCGTAGGTCGTCCTCTGCGAGTGAGCGAAGCGAGGCGATGAAGCGTGAGTTAGTCGGTCAGTCAGTAAGTAGCCGCTCTTCCTGGCGAGAAAAGTCGAAGAAGCAATCCTCTTCCTGTACTCACCACTGAACCCATGAGCGCTCCAATTGAATGATGGGCTCAAGTTATACACGAGCATCTTATCCGGGTACGTCTCGTGAATCTTGCTCGCAAATCCCTGCGCCTCCTTCAGATCCGGCGTCTTCGTCTCGAGCCAGAGCATGTCCGCATACGGTGCAAAGATCTTGACACGCTTGATAGCCGGTGCCAGCCCACCGGTGAAGTGGAAGTAGCCTTCCTTTGTGCGAGGCGCTTCCCAGTCCCAGTGCGGCACGCCTTCTGCTCCAAAGATGTCATGAGCAATTCTGCGTGCCTGAGTATTCGACACACCTCCCTCTACACCTACTTGCTTCTTGTACTCTTCAAGCCCAGAAGTATTCGATGCATTGTGCTTGGCAACAGCTTCGTCGAAAGTGCAAAGGTCGCACTTGTCCATCCACTCCTTTTCCACCTTGTCCACCTGTGCACCTACTTTGCCTTCGCTTTCTGCCCTCGACAGACTTTCAGCGAGGGAGAGGGTATCAGAGGGGAGATTGTAGGCGCCCTTGATGAATTCGTGATCACGCACGTCGATGTTGCTAGAGATGAGCTTGCCAGACTCCGAGTCTGTGCGGGCGATGACTAGGTTGGAAGAGCCGAGGACATCCCAGGCCAGACGGGTGGCATTGAGGCGATTGACATGCTCCGAGGTGGGAACCAAGACCTTTCCTGCTTGGTGACCACACTGTGCGAGTTGTTGTGAGAGAGTTGGTCAGAAGGGTACTCTTCTTCCCTCAGTGAGTCCTCAAGCGTCTTCGCCCAACTTACCTTCTTACCACCATGCAGCTGATCTTCAAGATGAATGGCCGCTGCTCCATTCTCGGCAAAGAGCTTGGCCAGCTTCATTACCGTCGTCAGCCCTCCATGTCCGGTATCAGCATCAGCAATGATCGGTCTCAGATAATCCACCCAAGGCGTCTTTTCCCTCTTCTCCTTTGGCAGCTCACACCTCTCATCCCAGTGTTTTCGATCGTGGTGCAACTGTGCCTTGAAGAGACGCTGTACTTGGTTCGGAACAGTAGTGTAAGGGTAATCTGCCAAATCGGGACCGACTTCGTTGGAGCAAGTGGTGAGAACACTGCTGCATGCCCATCCGCTCACGTAGGTCACTTCTTGGTGGTATGCCATCTGGGATTGCTGCACAGGGTCTATTGCGCCCATGGTGTGCACTGGCTCTCCCTTTGAGAAGCGATGACGTAGGAGAGAAAAGAGCTTGTCGGCCATGAGCGAAGACTGAGGTGGAGTAGCAGCGATAGACCCTCGCTTGGACACTACGGCCGAGGGAGGATAGGGCCTCTTGATGCCCTTGAAGCGAGGTGAGTCGAAGAAGGCTTGCACCTCATCACAGCTGCGCTGAAAGTCGGCTGCCTCCTCTTCCGCCGAGGGTGGTTGTAGACGCAACGGGTGAGGTGCGGGAAAGGCAGATGTGGCGGCTATATTCTGCACTTGAGCTAGCGAGGAAGGGGCGGACCGATGGAGGGATCGTGAGGTGGACATTGTGCGCAGACAAGGCGAGGCAATGCGAGCGAGTGGCTTTGTACGGCTCACGAGGGTTCGACTGCTGCGTCCTGAAGAGGGGAGGAGCTGCTTGCTGGCCATGATCAATGTCAGACTGAGGGCGAGTGTGCTCAACCTCTGCGATGGTAAGGGAGAAGCAAACAATGTTTAGAGGAAAGTGAAAAGGAAGATGTGCCGGCGAGGTCTTCTACTCTGATCAGTATGGCCTTGGGAATTGTGGAGCGGAGGAGGCGCATGAAACCCGGCGCTCGGCCACCACGCCTCAGCCGGAATCGGCATTGGCGGGTCAAAGGCGCAACCTTCTGACGTGCCCACTCCTCCTCAGCCCCCTCGCCTTGCCCTCGGACCCCGTACGACGAGGATTCACGCAAGAGAAGACGACGACGACGACAATGCGACACTCCAACACACAGAACGATCGTGACAATGGTCGCTATGATTGTGTACTCGAGTGAAAAGCAGACGAAAGAACAGACCACCTGGCTCCCAGATCCTACCCGCCCATCTAGATGTGATCTACTACTTTGGACAACGACGACGACGGTACCACTACGTCTCTGATTCAACTATTGCATCACTTCACTTCAAACTCGACGACGTGCTCATTGCTTGGCATTCTTGCTGCCATTGAGCAAGTGAGGGTAGTGCGCTGCCACTGGGTCTCGGGTCCTCCTGGCTTCTTCGCCATCAGGCTGAATGGTGTTGAGCTCGTGCTGGTTCAGGAAGCCCGGGTGGACGAGGTACTCTGGCATGGGCTCCTCGGTAATTGTCTGCGTCTGTGTCACCTGCACTCCCTCGAGAGACCCGAGGGACGTGGTCTGAGGGTGAGCACGACCCATGTAGCGGGCCTTGGCAGGTGACTTGGGAATCTGGCCACCCTCCGTGATGGGCAGGGTGCTGAAGGGCTGGCTGGTGGACTGACGAGAGGGTAGAACCGCGGGTACCGTGATCCTCTGCTTCTCCAAGTCGATCGAGACGCTGTCGTCACTGATGTAAGGCAGCCGTCCACTTGACCCTTTGTGAGTGTTGTTGGCAGTGTCCGAAGAGCTAATGTGGCTGTTGGCCAACGCCGAACCCCTTCGACCGACACTAGACCTCCTTCGGGTAAAGAAGTTGATGACCTTCTCGGATACAGATCCCTGACTGGACAGTTGCTCATTGGAGATGCCTCCGGGCTTGTGCGCAGCTTCATTGGCAAGTTGCACGTACATGCGGGTACTGATGCAAAGTGAGACGGCTGCCGACGGTACTGCAAAGAAGATGGACAGGAGTGGCCCCGTCTGGGCAGCAGTCAAGACCAGGATGGGTAGGTTGACGACGAACACGGCGAGGAAGTAGAGGGCACCTTGCTCTATCAGGACGGTACCGATGCGGCTGGATCCACCGCGTGTCATCTTGACAACGCCGCCGACGGTGAGAAGGAGTACGGTAAGATCGTAGAGGATGGTGATGAGGTACTTGACAAAGTATTGAGTCTTGACCTCTGTCATGGCACAGCTGCCGGTGGCCCATGGGAAAAGGGGCAAGCTTGACCACATCATGACCACATCTTGTGTACCGGCGGCCCAAGAAGCAGCAAGTGCCAAAGTGCCGACGACGAGGCCATAGGTGATGTAGGTCCTTGTCTTGCCACGGTAGACGCAGACTGCTCGACAGGCCAGAAGCTAAGGAAAAGACGAGATGAATACGAGTGTCAGTTCAATTGTCAAGAAGCAGCACCTTTCCGACATCCCTCCCTGATAGCGACTCACAATCGATGCACAGGTGTTAACGACGCCCATCAGTACCTGAACAGCAACCATGTTGGCCGTGCAGTTGACTTCATCCACAGTGTAGTACCTGATCATGATCAGAACCATGTAGCACCACCATGCAATCTTGGCAGCAAAGTATGCAATGTGAATGGCTCGCCTGCGCCTTTTGCCGGTGATGACTGCCCAGTCAAAGGAGAAGAGGGCACATTGTTCGTATAGGGTGATTGCGACTGCGGGTAGGGAAAGGTGGGCAAAGAGAGGGACAGACCGAAAAGGCATGAGCTAACAGCGATCGACATTGGTCGTCTTGCGGCTCGGAAGGTGGGCTACTCACTGGCCATCCACCAGAGCACTACCATTGCCTGCAGCGTGGCGATGGACTGATTGTAAGTCATATTCACAACCATCTTGTCTTGTCTTGGGTGTGTGTGAGTCTAGTCTGAGATCTCAAAGGCCGGTGTCGAAGAAGGTGTAAAGGGGTGCGCTAGGAGATGCGGAATGTAGGCTAGAAGGGCGGAGACAGCACCTTGCGTGTATGCTTTCAGTGCGAATGCCTGAGGCTACTACGATAAGATACGAGTGTTGATGGTGTACTTGGGATGAAGCTGGAAGCGCAAAGGCAGCGATATGAAGGCGAAGAAGGGAGTGGGACGAGGTACTTATGCTTGCCAGCCAGGGGGTTGAGGGCCGGACGATAAGAGGTCCAGCGAATGCGAAGAGACGCGTGAGGCGGACGTAGGCACCGACCAGGTCACTAACCATCACCTGCCGATTCGCACGCACGACGGCGTTTGCATCCCCACGGCAAAGTGCGTCGAGGCGAGTCAAAGGGCGTCTCTTCACTTGCAGCCTGACTGTGTCTGTGATCGGCGTTGCGTCCCTCCTCTCCTCCTTCATCTTTCCCCTCGCTCCCTGTATTCAGCTGTAGAGTTGCGAGGTAAGAAGCAAGGGCCACCTAGTCACACCCCTCGGCGAACCTTGAACTTTACTCTTCCCGCCCGCCCACCTGCAGACTTCACCGCCTTGCCTCCTTCTGAGGCCGGGGAAGGACCAGGGACGGGGGGGGGGGGGGGGGGGGAGGGCAAGATTCTGCACTCCGACTCATCAGGTCCGGGCGTGGGAAGTCTTCTTTGCTCTTACAAACAAGCTGACTACGACTGCAAAGTAGCCGGAAAATGCGCCAAGATGAAGAGAGTAGGAGGCGAGACTGAGTGCTAAAGGGCCCTGACCTTCCAACCTTGCTAGCTCGGGAAGGGTGGATTGGGTCTTCGCACTGACCACCCAGGAGGAAGGGGAGGTGACCTCCTTGCTTCTTGCGGCATCTTGACAGTTTGACGCCCACCTCCCCGCATCACAGCGGACCCCTTGTGCATCTGCGACGTGCATCAACCCTCTTTTTTGTCTCTCTTCGCGTGCCTCCTGACCCATCTAAAATAGGCCGTCAATTGGATGAACTGGCGCAGCAAGACAGCAGCATCGAAGAACAAGTGGGTTTCAAGGGCGATCTCCCTCTCCCTTCGTTCCCTTTGGCGAGCGAGGATCCTATTCCATTTTTGGCCCGCAGATGGCTGGCTCACCCCGAGGTATTCCCGCTGCGAGGGAAAAAAAAAGGCACACAGAGTGCACAGCCTTACTTTTGCATCGCAAAGATCAACAGCCCCGTCGCAACCTGTGCCTGTGCCTGCGCCGCCTGTGTCTGTGCCTGTGTCACTGCTGACTTCGGCTGCAAGTACTCAAGAGGGTACAAGTCAGCCTCGCTTCTGCTTCTTAGAGAGAGTAAAGGAGGGGAGGGAGCGTCTCCTTACCTTCGCGTCTTTCTTCACGAGACGCTTGGAGCCTATTTTCCAAGCGAAACTCTAACATCCCTTTCCAGAGACCAACATCGGCGAACACGTCGAATCGCCAATCGCCAATCGCGAAAGGCGAATCGGGCAGGCGGTGCGAAGAAGTAGGGATGGGGTTGCGCGTCTGTGAGATTGAGGACGTCCCTTCTTTGACAGCCCTTGCGTCAAGCAGCAGCAGCAGCAGCAGGCAGGCAGGCAGGCAGGCAGGCAGGGAGGCAGAGCTAGGCTATACGAAGTGATGCGAGACATTCTATATTCTATAGTTCGATTCAATTTTCTGCTTCCATTAGGGCAGGTCAGGCTGCTTACAGCGCGTAGCACTGCATAGGACGGCGCAGTACAGACGAAAGAGAGGACTCGGAGCGTAGAGTCCTTGGTGAAATTTGAGAATAGTGGACAATGACACATGAGGTGGCGGTAGCCTGAACGCGGATCCCCAGAGCAAAACACGACGCCCGTCTAGCAGCCCGCACCTAGCCACGTAGAATGCGGCTTGCTGCACCCTTTGCAACTCTGCAACTCAAAGTCGACTCGTCAAATTCACCACTTCCCCACCCTGGTAAGCAATCGAGTACACGCTCCTGAATAGCGGATACTCGTCCTGTTTTCCCCTCGCCTTGAGAAACTCATACACTTCCTTGGCCGTCTCTGTCCCTTGGAGTTTCTGACCGTTGAGCAGCTCCCGCTCCAGGACGTCAAAGGGCTTGCCGGTGGTGACGAATGCCTCGGCGCATTTGCGATTGCGGCCGCCGTAGCCTGTGTAAAGAAGAAGGGCAAAGAGCGGAGGAGAAGAGTAAGAGTAGGTCACAAGGGCGTGAGTGGTCATTGTTGGCTGCCGCGGGAGAGCTGAGATTGACTTACAGGTGGTGATCAAGTCGGCAATTCCTGCACTGGTCTCGGTGAATGTTTCTGGCTTGACGCCCTCGAAGAACTCCTCTGCGAAGCGCTTCATTTCCATCAGGCCAATCCGCATCACAGCCGCTATGAGACCACAAGCAACAAGGGGAGAGTCGTGTCAGCTCTTCAGCTCAAGCCCTTCTGGACCTTCCCCATGAAGCCATCGCAGCGGCTCTACTCACCCTTGGCGTTGCTTCCCCAGCCCAGTCCATCTGTGAATCCAGCAGCAATGGCCACTACATTCTTCAAAGCTCCGCACAGGCTCACCCCGGCTACGTCCTCGACCAACCCCACACGGAAAGTGGGGGTATCAAAGACCTTGAGAAATCGCTCTGCCGTGGCCAGATCGCCCGGACGGTAGCCAATGGTAGTTTCTGAGAATTTGTCTTCGGCGACTGTGAGCAAGAGAAGCATGGCAACAATTGTCACATTAGTGTCTGCAACTTCTCTTGTCTCGTGCGCTCTCTCGCTCTGGCTCTCATCCTGCCACTCACCCTCGTTGGCAATGTTGGCTCCACTCAGCGCAGCACACTTGCACCCCAGAATCTCCTCGATGACATCTGCGAAGATCCTGATCTTCCCGTTCTTGACCTCTACTCCCTTGATCATCGATATCGCCCTGGCGTTCTTGGCCACTTTGCCCTTCAAGCTCTTGCATACACTCTCAATGAACTGATGCGGTAGGACAAAGATGAGCAGATCTGCATCTCGTGCCGCCTCCTCTGCCGAATCCACTGCCTTGACATTGTCCGGCAGCTTAATGCCGGGAAGGTACTTGACATTCTCGTGACGTGTATTGATTATGTCTGTGAGCTTCTCTCCATCGATTTCTTCCTGGTGCACATACATGCGCACCTCTTCGATGAAGAGATCCGGATATTGGAGGAGGTTGTTGCCGGCGATGCGAGCGATGGCGCTTCCCCAGTTGCCTGAGCCGATGATCGCTAAGCGTAGAGGCTTTTCTGAGGATGAAGAGGAGGAAGAACTTCCTGTAGATGAGGAGGAGGAAGAAGAAGAAGAAGAGGATGCCATTGGGAAGGTCTTGAATTCGTACGGGGCTCTGGATAAGTGAGAGGAAGTACTGATCCACCGGCCAGGTCGTTCAAACAAGTCACTGGGTTTACGAGCTGCGAGGGGCCAAGAGGAGCAACGAGAGAGCTTCTGGCCGAGATCGGGATGAGCTGAAGGTGTTTGTGAATATCTGGAGAAGGCTGTAGGCGTTATGCGTGCACTGGAAGCAGTGGATCTGATGGTTCCTGAGACGTGGTACGAGAGCGAGCGTGAGCCCCTGTTGGAGAGCCGAACGAGCTGAGGTGTAGAGGAGAGAATGATGGTGGATGACTTGGAAGGACAAGCTTGGAGGATGAGTAGAATGTTGAAAAGGATGCAAGGAGGAAGCGCTGGGGTGCGGTGGGATCAGCCGACGGAAAGAGCTTGGTGGTGTGCCTTGGGGGAGAAGTTGTGTGTGTGTGTTGCGTGCAGGAGTGGCAGCTGCCTGGATTGCGATGAGTAGATTGGCTGCACTGTTGTCCTGATAGCAAAGGTCGTGCGGATGATGTTCGACGATTGCTCTGAGTAGACTACGGAGTAGTGTGGTAAACTTCTCTCGTCGTCAGTCTGTGAGTGGTCAAGTGATGTGAGTCTGACTTGGTTTGCTTGGTTGGTTGGGCTCAACGAACAGACTGGCCTCGGCAGTGGCAGGCGAAGCGGATGGGCCAACCGCATTGATTTGCCCCTCGCCTCGCCCTCGCCCCCGTCAAAAGTTGAGGCCACGCGACTCCACTTGTCCGGTCCGACCGGCTTCATTTCTTGGGGAGAGGATCACTCACGCGCCCCGACAACGCCAGTGCCTGGCTGAACCTCCTCAGAGCGCTCAATGCGCAAGCCAGGGACGCAGCTGCTACAAATCCCTCAGGATCGACTATTATGAGAAGCGGGTGTGACATGCGAGCCTGACTAGAGATGATGCATGGCCAGACACGCAGATGGACAGATGGACAGCCACTGCAGAAGAAAAGGGGTATCATTACTACTGTACAACGTCGAATCATCCCCAATCTCGGATAGCCCCGCTAGACGTATCTTGGCGACGTTCCTAAATCCTCCGGGACACCTCGTATCCCCCCTCGCTTATAAATATGGCAAGGTAGTACTCGAGGGCATCTGACTCATCCCTCCTCTACCATTGAACTCGCCTGACAAAGGAATCGCATCTGGCAGCCGCTCCCCTCCGCCCAGCTGAGCAATCTGCTCCTCTGTGAGGATGTGCGCATCTGCGCCATTGTATAGCTTGTCGATCTGCGGAGGTGGCGGCTGGTAAGTCAAACCACCAGTCAGGCCACCCTGGGCAGGATTTGGGCCACCCCAAGCTGCGCGTGGAGGACTTGGTCCAAAGCGTAGAGGGGCCGCCCGAGAGGTGCTGCTGGAGGGATGGTGGCCGTGTCCTTGCCTTGCCCGAGGGGGAGTAGTAGTCACCACCGTCCCTGTCTCGGCGCCCGACCGCATTGTCTGCGACGTGGCAGCTCCTCCATGCGAGTCCCCTGGCGAGGTAGTGCTGCCCAACTTGGGCGACTGCATCATTGCCGCTCTGACCGGAGGCGGCGGGAAGAGCATTGCGTCCGGCACCACCTTGTCCATCGCAGGCTTGGGAAGCGGCGAGTACTGTGTATGCTTGACAGGACTTTGCGTAAAGTGCTGATCCGCTTGCTGCTGCTGCTGATCATTCGAGGGAAGCACAGCATTATCTTGCGCAGCGAAAAAGGCGTTTCGCGAGCTGAGAGAAAGCGTCGAGACGTGGCCGGTATTCAGGGCGGAGGAGCCTGCTGCATTGGCACTGGGCAAATGTGGGTCGTTTGGAGGTCGTGACGAATGGCCTCGAGCGACTCTGTACTTTGCTTCTGGTGGGTCGAGAGATGCACGTGGCGACTTGGACGCTGGGTCCTCGCCAACTGTAACAACAGTGACCTCCCCATCGATATAGTGCCCTTTACCACCACTGCGGTCCTTCTCGTCATCCTCCATGTTCGTCCAAGGCACCACATTGACGAGGCCTGGCCAGTGACCTTTACTGTTCCCAAGGTTGGCCAAAGCATCTGGCCTCTCACTCTTCGCTTGGCGTCTTCGAAACCACCAGAAGGCTAGACCTATCAGCACCACGGCACAGATGGCACCAGCTGCTGCAGCTGCTCCGACTGTGGCGCTCGAAGTAGACTTCGAGGTGCTCGAGACCGCTGCGTCGGCATCGGAGGAGGTTGATGATGAAGAGCCGCCAACACTACCGCTTGGAGATGCCGTAGCAGCGGATGAAGTTCGATGTTGAGAGGACGTAGACGTACGATGTCCATCACTGCTGCTAGTGCTGCTCTTATGGGAAGAGCTCGTCGATGTGGTGCTCACGGCAGATGCTGTTGTTGAAGCAGCAACCAGACCAGCCGTTGGCGAGCCACTGCCCGTATCACAGTCTTCGGCATTCCTGCCTACCGTATAAATGTCGCCCACTCCACCGGTGCCTGAGCTGCCCGCATCAAAGGCGGCGATGATCAGCTTCGTCCCCTGAACCCAATCCACAGGCATTTTCCACGAGGTATCGCCCTTGTCAGCCCGGTAGGTGACAGGTGTACCTCCTTCTGGCAGAACGGAGAATTGGATTGGGTCAACGATGCCACTGTTCCCTTTATCCTCGGCCCACTGTATCTTCCAGCTGCCGCAGGTTCGAGGAGAGGCCGTTGGTCCATACCACACAAAGTCAAGGTCCTCGCTGGGGGCAGCGCAGCTTCCACTGCCAGAAGAGATGGCTGTAATCGCCGAAACGCCAGAATGCTTGCCAGAGGAGTCCGAAACAGCTGCAATGACTTGGGGTGTATCCGAGTAGTCTGGGACAGACCAATTGTATGACCAAGTCTGGGCTGATGAAGACATGTAGGACGCAGGAATTGTGACTGTGACCGGAAGCCAGTTGACTGGGGCAATGAGCAGCGTCCAAGGAGCGCTACCGCTGCTCACGTCCCATGTGATAGTCAGAGTCGAGCCTGAAGGGAGGAAAGGTGGGCGTTTCAATGTCTGTTGGCTGCTTGTGCCAAAGTATTCCATCACTGACTCACAAATTTCAACATTGTCCGATATCATCACGTCCATCTGAGCGTCCACCAAACTTGCCATCGCAAGTAGCGTCAGAGCTGCTTCCATGAAACCCCTCGCCGACCGTACGGCAGTTCGAGCTGCCATTCTTCGTACACCGCTTTCCTTGGGAGGGGGTTCAAGCTGACGGCGGGAGGTTGTGGAGATGAGCTGCAATGCTGTAGCAGACGACTCGAGAAGCGACATCAGACAGGAGCACCGTTCGGGAAGAGCCGGAGCGTCGATCGACTGTCCTCGGTACACGGCAAGAGACGCGGTTTCAAGGAAAGATCAGGAAAGATCTACGGATGAGGCTTCCGGCGGCAGTTGATGACGATTGAGAGCAAGTTCGGGAGGATAGGGTCTGTCTCGGAGCGAAGAGCGTCCAAAGAGGATTGACAGACTGCCCGTTGCTGGGCCTGAAGAATGAAGTAAAGTCGTAGACAAGGAGTGTGACAAGAGAGCGAGGGTGTACTCGGCCAGACGCGGCGCGTCGGAGGATAGGGTATAGGTCACTCTAGAAGCGGGACGTGAGGAGGAAAGCGTGGACTCCGGAACATACCAAGAAACTTGAGGAGAAAGCAATGAATGTGTGAGGAGCGTGAGAAGAGGGATGCACCCAGGTCAGCCATATGCCCCAGGGGCTCCCAGAGCCCACAAGGGGGGAGGAGGGCCCGAGCAAGGGGTGCGTTCGAAGAAAGGGGGGGTTGGTGTCTGGCGGAAAGGGCGCAGAAGCGGGGCTGCATCCTGCTGCACCCCGCCCAAGAGATCAACTGCCAGATTGGGCCTCGAGGGACAGGTCGACCAGCCACGCGGACAAGTCGAGGCCAGCGCCAAGCACGACTCGCCCAAACAATCAATGAACGGGTAGTACGCCGAAGCTCAGTAACCGAGGAATTTGACTGATCACTTAGGATGTCAGACGGCGAAGAAGTCCTCCGCTTCCGACGTGACAAGCGGAGACGCATCTAGGCCCACGCTGCGAGGTGCTAGCTGTGCAAGGAACAGAGCACCGCGGCGGCTTTCCCGCAGAGCGCAGCCGAAGAAGCGAAATCACGGATAGCAGTACTCTCGGAGATTGTCACGATGTGGTTTTGCGAAGCATGAGCGACTGATCAGCGTCATATAGAGGGGCTGACTGGCTGGAGTCTTTCGGTAGTGGCAGTGGCACCGAACTTGGAGCGAGGCCGCACACGGGCAGGCGTAGGCGTGGCTTTCCGTCAAGAGATCTTCGCGCGCAACCGGCCTCGCATCTCACTTTTGAAGCCATCTCTTACCACTGAGCATCGATCGTACCTCCCCTCAGACTTCGTCGCGCCGCTCTTGACCATGATGCGAGGCTCACAAAATCTGCTGAGAGCTGCCACTCAATGTCAAGCTTTGGCTTCTGGGTCAGCTTGGCGCTTGGCTTCTACCAGTCGCCTGACAGCACCCCCTTCGCAGCTCAGCATCCCTAGGCACTTCTCCTCCGCACGACCATGGCTACAAGACCAGACTATCGGTCAGAGCAGCGCTCCTCTGAGCTCGCAGTCGCAGTCGGACTCAGCGGGTCCGTCTCCCACATCTACTTCTACGTCTACCGCCGCCTCTTCTCCCAGCATCGATCGACAGGAGTGGAAGGAATTCGGTGACGTCTTCACTGCTGACGTTGCCGCCTCTTCCGGTCTCTCTTCCTCTTCGTCATCAGGCATGAGGGGTCGAATCTTGACAAGAGAGGAAGAACTCGAAGCCGAATGGGCCAACCGTCCACTTCTAGGTACACCTCCAGCCAAACCGCATACGGGACGCACAGTACAGATTGATCAAGCGGGCAGGAACGTAGCGGTCGGATACAAGATTCTCATGGCCACCCTGAACAGGAATGCGGTACGAAGGGAGCTCAAGTTGACGGAGAGGTATGAGAAGCCGAATCAGATGAGAGTGAGGAAGAAGAGTGAGAGGCATAGGAGGAGATTTGCCGAGATGATCAGGGAAAAGGTCAAGCTGGTGAGTACGCCAAAGAGGCTCTGAGGCTGCACGTACAGCCATGCGATACCGCCGGATGGAGGCCAGACCTAGACGACTGCTCACGCATTTCCTCCTCTTTGCACCGCTTCAGGTCCTGGAGATCAAGAACCGAGGAGGATGAGAGAAAGGGCCGGAGAAGCGCAGAGCGGTCTAGTGGCCATTGTACGTCCCCCTCCATCAATGTAATTGCCAATCACGATTCGCTTCTGTGTGAAATACATGGCCTGCGCCTTGCTACTGCCTCTCACTATACTCATGAGCAAGCGATGGCCTTGACTGCAGCAGTCTACCAATTTCCGCTCGGAGTTGTGGAAGGGCACTGACCAGTGAAAGCTCTGGAGTAAGGACTACCGCCCTGAGTCGAAACCGCCGGGCGGGATTCAGGCTCATTTTAGCAAGAGAGATGGGGCTTCGGGACCCGAAGGTCGCTTAGCGTGGGAAGCACTGCCCCACCGCCTCAATCCCTTTTTCCCTCGTGGACGTGCGCAAACATTTGATCATCGAGGAATGAAGCTGAGCAGCTCGGACCGGAGACTTGAGGTGAGACTAGCCCGACGGAAGGCAGTAGGGACAACTTTGAAGTCTATTCCGGACGTCAGCATTCCTACTGCCGCACGAAGCAACGACCGGCGGAAAGGGGGATGCCGGGTGCTGTGCTGCCGCCATGGGGCGCCTTTGCTTTTCTTCCTTCGTCCGGCGGGCCTACTCTCTCTCAGCTGTCAGGTTTTGTGGGTGTGATCGATCTATCCACTAGCGCCCTCGGTCAACACAAGCCATACGCCGATGCATTGCAGCAGCAGCGAAAACGGGGAGCGAGCGAGCAATGGAGGGGTCCAGCCCAGGGCAAGGCAAAACATGGCAATTCCGGGCAGCCGAGGAAGGTCGAGTGAGACGAGGAGGGAGAAGCAGTCTGCGAGCCTCGGGCGCCATCGTGGTGGTGCCGTGCTTCCTTTTTGGCGGGTTCCGCCCCGACCCTGACGCCTCTTCTTGAAGGATGCTGGGCAGAGGTGCCTGTGTCCCCTTGTTCTGTTTTTGATCGCCTGGCCAGCCGTGCATGCATGGTGAGAGTGCGTGCATGCGTGCGAGAGACGCCTCCGCGAATTTGCCGCCAGACAAACCACCCCTGTCCGAAGCCTGGTGGCTGAATCGCGGCGGCGGACTGGCCCGCGGGGGGAAAGGCGGGCAACTCGGGCAGGCAGGCAGGCAACCGAGTGCAAGTGGTATGGCAGCTAGGCAGCGCCTGCCATCTGTGTGACAGCTGCCGCCTTGGTCTCTTTCACCTCCGTTACTTTTCCCCCCGAGACGAACATCACTACCACGACGACCCTTCTTCTTCACCAACCGACTCATATCTCAACCTCATCATCATCAACAACACACCCTTTTGCGCGTGTCGTCGTCTTCAAATCTGCCCTTTCCCCTTTTTGATGGCCCGCTGCACAACACATCCTTCCTGATTTACTACCCGCCCCGCGCTCCCTCGACCCCCTTTGCGCCAAGAGATTGATTAGGCTTGATCTCCTCCCATAACCCCTTCTTTTCTGGTACTCCCTTTCAACGCCACCTCAGGAGCTACTCGTCTTCGCAAGCATCTCCAGCTGCCTCTTCGAATTGCACGCCATCCACCCTCAAAGCACATTGGACCCAACCCGACCCGACATCAGACGCGGAAACCCCGAGTCTCCTGCCTCAAAAGGTACACACAACACTTACTAACCCCCTGGCAACTTCATCGCAACCGCGAGCTTCATCCCAACCCCACTGGTCCTGCCCTTCGCTTCCCAAAAGCATTGGATTCTTCACGACAAGTCCCAAGTGCAGTCTCACCCCCTCTCGCGCCTTCAGCCTCACACGTCACAATGGCTTCGCCGCTAGCATCAACATCCGTGCTCGTTGCACCATCGGCCCATCACGACCTTCACATCAACCAGCAAGCTGAAGACTTCTTTGTTGGTGTCTCTTCCCCTTCGCCACGGCTCTGTGCCAGTCAAGACCTAGAATCAGATACGCCTAGCGCTCCCGTGACCTCGCGATGCACAGCCACAAGAAGGCGAACAAGGACATCCACAGTCAGCCGGTCTGCGCGACTCTCTGCGCCCCTTTCATTGACTTCGGTGATCAAGACGAGCCTCGCATGCCTGCTGTTAGTGCTTGCAATTGCCTCTGAGCCTGTGACAGCGGCTAATGTGACCGCTTTGACGGGAACATGGACCAGTGGTAGTGGCAAGGTCTTGACTGGACTGGTGAGTGTCGCTATGCTGCCGCCCCTGAGGCGATGAGGGCCATCCCTCCGGTCCTTGCCGAACGGGATCGGAAACCTGGTTCACGCTGACAGAGGAAGATGAGAGCTTGTACTGACTGGCCCCTTTACCCGATCCTTTGCATGGCCCCCTCTGCCACCCATTAGAACTTCTTCAATCCGATCAGCAAGAACTTCACGCTACCGACATCGGGCGGAATCTCGTACTCATTTGTTGAGGACCTGCCGACAGGAGGTCATTTTGAGACAAGCACGTTCTCATACACCAGCAATTGTGAGTACCCAACAGCACGCCTTGACCGTCACGCGCATGCAGCTGGTTCAGCGTGAGCACTTGATTGACTCACTCACGCTCCATCCTTATCTTAGCTGCTACAAATCGATGCTTCACAGCTGCGCTCACTTGGCAACACGGAACCTTCACAAACAATGCCAATGGCTCGCTATCACTCACCCCATACGCAGCTGACGGTATGGTGCAAGTGATGGATCCCTGTGCAGCAGAGTCGACTGCACAATACTCCTACAGCCAGTTCGAGCTCATTCCTGAATGGTATAACTACGTCGAGACTGCCACGGGATTCGACAACATCGATGGCTCGGCCTATGCGATGCAGATGTACAACGACGACGGAACAGGAGCGGCTGGAAGTGGCAAGAATGTGATGTATCTGGTGACTCGCCCTCCCACGATGCTCCCAACAGACCAGCTGTTCGAGACAGTGCTTAACCCGACCACATAGTTGGTCGCATAAGATAGTCGAGGCGACGGGCATGTTGAGGGATTCCCATTGAGACGATGGAGAACGACGAGTAGCTGAATCCAGCGATTTGGTCTTCCTGGCGAGCAAGCAAGAACCTTTACTCGCAGCCCAGGGGCGGGTCAAACCGCCAGACGTGAATTGACAATGGAACATCGTCGATCGTCCTTCATCCACCCGGTAGCCCCCACTGTCTCCAGGAAGTGCAAGCGCAGGTCGCCAAGAGACACACCTGCAGCAATTATACCTGCGAACTCTGCGATGCCACATCGTCGACAGGCTCGCCCCTTTCTTCTTTCTCATTCGAAGCGATTCATGGACACTTTCTTCCTCATCCTATGACACTCCTTTACCCCCACAATGGTGTCAAGCATCAAACAGCGATTCCTGGTGACCCTTTGGCTGATCACACCTGCCAACGATGACGGGCCGGTGCACGCACCTCGGAAGCACGGGCGACGGTTGCTGCAGAGCGATGTTTCCTTCTCGGGCTCCTTAGTCGCCGGCACTTCTGGGGTCCTTGCACCACTGGGCGAAGATCAGAGTCGGCTCGAGCTCATCGTGACCCTCGGCCCTCTGTCACTACCTCCTCTGGCGTTGTCACACCTTGTCCTTGCACACCGCACTCTCCCCCCTCCCTGTTCCTCCCTTTTCGTTTCCTTCTGTATAGATCGCTTTCAATATTTAGGTCGTTTCGAATGTCACTCTTTCTGAACTCCCTCTGAGATCTCCTCGTCTGATTCTGGCATGACACTGATTGCTTTCTTCCTAGTCTTCCGCACAAGACCAGAAGGGTGAGAGAGACAGTCAATGTCCGAACGACACACGTCTTCATTGGCAAGATGTCTCGGTACCGATGGTAGTTGCGCCAGGCTTGCAGTCTTCTCTACCTTGCCATTCGCAATGTACGAGCCTTGTGGTCTTGTCCTTCCTTCCTTTCAGCACTAGTGTGGTTACTTTTCCTTGGCCAGGAAGTTCGGCAGGCAGGCAGGCAGGCACGCCCGCACCCACTGCCTCACTCACGCATGCACGCGGGTGCAGCAAGGCGTATGACGTAGGAGGCACCAGGGCGCACCGATCGCCAGAGGGGGGGGGAAAAATTGCCGGGCCGCCGCGTGGCCCTGGCAGACGCGCAGAGGGTCCTTCTTCGTCGACGTTCCTTGTGCCAGGCAGGGCGGGCAGGGGCAGGGGCAGGGCAGGCCAAGGCCAGGCAGACGGACAGCCAGCCAGACAGTCAGCCAAGGAAGCGGGCACAGAGCCACAGAGACAGGGCCTCACTCAACATTATCACCCAACGCAGCCCACCTTCTTCCCTTTCTTCCCGTTTACCTTTTTCATATCCCCTTTACACACACATATACACATCGTGAGTAATCACTGGGCCAAAGAGCTCGCCCGACCCAAGGCCACTCAAGTCCTGGCATAGAGCTGACCTTTCTGTCCCTCTTGCACCTTCTCACCCTCTCTTCTCAATTACTATCTCCGTACCTCCACCCGCCCCTGGTACCCACCCCTTCGCTGCTCCGCAACCTTTGCTCTGGTCACCCCTCCCCCTCACCCACCAACAGATGAGTTCCTACAAGCCCGACCCCATTGACACCAAGGCCGTCGCCACCATCAGGTGTCTCGCCGCTGGTAAGTTTCCACCTTCCAGCTGCTGGGAAGCCATTCTTCGCAACAGCGGAGCAGAGATTGCCGAAGCACTATCGATGGGACCGGAGCTGACGCAACACTTCTCACCCACTCCTTCGCACTTCCCCTAACTCTCTGCCATGCTCTTCCTTCAGATGTCGTCGCCAAGGTGAGCTTTTGAACCTTGCCCTTGGGCTAGCGTGGCGTCCACTGCTCTCGCTGTACGCACGTGCGGACTGTGATACTGACATCACACGTCCTTCCGCACAATTTCTTCCAGGCAAACTCCGGTCACCCTGGTATGCCCATTGGGTGAGTTTCAGCAGAGTACCATTCGAACATCGCTGTTACCATAGCCAGACGCTCACCATCTTCACCTCTTCCATGTACTCCCTACCAGTATGGCCCCCATCACCCAGGTGCTCTTCTCCAAGTTCTTCAAGAGCTCCGCAAAGGGTCACCCATGGATCAACCGTGACCGATTCGTCCTCTCCAACGGTCACGGCTGTGCTCTCCAGTACATCATTGCCCACCTGCTCGGCTACGACCTGTCGATGGACGACCTGAAGGCATTCAGGCAGCTCGACTCCAAGACCCCCGGTCACCCCGAGGCTGGTCACCACACCCCCATGGTTGAGTGCACCACCGGCCCCCTTGGTCAGGGTATCTCCAACGCCGTCGGTCTCGCCATTGCCGAGGCCAACGCCGCTGCCACCTTCAACAAGCCCGGATTCGAGCTCTTCAACAACAAGACCTACGCTTTCCTCGGTGACGGATGCCTGCAGGAGGGTATCTCCTCTGAGGCTTGCTCTCTCGCTGGTCATTTGAAGCTCGGTAACCTGATCTGCATTTACGACGACAACCACATCTCCATCGACGGTGACACAGCCTGCTCCTTCACCGAGGACGTCGAGCAGCGATACCTTGCTTACGACTGGCACGTCATCTCCGTCAACGACGGTGACAAGGACTTCGAGGGCATGTACAAGGCCCTCGAGGAGGCACAGAAGGTCACTGACAAGCCCACCCTGATCCGACTGAAGACCACCATCGGTTTCGGTTCGCTGAACCAGGGTGGTGCCGCCACCCACGGTGCCCCGCTCAAGGCTGACGACATTGCTCAGCTCAAGAAGAAGTTCGGCCTGGACCCCGAGCAGTTCTTCCACGTGCCCCAGGAGGTCTACGACGAGTACCACAAGATCCAGCAGAGGGGTGCCGGATACCAGAAGGAGTGGGACTCGCTCTTCGAGCAGTACAAGGGCAAGTTCCCTACTGAGCACGCTGAGCTGGCCCGCCGAATCTCTGGCAAGCTTCCCGACGGATGGGAGAAGGCTCTCCCCGTCTACTCTCCCTCTGACTCGGCCGTCGCCACCCGAAAGCTCTCCGAGACTGCCCTCTCGAAGCTGGCCGCTGCTCTCCCCGAGCTCCTCGGTGGTTCCGCCGACTTGACCGGCTCCAACCTGACCCGATGGTCCGACGCCGTCGACTTCCAGAACCCCACCTCCAAGCTGGGTGACTACTCTGGTCGCTACATCCGTTACGGTGTGCGTGAGCACGCCATGGGTGCCATCATGAATGGTCTCCACGCCTACGGTCTCCACATCCCTACCTCTGGTACCTTCTTGAACTTCGTCTCGTACGCCATCGGTGCCGTTCGTCTCTCTGCCCTGTCCAACTTCCGTGTCATCTGGGTCGCCACCCACGACTCGATCGGACTCGGTGAGGACGGACCTACCCACCAGCCCGTAGAGACTGGTATGGCTCTGCGTGCCATCCCCAACCTGAACTTCATGCGCCCAGCCGACGGAAACGAGGTCTCGGCCATGTACAAGGTTGCCATTGAGGCTATCAAGACCCCCTCGGTCATTGCCCTCTCCCGACAGAACCTTCCCCAGCTGGAGGGCTCGACCATCGAGAAGGCTTCCAAGGGTGGTTACGTCCTCAAGGAGGTCCAGAATGCCGACATCACCCTCGTCGCCACTGGTTCCGAGGTTGCCATTGCCCGTGACGCTGCTGCCGAGCTGGAGAAGAAGGGCATCAAGGCCCGTCTGGTGTCGCTGCCCTGCTTCAAGGTCTTCGACGACCAATCCCTCGAGTACCGCAAGTCGGTCCTGCCCAGTGGAGCACCCATCCTGTCCGTTGAGGCCTACACCACTCTGGGCTGGCACAAGTACGCTCATGTGCAGCACGGTCTGAACACCTTTGGAGCTTCTGCACCTGCTCCTCAAGTCTACAAGAAGTTCAAGCTGGAGCCAGTGCCCATTGCTGAGAAGGCCGAGAAGGTCATCGACTACTACAAGAAGCAGGGTACCCCGCTGGTCAGCCCCATTGAGCTGGCTGCTGCCTTTGAGTAGATTTTGTTCGTCCAGCACGGCACAGTTGACAAGGAAAGAGGGGGTGTGCGAAGTGAGATGAGATGAGATGAGAAGAGGATTGGCGGATAGGAATGGATGGATAGATTGGGCCACGGATGGAGTTCAGAAGACTCCCCCGCCCCGCCCCACCCCACCCCACCCCACCCCTTTTGCGACGAGATACATTGTCCCTCTCCCCCTCCCTCTCTCTATCTCTTCTCGACTCTTGCCTTTCCCTCTTTTCTGAGTTGACTGGCTGGATGGATATATGGATGGATGGCTTGTACCAAAGGAGAAAAAAGGGGAAAAAAGATCTGATAGTGTTTTTGCTGCGTAGCGTAATTAGAAGTTTCCTTTCGATTGATTCTGAGGATTTGAGGATTTTGAGGATTTTGAGGATTTTGAGGATTTTGATTTTGAGGATTCTTCTGATCTGATCTGATAGAATAGTGAATAGTGTGGATTCCGCAAGGGAAAGGGCTTCATTGATCTTGGCCTTGGTCTGTGGAAAGGCTTGTGAAAGTTTAGTCTGGGGAAAGGACAAGAGAATTATAGAAGACCATACTAGTACTGGCCGCTTTTTCCGACCTGACATGGCCCTGTTTGACCTGTTTCGTCAAGGCATGGACGCACGTAGGTACGCAAGGGGAAGGAGCGGTTGTACGGTTGTAGTACTGTGGGTTACTATTGCTTGATTGATAAGGGTATCGACTCCTACACACAGCCTTCCCTCCACTCCTCTCTCTCTCTCCCCCTCACCGATCACCGATCGCCAAGTAGCTCACTCCAGCTCTTCCACTCGCCACCACCTCCTGCCTCACCCCCAACTCGTCGCAATAGGATCCTCTCCGTTCCCATCCCCCTTCCCTGAGGTCCTACATCACCAAAGTACCCCGCTTCCCGCCAGGCGCGCAGAGTAGGGAGATCGTAGGGACCAAATGTCTCCACTGGGGTCTCTGTCGAGGGGTCTTCCGTAGAGGTGGAGGTAGAGGTGGCTTGGAGGTAAGAGGGGGACCAACGATACTCGTATAGCACACCAGACTCTGCTTCTGGCTCTGCCGCTGCTGCTCCTCCATGCACATCCGCCTCCTCTTGCTCCACCTCATCCCCCCGACTCCGTGCAGGATCCCAATCTTCTGCTACGAGTCCTGATTTGCGTACAGAGCGCAATAGTCCTTCGTACTCTTCCTCGTAGATGTTTACTTGACTGAATTGGTCCATGAGCATTGAGATGAGAGAGGTGAAAGTTTCGATTGCCTTGATGACTGATGGGGTGGACGCGGAAGAGGGCGTAGGCGTGGATGTTTGCGTCTGGGAGTGGCCATTTTGAGCTGGGTTTGAGGTGGAAGAGGAGGTAGAGGCGACGGGTGGGACATCGTCTACAGCGGCAGCGGCAGCTCCATTGCGTCGCTGTGTATTGCTACGGCGCTGCTGTTGCTTACCAGCTTTCTTGGCCTCATCCTTGACCTTCTTCGCCTCTTTTCCAAGTCGCTGCAGCGTCTCAAGCACACTCTCTCCTTTCTCCATATACTCCAACAGCCGCATCTGCACCCCCTCCATCCCTCCAGCACCAGCTAGCATCTCCTCCTCCCTCTCTCTCCTCCGCGCTTCACTCTCCCTCTTCTCCTTTGCCTCTCTAGCAGCCCTGATTCCCTTTTTACTATAGTTACCCTCGAGCCACTTATCGTGTTGTGCAAGAGGATCCTTGGCATTGGGAATGTAGTTGCCCTCTTCGTCGAATCGGCCAGATGTCATTTCAGATTTCATGTTGAAGCCGTCCAGCTTGAAACCCATGGCGGCGTCATCAAAGTCCATCTGAGCTTGTGACTTACCTTCCCCTGGTCGACCAGCGGGCAGGTTGGAGGAGGTACCTCTGGCGGCACTGCCTTTCTGCTTGCGAGCTGCTTTGCCCTTGAGTCCCTTTTGACGGCGGATCGTCTTGAGGTCTCGTGGGAGGACAGTTGTGCCTCCAGGACTAAGCGGCGGTGTTCGCTCCCCAGCAGCGACTGGATCGTCCTCGATATTCTCTTCGTCACCCTCTTCGTCCTCATCCTCATCTTCATCTTCCAATTCCAGGTCCGGGTCTCGATCTTCATCATCCGACTCATCACTCAGTGCCCCACTGGGACCGCTCTGGAATTCTTGGCCTTCGATTTCGCCCAGAGAGAGGTAGCGCTCGGCTCCTTTGCCTTTGCCGGAAGTGGGTCCAGCAGCAGTAGTAGGAGCAGCCGTGGCTCCTTTGCTGCCGGTCTGACCACTAGAATCCTTCACCTCGAACATATCATCATCTTCCTCTCCGCCATCTCCCGCCTGTGCAGCTGCGTTCACCTGCTCTTCTTCCTCCTCTTCCTCTTCTTCCTCATCGGAATCCTCACTGTCATACCCCTCCGTCACTACCCTCCCCTTGCGCCCCTGCTGATTGCGTTTCCTGTCCTGCTCCTCCAGATCCAGGTCGGTTCCAGTGAGATCAGCATCCTTCCCTGTGTCAAGACTGCCGTCATCGTTGAGCGGGCCTGTGTCTGTTGCAAAGGAGACTTTGGAGCGCTTGAGCGAGGAGGTGGAAGGAGCTCCGCCTGGCTGACCTGCTTGCTCGGACGTGGAAAGACCGGCGGTTGCGGAGAGAGGGAGCTTGCGCTTCGACGAGGAAGACATGGAGACGGCAGTACAGAGGATGAGAAGCCGTCGCAATACTGAAAGGTATACCGTAGTACGAGAAGAGCGTAACACGGAAGCGACCAGGAAGGAACAAAATCGTCCTGGCCTGGCCTGAGCGGAAGACGAGTGGAGGCCGGAAAAGACGCGAAGATGCTGGGAGTAACTTTAGGGAGGTGTGGCGGAGCTGGTTCTAGGCGCGGCTGCCCGGAGGGTGCTGTTTGTAAGTGAATCTGTAGTTTTGAACCCCCAACCTCAGCCTCCAACACCAGGCGCGCATGCAAGCCACCCACTCCTCTGCTCTAGTGCCTTGATTCTAGATCAAGGCCTCGAAACATCACCATCTTTCAGCTCTTGTCACACGGCAAGTAGTGCTTTTCAGATACTGTCCTCTGGACATCTGAAGCTGTGTTTAGAGTACTCTGCAATGATACCTTTTTTGGTCCATCAGGCAAAGTATTGAGCGAGTTAGGAGGTGTACAAGAAGAGTCAAATACGTGTTCAAGCGGAACGGAGCAAGAAACCGGAACGGAGCGGCAGCCTGCATGCATGCGCGTGCGTGCGCATGGGTCCTGCTCAAAGCACCACCAAAGCAGCCTTTTTGGCTCAGCCATAGCTCCGTCCAAATAAGAACCTACACAAATCTGAGCTGACAGAAAGAATGTCGTCCGTAAGGTCTTTCAAGTGGTACAAAGCCCACGCAGTAATGACAAAAATTGGTTGTGCTATAGAAGCTAAAAGATGGCGATGGTGCCAGAAGCTGGGGAGGGAATAAGGCACTAGAGCAGAGGAGTGGGTGGCTTGCATGCGCGCCTGGTGTTGGAGGCTGAGGTTGGGGGTTCAAAATCTCAAATGCACCTACAAACAGCCACTTTTTCTTCCCTTCTTGGGCCGCGCCTATGTGCAGTCACGCACGCACCTCCCTAAAGTTACTCCCGAAGATGCTCACCTTTCCGCTTCAGAGTATACCCAAGACCATGGCATTCTCTTCAGTCAAAGCCTATAGTCAAGCTCAGGGCTCCTAGCTGTTCAGCCTGCTGCGGTGACTGAGGAGCTGTACAGGTGCGGCTTGGGTACGATCGAGTAGCAAAGTCGTCGCTGCGTGACCCCAGCGATGACCTCTTCCCTCCTCTCTCCTACCACTCCACCTTGCTACGGCGTCTACCTCCTCCGCTCCTACAAGTCGTCCTCCCCCACTCCTCCCTTTCCACCCAGAGCGACTCAATCCACCTACATAGGCTCTACTCCTCGCCCGCCCACTCGCAAGAGACAGCACAATGGCGAGCTCACACAGGGAGCCTACCGTACGCGTAACGGAAGACCATGGGAGATGGAGATGCTCGTGTATGGATTCGGGAGCAAGATTGCCGCGCTGCAATTCGAGTGGGCATGGCAGAAGGCCAGCTTGAGTAGACATCTCAGACAGACTGTCGCGGTGCCGATCTCTGGAATGGGGAGCTCGACACCAGGCACGGGGCTGGGGACCACGACCATGGCTACCAGGCCCATCTTCCCGCGACAGGGCAAAGGGAGGGGCACTTATCGCCCTCCCTCTCAGCAGATCCTCGTACTACGCTGTCTGCTGCGCTCAGAACCCTTCTGTCACTGGGGACTTCGACTGGCCTTCTTCGCCGAGTGGGTCTGGGCTGCTTGGGAAAAAGCGCAGAGCGAGTCTGCCGCTATTGCTAGCAGCAGTGCGCCTCTTGCGAGGAGGAGCGGGCGAGTGCTGCCTGCTCAGGAGAACAGCCCAGCCATTAGGTGTGACTTCAGGGGTGTAGATGGCAAGAGAAGACCATTGCTGGACTACTCTGAGGAGGAACGGAAGCTCGTAGGGATCAAGCAAAGTGACGCCATCAAAGCTACGGCTAAAAAGAAGGTTGCACCATCTGCAGCGCCAGCCGTAGGTGCTGCTACGGACGCCGAACATCACTGGCATGAGGTCTTGCCCGCAAGCGCCACTGTCAAAGGCATGGGTATGACGTGGGATCGGCTAGAGAGGGACGTACCCACAGTACCGCCTATGACTGTCTCTCAGCCGAACGAAGAAGGAGACTTGCAGCGTTCCTGGCCTCCCAGAATGGTGTTCGACGATGGTGAGTCAAAGCCGCACAGCATAGACTGCATCGTTGAAATGCGTCTCACGCCACTAATCATCCCTTTTGTCCTTCTGCAGTGGACCTCGCCTATCTATCCCTCCACCGCTTCCTGCACGTCCTCTCTTCCCACCAAGCCAGAGCAGACGATCTCCTCCCTTCTCCCACCTCTACGACTTCAGATTTATCGATACCCTGCTCGTCATGTCAGACTCCCATCGACCTAGTTGAAGCAGACCCAGCAACCTACACCACCTGTCCAGCACCCTACCGTGCTCTTCACTCCCAGCCTCTCTCACAAGCACGTCCAAGAAGCGCTACAGAAGCGAGGCAAGCAGACGAGCGGGCGTCCTGTACCTCCCTCTTCCACCTGAGATGTCTAGCAAAAGAATGGCTGAGCGCCGAGGAACGGGAACAAGAACAGCAGGAGCCTTCGGCCAGCAGCTCGAGGCTCGGTGCAGCTGAGCATCTCCTGCCTCTCAAAGGAAGCTGCCCTTGTCCGACCTGTCGCAGCAAGACAAGCTCCAGCTCCACCTCGCATAGCACAGCTGGAGCACAGCAGGAAGGTCTTTGGGCAGATGTGGTGCGCGCTGCCTACCGTCGCAGGGAATGGGTGCAATCCTCACGCCTACGGGTGCGAGCTGCACTCGCCCTCAAGGAGGAGATGACTGCGCTTGACGATGCGGAGGGCGTCGAAGAAGCAGAGCGGGAGCTGCATATAGCTTGGGACCTCGATAGAGTCCTGCTTAGAGGCGTCGGCGCCGCGAGAAAGAAGCGAAGGCGGAAAGTGGCGAATTCGAAGGGCACAGCAGCGCACGAGGAGGATCCTTCTGAGCTGGAGGAAGACGAGGATGCGAGCGAGGAAGAAGACGAGGAAGAGAGCGGCGAGCTCGATCTCCTTTCACGGCTGGACCGACTTGTCGCCTCTCCCACACGAGGCAAGAAGGCTGCCGCCAAGAAGAGCCCTTCTGCCTCACCTAGAAAGAAGGTGACTTCTCCTCGCCAAAAGTCAGTGGGTACAAAGGGGGACAGCAAGAGCCAGAGCAAGAGCAAGACTGGCTCTCCCAGGAAGAGCAGCGTGTCCGCCAATGCTACGAAGAAGAATAAGAAGGAGAAGAGTGCTAGACCCGCCAGCAAGAGGGGTTCCTCCCCTGCCTCCTCCTCCTCAGTCAGTCCTCGCAAACCTGCAAGCGCGACAAAACGCAAGATGCGAGCCTCTCCTGATCCTGATCTGAGCGATCCGAGTACGGTGGACCTTGCAGAGGCCACGGGTTGGATCCGAGAAGCGCTTACAGGCGCAGGAAAAGAAGGAGAAGTAGATGGACCCAGCCGCAATGCAGAGAGCAGTTTGGCACCGCCAGCACCAGCTCAAGTCCCAGCGCGTCCTCGTGCACGGGCGAAAGCGGCTGTCAAGGCTATGCCGGTGGTCAAGGGCAAGAGGAAAGTACAGCACGTCGCTGACACTACCGCTGACACTACCGCTGCCGCTACCGCTGCTGCTGCGAATGGCGGAGGAGCTGGTGGAACAAGTGGCGGTAGGGGAGATGTAGCACGAAGCACAAGTGGTCGACAGGTAGAGATCATCGATCTCAGTGACTAGGTAGGTAGACCGCTCGGCAGACAGAGCATCATAGGAGGACGGGGAGCGGAATCGCATTGTATTTGCATCTGTATCTATTCTGTACATCTACATCTCGACTAAATCAATAATCTTGCAATGCGTCCAGTATCGTGTCACAGGTATGCGCATACATAGAACGGCGTACTGTTCGAGAGCTCATGTGGATATTGGCGCTGCCTTGGCCAGCTCGATGATTTCTTTGCAGTCCTTGCACTACCTGATTTTCATCGCGGCCAAGTGGGTGCATGCAGAGAAAGTCTCTTGCCTCCTTCAGCCTCTGGTCCCGGCGTATTCGGCGCCAAGCGACGACTATGTTCGCCTGTAGACAGGACGTGTTGCAGCCGTAGCACAACTGTGAGTGACGCATGAAGGGGAAAAAAGGAGCAAGACGATCAGCTTCACTCCAAGGTTGCTGCCGCTGGCCTACTTGCTGCACGATCAATTGCTTTCGACCAGTGCAAGTGGCCGATCCCGGTATGCACGTACCAGCTGCAGGTTCTTTGGCCCGTAGTCGCCGCCTCTATGTCTAGGAACCACTGACGGCGCCAAGGCTCGCCATGTTGATCCTGTGCATGTCATGCGACTCTGAGATCTTGGCGACCATGTCGAAGCCGCGCAGCGGGGCAGACAAGGTCTTCGTGAAAGAGCAGCTGTGCACACGTTGCGATGTCTCTGGAGCACCACGTCGGTAGCAAGTCACGTCAGAGAAGTGCCAGGACGGTATGAGACCAATGTCAATGGCTACGCACCTTCGCATGTGCACTCTTCTGGCTCCTGCAGGCACTGCACTGCTTTTCGGGATTGATGGGCACAAGAGCATGCTGGGTGGCAGTCATGATCTACAGCTGGCGCTTGCAATGCTGCCAGATGGTCTCGTATGCAAGCTTGAGGGCCAGGGGATTGACGTAGGTTGGGGGTACGATGCTGGCTGTGGATACAGCCAATGTAGAATGTACTCTAGAGTACAGGACCCCTACATTTTCATTCTTCCAGGCTGACTCCAGATCGATCGGGGCGCATCCTGCGCCAGTGAGGTAAATCTGATCTGGCTGCATCGAGTACGAGCAGCGTGACGTCTTTGCATAGACTGCAGCAATGCTTTTGAGTGGGGTATTGCGAGCACCGGCGGGTTCGATGCGGCTAGTCGAGAGGGCAAGAGGAAGCGAGTAGTGAATGTCAGTTTGGTGACAGAGGGTGGTCTGTTCGTGTTTCTACAGACGACTTACCAGACTTGTAGCTTGAATTCTATTTGATTGTACAGCCAAGCGTTGCTCATCTCGTACTCATCGTTTCGCTTATAGTGAGGCATAGGGAGGGTAGGCCTGTACTGGTGGATATCTTCTCTACTCCTGATGGAATACGTGTCGAGTGATGTATTTGAGCTCGCCAGCTGTATCGACTGAGTATCTCCCTCTTCCAGCATCTACCGTGGGCAAAGTGAGTTGGTATAAGGTCGACGGGCAGTGAAGGGTGAGGAGAGAGAAGGAGAAGGAGGAAGATGCAGAAGAGGGGCAAGGCAAATACTCTTTCATACCTCGTGCTACGTGTCACACCCGACCCGGTCAGCTCAGCTCAACCCTTGTTCCTGGCGCGGTTGACTCAATGGCGCCATAGTCTCGACCCGGGAGCAATGCTGACCCCGGGCTCAGGCCAGAGCCAGAGCCTACGCTTATGCTCTGACTGCCATGCTGCACCACTTACTGCTCACTGAAAACCTCAGGCTTGAGTCCCCTCGGCATGTGACTCCGGAATACATGTATTTATTTTTGCTTTGTCCCAAACGAAGTGACCTCACAAGATGGCTGTTGAGCTACATGAGAGCAGTCTGCGTCCTACTGGGCTGATCCCTACTGCACTTGCCCAACCACATACAAATCCTTGTTTTCCCCTTGGCTTTGTTACTTGTTCTTCTCACCCTCGGCGTAAGCGTCTGGCAGAGGCAAGGGTAGGGACGGATGTTCCATGATGTCAGCAATGGTTGCGCACGGCAGACTGCGCCTGTCTCAATCGCAACCCCACCCTTACTCACTCTTGAATGGGAATGAGCTAGCCGCCGAATCCTTTGCACTACTGTCACCTGCCTTCTTCCTGTTCCTCGTCAAGTCATCACCAAACATCAATGCACCTGTTCCCCAAAAGGCCAACAAGGCCGAAGGGACAGCGATAAAGTAGGCAAAGGTACCCAGACCGAGTTCACCGGCAGACTGGGCTTCGACGGCTGTAGAGGCGCTGCCGGCCGAGGCGTAGGAGACGAGGGCCATGGATAAGAAGTAGAGGACGAGGACGAGAACAGAGGGGAAACGGGTTGCGGGTGCACCAGAGTCCGCTCGGGGGGCGATAGGCGCAGAGGTAAGGGGGATTGCACCAGTCTGTGAGAGGAGGGCGAAGAGGTGCAATCGTCAGCAAAGTGCAATCTGCAATGTCTTCTCTTCCCTTACTCTCCTGACAGACGTCCCTACTCACTTGCACGATAGCAGTAACAGCCAGCGTAATCATTGTCATGCCCCAAGCATAACTTGCAAACCTCTCAATCGGCGTCAACTCTGGTCCCAATGCACTAACAGAGTTCTGCGCTGCATTTCCCGTCTCACTAGTAGCCTGTCCTGCTGCTCCTCGAGGAGTGCTCAAAAGGAGGAGGACTCGGGGAAAGAGGAGAAGAGGGAGAGAGAGGGAAAAGAGATAGGCAGCCGAGGCGTAGGCGAAGTAGTGGGCTGGGTTTAGTGGAGAGGATAGGACGTCCTTTTGCTTGGATTCCATATTGGGCGGAAGTGTGTCGAAGTGGGAGGTGGAATGAGGCTACGAAGAAGAACGAAGGAGACTGGCAGGAGAAGGCAAGGCTACGAGTACCGATGAAAGTTCAAGTCAGAGTATGGTAAAGGAGGAAGCAAGCAGACCAGACCTGCTTCCTTCTTCATCCAACCACGTCTTACACGCCTACACGCACCGCCCAAGGCCCTTTGCTGGAAGGCGACCCCCGCCCCGCCCTCGGCCTGTCGTCGACTCTGCCTCCACATGATCAATCGACGTCACGACGCGCCTGCACTGCAAGAGACAACAGGAGAACGCACAGCCCTGGCGCGCCCCCTGCGCTCAGACCATTCTGGGCAGGAGCAAGAAATAGAACTTTGGCGCTCGCAGATGAGGGATAGGTTCGAAGATATGGTAGAGGTGCCAATCATGAGCAACGAGCAATAAGCCACGAGCATGCAAGAGAATTCATATTTGACAATCTAGAGTGGACCGGACAGAACAAGCGGGGGAAACCAGGGACTTAACAGAGAGCTTGCAATGGCTGGCAGATACAAAGCGGGAAGATGCTGAGGCGAGACTTTGCAATGGAGAGGGTTTGTGCAAAACGACAATTCCCTGGGTACATATGATGCGGCGACGAGTGTGCAGTGGTAGTATAGAGTCAATAGTGGTGCTGATTTTTCTTTGCGCTCTGGCCAAGCAAGCCAGAGCCAGAGCTCGCAGCCTTCCCCCTCCAAGGGTCTGGCAACCTTGCTTTGCTTTAGACCGATGCCCGCTCGGTCTCCTTCTCTGACTCCTCCTTGGAAGCAGCCTTCTGGCTGATCTTCATCTCTGCCATCATCCTCTGACCCAATGCGCCACCAGGGTGATTCTTGCCGAATTCTGCCGTGGTTCCCAAGCCGAGCATCTTTGCACAGCTCAGCACCAAGGAGTCTCCCATGGCGAGAGCCGTGGTAGTCGAGCTCGTGGGGGCTGGTAGATCGGCATCTGCTTCATCCGTGCCAGCAGTGAGGGCCGAAGCTAGCGACGAGCAGAAGAGGGCCGAAGTCGAGCAGCATGACGCCCCGTCTCGGTGCTGGCAGGCAGCGTTGCCACATCGCCTAGGTGAGCGCGACCGGGATTCCGATTCATCTTCGTCCTCGGACAATGAGAAGTCCTGAGGCAGCTCCTGTTGCTCACCTCCTCGACCAGCGGTGCGGCAATCGATCCAGCTACCGCCGCCTTGAAGGGCCGCCTTCCCTAGTGCACTGTCCCTCTGAGCAGTCAGTGCAATGACCTTGACACCTCGCAGCTCGACGTGAGGCAAGAGACCTAGGAGCTCGGGCGAGGAGCCGGAGTGAGAGAGGGCGACCAATACATCGTTGGGAGGTGCGGGAAGCTGAGACTTGGCCGAGGTAGAAGCGACGAGATTGGAGTTGGAAGGAGAGCCATTCAGTCGTCCCAAATCGCCATGAAGCGCTGCGAGCGGGTCGAGGTAAGCTGAAGGTAGCCCAAGCGATAGTGATGTCGATGAGAGCTTGTTGGCAATGATACCTGGCGAATTGGAACAGAGATCGAGAATGCGTAAGGATTGTCAGGAACGGCCTGGACATGCTATGTCCCGAGCGATTTGATCCAGCAGATCACGTGCTACTCACCACTCTTCCCTACACCTGTCCAGACCAGCTTTCCTCCCGCCTTGAGCGTTTCGACGACAAGCTGCTGTGCGCGTTCAAATTGATCAAATGTTTCCTCCTCTTCTCTCATCCTCCTTGCAGCAGAGAGGAGCGAGGCAGCCTGATGCTCCAGAAGAGCACGAGCATGTGCCAGTGAGGCAGAGGCAGAAGACTTTCTTGGGCGTCGAGGCGGCGATGGAGAAGCCGCCTTGCTCTGCCTATCCTTGGGCGTGAAGCTCTGAGCAATTCCCTCGTGGAGGCTCAAGGAAGTATCGACTGTGCGGGCACTCGAGGAGAAGCCAGAGGAAGCAGGCGATGTGACAGGCGAGACATCATCCGCCTGATGTTGCTGTTGCTGTACGCTTTGAAGTGACTCTTCCAGAAGGGCAGAACCGGAACCAGTTGCCTCGCATGGGCTGTACTCGTTCTCAGCTACTACGCTAGCGCGGCTGGAGGAAGGACTGCTGTCTCCAGTCTCGACGTCTTCTGCTTCGGAGTCGAGGCCGTCAATATATCTGTCAGAACCTCCTTCTGAGACAGAAGAGGACTGGGACAAACCGTCAAGCATCATGCTGAGGGAACGCGTTTGAAGGGTGTGGGTGGGGTCGAGTGGCTGATTTCGGCCAAAGCTTCCGAAGGCGCTGTTAGAGAAGGATTGAATCCAATGAGATGCAAAGCGAGAATAACCCGGAGGCGATGAGTGCCACCAAATAGATCGAAGTGGATGCTAGACTGAATTCCGTATGATTGTCACGAGATAAAGGACGTCGATGAGATGTATGCGGATATGTGAGGCCGGAAAGGTAGAGTGAGGTTCCGCGTCTCGGAGCTAAGGCAATGTTAGGCGATCAGGGTCTTGCGAGTTTTGGGCGAGTATATGCGCAGACGGTAGGGTTGACGAAGACTTGAAAAGAGTAAATGGCTCGTTGTGAAGGTAGTGCTGTATGGATTATGAGTCTGGATGGTAGAGTGGCAGAGGTTTACTGAGCGTGGATGTATGCTGGGCCATGTCATATTATCCTTTCTGACGTGATGTGCTTATCGCCAGGCGCGGAGAGAAGAAGTTCCTGCGCCGAGGCTCGGGGCGGTGGAGCGGCCCTGAAGATCCTTGGCGGCGTCTGGCCCACGTTTGCCTGACACCCACTTACCAAAGCAAGATCTCTCCCTCCGCCGGACGCCGAGCCTGGCGCTGTCCAGACTCCGCCAGATCGGCACGACCCCGATGTCACTCGACGGCCAGATCTAAGCGAGGTGTTGCCCACGGAGACAAAAGTAGTGGCGAAGGTTGATACTTGCCGGCCTCCCCATCAACGGCAAGTCGCGATCGCCATCATGGGGAGTGCTCAGCATCGAGACCGACGTCAGCTGAGAGGTGGGTGCCGTAGGCTTGGCCAAGGAGAGCTCAGCCAATGTGAGCACCGTCTTCTGATGCTTCCTCCATGATTGAGTATATGATCCAAGCGCCTGGCGTAGCAGAGTGACCTTCGCGCCGTGGGAATTGCTGTGCCGCAATGAGATGCCCGTGGGCAGAGCATTTTCCTGAAGGTACAAGATGCTACAGCACAGGCAGTCAAGATCCCCGCAAGCTCAATGGAAGGCGATCTCACTCGTGGGACAGATACCAATGAGGTCCACTGGTGGCCTCTACACATGCTTGAATCTAAGTGGTGCACGTCAGCCAGGCACACATTGAGGCACACACACCTCGGCAGCCTAAACGCCGGTGCCTGATCGTACTTAATTTCCGCTCTCTATCACCAGACCGAGCATATCCGCTCTCTGACTCACTGTCCTCTCCCGCCAAAGCTTTTCTGGTCCTCAATCTTTCTTCCTACTTTGCCTCTCGAGCTGCCTTTGTCTCCCTGGCAGCGGACTTCAACTGTGTACACGCTGAAACCGCCTTCGAAAGAACCAACGAAGACGCTCTCCTCGCTCCTTGTCTACTGCTGATGTTGCCATGCAGACCTCCAGATCTTTCAACACTGCTTCGTCTTCGTCTCTTCGATATCTTCGTAAGTGTGGTACGCCATTCTCAGCAGGCTCCTGCTAGACTCTTGCTCACCATCACTGTGTACCGCCTTGACCCTGTCCCAGATGGACCGCCGCCTTTACCTCTGCCGACGCAATCGTCCAGCTGCTCAACTGCTCCCACTTCTCCCATCCCGGAGACCTCCACCAAGCCTGCGGACCATGCCCTGAGTGTCTTGCCGTCATCCTCTTCCTTTGTCAGATCCCAAGCGGCGTCCTTCGAGCGACGCATCAGGCATCATACGAAGAGCTTGGAGAGCAAGAAGCCCGCCTTCGTGCCACCTGTTCCGCCGTTGCCGTCCAGTTCCACGCATCTCAGGAGCCCTTGCTCTCCTCGGACGATCAACGTCAGCTCGTACGGCGAACAAGCAGCCGTGCTGACTTCTTCGCCTACACCTATGAAACAGTCAACAGATTCAGCACTGCCCACTCGCAAATCGACCGTACGCAAGAAGCCAGCACCACCTGTCTCTCCTTCTCTTCATGCCGAACTCTACAAGACTCCCAAAGCAAAGAAGTCTTCGCCGCTGCCAGTCCCGTGGGCGCCTTCCAGGGCCTTGCCGCCAAGGGACGAAGTGTGGGGCATCAATTCGAGCACGCTCAGTCTTGGACTTGGCATTCGCTTCGATGAAGATAACAATGAGCGCGCTTACGTGCTTGGACAGGAGGATGAACCTACTGGCACTGACTCTCGGGTGCCAGACACCCAAGAGCCCGCTGACTCTCCCCCACGGGCCGGCCATGTTGACAACGTTGAACGTAGCAGTACACCACCCAATGCAGCTGTCTTAGTTCAAGATGAGAAAGCAAATGCGGAGCCTCTCCCCGCTAGTGGACGCTCTACTACTCCTCTCCCTTCCACCACGAGCGACTCATACGATCTTGCCCTCCTGGAAGTCGATCGAGCCTTCCATGCTCGTATAGAGTTGAGCTTGCGAGAGCCAGGCGCAGCCACCGAATCAGGAGCCGTGGAGAGGCCAATCAGAAGAGGAGCTTCCTCCATCACCCTGGGACGAGCTCGATCTCTCAGACAGACCTCCCTCAGGGCTGCAGAGACGTCGACTAGGTCCGCTTCCCTCAATGTCCCTTCACGCTCCTCGCCCGCTGTCTCTCAGTGGCTTACCAACACCCAGGCATGTGCAGAGTCGAGGGAGATCGGGGTACAACGCGCTACTGGAGATGAGGTAGACGACCCTCCTCCGATCACCTCTTCGAACGATGGCGCTGTCCGTCGACCGCCCACTTCGAGCGTAGAGTCCACTCGTCGCTGGGAGGAGTCGAGACCTACACCCGCACTCACACGAACACGAACGTCCTCACTTGCAAGCCCGTCTCTCTTCCGCAACAAGAGTCTCTCGGCGCTCAAGAGGACTCTCTCCCGCTCTCGTACCTCGCAGAAGCAGCAGCCAGACTGTGGGCTTCCAGTCGAAAAGGATCCACCTCCCATGCCAGAGGCCACGATGGCTGATGGTGGCACAACACCCAAAGGAGTGGAGACGCCCAAGCGACGAGCCACGCTGAAGCGCTTGCGACCCCAGCAGAAGCAGTGGTGGGAACACACAATCGTCGTAGTCGGCGCAGCTGGTCCTGGCGCTTTCTATTGAGCCGGGTAGGCTTTTGAGACTACTTTACCCCTGCCCCCCTCCTCCGGTCCCCTTTTTCCCCTTGCTTCAGAGCTCATCGCGCCCATTTCCTCCCCTTTTCGTCTTCATTTGCATATCTTGTCGTATTGACGCATGACTTGGATGGAAGAAATCTATTGTACATCTATACCCTTCAATATCACATGGAATGATCGCCCAAAGAAGCGTCGTGCAAGCAGCGTCAGCTGCCCTCACACCTGACTTCCTACCAGACGGCAACAGCCGGTTGCTCCTCCACGCGCTTCAGATCCTCCTCTTGCTTCTCTCCCCCCTCTGCACTTTGTTCCCCTCTGATCTTCGCCTCCGCCTCGACCTCACCCTCCGTCACCTCTTCTGCCTTGCTCCGATTTTCCTCTCCTTCTTCCTTCCGGAGTAGCTCCTCCCCCCTCATCCACTCCAGCCAAGGCTCTGTACCCTTTTCATACCGCGCTCCCAGTAGCCAGAATACGCGTTCCGAGAGGACAGAAGTGTAGTGTAGCGCGTAGAGGACGAGGAGGAGCTTGAGAGTTGGTGTTGGGGAAAGGAGATCCAGGGGAGATGAGGATGAGGATGACGGAGAGAGTTGGGATGGGACGATTTGAGAGGACTTGAGGGAGGAGTCACCTGGGCCGCCGGAAGCTCGCAGAGCCATCCCCTGAGCCCACTTGTAGTGCTTTCTCCTCACAGTAGCAAGCTGTTCTGCTCTCTTCCTCTTCCTCTTCTGGTTCTGCTTTTCCTCCTCCCCGACTTGTTTCCTGCCTTCGGTATCTTCACATCTCGCCATCTCCTCCAGGTCAGAAAACCACTTTCGGAAGAGCTCCAGATGACTGACACCCCAGCGTCTGCCCACACGGGACCCGAGCAGGAGTGCTAGGTCCGCCGAGGGGTAGAGGAGCAGGTCGGAGTAGAAGGCAGGGGACATTAGGTAGATTGTAAGGAGTGGGCTTGAAGGACTTGCAGGAAGTTGCTTGCCGGAAAAGGGGTCGCAATGATGGTCGCCGTCGCTGTTTTGCTCAGCTGCTACTGCTGCTTCTTTGGACAGCATCGCCTCGACACTACCGTCTGATCCTACCAATCGGACAGAGATAGACGGTGACGCCCTCGCGAGGACGTGGAACCGCTCTTTTGCAGCCTCATCGATGACAGTCGGTGCAGGCCAGTAGATTGATCCATTCTTGGGAACTTTCACCTCCATCGTCGCATCACCATCCTCGTCTCCATCTGCTCCGCTGTTCTGTGGACCAACTTTGCCAACTCCAGAAACTCGTTCGATCTGCGTAGCATTCGACGGCAGTGGCCATCCTTGCCCATCGTAGTCCTTCATCTCTGGTACCACCACAGTCTTCTTCAATGCGTCCCCTTCAGCAGTCGCGACAGTCATGTCTGGCTTCCCAAAGACATCGAGCCTCTTGGCATAGTGTAGCTTGGCCGCCTGATAGACGATACGTACGAATGTGAGGAGAAGGTCGAAGGGCTGCCGGGCTAAGCAGAAGAAGAGATTCGAGCCGGTCAAAGGCAGAGGTCCTCGTGGCGAAGTGGCAGAAAAAGATTCGAGAGTCGCGAGGATCTTCTTGTGCAGTACAGGCTGGCCGCCATGAGTAGTGGCGGACTCGTCGGGAACTAGCAGGAGGAGTCGGACATCCATCGTGGGCAGATCGGAACCCTCGCTCCAGAGACTCTTGAGGTGCAGCCTGTAGTAGCCGCCACGATCATTGAAGGGGCTGACATGGAAAGAGCGGGGAAAGGTCCACTGATGGTCGTAGTCGGTCCTTCGTCGATTCACTTGCCACGAGAGCCCTTCGCCTTTTGGCTGACTTTCAGCTTGGTGCGGCTTTGGCGTAGGGCTAGCTTCTTCCTCATCTTCGCCAACACCGGCAGGCAGGATGTACAGATGCCTCTCCGAAAAGGTATTGTGCACCTCCAGCAAACACATGTAGAAGTCCCTCTTCCCCTCTTGGCCATTCTGCTCCTTCCGATAGAGGTAGTAGACCGTCAGTGGGTTGATGCCGTGTATGCCCATCAAGCTGGGCATCGTCGTCGCCCACACTTCAAAATGCGTCTCTGCGCCTGTCAGAGCTCCCTCATGAAGAAAACTGCGAGAAGTGAGCTCGGTCTCTAGCTTAGCAAGCCAGCTCGTCTCGTCCCCAGCACCAAGGTAGTCCGCCGCTTCAAGAGCGGTGAGGGCTGCAGCGCCTCTTTTCCCGCCAGCGTTCCACCGGAAGAGTCGACCGCCCCAGCCTGTGTTGCTCTTGCCTTGCTCAAGGCTGGTGAGGGAGATTGCGAGGTAGAGGGTGGGATAGCGGAAGATGTGCGTAGCGTCCTTGGGTAGCATGCGTGCATGGTGAATGAAGGAGGGGAGGAGGTAGGCGCCTCGTTGTGGGCCAGATGGTCGTAGTGCTTTCTCAGCTGCTGTGACTTGTGGTGGTTCTTGCGTTTGAGCTGACGAGCTGCTCTTTTCCTGAGCCCCAGAGTAGTTGGTGAGAAAGAGGATGTAGGAAGCCAGGAGAGATATCACGGCAAGAGCAAAGTCCAGACCTCTGGGACTTATTCCCTCGGGGAGTAAGTCATCCACTGCGCCCATGACTTGGCACTCGGTAGTGTCGCACTACTGGAAGACCGGAAGTCAAAACATTGAAGAAGACACGGCGGCAAGGAGGTTTGTTAGTTGGTAGCTTGTAAAGGAGGAGGATGTGCGAATCGGTGTGGTCATCCATCAGCGGAAGCAGGGAACGCTTTCCGCGCCACTACCGCCTCCACTAGAGAGATACGACCAGGGCCAGGGCGAAGAAGCCGATGAGGTGTACGATGAATATACTGTTGTACAAACGGGAACTCGCTGGGAATGCTCTACAATGTGACATGATATGAAGCCAGTCCTCGCAATGCATCGGCCTTGATATCTACTTGCTCTTAATCTCTGCAGCAATCTCCTCCTGTTTCACCCGCTCCTCCTCGGCCTTCTTCTTGATGCCCTCTTGCTTGAACTTCTCCAGCCACGCCTTGTCGATTACTTTCTCCTCGTACCTTTCATATCCACCTGCATCAAGTGCCGTCTGGTACTGCTCTCCGATGGTTGTGAAGACCTCCGAGAGACAGTTGAGGGCGCGGCGAAGCGCGGGTAGCACCGATACGGAGTCTGTGAGGCAACGGAGAGGGTCCCGACGTCAGCCGTCTGGTCTGCCCACGATACATTCTTCTCCAGCACTCTCCCTCTGTTCCTCGTCTTTGCAAGCTCAGTAGGAACAATTGTGTATGTGCAAAGTCGTCAACGCCGGACCTTGCGTAACAAGGCCGACTGCCGTTTATTTTCCCTTAATTGCGTTTCGTCATAGCAGCAGCGGATCGTTGATGAAGGAGCACTTCAACTCACCATACATTTGGATACGGAGATGTGTCTTGGCCTCAGATGGATGGGGGATGCTACGGAGGAGAGAAGGCAGAAGAACGAGGTGAGGTCGATGCTCTCCAGAGCCAATACGAAGAGCCTCTGAGACTCACCTGTAACCACAAAATTCGACCTCGGGGCTAGCAAAGGAATCAAGGCGAGACGTTCAAGCAAGCTTGTCAGCAGGTTGACTCCAAAGAGATTGCGCTGGACGGCTTTCAGCAGCTCTCGTTCCTCCTCGCTATCGTGTCTTCCTTGCCTTAACCCTCAGAAACGAAGAATTCCTGTTTATCGTGTGTTAGATCTTCATGCCCTACTGGAGCTTTGCGGGCTCGTTCGGACGAGTCGTGGGATGTTGTATAATCATCGGGCAAGTCTCAACAGCAATGACGAGCCGAGAGCATTGTCCCAGCAGTTTCCTCCTCCATCTATTCGAGATCCACCAATTGTGCAAACTGTAGTCTGGTACTCACTCTTTCATCAACATCCACCGCAGCGAGTTCCCCAGTGTATGATCTTCCTCCTTCAAGCAGAATGTTGCGGCCGAGAGATCAGGAGCGTATCCAGGTAGCTGATATGGCGAATGGGAAAGAGACGGTAAGATCTCGAGCTGATGATGCTGGGACTCCCCCATCGACCACTGGCGATACTCACGATGGTGATCTTCTCCCCGATCGATGCAGCAGGATCTACGTCCATGGGCGCCGTGCCGGCGTCTGGCACCTCTGCCATCTTTGCAATGAGGTCAGAGGTCGTATGGCTCGATTGCAGATGAATAGCAGGCGCGAAGAAAAGAGGACCAGAAAAAGTGACCTGGATGTGCACGGAGGAAATGTCGGATCGGAAGGCGAAGTGCAGACCAATTTGACTTTGCAGCTCCGCTCGCGTCTGGAGACGCGACCCTCTTCCCGGCGTTGCCAGGAGCGAGACCCGGCTGGACAGACCTTCCTCGTCAAGGAAGGACCATTCCTGCACTCCCACCTTGGCCTTCCATGTCCTAGACTCCTGTACTCACGACACCAGAGCTCATATCATCATACCATGAACGGCGTCCAGCGGCCGAGGAGGACAGCATCTCGCATGTCCTTCGCGGGGCTCCTCGACTCGGACGACAGCGACTTTGAGGTTCAAGACGTGGTAATGACCTCGGCCCCTTCACTCAACAAGCGATCGCGCCGAGCTCTCTCCGATAGCGACGAAGACTTCGCTAGCAGGGAAGATAGCTCAATACGTACTACTCCCGAAAGCGAAAAGGCAGTCGTTGTTGATGTGCCACATGCGAGTACATCGCGTCTGATAGAGGAGAAGCGCGTAAAGGTAGGTACAGCGCCCACATTCCGCCAGTGCCATTCTCTGTGCAGTGTACTGACCTCGGTCTCCACTCTTCGTCCACTCATCATATACTGGCAGCTTTTCGACAGACGCAGCACCGAGCAAGCTTCCTACCTGTGCGGCTCGCAACCTTTCGTCGATGTACCCTTGCCGCCCACAAATGTCCGCTATGCTGGGCGACCCCGGGCAGCAGGACCCAGCGTTGCGACAGGCAAACAGACCCGGCAAAGTACTCTCGCCAGCTTCTTTAGAGCACCACTCGCTCCTACGAAAGCTGCTTCATCTAACACAGCTGCCAGAAAGCAACCTGTCAAGTCAGAAAGCAAACCATCCGTAAGCTCATTCTTTGCACCTCGGAGCAGCTTGAAGGCAAAGAAGAAGAAGTCGGCCTCTGATGATGATGAGGACTATGTGGATCACTCTGTGTCAGCTGATGAAGACGACATGAAGGTTGAGAGCGACTTTGAAGCAGAGGAAGCAGAGCCCTCAGACGAGGAGATGCTCGAAATATCTGGCTCTGAGGCCAGCTTCGGTGAATCCACCGTCAAGAAGAAGGGCAAGGTGCGCGGGCCGGTATCGGCAAGGAAGAACCCTGGTCCTGGCAAAAAATTCGCGTCTGCCTTTCGTACCGGCCGAGAACCAAAGAAAATCAAGCACTGCCCTGATCTGGCACAGGCGGCTCAAGCAGCCAAAGACGCCGAGAGTAGGCATGCTAACAAGCTCTGGCCACCAATATCTGACCTCAATGACATCTATGCCGATATCGTTGATCGTATGCCAGAAGCTCTGCTCAAACCTCTGGCAGAGACACTAGCCGGGCAAGGGAGGGCTCTGCGCGTTGCGACGATGTGCAGTGGTACCGAGTCGCCTTTGCTGGCACTCAATCTCATCTCCCGCGCTGTCGAGGCGAAGTGGGGCATCAAGATGGGTATCGAGCATGTCTTCTCATGTGAGCTGGAACCATTCAAGCAAGCCTACATCGAGCGCAATTTTAATCCGCCTCTGCTCTTCCGAGACGTTACGGAGCTGGGCAATGCGCGAGCGCACACGGCTTACGGAGCTCTGGTCGACGTTCCGGGAGACATTGATTTGCTAGTCGCCGGTACTTCTTGTGTCGACTATTCTGGTCTCAACAATAGCAAAAAGGCCATCAACGAAGGAGGCGAGTCGGGACGGACATTCTTCGGCATGCTCAAGTGGGTCGAGCGTCATCAGCCTGCCATCGTGATCCTTGAGAATGTCAAGTCTGCGCCCTGGGATGGCGTCTGCAAGTTCTTTGAGGAAGCAGACTACGATTCTACCTACTCTACCAGATTCGATACCAAGAATTACTATATACCTCAGACAAGACAGCGAGGCTATTTTATGGCGACCAGGAACACCAAGGCGGATTACCCTCCCAATTGGCTTAATCTGGTGACGTCGCTGCAACGACCAGCCTCATCACCCATCGAAGCCTTTATGCTCCCGACCAGTGACCAACGCATCCAAAATTCCCGAGCCAAGCTGGGACACGAGCAAGGCGGCAAGAGCCGAAGCACCATCGATTGGAGCAAGTGTCAAGGGCGTCACGAAGAAGCTCGAGGATTTGAGAAGCTCGGGCAGGCTCGGCCGTTCACTGCTTGGGAGGAAGGAGGGTCATGTGTCATGTCGCACGGCGCTTGGAATGAATTCGCCCGACCTCAGCCAGAGCGCGTGCTCGACTTGATGGACATCACTGTCCTCAGGAACGCCGGGCGTCAGGAAGATCCTCACTTCAAGAGCAGAGTGTGGGAGCTGAGTCAGAACGTCGACAGAAACATCGTAGCTCCTCAGCCTGGAGTGACAGGCTGCTTGACCCCCTCTGGTATGCCTTTCCTGACAAGCCGAGGTGGCCCTGTCACGGGACTTGAGGCTCTATCGCTGCAAGGGCTGCCCATTGACGAGCTTCTGCTCACTCGAGAAAGTGATGATCAGCTGCAGAATCTGGCTGGAAACGCCATGACGTCAACCGTCGTGGGCATTTGCATTCTTTCAGCTCTGGTCCTCGCTCGACCTGACCTCGAAGCTGATCGTCGTGATGCTAAGGAAGGCGCCGATCGCCTGACCGAGTCCAACCACCGAAGGAGGCGCGATGTTGCCATTGCTGGCGGGGATCAGCTGTCTGCCCAGTCGCAACCATACAATCTCGTCAGCCTTGACAAGGTCGACATGTCATATCTCCTATCGCGAGCTGTCGCATCTAGCCAGCTCTGCATCTGTGAGGGACCAGCAGAGATCAGGCGCGATATCTACCGTTGCAAGCTTTGCGATCATACCGCCTGTGGTACTTGCAAGTCCAGACCCACACACGACTTCGAACTTGATCAAGCTGCCAGCGATGGACTGCGACAATCACCTCGGGCTTTCGAAGACCACCTCAAAGGCGCTTTGCCTATGCGTCTCACGTTGGGCGGTGCTACGGCGGACGTGGCCGAAGGTCTCCAGAAAGCTGCCGGGGAAATCTCAGGCTTGGCTGCTAAAGGTGGACAACGTTGGCTAGATCGAGTCACCACTGTACTCACTGGAGCGGAGTTTCGCTTCTCCCAACTCAAGAGACAGCGCGCCTGGACTGCCGAGTTCCACTCTTCTGCTGCTCGACTGGAACTGGCGCTGGACAAGAACGATCCTCACTGGAGCGTGTATGTCGAAGCTGACAAGTCGGAACCTGCTGGTAGCACCCTTCGTAAGCTGCTTCAGCAACCTGTCGCTAGACTTCGACTGGACCCTTCAAGTGCATCGACAACGCTTCTCGATGCTGGAAAGCAGTGGGAAGTCAATGTGCCCAGTCGACTCAGCTTCAAGGCCCAGGTCACCTCGCATGGAAAGCAGGTGGACACTTGGCAGGCTTCACTTGGTCTGCGAGGCGAGTGGGAAGGCACGAAGCAGTACTCGCAAATCAAAGTGGAAGTGCGCGGCAATGCCGCTGAGGAGAGTTTAGGAGAGGACTTCATCTCTGGCAACTATGAGCTTCTGTCGGAGTGCGGTCAAGCCAATGCGTCTCTGCACAAGCGTCAAGGCGATGCTGTCTCGTCGCAGCTGTACCTCTTCATCGATGCAGCCCGTTACGGATCTGCGAAGGAAGACTCCTACGTCTTCTCACGGGAGCTGGGAATGCTGCCATACCCGGCCGAGCGCAAGATTGTCGCCAATTTCAAGGCTGGTTGGAAGCCTAGCGCTGCTCCTCGTGACCCGACTGCAGGTGATGAGGAGCATACCCCTGAGGAGTTCGAACAGGCAATGGCAAAGTATAAGCAGAAGATGCAGGACCAAGCTGAGAAGGGCGAGCTCGTCGATGGAAGCGTTTGCGGCAAGTGGGTTACGCTCGAGTCACTTCGCCTCGAACCGTTTAGCGTGTCAAGGGGTGGTGAAGACAGCAGAATCTCTGTCCCCACCTCTCCTGTCGCTCTCGATCTCAACAAGACTGGATGCGAAGAAGCTCTCTCTGTGCTGTACTGTTCCGCTCCGCTCACTGCTCACGCCGATGACGCTGTCTGGCCTTCCAGAACCGACGCCTGGACAGAAGTCGACCTCGAACACCACTCGACCAAAACTTTTGCAATGCTCTCCTGGCTGATGGAGAGAGTGCCTGAAGTGTCGGCCTGGGACGATTGGATGAAGGCCTCTTACGACGCCCAACATTCTTCCTGCGCTATTTGTGCTCCTTCACCTCCTTCGATCCAATGGCTCAAGCGCGGAAACAAGCCCCCCATACCCATTGAAAATGAACGGGAGGCGGGCCCTTACGAGCAAGCTCTGAAGAATCGGCCTTTCCCATTCTTGCTCCAGTTGAGGACGGAGGCGCAGAAAGGTATTGCAAGGGTTCGGATAGCAGTCAACGCCTCTACCTTGATGCACCGAGCGCTTTCTCGTCTGCCTTGCCGCAACAAAGATGCCGATCTGCCGTGTCTTGACTGGCGCCTTACTCGCGTCAATCCCACCCTCACCCAATTCAATTTGCCAGAGTACCATCTGTCTTCCAATCGACACGATCCAGAAGCTGCCAACCCTGCCACTTTCAAGCTCGAGTTGAGGAAGGAGCAGAAGCGCTCCCTGGCCTGGATGTTACAGCAGGAAGCGAAGGAGATTGCGCCTTTCGTCGAAGAGGAGGTCAGCGAAGATTCTCTGCCTGCTTTGGAGTGGTGTGCAGAAGGGCGTGCTAGACAGGCAAAGGTCATCCGTGGAGGCGTCATCGCCGACGCGGTCGGGTACGGCAAGACTGCCATCTCCCTCGCTCTAATCGCCACACAAAAGGACAAAGAGCGCAAAGAAGACATCGAGGCGACTGCTACAATTGACGAGGGCTTCATCGGAACCAAAGCAACTCTGGTCATCGTCCCGCCCCAGCTTTGCAAGCAGTGGGAGAACGAGGTGCACAAGTTCTTGGGCAAGTCACTCTCGGTCCACGTCATCTTCAGCAAGGGTGACCTGAACAAGACCACCATCGGCCAGCTGCAGCGCGTCGACGTTGTGATTATGTCTGTGTCTGTCTACAAATCAGATGCTTACTTCGGGACCCTGGCTGCATTTGCTGCTGCCAACCCCATTCCTAACCGGGAAGGTCGCTTCTTCGAGTCGGCTCTGACAAAGAGCGTCGCAGCTCTTCGCAATCGCGTCAAGGAGCTCAAAGTGGGCGATGGCGGCAAGTCTCTTTGGCGAAGCATCAAAGACCGCGCCGATTTTGATCCTGCCCATCTCACGACATACAAGGCGAAGAAGAGAATTGTTGGCGCGCAGTATGCTCGGGAGAAGCGTCTGCAGGATGACGCTGAGGACATGGACGATATCGAGACTGCTGAAGATGCTTGGGAGCAGATCAAGAAGCAGCCCATCTCAGACGTCTGGGGTCTCAAGAAAGGACTGAAGCGATGGACCGACCTGACCTCACCGCCTCTTGAGGCTTTTGCCTGGCGACGAGTGGTCATTGATGAGTTCCATTACATTGCTGCAGAAGCCGGAAGGGTCTTCTCGGCGGTGCGATCGCTCACTGCTCAGGCCACCTGGGTCCTCTCTGGAACACCCAAGACCAACGACTTCGCTGATATCCGCTCAATGGCGGCATTCCTCAACGTGCACTTGGGTGTCGAAGACGACGCTGACTATACCGACGTGACAGCGCGAGGCAGAACCAGCCGCAACAAGAGTCGGTCAGACGTGGAGCGTTTCCGAAGCTTCGTCGAGGTGCACTCGCCTGCTTGGCACCATCGCAGACAGGCCATTGGCCAGACTTTCCTGGATCGATTCGTGCGTCAGAACATTGCAGAGATTGATGAGATCGCCAGCATCGAGATACTGAAGCCTGTGCGGATGCCTGCTGCCGAGCGGGCCTGCTACCTCGAGCTGCAGCACACCATCGAAGCGCTCGACCTTCGACACGCTCGTACCCTCTTCAGAGGTCCAGCCAAGGCTAAAGGGATCACGAGCGAGAATGACCGAGATTACCGCCTAAGAACTACCTTGGGCGAGAGCTCCAGTCCAGAAGAAGCCCTCTCCCGTCAGGCTGCGCACTTTGTGCTGAGCTCGACTGAGAAGGCTCAGAATGCCATCGAGGCGTGCAATCTGATTGTGGAAGAGCGCGCTGAACAGCTAGCCCAATGCAAGGAGGAGCTGGCAGCGAAGCTCAAGGTGGCCAAGGAGCAGCACTTTTTGGTTCTAATGCACTACGGCTACCGAGACGACACGAAGCAGGCGCTGGTCACCTTTGCCAAAAACGCCATCAGTGCGAAGTACGGAGACAAGGAAAGCAAGCAGGCTGTTGCCACCTTGTTGGAAGAGGCGGACTGTCTGGCGGCTGACCTGACGCTCGCAAAAGGCAAGCAGATCTATCCAAGAGATCAGCTGAAAGAAGCTCTCAAGCGAAGAGCTGTCGCATCCGCCATCGCCGAGCTGCAAAAGCAAAAGACTTCGGCAGCAAAGCAGAGCAAGGCGAAGAAGGGCAAGAAGCCCTCAAGCTCTGACAGTGAAGAAGCAGAGATGAGCGATGACGGCGCTGCTGGCCCGAGCAAGGCGGACGTGGCTGCCGAGAAGAAGGTAGCCGCCAAAGCCATCAAGGACATGGAAGCGGAGCTCTCAGGCAAAGGCAAGAGCAATGCAGAGGAAGTTCAGAAACAGGCCTGGGCGCAGGAGACACACATCCGCGCCCTCGTCCATCAGCTCGTGCAATTGCGCAACGAGACGGCAGCCCGTCAGCGTTCTCTCCGCTACTTTGAGAATATCAGAGCTATCCAGCTTCAGAAGGCAGGAGACGTTTCTGGAGAATGTCCAGGCTGTAAGCAAGACCTCGTCTTCACCAAGCTCGCCCTTTCCTCCGTCTGCGGACACCTCTTCTGCATCGAATGTGGCCGCCGCGAGGCCTACAAGGGCAAGTGTCCCGAGTCGGGATGCAATGCCGATGCCAAGCCTGGGTCCATTGTCAGCGCTACGTCGCTCGGAGTGGAAAATACCCAAGTGTCGGCCTTTGGCGAGAAGATGTCTCAGCTTGCGCACCTGCTGCGAGATCGCACCTTGATCCCAGCAGGCGACAAGGTGATCCTCTTTGTCCAATTCGAAGGTCTGCTGGAGAAGACGGCACACGCCCTGACTTCGTACGGGATCAAGTTCACCCGTGTCAAGGGGAATGCAAGGAGTCGATCCGAAACCCTCGACGCGTACCAGCGGGGAAACGCCCCACGCGTGCTCCTCCTGGACGTCGCCGACGAGTCTGCAGCAGGGTCTAACCTGACCATTGCGAACCATGTCATCTTCCTCTCCTCGCTCGTGACAGAGGATCAGACGACGTACCGCTCTACGCTTCAGCAAGCAAAGGGCCGATGCTTGCGCTTCGGACAGACAAAAGAGGTGCACCTCTGGCACCTCCTCGCCAGGAGCACCATTGACGAGGAGATCTTCAATACGCGGGAAGTCTCAAAGGCCGCCGGGGGCAATCAACCCAACAACGGTAGCGGTACTGGAGCTACTACTCCCGTCATCCAGTCCTTGGACGCTGCATTGGAGGCTAGGAGCGAGCGGCAGATACACCTGGGCAGACAGGTGGACACGCAGATGGACATGGAGGAGGAGGCGGCCATTGAGAAACGTGGCGGCGGAGCGCGGGCAGGTCGCAGACCATCGACGTCGGCTTCGGCGCCAGGCGCAGGTCCTCGAGATGTGCCTGTGGTGGATCTTGCTGATGATGAGTCGGAAGAGGAGCATGGCACCAGATTCGGCAGCAGGGGCAAGAAGATCTGGGGAAAGAAGAAGGAAGAGATGACGACAATGAAGACGACGACGAAGGCCAAGGCTCCTTCTTCTTCTGCTGCTCCCAGGCGCAAGGTCAGCGGCGCAAAGACGCTCCACTATGATTCTGACGACGACGGTGATGGTGACGACTATGAAGGGGCGTACGTGTCTGCTGATGACATCGACATGCTGTGAATGGGGCGATGGAGCGACACCCTTCTTTTCTGCCAAAATTGTTTCTTCTATTTGCAAACCATTACCCATACCGCCTTTTTGGTTCCTTTGTATTCCTCTGTGCTGACTTCTATACAATAACGTTGCGAGTGTCCGTCTGAAGGTCATCGGTGTAAGAAAGAGAGAGAGAGAGAGAGAGCGTGTGTGTGTGTGCAGCTATGCGTCTCTCCCCTCCCTCCACGTTGGCTTTACGAGAGGATACTCTTTGCTCCACCCGAGGATACTTTTCCCTGAGCCCATCGATTTGACTTTTCAGCCATCCTAGCAATCGGGAGAGCAAGCAAAAGAACATGTAGGGTTAGCGACTACCATCCAATCACTATCTCTTCGCTTCTAGCCTCTCCTCGCCAGGACTCACTCTACCGCGGCTGTTCCCCAATCCTCTCCATGGTTATGTGCTCCCTCTCCAATTCCACTCCTCTGCAATGCCTGTTCTTCCGTCAAACAAGTCAAGATTCCTAGAATGACGGGAACATTTGCATCCAGCCCGACCCGCATGAGTCCTTGACAGGCACACTCTGAAATGTATTCAAAGTGCATGGTGGAACCTTTGATTAGGACACCGATACCGATGAGGGCGTCGAAGGGTTTCGAAGAGGCAGAGGAGGATGTTGAGGGAGAGTCGAGGGAGCCTTCGAGGAGGGAGGAGGCACCCATTAGGTCTGAGACGTTTGAGGAGGCTTGGACTTGGCCTGCTGAGATGAGCCTAGAGGCAGGGGGAGAGGGTTAAAGATGAAGGTGAAGGTGTGAAAGAAGAGGTGAGTACGAGTTCCACAGCACCTCTCGCCGCTCCTTCCCCCCTGGTATTCAGTCCACTTACCTCGAAACGCCCATCGGCAATTCCCAACTACCCGGCACGCTCTCTACGACAATGTTCTCCTCCTTTACCCCTGCCTTCTTCATAGCGCCTACAGCTCCCTGTACTAGCGGTCCGATACATTCTGCATTCCATCGAGCGTGGACAATGCCGATTCGCAGCTGGGAGGCAGTTGGGAAGGAGGCTGGTGGGGCAGAAGGACCCTTGAATGCGAAGCCTGAGGAGTTGGCGGCGGTTGGTGGGGACATGTTGGTCGTTGTGGTGGTGGTGAAGATGGTGATGATCTTGGTGGTAGTGGTGAGTGCGGTAGCCTCTACGGCCCTTTGGCGGCTTGGCGGAGGCGAGCGGATGGATGCGCGCAGTTGGGTGGCTCGAGCGTCGAGGCGATGGCGGAAAGGCGCACAAAAGGAACAAAGGGAAGGAGAGACTACGATGGATCGCCCTTGTCTAGGAGACCATACCATACCACTTCACTCAGGTCTACTCCGTACAGACGGCGATCATGACTGCTGCCGCTGCTTCATCATCATCATCCTCAGCCGATCCAGCCGACACCATGCTCTCTCACCCGGACATCGAGGCAGACTACCTACCATTCGACGCAGCTGCATCATGTTGGGCAGATGTAGCACCAGTCTTTCAGGACGATGGACCAGCAGACGTACTCTGTGGGATCATGTACGACACCGCCTGTGAGAGCGCAAATAAGTCGCTGTACAAGCAATGAGTATGTTGATACGTGAGCTCATGCCTTTCTTCCCTTGCCGCCTCACCCTCTCAGACTCGTCCGCAATGGACCTCTTTCGCGCCCTCTACCCCCAACGCGAGATATCCCCCCGAGCACTGGCCCTCACAACGCATCTGGTGTCTCTGAACCCCTCGATGTACTCCATATGGGCATATAGGGCAGACATACTCATCTCTTCTTCCACCCTCTCTTCGTCCTCCTCCTCTTCTTTACTACCAAGCCTCGGAGATCGAGCGACACGCCTGCGCAGAGAGCTGCAATGGATGGAGGACCTAGCGAGGGGAAACATGAAGTCCTACCAAGTCTGGCAACACAGACGTCTGATCCTCTGCGCCATTGAGTCTCCCAGTAGAGAAGTGCTAGAGGCGGAGTTGGATTTTATCGGTAGTGTGTTGAGCAGGGACTCGAAAAATTACCATACCTGGGCGTATAGACAGTGGGTCCTTGCTCACTTTGCTGGCATGCCTCAAGAAGAAGAGGAGACTTCTGCATCTGCTGGTAGCGCTGGAAAACTGCCAGAGCTGTGGCAGGCGGAGCTACCTTATACGGACAAGCTTCTCGCTCAGGACGCCAGAAACAATTCGGCGTGGAACCACCGCTTCTTTATCATCTTTGGCTCGCGCAGAGGAGCCGTGTTCGGCCCTGAAGCCATCGGTCTACAGTTGGCGATGGAAAGTCGTACGAATGGTTGGACCAGTGGCGATACCGCTTCTGCGGGGAAGGAAGAGGAGAATCTGCGGCAGTGCATCGAGTCCGAAGTGAAGTGAGTCAAGGCGAAAATGCCCCAGGAATCAGCATGAAGACTGACCCCCCTTCACTCCTATCCCCACTCAAAAGCTACATCAAGCGCTCCCTCTCCCTCATCCCAAACAATGCCTCTTCCTGGACCTACCTCCGAGGGATCCTCAGCCTCTCCTCGCGACCGCTACCCCTCTCCTCGTACTCCCTCCCCAAATGGATCAAGACCAACCTCCTCTCCCCCTTTCTTCTAGACGCAGCCACACCGCTACCAGCAGCAGGAGAGAGTGGGAGCAGCTCGACTGTGTGCGTCTTTGCGCTCGAGTATTTGCTGGATGTACTGCAGGAGGAAAGCGAGGGAGGAGCACGAGGGCAGACGAGTGGGACTGGGTCTCGGCCGGAGTGTGCGGGGGCACAGGAAGAGCAAGTAGAACGGTTGATATTCCTGTTGAAGAGGGAGGATCCGGTGCGTGCGCAGTGGTGGGAGGTGAGGAGGAGGGAGGTGCTGAGTGTTCTCAAGCTAGGTTGGTCGTGAGCTAGGGGAGGGGTGGGCAGAGCCATATAGAAGGACGACATGCGATATCAGACCATACCAAATCAACATCAGTTGTTTTCACTGCCTGCTGTACTCCTACTGGCGCTGTAGCGTGTCACTCCAGACTCGCTCATGGGCCATTGAGAAATGTGAATGTGAGAATAAGACTGAGATCATACGATGACATTGACAAAGAAAAAAGCGAAAGGAACAGAGAAGTAGACTAACAGTGGAAAAGAAGACGAATAAGAAAAAAGGAAGAGGCAGGGGTGAGGGGGGAACAAAAAAAAACCGAGTGCACAAGACAGTAGAGTGGAAGCTCCTCCCTCCCGCTCTCCATCTCTCAATCAACATCACTAATATTCGCCGCTCCACCCGGCGTGCTTGGGGCGACGCCGGTCGTCGTAGCCTCTCCTGCTGCGGCTGCAACCGACCCAGAGGTAGAAGGACTGCTGGGCGTCCGATTGTAGAACTTCGCCCTCAATTGTGCCAGTCGATCATCCGTGGCCCCCGCTGACGCTCCGGTTCCAGTGCCGCTCATGCTGGCATTGGCGCCGTGAGTACTACCACTGCCATTCGCATAGCTGCTGGAGGTTTGACGAAGATGACTGGACGGCCTGCGTGGGGTACCCGTTGCGCTGTCCTCGCCAGTTGTCGAAGTGGGACGACTGAGCCCAGCTCCCGCCGCTGCTTCCCCGTTGCCTTCGACATGATGCTCCTCTCCATTCGGTGTGCCACGCGCACTAGCACTAGCACTTGCGCTACCACTGCCAGCCTCACCAGCCTGCTCCGCGCCTTCATCCTCAGCAGCGTGATTGGCCAGCGCGCGCTTGATGTACCTCTGGAAGATGGGTCCCGTGCTCTGCAGACTCCTTTCAATCGAATTGGCCTTGTGTGGATATCGCTTCTGGAATTCATACAGGTCCTTTATGGCTTTGCGACTCTTTTCTTTTTGGGAGATGCGCTCAAAGATGTCCTTTAGCTCGGCATTGATGCCCGAGTCGGCGAGGTCTTGGGACCCCTGAGAAGGAAGAGCAGAGGCGGAGCCGCTGGAGGAGGAACCGTTGAGGTGGTTGGCAGAGGCTGCGCGACTTGCTGCGCCGAGAGATGCGGATGACTTGCTGTTGGCGGCAGCGTCCGAGTCAACGAGCTCATCGTTGGCTCCATCGTTGCCGCCTCCGTCGGTCTGATTGAGCATCCGCACAAGGTGACCGTAGATGTAGGTGTCTTCTGGGTTCTCCAATTGGTCCAAGTGGGACAGCACTTCTTCCCCGTAGCGCTGCACCAGATGCGAGAGATTGACCTTGATCGTCCGGTAGGGCAGATCCGACAAAGGGATCCCGTCTTGATGTCTAGCCTTCCACTCAGTAGGCGGGATGCGCTGCAGCACAGCTTCCATGTCCGCCATGAGCTGGGCGGGATCAACAATGCCTTCTTCGGCCAGACTGACGGGCAGCCGTCTCCCCACCTTCCACAGACACTTGATGATGAGTTCTGCAAAGTCGGCCCTCGTCTTGAGCATTGGGCCGCTGAGCTCCCTCAGGTCCTCACTTGCGTCAGTGAGCATCGCAAAGCTCGTCGAGTAGAGGACGTTCAAATTGCAAGAGCCAAAGCAACGGATGACAATCTTGTTGAGGTACGTGGCATAGGTACGAGCTTCCTCGTCTTCCTTCGACCTGTGAGAGGAGTCAATGAGGCGTTGGAGCATCTGTGTCATCAGGGCAGCCAGAGCCTGCTTCTGGATGTAGCTAGCCAGCGTGTGTCCATCCTCAGACTTCATCTTAGCGTCGAAGAGGCTAGACGAGACTTGGATGAGGTACTTCTTTAGTCGAGTGTAGGCCGCATCTTCTACCTCGCTTCGTTGCACATCCTTGAAAGCCCGTGAGTATTGCTTGGCTAGCACATTGGCCAGTAGGTCGGCATGCGCAGCAAAGGGCCGAGCATCCTCCTGCATTTCGTTGTGGATGGCTTTGAGAGCGATCGTGCTGCGCTCTGGCTCCGAGCTGAGGATCTCGTTGATCGTCTGCTCAAAGTCAGGACCATCCTCGTACTCTTCACGACTATCATCGCGCTCTGGGTCCACGTCATCGGTCGGAAGGACCTCTTCAGGAGCGCTTTCGCTCCGTGACGAGAACGTCCTTTGCGGGGCAGGCGAAGCAGGCGGGCTGGCTACGCTTGTAGCAACAGCGGAAGGTCTAGGGATGGTGCGGGCAATTCCACTCGTAGCGCTTGGTAGCCGTGACTTCATCCCAGGGATCCCGGACGCAGGTTTACCATTCGTCGGAGGTGTGACACTTGGCCGGGGCGAAGCGGGCGTCGCAGCTCCCGAGCGAGACACGGTAGTCCTCTTCAGCCTCTCCTCGAGGAGGGACAGCTCTTTCTCTGGCAGCTTGCCGACCAAAGCCCAGACATCGTCACCTACGATCTTGTAGCACTCGCCGAGGGCCAGCAGAGCCGCGGTACGGACATTGGTGTCACGGTCTGAAATCTGCTTCGCGATGACGGGCAGCGTCTTCGAGGGCGTGCAGACCTGCAATCCATTCTTCGAGAAGAGATAGCCCAGCTCCGCGAGGCACTCGGACCTTGTGCGTGCATTCTTCGAAGGCAGACCATTGTCCAAATATTGCGTCATCAGCTTGCTAGGTGGGAAGACGAAGGTCACCTTTCGGAAGGCGTCTCGAATGCGATCTCGGAACGCGATCTTTGCATCGCCAAACTTCGCAATCAGACATGGCAGAATGGAGTTGGCCTCGTAGTCTCCCATCCTGTATTGCTCTGCTCGGAGAAGATCCATCAGCTGCAAGAGCACATCGAAGCACTTGAGCGAGATGCTCGTGTTGTTGTCCGTGAGGCGAATAGCGATATACTTGAAGATCAAGTCGCTGTTGGCGACGACCATGGCCACTGCTTGAGCAGGCGCGACTCCATGCTCTTCCTCGGCGAAGGTAGGCGATGAGATAAAATCGGACAAGAGTGCCAGGGCAGAGAGGTAGTCCCGCTCCGCATTGTGATCCTTGCTGAACATCTGATCGATTAGGGTAGCTCCGAGTTGCCCTTCGCACTGCGCCCGTAGGACCTCCACGAGATCAGGACGTGGTGTCCCCTCAGCACTGATCCAGTATTGGCCTCTGTTGTCTTTCCTCTCGCGGATCGCCTTGAACTTGGGATCAGAAGTCAAGAAGGGGATACCGCCAGCACTACCGCTGGCATACGAACTCGAAGTCGCGCCAGAGGCGGGCACCATAACGGCTTTCTTGGCAGCACCCAAACGAGAGCTGAAGCCAGGCTTGGAGAGACCAGAGGGCGGTGCAGCAGCGCTGCGAGGCGCACTTGTGGGTTGAAGGAGCCGTGTAGCAGCTGACGGAGGACGCATGCCGGAGACGGATCGACTGGCAGCCGAAGGGTTGGCGCGAGGAGAAGCTGGGGCAGGTGACATTGCTCGGGCTGCAGGAGATGAGGGCCTGGCAGGAGCAGCCGAGGCGGCCACTCTCTTCACACCAGGCACAGTCGCCCTGCTGATCGGAGCAGCGGCGGGAGCAGCAGCTGTCTTTGCGGGTCCCAAAGCGCTAGCGGCAGCCCGTGCCTGCTCGATGAGGGGCTGTACAGTGTTCTTCGAGGCAACCTTCATACCGTCAGCTTGACTTGCGACAAACTTGTAGCCTGCTCGTTGAATAATGTAGGGCAAAGTCGCCTGAGCGGCCTTCTTCACAGCTGCCAGCTTATCGTCGAGACACTGCACTGCAGGCATAGCCAAGGGAGCCAAGTCATACGACTTGTCCGGAGGACTGGCTTCGAACCTCTCTGACAGCCATGTGAAGAGGTCCTGCTTCATCGTAGGGTTTGCACCCTTACTTTCAAGGGCATTTGCAAACCCACTGATCATCGCAGCTGGACCTACAGCGTCGGCAATTGTGGTAAGCGTTGCGAGAGCCGCCTGGCGCACAGGAACCTTCGCATCTGATAGACAGCCGGTCACGGGCACCGTGTAAGACTTAGTCTGCGGTTCGAATGCCTTGCCGAGACCTTTTGCAAGCTTGAGAGTAATATCAAGCGCCAGAGTCTTGCATTGGACGTTCGCGTCCGTAAAGCGAAGTTTCAGTGCCGGCGTGACATCGCTTAAAGTACCCTTGAGACGAGTGTTGGCCTCCAGGATGGACTGAATTTCCTCAAGAGACTCTTTGCGGATCTTCCAGCTTGCATCGCCCATGCTGGCAATGGCCGAAGACGGCAAGAGCTTGTCTACATCCACCCTGGGAATGAGAGCATCCAAAGCATCCTCCTCATCAGCAGCGGCATCGGCGCCGCTCATTGCCACGTCATCAGCAGCGCCTCCAACTGGTCTCAACTCGGCGCTGAACCTTGTGGGCGGTGGTGGAGGATTGCTTGCAGCTTTTCCGATCTCGGCTTCAATCGTCGTCTTCAGTTGAGGATTGAGGTCCGCAATGAAGGTGTTCAGCGCTACGCCCAAGAAGCGAGCCAAGGTACCCATCGTGGTCGTGGCATTGTTCCTCACAGCCGCATTGGCGGACTTGAGGCATACCAGCAGGTGGTCAACTAACGATTTGACATCAACGCCCTGCAGACCAAACTCTAGGAGAGCTGTGTCGATCCAAGTCAGAGAGTCTGCAATGGACTTGGGAGCTTTCAGAGCAGCGAGAGGGCCAAGAGCCTGCTTGAGAACGAAGCCGAAGGACGTCTTCTCAGAATAGGCGCCCAGGGTCTCGTTTGCGGGAGCTTTGAGCTTGATGTCACCAAGCTTGTCTACCAGAGGTTGTACAGTGAGTGCAACACTGGCGCGTCCGAAAGTTGGGCATTGCTCTGCAAGCAAGCGGAAGACCTTGAAGACCTCTGCTGCGACCTGGAAATTGCTCTCCTTCCAGCCTGGCTTCTTGCTCAATGCCCTCACGATGACCTCCGACTCGATTGTCTCGGCTTCACGATCCAGCCATGCCGCAAAGGCCTGAATGCCTGCTAGCCTCTCCTTCCAATTCGAATCAGCCAATTGGGCTGTGAACTCAGCAGGGATAAGTTGAGCGGCCTTTGCTTCGGCTTCTTCCGGCATGAACCGGAACTTGACTGGCTCGTTGACAGATGGTGCTCCTGCGACGCCTCGCGAAGGACCAGCAGCTTTGCTGGCTCCTGCTTTCGCGGCTAGGGCTGCAGGTCTACTGGCGGCTGAGGTCGGCGGAGCTGCTGGTCGTGCGACAGGCCGAGGCTGAGGCCGAGGTGCAGCAGCAGATTTAGCCGGCGTTGCCAGCCCCATCGGAGGAGCATTCTCCTTCTCAGCGGTGGGAGCCTTTGCAACCACTCGAGGAGCTGGCTTGGAGGCTACAGGCTTGGCACTTGGAGCAGCAGCGGCTGGGCGAGCGGCTGGCGGAGCGGCGCCACCCATCCTCACCTTCACCTGAGCAGTGCTGAATTCTTCTTGTACCCTAGCTTTCTTGATGTCGTCCAGCTCCTCAAGGTAGGGGTTCATTGGCCGCTCTCCGATGAGCTTCATCAATGTACCCAGACCTGTGAGTCCTGCGTCTCGTACGTCACCCGAGCTGTCAGAGCAAGCCGCCACCAGCGCGTCAGCGACGGGCTTGATGTCAGCCTTCGCTGGCGGCTTCACTGTTGTACGAAGACAGCGCACAAGGAACCGGATGGACTCTGTCTTGACTGCCGGATTCTTGTGCTTCGTAGCGGTGAGGATGTCTCCTAAGACATCGCTAACAGTCACAGTCTGGAAGATCGCGTCCAATGCACCACTGATGGCTTCGACTGCAGCGGGCTTCTTCTCCTTCAGCTTCTCCAGAAGCAGCGGCATTGCCTGTTCTCGATACTTTGCGAAGCTCCCCCTCAGCCCCTTTGCAGCAGCCTCTAGACACTGGCAGGCCATCAGCCACACATGGATAGTGACGTCTTTCCTTATCCGCTCTAGACAAGCGTCTATGAAGGGGTCGAAGGCGGGCGTGCTCTGAAGTTTGATGTTGCTGCTGAGTACTCCCTTGGCTGCCTCGAGTGCGTCCTTGCGCTCCGCCCATTTACTGGATCTGACTGCTTCATCAAAGTCCTGAGGCCAGGCCTTTGCAGCAAATGGATCCACTGCTTCTGCAAGCTCGTAGGGATCAAATTCCCCTGCATCCTCTGCAGCCGTAGATGCGCCGCCTGGCGCTTTCGAGCCACCAGAGCTTGTCGATGGGCCCGCTGCTGCTGCCTCCACTGCAGCTCTCTGCGAGAGAAGACTCCGCGGAGGTACAGGCTTGCCTTCGCTCGTCCTGTCGATCTCCTCAAATTGCGCCCTGAGCTCCTTGGCCTGGATGTCTTTGAGTGAATCAATCGTTGGTGTGAGAGCTGCGCCAATGTAGCGATGAAGCTCTTGGGAGAGAATAGATGCTTCCGCTCGTACAGTCTTGTCGGAGTGAGCGAAGATGTCGGGGAGCTTCTTCATGATCGGATTCGGGCGGACTTGCTTGGGTCCGAACTCTTTGATGAGCTGAGCGAGGGCGGTGACCGAGGCAGCTACGAGCTTGGGCTGCTTCGCTGACAGACCAGGAAGGATGTCGTTCTGCAGGGAAGTATCATGTTCTTCCTCAGCGTGAGTGCTCCATGTAATTCCTGGCGTCTGGCTACTTACCACTAGGCCTTCGCACCCCATCACATCTTCGTTCTCAGCATAGAGCAACGCAAGCTCCAGAGCAGCCTTCTTAGTACCAGCTCTTGTAGAGCCGAGGCATTTCTCGGTGACAGCAGGAAACACTGCCTCTCGAGTGCTGACATCAAAGGCGAATGGCATCTAGCTTCAGCAAGTTTCTCTCTCCCTCACTAGAACTTGCTCTTTGTCCGACTCACCTCCCAGCTGCCTTCCCGCCGTATTTGACAAACTCCACCACTGCCCCAACTCCCTTCTCCTGAGCCACTGCATTTGCATCTGTGAGCATTCCCTTGAGTAGATCTGGATTGCGCGTATAGGGTCGGAAGGCTGGGTCGCTATCGTAGGCAGTGGTCGAGAACTTCTTGGAGAGCTCCTCGTAGGCGGAGGACCGAGCTTTCCAATTCTAGATGCACATGAGGAGCAGGAGAAAAGCTATGCGGTCAGATCATGCCTCACAACCCGCACATCATCCTGAGTACGGGAAGCCAGGACGATCATTCATAGACTTCTCCTACCCCTGGTCCTTCTCTGCGCCTGTCCCTGGCCGTATCCTCATTGCATCCGGGTATCCTTCCCAGTCTTTCGCGGTCACTCACCTTATGAGCCAGTCTTTCCTCTACCGGGATCCGTGAGAAGTCCTCCTCAGGAGGGGCAGACCCTCCCATTCCTCCAAACTCGTCCATCTTTTGCGCTCGTCAAGTAGACTAGCTAGTCGCGGTGCCGGACCGGAAAGAAGAGCGGAACGCAAGCCTGCTTTCGTGTGGTATAGGCCGTGTTCGAGTCACGAACGAGGCGTGTAGGGGTCGTAGTCTTTCCGCGAGCTTGTACGCTATACAGAGCTACGAAGCGGAGGGATCAAGGGGTGTGGAGCGGGAGGGTGATGGAGTAGGAGGAGGAAGTGTTGAAGTGTTGCTTGTGACGACGGGACGGATAATAAACAAGCCGAGGGAGCAAAGAGGCGGAGTCGTCGGACGCGCATGTCGGAACGGAAGCAGGATCCAAACAGACGCGTGCAAGGGCCACAGGCAATTTCACGCTCGAAGTCGAGTCAGAGGAGTGAGGGGGTCGGAAGCTCAGCATGACAGCTTCTCGCCTAAACCACCTGCCATTGGCGAGACTTCATAGCGTCAACATGACATCGACGGAGGTAAAAACACTGCATTCTGGTCAGTACGAAGCCTTTGCAGAGCTGTGGAAAAGCAACGAGTGGCCGATCGCAGCAGATTTGCTCACCAAGATAGCCCCCGCAACGCCCTCGGAAAAGCACGACAGGCGGCACTTCTTCGCCATCCCGGACCCTAGCAATGACAGCAAGCTGCAAGCCGGAGGAGCGACGTTTCTCCAAGGTAGCGTTGCGGGAATTGGGCTCATTCTAGTTCACAAAGATCACCAGCGCAAAGGGCTCGGATCAAAGATCTTCCGCAAGTGCCTAGATGCTGCTCTCGAAGAGGAAGAGACAAAGATCGTCTGGCTGACGGCTACGACTGCAGGAGCGCCAGTGTATCGTCGTATGGGATTTGAAGATAGTGGGGCCGTCACTTTCCTGGCGCACAAGACTGGGCCGAAGGAAAAGGGCTTCCACGTCCCAGAAGGACATCGCTTTTCTCACGTCGCGGCCAAGGATACGCCGGTGGAAGCTGTCAAGATGTTCAACGATGCACTTGTTGGTGGTTCGCGCGGCGATCTCATGAGAGATACAGACACTCACTCTGTCCTCCTCTACTCGGACGATCGGCTCATCGCTTGGGCGGGCGTCATCCTTGAGCAAGATGTGCCGACCAACGTCGGGCCTATCATCGTAGAGTCGGAGGACACACCCATCTCGGTAGTCATGGCGCTAGTGGACGAAGTAGTGGCAACATATGCTCCACAGAGCCCAAAGGGTCTGGTGTTGAGTATAGACCATCGCTTTGGAAGCAGCAAGACATTGGATCTCTTGCTGAGCGAGAGCGGTGGGTGGAGCAAGGTCGACTTCAACCTCGTCACGATGATCAATTTCGAGAAGACTGGCAGCAGGGCGTGGTACGCAGAGCACTTCGGTCCCGAGCGGAAGAAGGATGGACCTGTACAGCTTGCATACTTCGGACTGGGCTTCTCATAGAATGTGGCAGTCTCTCGCGGCTGCCCAATATAGACACCAGAGCAGAGGTGGTCCTGGTCCCGTGTGCATCTTTGTTGACTTGGACGGAACGCGCCACGCGACGGCTCTTGCCTGGGTGCTTACGCGAAATATGTGGAGATGCAGCGCCTCGGCTCGTGTGACTTTAGGAAGATCCGGCAGTGACACCAGAGGACATATAGACCGGGGCAAGTACCAGGCCTGGAGCCCACTTCCCCCCGCCCCTGCCTTTGTCCACCATACCGACCAAACCATCATGCCAGAAGAGTCAAAGAAGAAAGAACAGCCCTCTCATGGCTGGAACGGCCCAGTGCCATCCAGCAAAGGTGGGACAGATGAAAAGGAATACATGTTCAAGGTGAGCAGCACCATTGTCGTCGACTTACCAGCCTACGCTTCACTCTGCATCTGCAACGTCTGCTGACCGCTACGCCAATCTCTTCCGTTCTCTACTGCTGCGCCTTGTCGTCTCTCTATCTAGCCGCCATACTACTGGTATAGTGACGAGTTCGAGGTGAAGTGGACTTCCAACTGCTGGTGCGGAAAGGTCAGGTTCCAGTGGGCCGGCGAGCCAGTGGACGGCAAGCACTGGTGAGTAGTGCCAATGGCATGCTGAAGGACGGACTTTACTTGCATCGATTTACTCAACGAGTTCCACATTGCTTCTTCCTTCTGACCAGCCACTGCAAGGGCTGCCAGAGGTGAGTTGTCTCATGTTTCTAAGGTGATATTCTGACCCGCAAGCTGATCACTTACTGTACCTCTGGCCCCCCTCGACCTCTCCTTTGGATCCTCAGACTTCACGGTGCTCCCTTCCAGTACTGTGTTCTGTTCCCCAAATTGGCTTGTCGAATGGACAAGGAGTGCGACCCCACCTACCTCTCCTTTTTCTCCACCCAGCGAAAGGAGAACCAGGACACGCACGATGTGCCATGCAAGGTCTCGTGCAGGCAGTGTCGCAGTCCCCTGCTCGACGAGGGACGCAACATGCGTACGTAGCGGGAAAACTCACACTGCTCGTGCGGAGGTTCTTCTTGCTGACGTCTGATTTTCTCTCTCTCTCTGACAACAGTCATGGCGTACCCCTCCTCATTCAACTTCCCAGACGGAAACGTCCCGCCGAGCTTCTCGCCATCATGCCACATTTTCTACAAGGAAGCCATCATCGAGATTGACGATGGTGTACCCAGTGAGTGACCTCTCTCCCTACAGGTACGAATCTTGATTCTCGAGCATCGGATTTCTGACAACTCTCTTCCTTGCTCCTACTTTCCTGCGCCTTCATTTCTTTCGCCTCCACTCAGAGTGGTCTGGCCACAAGGACACCTCGGAACTGATGCCCCATGCCTCGGGACACCACGGCAAGGTGGGGCACGGCAAGTCGGGCAAACAAGCGCGTGGCGAGTCGCACGATCCAGACATGGGCAACGGCAAGCCCGAAGACGGTGAGGGTCAGCAGCACAATGACGACGAGAGGGAGAAGAAGAAGGACAATGGCCCCCTTGAAAAGGATGGTGACGATGAGGGTGGAGAGAAGCAGGAAGGGGATGGTGAGAGTGGAGGTGCTGGAGGACGGAAGAAGAGGAAGACTAAGTGAACCTTTCTTCTTCCTCCTCTTTCTATTTCCTTCTCCTCTTCTCCGCCTTCTGCCTCCCTTTCTCCCTCTGCCAGCTCAATGAAGGCCGAGTCTGGAAGCACTCGACTGAAAAGTCACCTAGGACACGAGGTGGAGGAGATTTCAGGAGCATGCAATCAATGTAAAGCAATCAATCGCAATGGAAAGCAATCAATCGCATCACGCTACAATGTTGACAAGTGTTGAAGATTGAGCAAAAGGTGTCCCGTTCAAAGCAAAAGTACAATAGCTGGTGGTAACTAAAGAGACAAAGGGCAGGTATATAATGTAGCGGGTATAGCGCTGTGTGTGACAATTCATGCGAGTATTCGCTCAAGGGAAAAGTGGTGTCTCCAGGCTCATCGTCTTTCCTTAGCCCTCGCAGCTACCGCCCTCGCTCTGGCGATCAAAGAGGCATCAGCGCTCTCTTCTGCATCGGCAAATGCGTCTCCTTCGCTGGTAGAGACAACGCGTGGAAAGGGGTGGTGGTAGCGCTCTTCTGATGGTTTGCCCTGAGTGTGAGTCTGAGTCCGGGTCTGCTGCTGCTGCTGCTTGTGTTGCTGTTGTTGGTAGGAGACCTGGTGATGAGCTGCGCCTTGGTAGATCTGAGCACGGTCAGCAGCAACGATTTGGGCCTGCTGTGTTCTGCTGGTGTTGCCATTGCCGTTGCCGTTGGCTGAGCCAGAACCAGAATTGGGCATGTTGACAGGCATCTTCCAAGGCGCTGCAGGTCTAGCCATAGGAATAGCCTTGAGGGTCGCCTCTTTAGCCAAAGTGGGGACAGGCATACCAGCGACTACGCCAGCGCCAGTAACGGTGAATTGTCGCGCCTCACTCTTGAGGCTGCTTCTTCGACTGATGTGAGCAGACCCTACCTCAACGGCCGTTTCGTCCGTAGCGCCCCTGCCCTTGGTAGCAGCAGAGGAGGACGCGCTGACACTTGCGCTCGTGCTGGCATTGGCGACTTTACTCAGTTCGTAAGTGTACGCCGTCGTCTTGGATGGGCTTCGGGAGCGACCTCTGGAAGATGACTGAGAGCGGGTAGCGACAGTGGCTGCATTCTGCGCCATGACTGAAGCAGAGGAGCCTCCGGCTGAGCCTGCTCTGCCGTTGGTCAAAGTGGGTGCTCGTTGTGAGCTTTGCGTACCGAGGCGGGTGGAAGGAGCAATGGTTGCGGCATCCGTGACGCTGTGTGCGTAGCGGTGGGTGCTGTGATCGCTTGTGTCGACATTTGCATGTCCGGTGGAGGCATTTGCACGAGTTGAAGCGCTGAGAGAGCCATTGTCGAGTGAGTGTCGCGACTGGTAGGAGGCTCGTGCCTACGAGGAGATAGAGGGCGTGGGTCAATCACTTGCTGGTATCAATTCGACTATCTGCAGGACAGACTTACCCAGCTGGCGTCTTCCTTGCCAGACATATCAGTTTGATCAGCCTCCTCATAGCCATCAGCACCGAGCTCAACGTCACGGCCTTGTCCCCTTGTCAAAGGCTCCCCGCACATTCCCTCCTTCTTGATCGACGCCGGCGAAGACCTGATTTTTCTATCAGTCCCAGTACTCCTCTCAGTATCCCGTCTCCTCAATCTCCACTCCTGCCACTCATCAAGTGGAATCTGTTCTGTCCTCCAAACCTCTCCCGCACTCCTTCCCAGCTCCTCCCTCTTGACCATCTTCTTCCACTTGCGCTGAGCAAAGCTCCTCATCTCCATTCCGATAAAGCCTAGGAAGAGGAAGGAGAGGAAGAAGTAGGCGGAAATGACTACGAGGTGGACGGCGGAGGAGGCGTGAAAGTGGTTGGTGAGGAAGACGACGAGGGCTCCAAGGGCGCCGGCGAGACAGAGCGGACCGAGGACCCATAGGAGGTGTTGCCAGGGGCTGAGCACTAGGGTAATTGGCATAGGTGCTTGGATGCGCAAGGGCAAAGAGGGTGGAGGAGGGTACAGAACCGTGGCTGTTGCGACACTCATACGGTTGACGGCATCGCTAGGAGTGACTGCTTCAGTCGGAGTGCCATTGGTGTTGATGATCTTGGACTGGCGTCGATAGTCTCCGTTGATGCTGATAGGAGAAGCAACGAATGTAGCGCCCGCTTTGCTTGGGTCGTCCCCAGGCTTCGAAGCTGCCATAGAGTTGAGGGTCCCATTCGCTAGTAGAGCATCAGTGCACTCCCTGCCTTCGCAAGGTACGAGGACTCGAGGTGCGTTGCCCGGTTGGCCGCTCGGATGGACGATGATAGAGAGGCGCTCGTTCGGCCTCTTGGTGCTTTGATCGGGTGAGGTACTCATGCCAGCTGAGTCCTTGAGTGGGTGTAGGGAAGCAAAGAGAAGGAGAACTAACGAAGAACCAGGCCGCTGAGACGAGCACAGAGAGGGCTGAGCAAAGAGCACTGAGTGTGGACGACTCTTGTCCGGGTCGTGGGTCGTCAGTAGCGAGAAGTGAGTAACGAGTAGTGGTCCTGATAGCGTATAGAAGCGAACGAGGGGGCGCAAAGTCGAAGTGGTGAGTGATAAGTAGCAAAGGAAGGAAGAACATGGTGGCACTCTCCCAACCAGGTCGTCTGTACCTGAACCAGCATTGTCCTGTTACCCGGCAGTCAGACTTGCGACGCGTCACATCTGCACTTCGTTCAGTCGGTAAGATGCATGGCCTGACGCGCACCATGCATCACACAAGACCCGTCCGTCCAACCAAGGCAATTTCGACATACATCCTTGTCATTTCAAGCCAAAGCCGAATACGCACTCAGAGAAAGATAGGCGACATTTTCGAGCTGTTTGCTGAAACGACGCTTTTGGGGGTTGTATTGCAAGCAAGTGTGAGGTGAGAATGTTACAGGTAGGAGTCTTGAAGCTCTGCAGATCGCGCAGCCTGATGCCTCCAGCCTGTCCTTTTGGGTCAGAAAGAAAGAGAGCCAAGGCTTTACATGCCGCCCTGGTCACCTCCCGAAGCTCGGAGACCAGCAAAGTCGCGGAAGGAGCGGTTGAACTGGTTGCGCGGGAGAAGAGGGTCAGAAAGCATTCTTGCTCGACAAGCCATCCTGAGTCTACGCTGCCACTCACCTCAATGTCCAAAGCACGACCACCGTAGACGTAGTTGCTGAACTTGGCAATGGCAGTCTCTGCCTCCTCGACACTGGCGAACTGGACAACTCCGACACCCTTTGACCTGCCACCCTCAAAGAGGATCTCAGCCTCGTCGACCTTTCCGGTAGTCTGGAAGAGCTCCACCAAGTCCTCGTTCGAGGTAGACCATGGTAGGTTCTTGACAAAGATTTGCGTCGAGGGCTCAGCGGGAGGAAGGGCCTGCTGTTGGTAGCCGCCGCCGTGGCCACCGAATCCACCTGGGCCTTGAGGTCCACCGTATCCACCTCGACCACCGAAGCCTCCGAAGCCACCTCGGGGAGGACCAAAGCCTCCACGGCCTCCGTAGGGACCACCGAAGCCACCTCGTGGGCCGCCGAAACCTCCACCGTAGCCACCGCCGAAGCCAGCTCCACCACCAGCGAAGCGGTCCTGATGAGCAGAAACAGAGGAAGAAAGCGGTGCTCAGGGGTCAGTAACAAGCTACACGGGTCGAGACCTCTACTTGCTCGTGCTCGACTACTCACTTCTCGGACCTCGATGATCCTGCCGTTCCAGTCGAAGCCGTTGTACATCTGGATGGCGTTCTGGGCATCGTCAGGGGTAGCGAAAACTACGATACCGGAACCCTTTGGCCTGCCGTCGAAGCCCATGTTGATGTCAGCTCGGACGATGTTGCCGGCAGTCCTGAAGAGGTCCTTGAGTTCTTGCCAGCCAGCCTGGAAGGGAAGGTTGCCGATGTAGAGCTGAGTTCCTGGGGCGCCAGGTGCTGGGCCACCACCGTAGCCTCCGCCGTAGCCTCCACCGTAGCCGCCAGGGGCGCCATATCCACCACCGTATCCTCCCCTGCCGCCAAATCCTCCTCCGTAGCCACCTCGGCCACCGAAGCCAGGAGCAAAGCCACCTCGAGCACCGCCGGCAAAGCCTCCACGGCCCATTGAAGCAGGAACACCGTAGCGGGCTTCTTGCTCTCGGTCCTCTCGGATGAAGACAGGGCGACCGAGAAGTGGTGTGTCACTCAGCTCCTTGATGGCTCGCTGAGCCTCGTCAGGGGAAGAGTACTCGACGATACTAGAGCAAAGGACGAGCAGCGAAGACGCAGAGTCGTCAGCGCTGAGCACTAGCATAGGTCACAAGTCACAGCTCCCCTCTGCACTCACCCGCAACCCTTCGACATTCCGTTGGGAAGAGTCAAAACCTCTGAGAAGACGACGGTACCGACTATCGTGACCAAGTGGCAAAGGGGAAAAGGTGAGCAAATGTTTCCGAGAGAGATACGTGATGTGGGAGATTATTGTGATTGCGAGTGATGGAAGAAAGATAGATGATTGGCCCCGATGTTTACCCATTGTCAGCCATCAACTGTCCTTCTTCCATGACTCGCTGAACCATCAAATGCTCAATCACTGCCGCGGCCACTGAGATTTCGCAACGCTTCTGCCTTTCCCTGCACCCTGCAAGACGATCTGCCCTGTCCTTCCCCTGTCTCCCGCTCAAATGTCCATTTCTGCTGTCGTATGAGCTCTGCCAGGTAATTATATGGAAGCGGACAGCGCGCATGGCCAATGCCCGGATGTTGCTAGAGGCAGGGGGTTTTGCAGAGGTGTAGCGGTAATGGAGAGTGCTTGAAGAGGATGTTGCAGGTAACCACCATACCCTCGGGCGTCCGTCCGCCCACCCTATGCATCTCTCCATCCCTGGCCTACGACCTGCAACCTCCTTTGCCAGCTCTGGACCTCGTTGCCATGTGCCGAACGACTGGTGAACACCTGCTGACTCCAAGAATTTCCACAATCTCCTCTGCCTGCCGTCAAGGAAGCCGCGTAGCAACGCCTCGGCAGGCCTGTTGGGCTCAAGATCATCCCCAAACGGCTATTCGCAAGGAGCACGTGGGTCCACCAATCCCACGTCACTAACGACGCGACTGCTGAATCTGAACAATTGCCTCGCCAACGTTTCCCTGGCTCCAAAAACTGCATCCTTCATGCATACCAATGTTACGAGCCTATGCATGCGATGTCGCCAGCTGCAAACCGAGTCACCATCCAGTACCTCTACCCACCTTCCTTGCAAAAGTCCCGGAGTGTGTCCCACTTTACCTCGTAAGGGAGGTTACCAACGTAGACGCGAGCGGCCTTGTTCTGCAGTAGCGGAAAAGGGGAGTGATTCAGGGGAGGTGAGCTGTGTCCACTTGCTGTATGTGTCGGTGTTGCTTGCGATGCTGCGCTGCACCACTCACAGACTTGGCAGCTGCCTCTGCTGGGTTGGGCTGGGAAGGAGCGGCGTCGGATCCGTTTGTGACGTCCATGGGTGCTGCGTTCTCTTCACTCATGACTGATGAACTCTGTATGTGCTGGGTGATGATGCTGATGGGTGTGGTAGTTGTGTGACACGAGTAGCCAACGAGCAGAAGGACAACGAGAAGAAGCAAAAGGAAGCGTTGGAGCGGAGGATGGATGAGCAGCCACCAATGCGCGGTGGGGCGGGGCAGGCAGGCAGGCAAAGGCGTGCGCCCGTGCAGAGGGAGAGAGCAACCAGGCACAGCCAGACGACGACCCTCCAAGTTGCTCCTGTGCGGGGGACGGACGCCACTCACCTCACCTCACCGCCATGCGCATGGCAGACGTGATAACGGCCAGCATAGACGGAGAGTCAAGACAGAGTAGACATGACACGCTAAGTTTTTTCAATACCACATCCTGACTTCAGGCGACCTCGACCATGTCTCCCCTGCCTTGTGATCTTTCGCATGATCTGCGCCCCTTTTCCCCCTTGTTTTAGCGGAGTGATTGCCGATGATGGGTGCATGCAAGGCAAAGTTGAAATCGCCGCGACTTGAATCCAACACCAACGCCCTCGCTTCACTTTGCGCCGCCCATCGTCACCTATTTCTGGCGCAGGTGGTGGGTAGCCTTGACCATCTCTGCTTGCCCTGCATCCCAACTCTGAGCTTGACATCTTCATCTTCCTTGTCTAGCCACCCGCTCTTCATCTCCACGCCCAACCCATCGGACCCTCTTCCCACCGAGGCCCCTGTGGGCGCCCAAAGCCCTCTTTGTGCAGTGCAGCAAGGGCCGCCTCTTTCACCCTGCGTTGGTCCCTCCTTCCGACTTCTTCCCTTTCACCCCATCTCACCCTACAACCATGTCAGATCAAAGTCGTCGCCCAACACCGAGGATGCCTGCTGGCGCATCCACCCTCTCCGAGCGCATCGCCTCTCTACAACGCAAAGCCTCAGAGTCAGGGGCCGTAAGCGAGTCCAGTCGACCTACATCGCCCCTGATCAGGACTGGTCGAGTTGCATCCGAGGCTGCATCTCCACGCCAGATGTCTTCACCTGCATCCACATCCAGCGACATCTTTCCAAGAGGATCAGTACCAGCAGCAGGCTCTTCGCAGGCCGTGAGGGATAGGATAGCTCGCTTCCAGCAAAATGGCGGTGATCCTCTCATTCCACGGTCAAGCTTTGGCGCTCCTGCTCCGAACCCCGAGGAGAGGGGCAAGGCGCTACGGCCTTACCCTGCAGCAGGGGGATGGGCCGGTGATAGCCCAAGTCTGAGGCCACAGATGACCGGCGGTTGGGGAGGAGGTAGTGCTGGTGGAGTAGGCAGGAGTCTGATGCCTCAGGCTACCGGGCCCATCACGTGGGCAGGTCAGCGCAGACAAGGCGAGTAGCGGGAAATGTAGGACTTTGGAGCGTCGACTCAACTGACAGGACCGGCCACTTCTCTGCTCATCGCACAGCATCAAGCCCAGCCTCTGTCGGCCCTCACCATTCCATGAACCTTGCCTCCCAGCGTGATGCCTTTGCAGACCTAGACGACGAGGAGACCACCTCAGTCTCTTCATCCACCGGCTCACGACCCATTAGCTCGCATGCCACAGAGGTCGCAACGCAGGCAGCTGCCCTCAAAGGCATAAGTCTATCTTCCAATTCAAGGATGGCAAGGCAGGGCTCGACTAATTCGACTTCTTCGAGCTCCATAGGGGGATTGCCTACGTTACCTGATGTCCCCCCTGAGGAACTCTCGGCAGGGCAGATGAACGGTCATGGTGGCAGCCACGTTAGTCATAGTCGGGTCCCCACAGCTGACGATGATTCGAGCGATGTAAGTATGCAGATTCACAGGAGCACAGATTGTTCAAAGCTGATCGATGTCATCCATATCTATTCCACTATAGCTTCCCACTTTCCCCGTCCCTCCGAGCACTACCCCGAGCCTCAGCTCGACTACACTTGAATCAGGCCAAGTCTCAAATGGCAGCATTGGTCAAGCAGATGATTCTCAGATTGAGATTGGCGTAGCCGGTATAGCGCCAGAGGAGCTGGAAGCGGCTAAGAAAAGGGCTGAGACAGACGATGGACGACAGGAGGAGTTGCATGAGGATACCCGGCCCACTCTGGAAGAAGCGCCGCTCATCGTGCCACCAGCTGCCATCAGCTCGCCCTCAAGTGCGAGCCTTCAAGCTGCAAATAGAGAGGGACCGACTGAAGGACAGGCTCATTCAGAGGAGAGGAGCGCTGCGACATCGGAGCCAGTTGCTCCCACAAGCAGCCAGGGTCTTTTCGAAGGTCGGCCGGCTTCCAGCACCAATGTGGCACACCTACGACAAGAGACTCCTGCCCCTCCTCTTTCACAATCAGCGGTCGGCAATGGCCTCGGGTCCTCACCCAGCCTTCGGAGCTCCCACACTCTCTCGTCTTCGACGAGCGATGACGCGATGCCCAGAACTCCTCCTTCGAGCTCCTCGATTGCTATGAGCAGCTCGACGAGCTCTTCATCTTTTGCAGCTCAACAGGCTGCGCGAGAGGTGATTGCTGCTGGGAGGAAGAAGAGCCTGGGTGGAGGTATGACGCCGAGCAGTAGCGGAGATGTGCGATACGACACGCTGGGAAGGAATGCGGACGAAACTGTCGATGTCTCCCGGGGCGCTACGCCCGTCCCACCCAAGACCTCTGAGACAAAGCATAGCAACGGACATAGCTCAAGCCCGCGACCCTCAACCCCGCCATTTGAAGCAGCAGCAGCGAGGAAAATGCCACCGTCACCCGTCACCTCCTACAAAGTCACTCCCATCCCAACCAGGACCTCCTCAATGACCGGCTTCCCACACAGCAACGAGAAGAGTGCAGTTACGACTGCTGCTCCTGCCGCTTCCCCCACAACTACAACGAAGGCTGCGGCGAGGCCGAAGCGGACGGGTGGTGGGTCGATTAGACGACCACCTCCGGGCAAGATGCTCAATCTGGCCGATCTGGACGCTAGTGATGATGAGTATGAGCCAGGATGGGCGAATGTGATTAGCTCGACTCGATGAGAGGCGGAAGAAGTGGGTGGAGATGTATAGGTGGATGGATGTACGATGGCAGAGTTACCAAGCTGGAGATTGGAGCAGACAATAGAAGAGGAGAAGCAGAAGCAGGGACAGGGATAAGGGTGGCTGCAGTCCGATCCCTTTCCATCTTCTCATTACACTACTCGGTTTCCAGACCACAATGATACCTATTCTCTTTCACTTCCACCTGCTTGATTATGAGACCTTCGCAGTGTGACGCAATCTCAGCAAAGGAAATGTCTGCCGAGGATCAAGGGGCTTCAATCAAGGCATAGCAGTCCATCAGGGTCCACCCAATTCAAGCCAAGCCACCCATGAGGCAGTGTCGTCCCTCGCCTGTGCCTGTGCCATGTGGCCCTGCCCTGCCAAGCCGGCCCGGCCCCCGCGCGCGCTCCGCTCCGTGCGTGCGTGCATGGCCACACACCCCGCTTATAGATGGAGGTTGGACACGGCCCTATCGCTCCCTCACGGCTCGACTCCTTCCTTTCCTGCCCAATTCTCCGTACCACAACTATCGATCGCTCCCTTCTAGCCGTTGAGGACCTGACTGCTTCTGGAGCAAGTGAGCTCACAGAGGTATTCATCATCCAGTCAGGCAGCCTTCGATTCTCTGAGGAGCATTGCTACGCTTGCCACGGCGCGATACAACTGGCCAACATCCAGCTCGATCAATCAGTCGGAGATCTCGACGTAGCCAGCTCATCCCTCCGAAGCGGCATCACCCACCATCCTGACTCACCACCGCAGCTTTCCCGACCCATCGAAGCAAAATGGCCATTTCGAAGAAAGCCGGCAAGAAGATCCTCGGCGCCTCGGGGGGTGGAGCAGCCGGTGGCTCCTCCTCCAAGGCTCCTCCGCCCAAGAAGGGTGGCATTGCCAAGGCTGATTGGCGAGAAGGTATGAAGAAGCCACAGGCGGGCGTTTCAGATATGACACTTCTGAGTAAAGTGTCGAATGAGGCAATCAATGATAATTTGGAAAAGAGGTTTGCGAATGGGGAGATTTATGTGAGTAAGTTGAGGTGGTATTTGGAGGACGGGGAGAGGGGGGAGGCGTTGGATGGAATCGTATGGAGGGACCGGGCCATACTTACTCCCTTTTGTATCTCCTGCCGCTCACCCTCGCTCTTCTTTGTCAGACGTACATCGGCAATGTCCTCATCTCCGTCAATCCCTTCCGGGATCTCGGCATTTACACAGAGGAGGTCCTCCGGTCCTATCAAGGCAAGAACCGACTCGAGATGACTCCACACGTCTATGCCATTGCCGAAGGAGCCTGGAAGAACATGACGGATTATGGACAGAACCAGTGTGTGATCATATCGGGAGAGAGTGGAGCTGGTAAGACTGAGAATGCAAAGAAGTGAGTAAATGATGGGAGAGAGCTGAGCAATGCATGTAGAGACTTACCTGGCCACGCCGGCCCTGCCCATCTTAGGATCATGCAATTCGTGGCAGCCGTATCAGGCAGCACAGGATCTGCACAGGCCGTCAATGAGATGGTCCTCGCGACCAATCCTCTCCTCGAATCATTTGGAAACGCCAAGACGATCAGGAACAACAACAGTTCTCGATTCGGCAAGTACCTCGAGATTGCCTTTGATGGGCATGGCCAGCCGGTCGGATGTACTATCACATCCTTCCTGCTGGAGAAGAACCGAGTGGCTTCGCAAGGCCGGGATGAGCGTAATTTCCACATCTTCTACCAGCTCGCAAAAGGCGCCACAGCTGAGCAGAGGGATACTTTTGGTGTTCAGGGGCCAGAGACGTACGCTTACACGAACCAGTGCCTGAATGTGCCGGGCATCGACGATGTCGCCGACTACAAGGAAACCGTCGAGGCAATGAGAGTCATCGGACTCTCGGCGCAGGAGCAGAGTGATATCTGGCGCATGATCGCTGCCATTCTCTGGTGTGGCAACATTTCCTTTGTGGAGGACCAGCAGGGAAACGCCGCCATCGCCGATGAGGGAGTGACGGACTTCCTGGCCTACTTGTTGGAGGTGGACAGCACCTCGATCAAGAAGGCGATTACCGAGAGAATCATGGAGACGCAGAGAGGTGGGCGCAGGGGATCGGTGTATGAGGTCCCGCTCAATATCGCTCAAGCATCCGGAGTCCGTGATGCTCTTGCCAAGGGCATCTACAACAACCTCTTCGAGTGGATTATCAAGAGGGTGAACGTCTCCATGGAAGCCAAGGCTGCATCAGACAATGCGATTGGAGTGCTGGATATCTACGGATTTGAAATCTTCGACCACAACTCCTTTGAGCAGCTCTGCATCAACTTTGTCAACGAAAAGCTGCAGCAAATTTTCATTCGTCTTACCCTTCAGCAAGAACAGCAGGAGTACGACGATGAAGGAATCAAATGGACACCGATCACGTATTTCAACAACAAGGTCGTGTGTGACCTGATTGAGGAGAAGAGACCACCGGGTATCTTTGCTGCTCTCAATGATGCCTGCGCTACAGCCCACGCTGACCCTTCGGCAGCCGATGGCTCTTTCTCCCAGCGTCTTGGTGCCTTGTCATCAAATGCGCACTTCGACTCTCGAGGCAGCAAGTTCCTCGTCAAGCACTACGCTGGAGACGTGATGTACACTGTTCAGGGCATGACGGACAAGAACAAAGATGCACTGCTCAAGGACATTCTCAACCTCGTCGATTCGTCGCAGAACCAATTCTTGCACACCTTGTTCCCGGATCGGCCTGACCCTGACAGCAAGAAGCGTCCTCCTACAGCTGGTGACCGTATCAAGACATCTGCTAATTTGCTGGTGGACACTCTGATGAAGGCGCAGCCATCCTACATCCGCTGTATCAAGCCCAATGAGAACAAGTCGTCTACCGAGTACGACAAGGGCGCTTGTACCCATCAGGTCAAGTATCTCGGTCTGCAGGAGAATGTACGAATTAGGCGTGCTGGATTCGCCTATAGGAACACCTTCGATCGAGTCGTGCAGCGCTTCTACCTGCTCAGTCCCCACACCAGCTACGCTGGGGAGTACACGTGGACGGGTGATGCCAGGAGTGCTTGTGAGCGTATCTTGAACGACACGGGAATCCCTAGGGAGGAATGGCAGCTCGGTAGAACCAAGGCATTCATCAAGGCTCCCGAGACGATCTTTGCCCTCGAGACGATGAGGGATCGCTACTGGCACAACATGGCTGCCCGTATCCAGCGCGCTTACAGAGCGTACTTGAGATACAAGGACGAGTCGGCCAGGAGGATCCAGGGCATGTGGATGCGGGAGAAGAAGGGCATTGCGTTTGCCCAGCTGCGACAGTACGGTCATGATGTCCTGGCTGGAAGGAAGGAGAGGAGGAGATATTCTTTGCTTGGATCTCGTCGATTCCTGGGAGACTATCTGAACGTCAACGGCGCTTCGCCAGAAGGCGAGATGTTGCGGAGGGTCTCCTCCATGGCTTCTTCCGAGACGGCCGCATTCAGCAGTCGCGTGCAGCTCTTGGTCTCCAGGCTGGGCCGCTCCAGCAAACCATCGCCTCGCTTCCTCATCTTGAGCGAAAAGGCGGTCTACATCATCGTCACCCAGCTGGTCAACAAGCAAGTGCAGACGGTCCTCGAGAGGAAGATCAACATCAATGCGATCAGCGCTGTTGGGGTCTCGTGCCTGCGTGACGATTGGGTCGTGCTCAACGTCAATGGAACTGAAGAGCCAGACCCAGTCTTCCACTGCTACTTCAAGACCGAGTTCATCACGCATCTTCTGCAGCGCTCGAATGGCAGTGTAAGCCTGCGGGTGGACAACAACTTGCAATTCAGGAAGAAGAAGGACAAGATGGCCACGATTACATTCAAGAAGGACGAGATGATCAAGCCCGGAGAGGACGATGTGTATAAGAGCTCCACTGTCTCTGTGCCCAGTGGTGAGCCTCCCAACAGTCAAAGTCGACCTGCGCCAAGGAAGAAGCCGGGGCTCGTGCGACCGATCACCCAAGGCAAATTGTTGAGACCCGGAGGTCCCTCGAAGCCTCGCCCTGGCGCTCCCAGGGCCGTTGCTGCAAAGACACTGCCTGGCTCTGCGGCTGGTGGCAGAAAGACGACTGCAACTACGCCCGCTCCTCCTCCTGCCGCTGCAGGCATTGCCAATGCCACTCCTCTGTCTAATCCAGCAGGTGGAGCAAAGAGAGCCTCGGCTGGCGGTGCAGCTCCTCCTCCTCCTCGTCCTCCCCCGGCTCCAGCAGCCGCGCCCGAAAAGCCTATGTACAAGGCTCTGTACGACTTTGACAGTGCCAACGAGGGCGAGATGGGTCTCACAAAGGACGAGTTGGTCGAGGTGACGCAGAAGGACGATGCAGGTGGCTGGTGGCTGGTGAAGAAGGGAGACATGGAAGGCTGGGCGCCTTCGACCTATCTGGAACTCGTACCGCCGAAGCCAAGGGCGGCGCCTGCTCCGCCTCCAGCAGCCAAGAGGGCTCCTCCCCCACCAGCTGCTGCAAGCGCTAGTGCGGCCGCTCCCAAACCTTCTGGTGTATCTGGAGCAGCCTCGCGTTTTGGCAATGGCAACGGCAACGCCAACGGCAACGGTGTTCCAGCGCCTGCCCTCAACAGCAAGCCCAAGCCTGCCCCAGCCCCGACCCCAGCAGCAGCAGCAGCAGCAGCAAAGCCGAAGCCCTACGAGAGGCAAACGGCCATGACTGCCGACCCGGACTCGGCGCCGCGTGCAGTCATGCCAGGTATGGGTGCTCCGGGCGGATTTGCGGAGCTACTGGCAAAGAAGAAGGCCGAGAGGGCTGCTGCTGAGGGTGGTGGTGCGAGCGGTGGTGGTAGTGGAGCGAGTACACCCCCCACGGGAGGAGCTAATGGCGGTGGTGGAAGAGGAGGACCTCCACCCATTGCGCCTAAGCCACCTGGGAGGGGAACGGTCAACGGTAAGGCGCCGGCGCCGCCTCCTCCCAAGAGGTGATGTGGAGAGTGTATGGGATAGGATGGGATAGGGTGGGGAAGAAGTGTGCGATACGAAGAAAAGGGTTACGATTGTGTGCGTTACTCGTGTTGCTAATGAGACAATAGACTTGGCATGGATACATGTGATATGCTCTGTGCGACGAGATGGAGTGCAGTACATTTCGCCGCTGGCACAGGTGGAGCAGAGGAAACAAGAGGAAGCGTCAGTCTCGAGGTCATCGTTACTCGTACCGGATCTGAACATCCCAGAAGCCTGGTAACTTTCCCGCTCCTTCTTTGTGCCCTCCAAGTCTCTCTCGCACTCGACTCAGCTTGCAAACTAATATAGACAGGTGCACACACTTCGATCTCCAAGCTTCGCCCACCCCGTCTGCACGCAAATCCTCGGGCGAAGATGTGAGTGAAGGGGGGAAGATGAGGGGCCAAGTTCGATTGTGCCAATTGCTGTGGATGAGGTTGTCATCGCGGTCGAAGCGGAGACGCCTCCTTGCCTTGCTTGCCGCAAAAGACGCCATACATAGCCCTTCTCCTTGTCTTGATCAGAGTGGGTACTCACGAGCATTCTCAAGACCGGCACGCCTCCGCCTCGGTCTTGACCTCAGGCAGCTACCGCTCTGGCTTGGCTACTCGACCAGCTAGCTGGTCAGCTATGTAGCCATCCCAGCTTTGCCTTTTTCCTCTCCCTCTTCCTCTCCTTGAATTCCTGCACCTCCTTCTTGCTCGGATGTCGATTTCCCTTTCCCCTCTTCACCCCTGCATAACCCGCGCCCGATTCATCAGCTAGGGCCTGAACCTGGGCGGCGTGCTCGGCCTCACGCTGCTGCTCCCAGGCTTCAACGTCGAAGTAGGCCGACATTTGACGCTTGGCCTTGCTCGTCTGGGAGAAGCGGGACTGAGGATCGCGATCTGCTGCTAGCGAGGCCGAGCCTGAGGAAGCAGCTGAAGAGGCAGCCATGCGCAGTTGCGAGGCGTACAGAGCCGGATCGAGGTGCGCTAGCTCGGGGTCGATGCCTGCTTGTCGGGCGAGATCTTCCTCGCTGAGCATTTCTGGCTGCTGTTGCTGCTGTTGCTGCTGAGGGACAGCCGACGTGCTCGCTCTTGGATTCGAGGCCGCGCCCGAAGCCGACGAGGAGCCTTCCTCTTGTAAAGGATTCACCCAAGTCGTCGTATTTGTTTGGCTGTTCCAGAAGTAGTAGGCGTTATGGGCTGGTGACCACACTGGAAGAGAGGAATAAGAGAAGAGAAACATCTCTCTGTAAGGCGAGGGGTCATGGTGTCTGTCTTCGAAGCGAAGGATCGCTTACTCACCTGCTTGCCATGGATGCCCTTCTGCCTGCGGGGCCTTCTCGTCATTTGCCGCTTGTGTGCTCGAGGTCGATGCGTCAGACTCCTCAAATATCTCTTGCCGCTGCGACACAGACTTCTGTGCAGATGAGGAGGATGCCTTCCCGTCTCCTTCCGATGTCCCGTCTTCTGCTGTCTCATCATCTCCATTGTGACCGTCCGCTACGATTGAAGGCGATGCCGCTTCTTTGGACAATGGGCTGGGACTTCGTGAGGAGCTCCGCTTTCGGGACGAGGAAGATGAGGCAGCGCCTTGTGCGGTCTCGGCCCGTAAGGTTGATGAAGAGGGCTCAGGTGAGGTCATGTTGGTGACTGCAATGCTCTCGCGTACATCGAGGCAGTCGTCTGTGTCTAGGTATAGCACTACAGGGTGCGGAAGTAGGTGAGTCAGTCGGTGCGAGGGTTTCCGTAAGCCTCCGGTCGGACTTGATGCACGGCCGCGTCTCTCGTTGCTCGTGCGTCGTCTGCCCTGATCACTCGATCATGCAGGCCAGGGCGTACCAGGCACAGCGGCCAGGTACCATACCGTCAGCGCAAAAGGTCAGGGCAGGTACGATCCCTTGCAGCCGGGCGATGTACGTTGCTTTTACTCTCAAGAGGCAGTATAAGAGCCCTCGCTGGCACGCCTTTCGTCTCTCGAACCACCCGTGTCCCATCTCTCCACCCCATGACCCACTGGGTGGACACCTCTCGACAGGACTCACCGTCTTTCGTTGTCACAGAACACAGCACAAGAGAAGTTTTACACACTCGAGAGCTGGAGGGAAAAGATGTATGGCTCGCTTCTCAGCCCCTTGAGAGTAGCTCAACTCTCATGGCAATCGCTATGGACCCTGCCCTTTCCTATCACGTCGTCGTTGAGAAACGCACGGAAGGCGTACCCTCAACTTACGAGCCAGGCACAGCAGCCAGGAAAAGCGTTGCAGACAGTGGCGCTTTCATTGCCCGATCTGGAATGGAAGGAAAGTCATCCAAGACCATCTGGCAGGATTGCAAGCGCCATCTGGAAGACATGGCAACCATATGGGACGCCTTCGTAGCTGCCCGTCCCGAGGGAGCATTGCTTTCTGACCCGTACCTACGTGTGCCGGGAAGCACCATCTTTGTGGACCAAGGTGACAGCGAGGAGCAGTTCAATGGCAAGATCGGCGAGTCGTACATGCGCCTTGTCAATGTCATCTTGAGCAAGCTCCAGGAGGCTTGCGCATGGTGGGCTGAACAAGCATCGACATCAGCCTCTGCAAAAGGCAAGGCCAAAGCCCGTTCAGACGTTGTGCTGCCTCTACCTGCAGATCTGTCTGTACGAGTACAGGCCACTAGCTACCGCAAAGCTTTGAATGCGGAAGATGTGTCACTCCCGGCTCTCAGCGCGCTTCAGGGCAAAGCTGAACCAGACTTCATGGTTGTCTGCCACAAGGACATCATTGCTACGATTGAGAGCAAGCCGGAATTGAAGGCCAAGGATACTGGTGTACTGGTACAGGATCGAGCGAGCCCTTGTGGCACTGAGAGGGGCACCACGCAGAAGGTGCCTAACGATCGGTGGGCAAAATTGCTCTTCCAAATCACCTCGCAGTCATTGGCGGCCAAGGTCTCCACCGGCCTACTAGTGACTGACTGGGCAAGGATCCTTCTTCCATACGATGTGCATTCGACTCCAGTCGAAGACGCAAAAGAAGAAGGACCTCCAGCAGTGTCCACTAGGAAGCGCAAGCGCGAGCAGCTCACCGCCAAGCAGGGTGCAGAGGGTCAAGGCACAGGGCCGAGCAAATCTGACCTGAGCATTGTATTCTCCTCGACAATCTCCCACTGCGATGCACAGCGGAAAGATTCGCTGGCGGCTGCCCAGAGGGAGGGTCAGGAAGGGCTCGACGGCAAGTGTTCTGGAGAGCTCGAATTCACGAGTGATCCCAACACTGCTATGTTCATGGTTGCCTGGATCCTCAGAGCCTACAGCCTCCACGTCAAGAGGCGCGCGCTCTCTGACCTTGAGGATGTCCAAGAAGGGCAGCCGGGAGGCTTCGATCGGCGGGACGATGAGGAAGCGCCGGGACCCTCTTCCCAGCGAGGCAGAGATACAAAGGCTGGCCCTGGCGAAAGGTCGTCTGCTCAGGCAGCGCAGAGCCGTCAGGGTTCTTCCACTACTTCTCATGCGCCGGCTACGGGTCAGAGAAGTCATCGCCGTCACTCTGCCCCACTTTCGGCCCTCGTCGATGCACTGCCTTGCATCAACACCTATTTGGCATGTAATGGCCCTCTCAGAGGGGGCACCTTTGCTACTCTCCACTGGTGTTTCGTCGACTCGGAGTATCTGAAGACTGGCAGCCCGAGCTTCCGGGAAGGAGGTAAAGAAGTCTTGGGGGGCCGCATTGGCTTCCCGAGCTCAAGTAACCCTCCTGGTCAGACTGCTGCTATACTGAAGATTCAGAGAATACCGTTCACTGACCAGGAACGAGGGGCTCCACCAGAACCGCGGTTTGAGAGGGGCCCCGGTGCTCAACGTCCGGACAAGGAGGAGAAAAAGGACATCCGAGAAAGAGCAGAGCGCGAGGTCTCTGCTTTCCAACACTGCAGGGACCTGCAAGGCGTCTATATTCCCAAGCTGTATGGCCTAGTCTCGCCGCGGAATGAGCCAGTATCCAGTGCGAATAAGCTGATGATGCAGTACATTGACGGCCAAGCTCTCGGAACTACTCCCGAAGGGCTCATTTACTTGTGGCGCATGGAGATCATGGCTGGTGTACACGATGCCTTCCGAGCACTTCATTCTAGGGGCCTCGTACACGGAGATGTCAGCAACAACAACGTTATGTTGGAGTGGAAAGTTTGGCAAGACGCACATGTTCAATCAAGCTCGTCCAAGACTGTCTCCTCTCAAGAAGTCCGAATGCATTTGCAAAAGGCGCTGGAGCACATGGGTACGCACGACGATAGTCTGACCACCTACACCAGTAAATCCGCGGGCATCATGGCTCTGGGATGTCGTAAAGCTGTGGACCCCAGCGATGTCCCTGCGAATGTCGGCACGTCCCCTTCGCCTCTTGAAAGAATCAAAACGACGTACACCCCACGTGTATGGGTGGTGGACTTTGCTGATTCCAAGATCTTCAAGGCAAGGCAAGGAAAGAAGGCGATTGCACTCGAAGACAAGGAGGTGCAGAGAGGTCTGATCGACTACATCCAGAAAATAGTGCAAGAAATGGCACAACAAGAGACCAACCCTTACTCCTTTGCCGAAGAAAATTGGAAGAGAGCGGTGGTAGAAACTCAGGACAGAGCAGCAGCGGGCGAGGGAAGGGATGGTGGGGAGGAAGTCTGAGGTGGTGACAAGAGGGGCTTTCAATTGCATTTGTAATTTTTCAACCGCATCAACTGTCCATCGATCATCACAAATCAGGGCTCAGCGCACAGCGTGGCCGAAAGGTATAGGTGTGATCCTCATCTACACTCGAATTGCGACTCGTCATCATCAAGTACACTTAATTTCAATTTCTACTCGTCGTCATCCTCTATCGAGAAGAGATCTTCTCCCTTTCTGACAGGCGGCTGTTGCTGCTGAGCAGGTGAGGGTTGTGCATCTCTCGTGGAGGTGGGCAAAGCGATCCTCCCTTCTCTCCCGCCTCCTCTCCTTCCTGCATCATCATCCCGAGAAGACCAAGGGTCTTCCAAATCGAATCCTCTGGCCTGCGCTCCCCCTCCTCTCCTCCAATCTCCCGCCCCTCCCTCTTCCTCCTCCCCCTCACTTCCTTCGCTGAGCAACTCTCCCATCTGGTCAAAATCGTCTTCTTCCCCTCCTCCCTGTCTAACACTGGTATAAAGCCTCTTCAACTCCCTCCTCTTCTTCCACTCTCCCTCACCCCACATGGCCAGCGCCAACCCCAATCCCCCACCGAGCAAATTCGCAAGTATATCTCCCCAATCGAAAATCTTGTACGGTAGGGCTCCCTGTACAAATTCGCTCAGGATGCCTCCTACGCCTAGGCAGACCACTCCGGTGAATATGGGTGGGAAGAAGCGCAGGAGGGGTGTGTGGGAGAGGGTTGAGGAGGGGAGGGAGAAGATGAAGTAGAATAGGAGGGTGGAGAGGAAAAAGGAGAGAAAGTGGAGGGATTTGTCCGGGATTGGGAGCCCACCGTTGGGTGAAGGAGAGAGGCTGCGAATGGTAAAGTGAGAAGGAAGGCCGAGGTAAAGTGTCAGTAGCTGCTGTCTGCCGCCCATATCTGACGAGCTCCTTCGTAGCCTACCCACCCTAGAAAGCCGAGCATGATCAAGCATACGAATGTCAAGAAGATCATCGCCGGCCGTACCCTGACCGGTAAAGTCAATCTGCCATCTCTGCTCAGGGGTACAGCAACTGATCGCGTCACGAGGGAGCGCAGCAGTCGTGGTCGAGTATTGTGAGGTGGGGGTGGAGGAGAGAGGGAGAAGAGCTGCTTGAGGGATCCTAGGTAGCTGTCGGGTCCTTGTGCCCTCGTTGGTAGTCGAGGTGGCATGGTGGACACCCGCAGCACTCCGAGAGTGTGTGTAAGTGTGAAGACTAGGGGAGTAGAAGAGGAAGATGTTAGACTGGCGTTGCGGGGTAGAATGAGGGATCCTTGGGTGGAGTGAGTGCCAAGGTGATCTGTGCTGGCGGGCCTTGAATGTGACTTTGGCCGCGCAGCTGTTGACCTTCTTCCGTACGGCGCTGCTTCCGCTTCACCAGAACCAGATCTTCGCATACAAGCACACCTCGAAGATCCACACCCACACCAGCAGGGTGATACTCGCGAGCCGCAGTCATGCTGTTCCTTTCGCCTCTGGGGTGTCTGCCCTCCACCTCCAAGGCCACGCTCGGGTCCTCTTCTGTGCGGGCGTGCTGTGTACCTCCCCCGACTCGGCATCAAGTTCGCAGACGGGTGATCTCCGCGACCTCTACGAGGAGCCTACCCAGAGCGTCTGCTGCCAGCTGGTGCAATTCATCTAGAAACTTCAGCTCGTCCGCTTACAGAACCTCAGCGATCTCGGAAGTCTCTTCCGCCAGCCCGCTCCCACCCTCCCTTCGCGCTCGCATCGAAGCCTACCTCCAAGCTCAAAGGGGCAAGGCATCAGAAGCAACTTTCCCCTCTGATCAGCAATCCTTCATCGCGCGAGTCATAGGCATTCGCAAACACTCCAAAGTCACCTTTTTGAGCGTAACAGATGGCTCGACATCCTCTTCGACATTACTCCAGGTAGTTCTGACGGCAGAATCGTACGATGCCGTGGATCGGGAGTGGAAGGAGAAGGGTAGACCGCCATTGGGAGTGGCTGATACGGTGCTGCTCACGGGGACCTTTGCGGTTCGGAGTAGACAACAGGGCACTGTAACAACGTCTTCAGCAATCGAATTTAAGGTGGAACAGTGTACAGTGCTTGGAAGTAGTGATCGCGAGGTAAGTAGGCAGGGGTCCCGGGTAGGAGGGCTCAGGCGGTAGGGCGCCTCTTCGAAATGAGTACTGAATTCCATCGCCTTGTCATGATCCAGTCATCGCCGCTCTTACAAAAGCCGGGCAACGACGCCGCATCAGTTAGCGGAAACAATGCACAACGCCAACAACCCCACCTCCGATCCCTCCTCCCAGGGCCTGCTGCGACAATGCGATTCCGAAGTCGTCTGGAAATGGCCATGGCGAGCTTCTTTGCACAGCACGACTTTATTCGCACAACCCCGCCCATCATGACCGCCAGTGACTGTGAAGGCGCAGGAGAGGTGTTTCGTGTCGTAGACGGAAGCCACGAAACGACTGCTGCTACTGGGGACAAGGAGAAGCAGGAGTCGAGCCCAGCATACCTCACAGTATCCACGCAGCTGCACCTCGAGGCACTCATGCTCGGTCTCTCAAGGGTGTACACCTTCACGCCTGCTTTTCGAGCAGAAGATTCGGATACCAACAGGCACTTGCGGGAGTTTTGGATGTGCGAAGCAGAGCTGGCCACACGGGGGGAGAGTGCAAGTGAGGAGCTGGAGATGCTTATGACTTTTGTGGAAGACTTGATCAAGTCGGCAGCAAGCACGGCTTTTGGTGACGCCTTTAGCGCCGTGGAGGCCGCGGAAGGGGGGGCTGAAGCAGTCTCGACGCCTTACTCTACCGAAAGCGATGTCAGCCCTAATGCTACGGCTACCCTGGACGCCCTATATCTCTGGGGCTTAGAGGCAGAGCGACGACGCTCCCCGACGACAGACGAAACCAAGCTCTCTCAGCAGGACCGGCGTCGCGCCCAGCTCTCTAGCTTCGGCACCTTCGCCTCAAACCTCTCCCCCACCACCCGCTGGCCACGCATCACCTATACCGACACCCTGAAACTTCTAGAACGCAAGCACGCCTCCAAGCACCCTTTTCTCCGCCCTCCACCAGTATGGGGCGAAGGCTTAGGGTCGGAGCACGAGAAATGGCTCTCAGAGGAGCACGTGGGCGGACCAGTCTTCGTGGTGGACTATCCTGCCTCTAGTAAACCCTTCTATATGCGTCTTGCCAAGGAAGAAGAAAAGGAGGAGCATCAAGGCAGAGAGATCGTCAAGAATTTCGACCTCCTCGTTCCACACATTGGCGAACTCGTCGGTGGCTCACTTCGAGAAGACGACCCCTCTATTCTCCTCTCCCGTCTAAAATCTCTACATCTCCTCCCTTCTAATGCAACAGCAATCCCCCAGGAGCATCCCTTGTATTGGTATGTGGAGGAATTGAGAAAGAATGGATTGGGTCCTCATGGAGGATTTGGAATGGGAGTGGAGAGATTGGTTGCTTGGATGGCGGGGAGGGGGAGTGTTAGAGAGTGTATTCCTTTTCCGAGAGTGGGGAGAAAGGTTAGATTTTGAGGACTTGGAGCCCGATAAAGGGAAGAGACTAGAGGGGAAAACAGAGAAGTGCAATTTGTAGACTACAAGGGAACCATTCATTCCCTCCGGCATCATCAACATCACACATCACTCGTCACTCATTCCTGGTGTGTCAAGGAAGCTATAGAACAATAAGAGAGCCAAGCCAAGTCCAGTCTCTACTACACAATCTCCACCATCACCACTACTGCCTTTGCTTAAAATTGCACAAAGTCCGTGATCCTATCGCGGGCGCCTTGGGCGATGCATTCTGCGATCCATGTGATGGAACGGATCTCTTGCTCCTTGAGCTGCGTGGAGACGAAAGAGAGGGACAAGGGGTTGAAGGGATCAGCATGGGAGTGGTGGGCATGGATTCATGTACGAGCGACTGCGACTCACCTTCAGCCATGCGTAAAAGGGCGAATAGTTGAACTGGCAGATTGTTTCCAGCTTGTTCACTGCAAAGCATAGAGCGACAGCAGAAGAGGGTCAGCTACTCTTCTTCACCCTTTCGAGCCTTGAGCTGAGCACTCACGTTTTGTCTCTTCCCTAAACATCTTTCCCTCGAGCTCCTCAACCTCACTTCCATCCTCGCCACTACCACCACCCAGTCCTCCATCCTTCCACCAATTCTTGTACTCTGGGATATATTCGCATACCTGCTTTACCTGGTCCACATCGTCTGCCCTTGCCAATGCATTGTTCCCTGCAGGGTAGAGCTTGCCAATGGATGGGAAGAGCTTGGCTCGCTGCTCTTTTGAGAGAGAGGTGCCAAAGGAGTTGAGTGTGATGTTGATCGTACGACGGTCCGCTTCAAAGGAGAGAAGAGTGCCCATGGCTTGAGCGGTGGTTCCCCCAAGGGATTGGGTGAAGTTGTAGAAATCCTCAAGGTAGGCCTTGTAGAGTGTGTTTCTGATGATCTCAATGTTCAAATCATCGAGATCGTGGGCGGAGAGACAGTCTTTGAAGTAGCCTGCTAGGGGCGTGTCCACGACGACGGAATTGTAGAGCTCCTCGACTGTATTAGCCACACATAGGGCGGGCATGCCGTCAAAAGTGCCCAGCGGGTGACAACGGTCCAGCAGCTCGTGGGTGTCTCGCTCGTGGAGTGTACCGGTGATGAGGAGGATGAGATTGTCAATCATGTACCCATAGGTCATGTACTCGAGGAACCTAGCCAATGTCCCATCCTTGGGGGCATTATCCTGCAGATACCTGAATTCTCCCACCAGCTTCCCCGTTGCCTTTTCAGCGATGACTGAAGTGGTGAGGGGAGGTTGTTCATTGGCGAGGAAGTTTCCATAGTCGGTGGCGGAGAGCTGCATACGGAGATCATCTAGGGTCTCGCATTGGGAGAGGGACGAGTAGATGTGGGTGGAGAGGAGCGAATTGCGGTAGCCTCGCACTACGCCTTCGAGGTAGCCCGCAGAGGCATTGAAGGTGAGCATCTCCATGGTGGGCGAGCTGATAGGAGTAGCAGCGGCCAAGTAGGTGATGATCAAAGGGTAGATTAGGATCGGATCGGATGGTAGACTACCGAGGTGATGGAGATGGTCAGGCAATGGGTGACGGCAGTGGAGCGGAAGACCAGGCGCATGACGGACGACGGACGTCGGACGTCGCTCGCCCCGCCCAGCCCAGCCACCGCGCAACAGATGGCCGAGGTGGTGCCCTGTGCGAGGCGAGGCCACACTTGGCTCAGACCTGCCCCTGCCTCGTGCGACTGCATGTACAGAGGGGACCATACAGCAACGCTGTGCCTGCGCAGCCCTTCAAGGAGGTTCATACCAGACAGCAAAGCATCTGCTCGGATCCGCGGACATGCCGACCTGCGTGACAAGTCCTCTCAAAGCCGCCGATGACGGACTCAGGATCGCAGCTCTGCAATCAGCGATGAGATGAGCGACTTGGCAGCCACTGCCGCACGAAGTGGCTGGCGGAATTAAGCTGATGCTGCCCACTTGCAATGACCATACCAGGGTGTGCATACCACTCTGACCCTCCCAACAGCACGATGGCAGTCGTTGCCTCGAGGCCGAATGTGATCATTAGTGTGGTGATTGGCTGAATGTGACATTGCTCCCTTTATTGGACGGATCACAATGGCAGATGCCTCACCCGCGCCCTGGTCAGGCACACAAGGGTCACCCGCACGCCTCCGTGCCGCATCGCGTCCGCAAAGGCTTCCACTCAAGCGAGCAAAGGCGATCGTCGATAGCAGCCTCACACTACATCACATTCCCTCTTCTCAACACCCTCACCTTTGCTACGCCTGCACATGCTCCACCTGTCCAAGATGGACTGGGCGCACCATCATCGCAGGACCTCCGCAGCCAGCGTCTTTCCTGACGCAGCATCGCCGTCCTCACCCGTCTATCCGGCTTCTTCCTTCAGTCGCAGCGCCGAAGTATACTCGCAGTGCAGCCCCAATGACAGCAGCGACGTGTTCACTTGCAGTCCACCATCCCCCTTCACCACAGCCTCCCTCTCTCACCATGCCAAGGTACAGCACCGCATCTCTGGCTCCACTGTGCGCTCCTCGATGAGGTCCACTCCCTCTCGAGGAAGCGTAAGCGATTCAAAGGGTCTCCTCGCCTCGACGCCCCCGGCTACCGCCTCCGGCCTGATCCGGAGAACCAGCAGCGGCAGCGCGTCCGTCGCGTCCATTCGAGCCACCAGACAGATCTCGGGACCCATCTTCACAAGTGCATCCAATGGCATCGACCTCACAGCAGCCGAGGCGCAAGAACAGCGAAGGAATTCGCTCTCGGACAGCAGACCTTCGAGTCTCAAGCTCGGGCCCGCTTCGCCCCTCGCTACCTCGCCCGAGAGCAGTAGCATCCCCCGCCGCGGCCGACTTTTGTCGACGGCATACGAGGAAGACGCACAGCCTACGACGCCGCGCCATCGCGACAATAATGCTCCCCTCAAGAGCAAATTTTCACAGTCACCTGCGCCGACGCCTGCTCCCAAGCCGATTCCAGTGCCTCAACGATTGGACTTTCTTCGCAAATCCTTCAGCGATCGAGCCAGGCCTGATGTCAATGCATTCTGTGAAGGCACCGAGGGTCCCAGAAGCGCGTCACCTACCTTTTCCATCAAAGCTCGTACGCGAAAAGTTTTGGGTGCGCTCAATGTCAACATCCCCAGAGGGCTAGTCGATCCAGCCATTGCAAGTCCCTCTACGCCAATATTTCGCGATGACAGACACGCTAACGAGCGTCCTGCACAGGATCACAATCGACGCTACTCGGCAAACGCACTCGCTCAAGCAGGACAAACTCTTGAGCTACCTCAGGCTATGTCCTTCTCTCCTCAAGAACGCCATTGGCCAGCATCTGCTGGTCACATGCCCATGAGCTGGCCTCACGACGAGAAGGCTGCTGAACGAACCAATAGCTCGTCGAGCGGCAAACCACCGGTGGAACATATGGGAGGTCTGAGGAGAGCAATGTGAGTAACAGCCTCAACGAAGGTGCAATGACCACCATCGCCGAAGCTCACGTCCTCCCTCATCTAACATCACTGTCGGATACACAGGCACAAGTCCACGTCGCGATTACGAAGCAGACTAGGAAGCAAGCCACCTCCAGCTGAAGCGTCACAAGATTCTGCCTCGGTACCTTCCGAGCCCTTGCCACTTCAAGCAAAGAATCTCGCGTCCGGTACATCGCAAGACCACGTCAGCGAGGCGCGAGCATCAAAAGAGAAAGAGTCGGACGTTTGTGCTGCCACATCCGCAGCCCAAGTGACAGGCAAGCAAAGCCTACAATCCCCGCCAGACTGCAGTGGAAGCTTGCCAAAGGGTTCTGTCGAATCGCAGCACAGAACATCGATCGAGCAGATGGCTGATGCGCCGGCGAGCAAAGAAGGCAGCCCTCGCAAACCACCTCCCATGCGGCGCTTGAGACTTCTCGCCCGTAGCAGTCCCAAGAAAGCCATACAGAGACCTTCCTTCGGGCCGACTCCACGGCTATCTAATCCTCCGGTCGTATCGACTGCACCTCAGCGTTGTGCTCCTGTGTCCGTCCGCTCAAGCTGGATTGATCTTGCTGACGAGGTGCACTTCGATGGCGCTACTGCCGCCAATGGCAAAGACAAGGCCAGTGGCGGAAGCCAAGCTTGGTACAGAGGCTGGAGACCTTCCAGCAAAGGAGCACCAAGAGAAGCGCGAGCGACCCTCGTACGACCGCCACCATCGAGCTACCGTGCTGTTGCGACCACGGCTCCTTCCGCCTACGCTCTACCAGAGCCTCCACCTTTCCCCATCTCCATATTGCGAAAGGGGTCTGTAGACAAGCCTCAGCCTGCACAACCTGTCGAAGAAATACCAGAACAAGAGACAGAAGAGACAAAGAGTGGCATCCCTGCAAGCCGAAAGCCACCTCCTGCGCGACCTCTTCTTTTGCCTACTATGCAGATGCAGACAGGTCGCCCTACTTTCGACAACCGCGCTCAGAATTACACAGCTGTACCTACTACGAACACTGTGCAGCTGGGACGTTCAGAGTCGCTGAGACGTTCACGACGCAGCGAAGTGAGCAGTATGGCAACCCTAAGACAGGAAGATGTCGGTCGTCCATCGCCGAAGAGGACGCGAAACCCAGCGTCGCAGCCAACTCTCACCTCTCCTTTGCGCTCGCCACCTGGACGTCCTATCGCGCCTCTGCCACCTCCACCGTCTGCCCGTCGCATGGGCGACTCTTTGCCCATTCCTCCTCGAGCAGGCAGCGGTCGAGCCCGTGCTCGGGCCAGTACCGTCAGCAGTGCTTCGTCCATGGACCCATCTCCTCGTGAATTGGATGGAGAGCCCACAGCTACCAGTATCGGCACGTCCATCCTCTTTGCAGATGTCGAGATGGCCCTAAGCAGGCTGGCTGTAGTGGATGCAGCGCCGAGAAGTGATGCTAGACTGAGGGGAAGCAAGAATACAATGGGCACCCCCTCTAGACTGTCTCCTTCCGCAGCCATGACTCCGCAACCCTCTGCGGACGAGATCCATCTCGCAGCCGTGCTCGCACGTATGCTATGCAGCCAGACTCGACGCTCTGCAGGCCCTCAGCGCAGTGCTTCTCCTTCGGGCGGCATACGTAAGCTGCTCGATTCGGTCAACGCTGCAGACGGCAGTCACGATAGTCAGATGGATACTTCTGAGGCTACAGAGATCTTGTCTGAGCTCGTGGCTCGCTTCAAGAATTCTCCTATGCCGACACCCAGTCGCTCAATCAGTAGGCGGAACGGCAGTGCCACCTTGCGCACGCCCGAGAGGCGAGCACGTCGCCCAGCACCGGGTAGCGCTGCGCCAGGTAGTCGTGGCAGCTTGACGCCTGAGCAGTGGAGAATGGAAGAGAGTCAACGCTTCAGTGATGCGACTTTTGCCAACAGCGTCCTCTCCTATGCATCGACGCCTCTTAGCTCCAGCACGGAAGACTTGACGAGCCTCATCGATGGTATGATGGAAGCCTCTGAGGGAGAAGCGTCGCTCAGCGCTGCCGATACGACGCCTGGTATTCCTGTGTATGATGGCCCTGCGACCCATCATCGCCAGCCTCCGTCTTCGAGGAAGCGCAAAGAGTCTGGCTCTTCAGCCAATTACTTTCTCTCGCGAGCAGAAAGGGATCAAGTCATGTCGCCCATCCCTGAAGGCGGTGTCAAAAGTCATGGTCCGATGAGGGGCACTCCGCATTCTTCTGCATCGGGACGAGAGGCAGTCTCTGCTATTCTGGATCTGTATCAACAACAGAGAGAAGCAGGTTCGTCTCCTACTTACAGCTCTGGTCGAGCTGGAAGTACTCTCAAGCAGCAGGGTGTGGGCAGTGCACGTGTACCGAGATCTTCCCTCAGTCCTTCTTCGCGCAGTCCTCGTAGTCCTCACTCCATACGCTACGCTCGCCGAGGCCAACCAGCTAGTAACCGCAATGGCTCTAGGGGCTCGATCAGACGAGCAACCGATGTCCAGAGCCGCGTGAGGAATTTGGACCTCACGAGAGCTGCAGCCCGAGCTCGTCAAGACTCGATGGCTTCATCGACCCGCCCCTCTACTGAGCCTGACGACACCTTCTCCATCACTGGACCTATGTCGGCTGGCAGGGCGGCTCACGTCAGACAGCAGACCTATGCTCAACACGATGTGCTTGTTTACAGGGTCGAGACAGAGTCCACGGCAGAGGAAGAGGCACTATTCCGAGAACTTCAGCACAAGCCTCAGCGACGCCTTTTCCAGCCACCAGCACCCCTCACACCTCCTGTCTCAGGAAGAGAAGGCAATGAGTCCAAGCCCTGGATGAGCGGAAAGCACGCTTGCTCCGTCACCTTGACTCCTCCCGACTCTTCGGACCGCATTACTGCCGATCTACCACCGCTCAAGTCCTCAGCTTTGCATCACTCACGCACGTCTTACACCTCGCAGTGCGATACGATGCTCTCCCCCAAAGGAGGACTTTTCAATCTGCCCTCGCTGGTGATCACAGATGCGGATGTAGAGGCCAAGTGTCGATCGCTGAGTACTACGCCTGCTAGAGAGCACAGTAAAGTCAAAGAGGTACCTACGACCGCGGATGCAGCCGTACCTCCCACTGTAGCTCAGACGGACTCTCCATTTCGAGCGCAGGGAAGTGATATCATGCGAGCAGGCATCAGCACAAGTACAGGCACAAGCAAGTCTCAGCTGGCCTATCGCGACGAGACTTCCTGTAACCCTCGAGTAGATTCAGATGACGAGTCCTCCTCCTCTTCTTCATCTTCCTCCTCCTCTTCCGAGTCTGAAGAAGAGGGCGACGATATCGCAGGCTCGTGCGATACACACTCTGGCGGACACTTCAAGTACGAGATTGGGCATGGACGCCGGGCGTCGGTGAGGCAGACGACTGAGCTGGGGAGGGTCACGTTTAGCTTGATGAGCCCGCTGAGGGAAGATGAGGGTCCACCAAGGTGGAGCGTGCAGGGCGAGAAAGCAGCAGGGGAACGGGGGGAAGAGGAGCTGAAGGGGAGTGGGAATGGGATGACGGGTAAGTGAGTTTATACAGAGCGTAGTGGTGAGGCAAGGACAATTGCTGCAGGCTTGGGCGCTAACGTCTTCATCTTTATCTTCACTGCACTCCATTGCAGTACCACTCCCGCAAAGCAGTGAGAGCTGCTCCGTCCAGCCAAGTCACCCACTCTCAACAGTCGCCACCCTAGCATTCACACCGACGAAAACCACAAGATTGTCAAATGACACTACATCTTCACCCCTTCTGCAACCAGATTCTTCCCCCTCAACCACAGCCACAACCACATTATCTCCCTCCTCCTTTGCAACATTCACCCCAGACACATCCGATGAATCCCTCATAGGCGAAGGACTCGGCGCGCTCGACTGCTCCTCCCTCTCCCGCGTGGAGCTACCCCCGCTACTTGCCGCACTTGCGGTGAGGATGCTCGATTCGGCGGAGCATCCTTGGGTGGTGGATCTGCCGGCTCCCAACCAGAACTTGGATCACAAGGACATAAGTGACTGGTGGGCGGATAGCCCTCTTGTCGACTTTGATGTTCAGGTGCAGGAGCAACAAATACGAGACTTGCTGGAGGAAAGTCTCACCCGCTGGCCTTTAGCTACTACACACTCTTCACAAGGCGAAGGCGCGTCTCAGGACGTTTTCCCACTAGCGATACCACTCCAATGGCCACTATCAGCAGCACTACCCAGAACTCCACACCAGATCCTCATCTTCCTCCTCGAGTCTTACGCCTTTTTTCGCGAAGAGCTCGTCGCTTCTCCCTATGCATACGCGTACTCGACCTCTCAACCCACTGGCTCTATCGACACTCGTGTCCAAGCCTTTGGCTCAGGCTCAGGCTCGGGCTTAGCTTCGGCTCATGTTCGATCGCATGATCCTCTCGTGTTCGAGCAAAGCTGGGATATCCTGCATCCACAAGCAGTCGATCTTCTCACTGGGCGAAGGAGTGCTCCACTCGCCTCGCCCGCAGTATCGCCAGGAGCAGGAGTAGGAGTAGGAGCAGGAGCAGAGGGGATGGAGAAGATGGGCATAGGCCAGAGAGTGAGAGCGCGACCTCGCCCGCCGGGAAGACGAGGAGGAGGAGGGGCTCGCTGATACCGCCAGCTGGCTGGCTAGCTAGCACAAGAAACAAGAAACATACGCACTTCACCGACGGACTGCTCAAGAGAGAGACGTCTCTCCCCTCCCCCCTTTACACTCCTTCTCTTGTCACTGTCTCTCGTCACCACGCGCCATCCTGCGCCCCTTCTGCTCCTGCTCAATCTCCTGCTTCACCTTACCTTCCCTATTTTGCTCCTGCTCACACCACCTTCCCTCTTTTGCTCCTGCTCTCTACACACTCTCCCTCTCTTGTTGCTCCAGTCTAACTGTACCAGACCCAGAGACCACGACTCAGAAAGATAGCGGACTCAATACACGTTTTTAGGAGTCCAGTACGGTAGCTCGAGTGTGAGAGCGACAGTGAATGCGAGGGGAAGAAGCGAGAGTGATTGTGAGAGGTAGTAATGGCATTCCAAGGCTGTAGACGAGTACGGTACAGCGTGCCAACTGCCCATTCGGCAGACTACATCTGAGGGACGCGGAAAGGGCGGGAAGCGGGAGAGCTTTGGCTTGCACAAATCTGTTGAGGTTCATGAGCAAAGTGACAGCCTGGAGCAAAAGACAGGATGGGGACAAGGAGGTAGCGAACATGTCATGTCGGGTCAGCAAAGGTTCTGAAGGTTCATCTCCCTCGCTAGCCAGTAGAGCACAGAGCACAGAAGCAGGCAGTGTGAGCGTGCAACTCGCTGCTCTTCCACTTCCTTTCTCCTTTCTCCTGCTCTTCCTCTCCACCCTCAAATATCCACACTCGTTCTCGTTCAAAGAGATCAGCTACGCCTTTTCACATTTTCGAGTCTTTCAGAAGGCTCACTCCCGCTCTCTCTCCTCCCCCAGGGGAAGAAGGAGAAAAAGGGAAAAGGTCCTTGCAGACTTTTGCAATCATCGGTAGCTCGCTATAAGGGGCGAGGACTGATGAGTTGCTGAGTGGTTGGGTCATCTTTTCATATCGTGTCGCAGGCGACTCTTCCTTCTTCTCTTTCTACGTTGGACTGTGATGAATTGTAAAATGGGCTGGAGAACTCACCTAGCGTACAAAGCGGAGCGTGCATGCCTCCGCATCACTTCTCCTCCTTCCGTCCATAGATGAGATCACTGATGTTCTCTCTACCCCTCTGCTGCTGCTGCTGCTCTTCGACCTGTCCACTCCCCCTCTCACCAGCGGCTCCATCCCCCTGCCCACCCCTCGCATTACCAGCTCCAAGTCCAAGTCCCAATCCCGCTCTCCTGTACCCATCCCTATTGAGTCTCACTTTACCATCAGCGCGTGCTGCTCCTCCCGGTCCCGAAACACGACTGAAGGATCCTCCTGGTCCAGCTCTACCAGCTTGGGCTACACCGCCAGCACCGCCAAAGTGGTCTTCATTCCAGCCGAACCTTTCCCTGTATCTACTGCTGATGGGATTGGAAACCCTCATCCTGCTAGCACTCCAGTCCAGGCTGTCCTCACTGCGTCCCACCCAACCACGGGAGCCAGGGATGGTCTCGGCTCGCGCCGTCTGTTCTCCAACCTGATTCGTGCGCTCGTTCAGGGCAGAAGAGTTGCGCTGGGCCGCCCCGCGCATATCGGCAGTGATGTATCCCAATCCCAGCTGCTGCATATCGGGAGTCCAGGCACCTTCGGCTCCAGCACCAAAGCGACGCTGTTTAGCCAAGACGTCGAGGGTGGGGTTGGTAAGCTTGAGCTTTGCGGCGGAATCGAAGCGGAAGAGACCTGCGCCTTGCTCTGGTCTTGCTCGGGTACGGTCGAAGCCTGTTAGTTGAAGATTGCCAGCACGAGAGCTGCGGATGAGGGCGACTCGCGATCCCACAGAGAGGGAGTACTTGTTCTTGGTAATGGAGGTCCCTGATGACTGGCGGCGGTAGGGAGCCTCTTCGACTGCCAGAATGCGGCCGGGAAGCGCGGGACTGAGGGCATGAGAGATGATCTCATCTGGTTGAGAGTACTGCAGACCTCCCAATTGATGCAGTCGACGTGGGCCGTATGCCTCGGCCGCCTTGGAGGCGGAAGCAGAGGCGGTGACGTATCGAGGCATGACCTTGGAGTCTGGGTCGTCAAGCTTGAGGTTGCTAAAGAGGCCCTCGACGTACTTTGCCAGGAAGTAATTGTGGGTAGATCTCGCCAGGTTGTGCATGTCAGATGCGTCTAGCTCTACCTCGTCTACCTCGCCGGTGGGCTTGGCAGTGCGTAACGCCTCCAGCTCTGCTTCCACCGAGTAGTCTTCCTCCTTTGGCGGCACAGGGAGGGGGGTCTGACCACCCGCAGCCGATGCGTGCTCCGATTCGGCAAGGAGCGTCTCGTACCTTCGCTGGGCGGCAATGAACTTGGCGCTGCGCTGGTCGAGTGCTCTCTCCAACAGTCTTGCCTCTTTGTATGCCTCCCGGTTGTTCCTGATGAGCTCAAGGAGTTGTTCGAATCGCTCTTCAGAGTAGACGAGGTAGTTGGGGATGGGACGCAGCGAGTCCGGTCCTTCCTCTGCCACATTGGTGGCTGCGTTCCGGGTAGGTAAGTTTCTCCGGGACGTGCGGTCGAAGCGGCTGTGAGGCAGGGGCTGAGATTTCCTCCCCTTGTCTGAAGCAGTACTGCGTAGGTAGGAGGTGTTTGGTTCTTCTCTTCTTACGCTTGCGTGCGTCTCACTCCATCGCTTGAGGAGGAGTACCTCTCCCTCGCGCTCCTTCCAATTGAGTCCATGGCCTGCCACCGAGTCCTGCTCTTTGACCTGGATGTAGCGCACTGCTCCATCCCTGTGATGTCTGGCGGCATTGATGGCGGAATCGAGGGGTGACTTGAAGCCAAAGTCTCCACGGGAGAGGTGGGAGTGTGGGGTTGTGAAGACTTGCACCAGGCGTGGGTCGTGGGCAGTGAGCTTGAGTGCAGGCAGTGTGCGCCCAAGGGCCGAGGATGCCGACATGGTGGTGAGCCTGGCTGCTGCTGCTGATCGTCGGCACTGCCAGCAAGCGAGGAGGACGAGATCAAGCTGCGGGGCTGAGGATGGTAGCGGCGATGTTGCTGCTTCTGCTGACGATGTGGTGCTGCTCCCCTCGACGTCTGTATCCATCAGTCAGATCTTCCCTGTGCCTTTTTCCGTGGTCCGCCCAAGAGGCCATTCCTTCGGCTCCGAGATGCGGCAAATGCGTGCGGGAGAGCCAAGCGACGGACGGCAAAGGCGGAGTGGGACGTCAAGGCGGAAGCGAGGCGAGGCGCTCAAAGTTGCCGAGGCCAGACCACTCACGCTACATTGCACCCGGACCGGAGGGGGAGGCCCACTGCTACTCTGACCAGACATCCATCGCATCCTTCACTCCTCCTCACTTCTTGTTGATCTCAGCTGAGGCAGAAGAGGCAGCAGCAGCAGCAGCCATGCCAGGTCTACTGTCATCCTCCTCGTCCTCCTCTGCTGCTGCATCCTCTTCATCTGCCGTGTTTCAGAAGCACAAGGACCTACATGCCCAGTACGACGCGCATCTCCAGGACCTCCGTTCTCTACAACAGCAAGCTCTCGATGAGCTGCCCGATGAGCTCACAGAGGAGTTTGAGAGCGAAGACTTCGATGGCGAAGAAGTGAGGGAGAGATGCGTCGCTTATCTCAATGACAGAGGTGAGTCAAAGGGTCCAAGGGTGGGGACCTTGTATCCCGTAAAGGTGGAGGCTGACCCTCCTCAAGTATACCCTCCTCGCCTATCTCTAGCGACAATCTTTCGTTCATTGCGGAGAAGCGGTTACAAGCCTCCTGCTGCATTCTCTCTGTTCCATTCCACTCTACGATGGCGTCTCAAGACCGACCTTGACTCCCTCTCCCTCGACTCTCTCCATCCACTTTACGTTTCACCACCCAAGAAGCTCCGCAGACCGCCGCTACTATGGCTCAATGATCGCTTTGTAGACACTCTCGGCAGGCCAGTAGCTCTCATCACTCTCAGAAGTCTGGAAAGACCAGACGAGGGAGGGCTAGGGGATGTCAAGGAGTATATAGCCGCCTGTCTGGAGGTGGTGCGGAGGAGGATAGCAGAGCTCAGACCAGAAGGCTCACGGTCTGCGGATGAGGCGCAACCATCAGCATCATCGTCATCTTCCGCTCCACCTCTCCAATGTTCCTTCATCTTCGACCTCTCTTCCTCCAACTCCTCCAATTTCGAGCTGGAGCTTCTCCCCTTCCTCCTTGATCTCCTCAAGAACCACTACCCAGGTCTCGTCTCTTCTGTGCACGTGCTCAACTTCGGTTGGGTTCACTCTGGTATATGGGCTCTTGCAAAGCGTCTCTTGCCTCGCAAGGCCCTGGAGAAGGTCTACTTTGTCAACAAGACGGAAATTGCAGCCGAGGGCGGGCTGTTTGAGGCGGGGAGGCTGCCCAAGGAGCTGGGCGGAGAATGGGATATCGGCCTTGAGGCTGAGACGGACGATGTCGTGCGCCGTCTTGCCCGTCCTCACATTACTCGCGCTGGTCCTGCTAGTCATGTCGGTAGAAAGAGGAGCCAAAGTATCCGCAGTGAGGGAGGAGGAGGAAGTGCTCCCGTCAGCCCAAGCAGGGAAGAGCCTCCACACTCTTATTCTCATTCTTCACGCCAGACGAGAGGACTCAGCAGGTCAGGCAGCTTCGACAGCATTGCCGAGCACTATTTCAGTGCAGCTGCTACGCCCAGGGGTGGTCAGTCCAGAGCCATTACGCCCGGAGCTTCAGGACGCGCTACGCCCCTCGAAGACAAGTCCTCTGAACTTCATCCTCTATCGAACAGTACTGGCAGCGGAGCCAGAGGAGGCTGGGTTGGAGGAGGTTGGGGATCTGGTGGTCTCAAGATGACGGCCGATGCGGCCAATAAGCTAAGGAGACTGCAAATGACGCGAGGAGGCTCAGCGCCAGACACTAATCATGCCCGCCGAGCAGACCGTAATCCAGCTGCGACCACCGAGGCTACCCCTGGTAGCCCTACAAACCTGAAGCGATCAAGGTCCCTGCGCGATTTTCGGCTGTGGGAAGAGGGCGAATATGATACTGCTGGTCAAGGTGGAGGTGCGGGGGAGAGCTTCATTTACTCTCCTGACGTAGACGATACAGGAACAGAAGTCGAGGAAGTAGACAGCGACGCTAGTGGCAAAGCCGGCGAGACGTCCACTGCTGCCAGTACAAGTCGTGGAAAGACGGGCAAGAGCGGAGCTGATGCAGGCGCTTCCACAGCTGGTCGAGGCTTCTTCGAAAGATGGCGAGGTCGGGGACAATCGGAAGAAGAGAAAAAGGCAGGAGGCAATGCCACTACCGCTCAACATGGTGTCAGCGCTTCCTCCAGTGCACCTCTGGACCCTCACGATCCGCCACGCTTCCTCTCCCGCCGCACTCGCAAGTTCAACAGAGTTCCAGGTACCGTCTCTCCGTACAATTCTGCGAATCCATTTTGGGGCTATCCCGCCTATTTGGTTCCTTCAGAGAGTGGAGTTGAGGGGCTTTCCTTCAACCCATCACAGCAAGCTCGACATTGCCTCACCACCCGCAATGGGCAGCAGTACAACGCCGAGGAAGACGAGGCAGATGACGATGATGAAGGCTCCCGCACTCCTACGGCAGCAGGGGCAGCCCATCAACTACGTCGTCCTCTTCACCACCGCACCTCTTCTTACGCCATCTCTGGCCTGCCCGTCAGAGAGCGACAGATGGCCGTTAGAAGACGATGGCGCGATCTGGTCCGCACACTTGTGTACCTCTTTGCGCTCCGTCTCCTCTCTCTCAACCGACATCTAAAGGGAAAAGTTGCCCGCAGTATCCAGGGTGTGTGGAGCGTTGTCTCGCACCCGCTTGGAGGGGTTTCGAGGGGTCGTGGTGGTGCGGGCCAGGGAGAGGGCGAGGATGAAGGGGAAGAAGTAGAGTGGCGTCGCAGGACGGAGCGCTATCGCAAGCTACGCGCAGCCGGGTCCAGCAATCGAAGCGGAGGAGCTGCTGGTGGTGGGAGAAAGCGCCCCACGTCGTCGAGTCGCTCGCGCTCCTTTGGCTTGGGCATGGGCATGGGTGGAGGCAGTACCCCCTCTAGCTTGACGCTCAGTCTGCGCAAGAGGGAGATGGCGTGGATGGTGTTGGTGTTTGCGCTGACTGCTGTTATTGCCACGAAGAGGGGTGGTGCGGGAGAGGCGGATAGGAGGAGGAGGAGGATTGCGGCTGCTGGTGGAGCGTAAGGATAGAGGCCAAGGGGATCCTACGGCAGGTGGTGACGGCGACGTTAGGAAGGGTGAGGGGCCCAAGACTTTGGCAAAGTTGCGGTGGATGTCCCATTGAATCACTGCATCAGAGGTGTGGAACTGCAACTTATACCAAGCACAATTGTATTACTGTGACCCAAGAAATATCGAGAGCTTCATCTCGCCAGCCTTTCCTAGTCAGCCACCCTTATGCCTCCTTGTCGTTGCTGATTCTCACGACCAATTTCCCTGCATGTCCCGGCTTGGCGTAATCACTCAACAACTTTGGCACCTCCTGCAGTCCATATTCAATCGTCCTGACCTCGATTCCCTTTTCCGCGACCAGATCCACCAATTCCTTCAATGTGACTTGATCTGCTAGTAAGCTCCCCGTTACCCGGAGGTCGCGGAAGATGAGTGGGAAAAAGGGAATCTGGATTGGATCACTTGGTTGACCAACGACTTGTAGCTGACCGTGCTTCTTTGTGAGCCAAATCCCCAGAGTGAAAGCAGGAATGACATCCGTGGCTACAATGGTTGCATCTGGTGCACTTCCCCCAATTGCCTCGAGGACTTTTGCAATCTGCTCTCCGTCGGATGGGTCGCTGATGTCTTTTGCATTGAAGGTGTAATCTGGTGCCCATTTGAGCTTTCGACAGAGTTCCAATGGTGGCTCCCTCGAGTCGATCATGGATACCTTCAGCCCTTGAGCTTTGGCTAGTGAACAACCAATATGTCCCAATGCTCCCGCACCAATAATAGTCAAATGCTGTCCAGCTTGAAGATTACATCCCTTGATAGCAGAAGCCATTGTCGCTCCTGCACACATGAGAGGAGCAGCTGAAGCGAAATCTAGTGAATCGGGAAGCTTGACGGAGCTGCGGTAGTCCACGACGCAATACTCTGCAAACCCACCATCGACACTCAACCCCACGGCCTCGGAGGCATCGCAGTATTTTGGTCGACCTGATTTACAGTCTGGACACTCTCCGCAGAAGTCCTTGAAGGCTAGCGAGCCTACCCGATCTCCTACTTGAAGTGGACCCTTTCCACCTGTGGCAGGAGAGGATTTCTCAGAAGCGGCTTCACTTCCTAGTGCGACTACTACGCCTGTAGGCTCGTGGGAGGGGACAAGTGGCAGGTCTCGCCCTTTGAGCATGGCTTTGAAGTCTCCCACTGCCGTCATCTTCTCCGTGTGACAATACCCCGCTACGGCTACTTTGATTAGTACTTCGTGAGGTTTGAGAGAAGAGGAGGAAGGGATGGGGATATCGGTGCTGTAGGTATAGGGATCGCTAGTGGCTACTTCTTCCGAGACGAACTTTTTGAGAAGGAGACCTTTCATTGTAGAGGGGGCAGAGGTGGTAGTCATGATGATGGTGGTGGTGGTGGCGGTAAAGAGTACAGTCGATGTGAATTGGGTGGGAGAAGAGATGAAAGGGAAGGAGCAGAGGTAAACTTGCCATCCTCGTCACCATCACCACCACCACCACGCCGTGAGCAATGGCTGTCCCCCTCCACTCATTCTCCTTCTCCCGCACTTTCACCTTGCCTGCAATGTCGCGTGCACGGCCTTTGCCCCGTGCGAGGTACGTGCGCCTGTCCGGTAGGCTTATGTAATCATTCACCCAGGGCGTCGCCACTTCCGTTGCGCGACGCGAAAGTGGGACAGGCGTAAGAGGGCAATTAACACGCCTCCGCCAAAGCCTAGCTAGGGTCACCGCCGTACAAGAAGGGCTTGAGCTTTGAGCTTTGCACTACGCTTCACCGCACCTACATACATCCTTTCTCACCACCACACTAAGTCACGCAAAGCATGGAGAAGCCGACGCCTTTTATCAACTCGTCGATGCTGCCACAGTATCGCGGGCAGATTGTGCGCATTGTAGGAAAGGTCAACAAGGTGAGTGGGACCGTGGTGCAGAAGCGCAGGTAGGACGTAGGGAGCAACAGGGCCAGTCCACGAATCCCCTATTCCCGTCACTCTGCAAGTCATCTCACGCCTTTAATAACACCCTCTGCCTCGCCTCTGCTTCTCCTCTCCTTGAACCAACGCAGCTCACAGCTCAGACCCTCCTCCTCCAAACCTCCGATCTGGGACATGTAGAGGTTCAGCTGAACAGGGATACCGAGCTCTCTTCAGCCCAGTACGTAGAGGTCATTGGAAAAGTGGCCGATTCGGGAGAGGTGTTGAGGGAATTTGCTAGTGTGGATGTTGGAGATGGGGTTGGTGAGTTCTTATAGAGTGGAGAGGACAGGAAGAGAGGATAGGGACGAGAGAGGGACGAGAGAATAATTGGCTGAGCTGACATACACACACTCTCTCTTCCCTTGACTCAACACAGATATGAATCTGGTGGAACGGGTAGTGGAAATCTCAGCAAAGGTCCCACAGCTCTTCACAGGCGAGGCATAGCGCGACGGCATGACCGAGGAAGAGGACGGGAAAGTGGTGGAAGTGATAGTCATCGGCCCTTTATGATCTCTACCCTTCCACTCATGTGGATCTAGGTAGCAGCGGTCCACTTCCAATCGATTCATTGATCACACAGCCTTCTACAGAGTCTGCCTGCTCAGAAGACGAGTCTGGTTGCATCGCTCAGAACGAAGGCTCGTGAAGTGCAATTCAGTTGCCAGGACTCCGTCTACCCATTGTAGATGCAGCGCATCCCACTGTAGAGATGAAAAGCAGATTCCCTTCTATTCCCACTCTAGTTTGAGACCGTCTATCTATGCCCCTCTTCTCACTTCTCATCCTCTACGACGTCCAAATCGCCCAGCGACTGAATCAAAAAGTCCGGCACGACCTTCTTGTCCTCCCCCTCAATCTCCTCCCTAGTGCTAATCCCAGTGAGCACCATCAATCTCGCAATTCCCCCATTTACAGCAAATTCAATATCCGTATCCAGTCGATCTCCCACAAAGATTGCCTTGGACCGATCAAAGTGTTTAGCTGCGAGAATCGTATCCAACATAGGCTGATGAGGCTTACCAATGATCGTTGGTGTTCTTTTTGTGGAGAAGAGGAGGGGGGCACTTAGTGATCCTGCACCTGGCCAGGGTCCACCCTTGGCGGGGAAAGTCGAATCGTCATTTGTGAGGATGAAGTGGCATCCACCCCCACTGGGTGATCCTTCCTTGATCGAGTCTGTATCACCGGCACCAGGACGAGTGAGATGCTTGTGAGCCTTTGCCAACTTGATGTACGAGAGATGCATATCGAATCCGCACACCACTGCCGCCACGCTTGGGTCTAGTGCTTCTTCAGACTGTAAGCTGGAAAAGTCGAGGGTGGGGAGAAAGACATTGTCCGAAGGAGAGGTGCCACCGACGTGGGCGATTCCCTCGGCGTCGAGCTCCTCCTCGATGCCCTCCATGCCGATCACATAGACCTTTTTGTCTGAAGGGAAGTTGAGGACTCGCTTTAGGTAGGCTGCTGCTGCGTATGAAGATGAGAAGATCTCGTCCTGAAGGTCAAGAGTAACAGCGCCAAAGGGTCCGAGATCGAGATCAGCGCTCACCTCACACCAAGTATACCTCCTCTCTGTTTCCCCAACTTACCACCTCTGCCTTTATCCCCAATTTCTCAAACTTCTTCAAATAACTCCCCCTACTCTTACTAGCATTATTCGTCACAAAGACAATTTCCTTTCCCCACTTTCTCAACTTTTCCAATACACTGACTGCTCCAGGAATCAAATCATCTCCAGACCATAGAACTCCATCGCAATCAAAGAGCCAAACGTCGTACGAGGAGAGGAGAGAAGAGTATTGATGGGGGGTTGTGAGGTGCTCAAAGGTTTTGCCTTTGCCTGAAGAGGAGGAGGCTTGCTTGGGTGGAGAGTGGGAGAGGGCGGGAGGTGTGGCCATCTTTGTGAATGATTGGATGGGAGGGCGAGGAGAGGACTGAGACTGGAGGGGGAGACTGTGGAGGGGTTGGGCAAAGGTGAAGGCGACAAGAAGGATGCCTCGTATTGATCGATCACCCTTGATTCTGACCCTCGCCCGCGTCTCGGAGATTGTCTTCTTCCACTCCTCCACTCCGTCCGTCCGTCTCCCAGCCGCGACTCACATCCCCTCTCCCCGTCCCTTCCCATCCCAGCAATCCCCCATCGAGCTGGCGCAGCAGCAGTAGCGTAGCAGTAGGATCAGTCCAAACCGCCAAGTCAAAAAAAAAGGAAAAAGAAAGGAAAAGAATAGCGTTCCAAGGAAAGTCCATACTCGTATGTATGTATTGTCAATTTGTCAGAATGTCGTGGTGGAGCCCGTAGAGGAATCAATCATATTGCAAATCTATGCGCGAGGCGAGCTGGGTGACAAAGTGGGAAATCAGGAGGCACGGGAGGAGGAGCAGAGAGCACAAAAGAGGGGAGGGGAGAAAGGGAAGAGGGGAGGGGGAGAAAGGGAGTGGGATCTAGCAAGTACAGTAGGGACGGGACGAGGGAGGGAATAGAAGAGGTATCAAAGAACTCTGTAGCAACATTCAATAGTGACTCCTAGGCCACGAGCAGACCAGGCAAGCGACGGGCCCCAGCAGCACCTCTGCAGCGGTCCCGTCCCAACCCCATCCCATACCGTCCCGTCCCACCCCAGTCAGTCTCACATGCCCGGCCCATGTCCATACATCTGCCTCTGCTGCTGCTGCTGTTGTTGTTGCTGAAACTGCTGTTGTAACTGCTGTTGTTGTTGTTGCATCTGCAACTGCTGTTGGGCCAAATGTTGTTGTTGTTGTTGAACTACCTGTTGCTGTTGATGAACGATGTGTTGCTGTTGTTGCATCTGCTGCTGCTGTTGTTGTTGTTGCTGTTGAGGAGGTGGTGGCGGCATGGCACCCGCACCAGCGGCAGCGGCAGAAGACGAGGTAGAGGACATCATCTGACCTCCATAGCCTGCGCTGGACATGCCCATTCCCATACCAGTACTCATATCGAGGGGCGAACCGGCTCCCATCTGTGCGACGCCCACGCCGGAACCGGCACCTCCGTACCCACTGCCGTCATCCACGAGCATCCCTGCGGGATTGTACGAGCCCATGGTCGGGTAGAAGTTCTGCGCTTGCTGCTGCTGCTGCTGCTGCGCAGGAGGACCTCGGCCAGCATTGGCCATTCCTACAGAAGTGTTGCCAAAAGCAACCTGATTCTGCGCCTGTCCATGAAGTTGGTGAGGATGATGATGAGGTGTCGCACTGCTGGCAGAAGTGGGGGACATGACGATTCTAGACCCTCTCTCATCAGCAGCGTATGATGGTTCTCCATCCGGTCCCACTTCAGTCGAAGGATTGATCTGCAGTGAAGGCTGGGACCTTCGCTTGACCTTCTTGGCATAACGCAGTCCACAGGCATTGCACAGCGTCTTTGGTCCGAGGGGTCCACGGCGCCATTCGGGCGAATCGGTCCTGCCGCAATCGGTGCAAACGCGATCCTCATCTCCGGTAGCTGCTGCGCTGCTCAGTAGAGAGGATCCACCTGCACTACCACCTCCTCCGCCTGAAGAACTCTCCTGAACCGGCGTACCTCTGATAGCGGTAATCGAGGATGCAGAAGAGGGCATCGTAGACTTGGACTTCTTGTTCCTGTAGCTTCCGGGCGCACCACTGCTGCCATGCTCTCCGCTGGCGTCAATGGCAGATCCGGAACGGTAGTAAGGCGGACGAGGATCAGGGCCGCCTTCTCTCGAAGCAGATCCAGACGCGCCACCCTTCGAAGGGCTAGAGAGCTCTCCTGCTCCGTGTGGACTAGCTGGTGGATGAGTGTGCGTACGCGCAGTGGCGGAAGAAGAGCCGCTTGGTCCACCCCTGTCGAAGCCTGATAGTAGCGAGGCGCTGGGCGAGCGATGAGATCCTGCCTCGTCAGCACCGCGCAGATCAGGTGAGGCCTCCATGGGCGGTGAGATCCCAAAGGCTTCAAAGACTCCTGACTCGGTCGAAAAGCCCATGGGCGTCGCAGAGGCATCATCCCTGTTGTGATCTCCTCTTCCACCATCGCCCGCCGCAGCTTCAGTGAGATTGAGCTCTTCCAATTGCAGCCTCAGCTTTTCATTCTCTAGCTTCAGCTCCAGGAACGAGTCTAGCACCGTGACACTCTTGGAAGGGTAGGCTCTGCAGGAACAGAAGAAGCACTGAGCCTCGGTCGATCGTGCAAGAGGTAGCTTGTACGTCTTCGTCTGTGGACTGCCGAATGGTAAGCTAGCCTTGCTGTGACGTCTCTTGTGATCGCGTGACATAGGACCAACGCTGTCCTCTTTGACAGCTTTCGATGCCGGGGCGGGCTCGTCACCATTCTCCTGCTTGAGCTTAGTGCCATCCAGCGTTTCACCATCGCTTCCATCATCGCTCTCCTCTTCACCATCAGCCTCACCTCCGCTCGGGGCATTCGTTTCCTGCCCCACGCTCAAGGGAGGGAAATAAGCATGACCTGTCATCTCCAGAGTAATCCATTCGGCGTCCGGGTCCACCTCTCCTACGGCAGCAGGATTATCCTTGACCTTCTTTGCCGCGCCATCGATCCCACTAGAGTCGGTTGGCAAGGACGATTCGGTTGGAGAGGAGACTGCACTGGACCCAGATCCGGCAGCCGAAGTCTCCTTGCTCGTATTCATATCTCCAGCCTCGACGCCTCGTCGGTTCTTGGCTGCCCGAACCGTCTTTGGAGGGTTTCGCTTCAGGCGGTAGTAGAGGACGATTTCCTCTCCCTCCTTCTGCAAAGCCCTGTTGAGCTCCCTCTTCAGCAAAGGAGCGTCTTGTGGGTGGACGATCTGAAAGATGTTCGTTCCGATCAATTCCTCTACCTTCCAGCCAGTCAGAGTCTGAACAGCCGTCGTGGCATAGAGGATCTTCCCCGTCAGGTCCAAGACGTGGGCAAAATCGAGGAGCTCATCCACCACGCGATTCGACCAGCCTTTGCGACGGGTGAAGTCGTTCGCTGCCGCATGACCTGAAGAAGCCGGATCTTGGCCCTTGAGGATGGACGAGCCAAGTCCAGGAGGGTGAGAGGCTGCGTTACCTCCCTGAGCATTCAAGGATGCAGCTGAAGGCATGGTGTGACCTCTTGCGTCGCCGCTGGTACTATGAGAAGGCGCTGCTCCTCCTGTGCCGAGGATTGTGACCCCCTGTGCGTAATCTGTACCTGGTCCGGAGGCGTCATGACGGTGTGGCAGAGCTGCGTGGGCGGTGGTAGACCTCTGACGGACCAATTGCGGCTGAGCATGCTGATTGTGGTGACGCGAGGGTGAGTTGTGAGGCATGGGCTGGGAGTAAGGTTGCGACTGATGATTGTGACCAAATGACTGAGCATGCTGCTGTGGGTAAGGCATGACATTGCTTCCTCCCGCAGGCATAGCAGTCAGGTGTCCAGCTCCATCCGTTGTGCGCTGATTCTGAGCACTGGCCCTCTGCAGACTTTCTGTAGCCATGGCCTCGAGGTCTTTAGAATTGACAATGTTGTTGCCGCTCGGCTCAGCTCGAGTATAGTGGGACGGTCCACCGCCATAGCCTCCGTAATCGAGGTTGCGCACGGAACCATGATGATGGGAGGCATTTGCAAACGTCGGACTTGTCGCTGCCATGGTAGGATCGTAGACGGCCGAGGATGACAGTGTTGATCCGAGCGGTTGCCCTGCTCCGTATGACTGCTGTTGCTGCCCCTGCCCTTGCTCCAGTGGTAGATCTGTCTGCTCTGGCCAGCCCTTGTTTTGATGACCCCCCGGTCTTCCCCTGCCACCTTCATGCATAGAGTCACCGCCCGAAAAGGTCATCCTGCGTCGCTTTGTAGACCCTACAGATGCGTCTGAAGCGTCACTCTCAGAAGGTGGAATGTCCGCCTGTTGCATGGCCATGTTGGACGCCAACGAAGGCTGTCCAATGTGACTCTTGCTATACGTCATGGGCGAGCCAGAGGTACCATCCCAGGAGTTTCTTCCCCCGAATCGACCACTTCCGTTCCCACTGACGCTTCCGCCCACGCTGGAGCCTCCTCCAGCTGTAGCTCCGGCGCTACTGAGTTCGGAGTGGGAGATTCGGTGCGGGATACCGGGCATGGATGTCATGACCATCATCTCAGCGTCTGAAGGATTTGTGTAGCCCCGTTGTTGGGCCTGAGACCGAGGGCCAGAAGGAAGAGGAGAGTCCCGCAGAGCTTCTGGTATGCCAATCTTGTCCCAATCGAGGTTGGTGAGGCCAGAGGCGAGGAGTGCGGTACTGCCGCTTCCGCTGCCACTGCTCTCAGCCTGAGCTCTGCCGTCATGCCTCTTGGCTTCATCTTGAAAGAGGACACGATTCTGCGTACGAGGAGTGAGTTCTGCTTGCCTGCCGTCGTAAGACTGTGCTGATTGGAAAGAAGCGCCAAAGGGCATACCATCTACGTTGCCAATACTATAGCTGCTATTGTCGTTTGCCAGGCCACTATTGCCGCCGCTGGGCCGCTGATGTTGATTCACCGAGGGGCTAACCATGTCATCTAGGGCACTCACGCCGCCAGGCCCAGCGCTAGTGTACTGCTTGAGCAGAGCGTCTAAGTCTGCTGCCGAAATAGAGTCAAAGTCGTGCTGTTCTACGGGTGGTTGTGGATCGGTATTTTGTTGCTGCAGATGAGAGAGAGAGGAAGAGGAAGCTCTTGCTGGTGGCTGGTGTGGCTGCTGCTGCTGCTGATGCCGGTTGCTGCCATGGCTGCCCATTAGCCCCTGCAGGGTCGAGGGGGCGGCTTGTGCTCCGGATGGATATGCGCCAGCTGATGCCCAGCCTTGATTGGCATTGGGATCCATGGCGTGGGCTACCCAATCGCCAGAACAGCTACGAGTACAAGTAGGGATGTGGGCAGAAGGAGGAGATAGTGGTGAGGCGGGGGACACCCAGATCGGGGGAAGAAGACACCTCGCAAAGTGTTGAAGCAGGGCTAGCTAGCAAGGCAGCTGTCCCTGGTCGGAGAAAGAGCGAGCAACAGGGTTTGCTGCAGAGGTGAATGGTAGGCGGGCAATAAGTCCCTGTGCCTGAATGAATTAGTCGGGCAGCCAAAGTCAGATGGGAGAGATGCAGGGATACCTCGGCTTGGAGGGAGCCGAGTCAAGACTGGACGGGTCGCAGTGAGAAAGGTGCGGAGCGACGTGAGAGGACTTGCTGCCTTGCACTAATGTGTGTGCTTTGAATAGGTCGCGATATGAGGTAAGGTCCTCAGGTGCCAACGTCCTTGCTCGAAACGATATCGGTCGAGTCTTTTAGTGAGGAGGAGGGGGAGGAAGAGGAGGGAGGAGGGAGGGGGGAGGAGACAATCGTTGGCAATGGCCAAGACGGACAATCGCGATGAGATACGTTGAGATGAGATGAGACGAGCTGAGACGAGATGAGATGGAGTGGATTTACTGGCTCTCGCTTTGACTGCCTCGGTTGTCTCTTTCTCCGCTCCGCTCTGTCTGTCTGTCCGTCTGGGTGAGTGGTGCTGCTGCAAGTGCAATGGGATCTAAGTCGGCCAGTGAATGCGATGGGATGCTGCAAGCTGCCCTTGGCTCAGACACAAGACTCACGCTCCTTTACTAGAAGCGTAGACTCAACTCTGCCTGCCTATCTGCCTGTCTGTCTGAGCGGATGCGATGCGATGCTATGCCACGCTCCTGCCATGCCATGCCATGCCATGATTCCCTGCCAATCCCTTGAGACATGGCTGCCATGTCAGGGTCCGCCCGCTTCTAAGCACCCGGCGTGGCTGGCAGGCAGCAGTGGCAGCAGCACTTCGCAGCAGTCTACCACTCTCACCAAAAATTCGCCTTGCCTTTTCCTCCTTCCCCCCCCCCCCTCGCCCTGCTTCTTTTCTCCGCCCGCACCCACCCGGCAGTCAGCACCACAAGCACGCCAGGCACAAAGGCAAGGCAGGGCAGACAGACGCGCGCCGCTGGGGCTCCAGGGCTAAAGGGCCCGCCCGCCCGCGCCATGCCTGTCACTCACTCACTCACTCACTCACTCCGTCCGTCGAGTCGAGTCGAATCGTGTCCGATAAGTCCGTTTGCTTGCCGGGGCCCACCCAAGCTTGCCTTGCCTTGCCCTGCCCTTTTGCCTTGCGGTGAGTCGTGCCGCTCAGGCACACACACATACACATACATACACACCTGCCAGGGCCGGGCGGCAATCATCGGGCTTGTGGTACAGCTTTCTTCCCCTGGTCCACACGCTTGAGTGAGATTGAAAGTGGAAGTGGAGAGGGAGTTCCAGCTTGCGAGGTCAGACTAGAGTAGAGGGGAGGCTTGTTCGCACACCAACTGAATATCGGGCCGCCATGCAGGACAAGAGACAAGACAATCTATGATGGAATTTTCGAGACAGAAGAAAGAGACAGAGAAAGAGACAAAGAAGGATGAGAGGGAGGGAAGAGACACGAGAGTACAGGCTTGAGAACACATAGACTCGACCTGAATCGTTGCGGGGAAGATAGGAAAGCGAAACGGTAAGATGGAAAAGAGTGGAGGGCGGTGGCATGGTCTTTCAGTGCAGATATCGTCTGCCCTGACGCAAGTCCTGCCTTCCACTGTGCGTTTTCGAAGACTTGGCCTGGCCTAGCCTAGCTTAGCCTAGCTCACGCGGATTTCGCAATCTTACTTGGCTCCAGCAGGAGTTCCATCCACTCCCGATCCTTTCCCTTCAACAGCCGCCTTCTTGAGCGCAGGCAGTGCCTCTTCCTGAACATAAGCCAGTACCTTTTGCAATCGAGGCAGGATAGGTCCTGATCCATCTCGGACTTCCTTGTTCAGGTGGGTGTACGTTTGGCCAAAAGTCTCAACGACGGGATCGAAGCGCTTGCGGGCGTCGGCGGGGAGAGAGCCGGCGAAAGAGCGAACCTTCTCGAGCTGTCAAGGTGCGACGAGGAGGAGGAGGAAGAAGAAGAAGAAGAAAGAGGATTTGGTCAGCTATCGTCTCTGTGGTGCGAGATTTGTCGTCGACATTATCCCCCCCCCTCCCCCTCTTTCTCCTCTAGCAATCCTTACTCACCTCTTCAAAGATGCTGTTGATCAAACCCTTTGCTTCTCCAGCCGCCTTCTCCTCTCCAGCCTTTCCAGTACTCTTTACCTGCTCAAGTACCTTTTCCAATCGTGCCTGCAAACCACCAAGTGCATCTACCGTCTGTCTAACAAATGCATTTTGACTCTTGACTTCTTCAAACTTGCTGGTAGCAGCTTGAACGCCAGGAGCAACACGTTGTTCGTAAGCCTTTGAGAGGGCTTCAGAGTAAGCTTGAAGGACGGAGAGGGGTAGAGAGGCAACTTCTTGAGGGGTAGCCTTGAAAGGGTAGGACCACTTGGATTCGGCAAAGGTCAAGACCTTGAGGGCTTGATCGTCGAGGAAGTGAAGCTGGCCATTGAAGCGACTGGTGATGGGCTCGGCGAGCTTGAGGGACTGAGTAACCACGTCCTCTCCAAAGTGCTGAAGTGAGTGGAATGGATGTGAGGGAGGGAGGAAAGATGTCAGCCATTGCCATAATAAGGGCGTACTTCTCTTCATCTGCCAACCTCGTCGTCGTTTCAACTCACGTAGGGCTTGGCAAAGACGGGGTGTGCCTCAATGGTATTGTAGGCGAAGCTCAAAGGTGCATTGACCAAGGGTACGCTGACAATCTTGTTCAACGCCTCGGAGTGAATGGGAACCGAAGAGGTTGGGCTAGTGCCATTGGCAGTAGTGGCGGCCATTTTCTCCTTGGAAGAGGTGAGTGTGTGAGTGTGGGTGGGTGTGGGAAGCGCAAGGAATTGCTAGACGATAGCGAAGCGATTCGATGCGAGGGGGTTGGCCAGTGGCGGGAGCGGCGGTGAGAGAGAGATAAGGGTGTCCCGGCGGCGCGTCTTGATTGCGAGCGAGTCTTATCGGTGCGGAGTGCAAGTGCGGGTGTGTGTGTGGGCGTGCGTGGACAAGATTGTCGTTGCGGGTACTTCTGTGGGTGAGTTAGTATCTAGATAGTGGTGGGAGGAAAGAAGAAGAACATCGATAATTATCGAAACGAAGGAGATGAGGCTAGACGTTTCCTCACATCCCTCGGGCTATGGATCTTCCCTTCTCCGTTGGCGGCGCTGAGATTCCCTCCCCCCCCCCCCCCCCCCCAGCGGCGAGAAGGAGGTGTTAGCGAGCGTGTGATATTTGATGGGTGGGGCGGTGTGCATGTGCATGTGCGTGGGTGCCCACTTTCAACGCCGCGCCCACGCCCACGCCTCGCGCCCACGCTCCACCCGCCGCCCCACCCAATGCCTCCAGACAGATTGAAACAAACCCACGCCCATTGGGCCACCCACGCACCCACTCACTCACTCACGCTTCTTCTTAGCGCCCCCTCTGCTCTGCTCTGCTCCGCTCCGCTGCACCTGCCCCTGCACCAATGCACGCCTGCACCTTGAATCGCTCCCCTCTCCGCTGATTAGCCCACCACAACGGTCAGCTCAGCTCAGAGCCAAGGCCAAAGGCCAAGCCAGAGAAAGTCAAAGCGAAAAAGACTCAATCAGGTCCGCGGAGCCGTCCCGAAAGCACACTCACTCTCATTCTCACGCACACGCACACGCACACTCACACGCGCGTGCATCTCCACTTGCCACGCCCACGCCCACGCCACGCCACGGAAAGAGGCGCAGGCCGAGCCAGGCACTTCCACTCGCCTACCGCCCTCTCTCTGAGCAGAGGGGAGAAGAAGTTGAAAGCTCCCACCCAGCCAGGCTCCCATCAGCCGGCCAATGGAGTCCCAGGCAGACAGGGCAAGCCGGAAGTCTACTCCTTGTCTGCACCTGCACCTGCCTCGCCTCGGCCTAAGCGAATTCTCTCCCCCTTCCTCGCCATCTTTTAATGTCATCTGCCATTGGACACACAACGCATAGACTTCTCAAGTCTAAGTCTAATCCAATCCAATCACCGAAGCAAAAAAAAATTTAAACAAAAACCGAGCTCTAATTCCTGTTTAGCTTTCGCCTTGGACATTCGGCCCCTCGGCCCCTCGGGTCTCGGTCTCGGTCTCCGGCTTGGCTCGGTTCGACTCGGCTCGGCTAAGTTAGCAGTGCGTGCCATTGGTACTGACACTGACACTGACGCTGACAATGACAAAGACACGTCTGCTGACGGCGCGTGGAAGCGACAGGGAGGAATGGAGATGGAGATGGAGCCAGGGTGGAGTAGCTTTACGTTCCTCCAGTCGCGGTGAATTCATTTAAACTACATCGTTGCTCCTGGTCCAAGGAATGCTTCAATTCAATTTCAGCCGTGAAAGACGAGACGGGGGATCAGTACAGGCGAAGTGTCTTTCCACCCATGTTCACACTTCTCGTCACGATAGAGTGCCCAGAAGGATCGCCTCTGCCACCTCTCCAGCCTTGAGCGACTTTTTCTCCGCCCCCTTCTCGAGGGCAGGGACGCATACGAGGGCATTGGCCGTTGCCATGGAATGCATACCGCTGTCATCGTGAGGAAGGAGTACAGTAAAGGTCAGCTCTTTTCCCCCGACTATAGCGACTCGATCTGGTTTCCTTCAAGGCGGCTCGGCTGACTCACCTGGATCTCTGCGCCCCCGTGCTCCTCGCGACCATCAAACCATCCTCGCTCTCCCTACCCGGCGGACCGAGCACCACCCTGTGGAACTCCGGTCGCGGGTCCAGCCTCATCTCGCTCGTCAATCGCACCTTGATCCGGGGAAGAGAGTAGGGGTTGCTTGTCGAGAGTTTAGCCTGACCCTCACCATTGCCGGCGGCTAGGTCGTGGCTGGAGGGCGTGACGCCGAGAAGCTTGCGGAGGCAGGGTAGCGCAAAGATGTAGAAGCAGACGAGGGCAGATGCGGGGTTTCCCGGTAGGGCAAAGAGGAGCGTAGAGCCTGTCTGCCCACTTGGGGCGGGCAAGGTTGCGAATGTCGTTGGCTGAGACACGGTAGTGGTCGTGGCGGCAAAGTCAGCACACGAGACCCCCGACTCTCCGCAGCTCTCCACAGCTCACCTTTCCCGGCTTCATTGCCACTCTGCCAAAATGGATCGAGCCTTGCAACTCCCTCTCAATGATCGGCTTGAGAAAGTCAGACTCTCCCATGGAGGTACCGCCGGTGGTGAGGATGATGTCGGCCTCTTGCGCTCCTCGGCGAAGGCTATCTGTGAGCTTCGTAGGACTGACGATGAGGAAGTAGAGGTGATGTGGTCAGGGCTCCAGTCTCCAGCCAGACTCGTGTCCCTTAGAACTCTCTGTAGACACACTCACTTGTCACCCAAGATGCCTAGATCCACAACCTCCAGTCCCATGCCTTCGATGGCTGCTCTCAATCCGGGTCGATTTGCATCATACACCTTGAATCCCCACGCTTCCTTGCCGCCCTTCTGATCTGCATCCTCCTTGAGGTCTCTCAGCTCATCTCCAGTGCTCAAAAGTGCCACCTTTGGCTTTCTGTACACACTGACGTTCGTCTTGCCCAAAAAGGCAAGTGTGCCAATCTCTCCGCCAAGAGCCGAAATGGTCGTGCCTGCTGGGAGGACCATCATGCCTGCTCGCACATCAGAGCCCAAGCGGCGCACATTCTCCATCGGATCGATCTGTGCTAGTATCTCGATCTCGTCTTCCTCGTCCTGGGCAGTCGTGGAAATGAGAGCAGTGTCCTCCACCATGACCACACCGTCGGTCCCAGCCGGCAAACCCTGACCTGTGTTCACCCTGCAGACCTCGCCCGGCTTGAGGAGCGACGTAGAAGCATCCTGCTCTTGCCCCTCGGCCACTCTGGTTGTAAGGATGGACGCCGTCACCACCTTGTACTTGCCCGGCGGAGTGCTAGCAGCATTAACGGCATACCCATCCACGTTCGTCGTGTTCCCCGGCGGTAGATCAGTAGTGGCAGAGACGTCCTCTGCTAATACATGGCCAACGAGTCTTTCATCTACTGGCACTTGAACCACTTCTCGTGCCATGGGCGTATGTTCATTGATCAGCAAGAGGGCTTGATCTAGTGGGAGAATAGGGTAAGGTGACTGGCGGGCTCGAAGCGTAGAGGAACCGTGCGCGGAGTGGGTGAGGTAGGCGGTCCTTGCCTGAGGAGCCGAATGAGAGTGGACGCCATGTGAGTGATCCGATCCATGGTGATGGTGGTGGTGGTGATGATTATGGCTGTTGTGATGGGGCTGAGGGTGTTGGTGGATGTGTTGATGTCTTGAAGCTCCGGTATCGGTCTCTGTGCCGCTCAGACCTCCATGATGGTGAGGGTGACCGTGCTGCAGCTCCTGGTGTGTTTTGTGTCCAGCCTTGACTCCACCTAATCCTGTGCAAAGCTCCAATGCATGGAGGAGGATTCCGGCCTTCTCGGATGTGCCGAGTAACACTTGCAGACATTCCTTGATTGCTTTGGGCGAGCCTGGCAGAGCGATGATCAAGGCCCCCGGAGAGCCGTGCTTGCTACTCGATGAGGAGGAGGAGAATGGCACTTGTCTGATGCCGGTGACAAGACGAGACAAGGCTGCGAGTGGTGTCCTTGCTAGCGAGTCTGCGATGATGGCCTGAGTGATGCCTGGCGTGGGCTTGTCAATCAGAGGTGACAGCGCCTGCGAGGTGTTGGGTAAGGAGTGGGACAGGTTCAGCGCTCCGCTTCCGTTGTATCGCTTGGCCTGCTGCGCTCACTTCCGGCGTTGTGTCCCGCACTCCCAGACCGGTTCCGCCAGTAGTGATGACCAGCTTGATGCCTAGCTCGTCGATCCACTGAGTCACTGTGCTCCTGATTGCTTTTGGCTCATCTGGTACGATCGATGAACAGCCCACACGAAAGGCGTCGCTGGGGTGTGACTCGAGGGTACGGCGGAGGAGAGGCCCGGAGGCATCAGACGAGGCGTCTCGGGAACATGTGTCAGAGACTGAAGGGCGGACCGAGAAGGATCATCAGCATGAGACTGGGACAGAGCCCCTACTGAGATCTGCTGGCCGGCCTACGCACCTGTGAGGACGCCGACAGCATAGAGGGGAGCGCCTGTTTCGGATAAGGGCAAGGGGATCGATGGTGAGATTGCCTGGGGCGCGACAAATGCCACAATGCAGCAGAGAGCTCACCCATGACGAGCAAGAGGAGGCTGCGACCGAGGTGCCAGATGTGGGTTCTCCACTTTAGCTTGTCTTGTGTCTGACCTCTGCGGGGAGGTGTGAGCAGTGAGCAGTACTGGGATCGACTGTCCGTCTGTGCTCGCCGCCCGGAGCAACGGAACAGATCTCAGCCGAGCCTCGACAGCCGGCGGTGGCGCAGTGGGGCCGGATCGGAGTCTGGAGGCCCAGGCACGCACGCACATCACACACACACGCACGCACGCACCTCGACATCACTGCTACCACGCTCGGACACCCTCGATGGTCCACCTCTTGCTCGGACATCATCTCGTACCACTGGCTTTGTCCGGCTCATATTGCTTCTTCACCCCCCCCCATCATCATCATCACCACCACCACCACCACCCATCATGCTTAGTGGAATCACCTCCTCGTAGCAACACTTGAGCACACTACCCACTTGTCCCCACCACACAGGGGCCATCACTGCCTCACCAAAATCCGAGGACAAAGGGACTTTACCATGGCAACACTCGAGAAGCCTCGCGTCCGCACCACGTCGATCACCATTGAATTGCCTACAGTCCCCACCCGCGAGCTTCGCAAGAGCCCCGTGCTACAACCTCATCCTCTCCCACCCCCTTCACCACTGCTACGCATCCTAGACGCACCCAATGGCGACTCTGCCTTTGTCCTCCCCTCTGTACCCACCTCGGAACCCAGCTTCCACCCTTCCCTCTACGATGCCACGGTCGAGTCTGACTTCAGTGATCGAGAGTCGGAAATGGGAAGCGTCGGCAGCAGTGGGCCAGCAGCTGGAAGGCAAGCGGCGGGGATGAGCGATTACGATGGCGAAGTCGAGGAAGAAGTAGACGTGGAGGAGGAGGAGGAAGAGGTCTTGGAGGAGCTGGCAGACGATCCCATCGAGACGACGGGCGCAGACAGTGGAGATCGACAGAAAAACGACCTGGCTGGTCTCGTACTGGCAAATCAAGCGGCTGCTCTACTAGCACTGCAGGCTCTGCTTCAACAGATGAGGAATCTGGCCCTGCAGAAGAAAGTCATGCGCGAAGAGGAAGACCTTGAGTCGGCCGATGCCACAGTAGACATCCTCGATGCGGCAATCAACGTCGTGTCCGAAGTCTCGGAACAGAGCGAGGACCGAGGCCAGCCTCTCGCTAAGCTCAATCTCCTCCTCGACTCCCTCTCTACGGCAGCCTTGACGGCGGGATCTACCAGCACCTCATTCACCAGTGACAACGTCAACCTGGTACTTGCTCTCGGCGACCTTGTCCAGTCTCTCGACAAGGTCGACTTGCCCCACGGTGGTAGAGCCGCAAAAGAATCAGCCCAGCGTCAGGCTCGGTCTCCAAAATTGCGACAAGGGAGCGCAAGTACATTGGCGTCCACGAGCAGCCGCAGCCCTTCGGCCAGCCGCGAAGAGCTGAGGAACCCTTTCGTCGAGACTTCAGAGCCAAATGTATTTGCTACCCTACACCGACTCATCTCTGCTCTAGCAAGCAGATGTCCAGAGCAGCAGCGCAACGTGCCGCGCAAGGGCCGCTCTGTAGACGAGATTCGCTCACTCACGAGCATCTTTGGTTCTTCGTCCACCAGACAATCACTGACCACGGACAATCTAGTCATGTCAGAGACCAATAAAGCTGCTTGGTCGCACATCAGTCACATCCTCAATCTCACGCGCGATTTGCTCGCCAGCCGCAGAGCAGCATATGCATATCCATTCTCCTTCGAAAGCGCAGGAAGCTTCAGTCCACTGCGCGGTAGAAGTCGAAGGAGCAGCGCTGCGAGCTCCAACACAGATGTGGCAGAGAGGGCTCGATCTGTAGCCAGCGGTCATAGTAGGTCAGGTAGTCGCATGCAGGGTCCAGTGGTGGCCACTCGAGGCACTCTGATTCGGAAAGCAGGAAGTTTGAGCAGTCTCGAAGGGACGTGCTCGATCGCTAGCGGCTCCCTTCCACCACGTTACTCTGACGATGGAGGTAGTAGCAGACAACGCAAAGGCTCAGGTGCCAGCGAAGGGCAGATTCGGGACTACCAAGCAAGAGGACTGCTACCAGCATACGGGCCGGATGACAAGTTCTCCCACCGTCGCACAGGATCTAGAAATACACTTCCTTACCCAGAGAAGGGCATCTTGCTGTCATCCCCGACGCTGTCGACTTCCTCCGAGCCCGCACTTGGTCTTTACACTCCTGTGGCTTCCCATTCAACGGACATGATACAGACCTCGACTGAGAGAGTTACCACTACCGCTTCTCGCCTTGCTAGTCAGCGAGCGAGCCCAAAGGTGGGCGGCCACAAGAGTCTCAATGTGGATCTGAATCTGGATGATCTTATCGACCGTCTAGCTGCCAGTGGCAAGCAGCTGGATGATCAACGAGTAGCTCCAAAGGCCAAGAAAGTCTCGCCAAACGTTTCTGTAGACCCGCCCTTTGTTTCTCCCAAGTCAAGCAATAGCATGCTCAAGAGGCTATCTTCGACTGCTCAGCTGGCGGGCACCTTCAGAAGGTCATCGACGACGACCAGTGCCGCTGGCAATGGCAAGGAGCGAGCCTCTGCTCCTCTTTCAAGACCGCGCAGTGCTGGCAGTGGAGTGCCTTCGGGACTGAGCTCAGTCGATGAGATGCCCTCCCGATCCAAGAGATCGACACCCATGTCTTTGAGGGCAATGCTCTTCAAGGACAACGCTGCAGACGCCAGATACCAGTCACAGTCATCCCCCGTCGATCCCCCTGCAGGCTCTGAGTCGATATCGCGCAATTCACAAACGAAGAGGTCGGAGGATACTGAGCTCTTCGACTTGCTCGCCACTGCTGCAAGTCGCACTCGCCTGTCGGATCAGGAAGCCGTCATGAGGCCTGCACACCGACGCTACCACACGGAGGCTGCGTTGAGCAGCATCAACGGCGAGCAAGCGTCAGCGGACACGAGCAGCTTCACGATGGGAGATCAGAAGACATCGGAATCTCGCGAGGAGGATTTTCGGCTCGGGGCGGGGGGAAGAAGCGTCGACACTCCGACGAGCTCGACCTACGACAGCAATTTGTCGAAAGCGAGCGTAGCAACGGGAAGCCGATAAGCGGGCTTGTCGCGAGCTACATCGCCGAGAGTCAAGGACAGATTGGGACTGTGTCTGTCTTAATTTCGCTCTACCCCGTCCCGAAAGCGTCCAGAAGTCGAGAAGGACAAGAAGAAGAAGCACTCTGTGCGGGGCACGTCACTCGTCAGATTCTTTACCGGACCGAGCCGCCCTATTCCCTGCATATCGAGGAGCCAAGCACCGGAGTGCAGGACAGCATCACACTTCCTGTTCAAGTCAAATCCGAGCAAAGCGGGCCGATCCCCTTCGTTCAGGACCACTTCTCGCTACGTCTACGCTGTGATCCCATCTTGCCTGCCCCGCCAAGCCTTCCAATTTCACACGGCCACATCTCCTTCTCCTATCTGACCTCCGCTGCGCCAAACAGGTTCCTCTGCGCGACTTGCTCCTCTGTCATTCTGCACGTCGATTCGGCCCGTACAAGCTATATTGCCCTGCCCTCGGAGAATTGGGAGGAGCTCATCGATAGTTGGATGTGTCATGGTGATCAGCTGCTCAATCAGAGTGTCACAAAGGGCAAAGAAGGACTTGATGGACCTATGGGCTTGGACGAAGTGAGAGTGGGGGAGGCCTACATGATCTGGCCGAGGGAGAAGGCTCGAGAAGGAAGCCTTCAGCGGGACGAAAAGGTGAGTTGCATAAGGAAGTGCCAACGAGGAGGGGGGACAGGACAGGGGAAGGGGGGCAATGGACCAACAAGAAGGTCGACGTCGCGCTTTCCGCCTCTACCGACGAGCGAGAGGGTCTATCGTGCAGCGAGCGCTACGGAGGACCTTCTTTTCCACCCCGCGAGCTGCTGCCGCAACTTCTCCCGTCTCTACTTGCGCGCTACTGCTCAGTACGAGTGCGAGTGGTCGGCGGCAGGAGAAGAGAAGCGGCACATCAGCAGGTGGGAAGGAGGGGTCAGTCCGTACGCTCATCTGCCCTGACCCGCTCCATCGACTGATACTCTTGGTCCTAGATGAAGACCACATACGGCTGCTCTTTACACAGAAACACCCCCTCCTGGCAAAAGATTGATGCGGAGGTTAACTTGTTGGGTCACTCACGGGAGCTACACTTTGGTACTGACGAACGCAATTTCATCTCTCCACCCCCCCTGCACGTTGCTTTTCTTCATACTCAGGCGCCTCCCCACCTACAACGGCTGCTTTGCTCCACCTGCTCTAGTCCGCTGGGCAAGGAGTTGCCGGACTCGACGATGCGTCTAGAGAAGTACGCTTTGCGTCCCGCTGCCGCCGCTTCCGGTGCCGACATCGATGTCAACACGGTGGGGACCTCTGGGCGAGGAGGCGACTCGTACGCACCCCTCTTGCTGGCCGTGGCAGAGGAGATGGAGCGCGCCTCGCTTGCGCAGGCCGTCAGGCACTTTGTGCTGGTGGAGGAGGAGAGCGGTGAGGAGAAGGCCACAGTGAGTATTTTTTGCACACAGGTGGGAGGAGTGATGAAGATCGATTCACACAAGCTCACATCAGTCGTCCTCATTCTGGCTGCGCACAGCTCTGGTACTTCCAACCCTCCTTCTATCTCTCCCTTCTCCCATCGAGGGACCTCCTCGTCTCCCTTGGACTTCAAGGCAAGCCCGTAGACGAGCCCCTCGTTCTGAATGCCGCCAAGATCCTTTACACGCTCGTTGAAGAGGATGGTGCTCCTGCCCCCGACGTTTCAGGAGAGCAAAAGGAACAGCGATCTCAACCTATGCAAGCAGAAAGTCTCGAGCCCATCGTCCTCCCTGCGATATATGTGCAGCGGTTGTGCGAGGCGCTCCGCGGGAGTAACGAGGTCTACCCCGTCAGCAGGAGGAGATTTGGGCATTGGAGCATTGGATGGCTTCCAAGGAGTGGTGCGGAGGGAGGCGAGCGCGGGTGAGAGATGTAGTTGTTGGCGAGTGGAGACGAGGTACGGTGGAAAGGAAGTCCTGAGAACCAAGTCTGAAGAACATAGGTCACATCATGTCCGATGCACTTCTCATACACCACAATCACATCTTCATCGATTGCTATAATACAATACAATTCGCACCAAAGTCGTCTATGCGGTGTAACGATTGCGCAGGGTATGTGTCTATCCTGTACGTGGAGTAAGAGGTCGTACTTCCTCCTCCCCTTTTCCCTACCACCTTCTTTCCCTTCCCCTCCCTTGACTTTCTTTCACTTCCTCTTCCCCTTTGGCATGAACCACAAGAGTGCTAAAAAGCCTTTACACCCCGCCGCAACCATCATTGTCCCCTTTAAACCAATTCCCGTCTGTCCTTCGAGAAGACTTTGGGCTACTCCCCCACCCGTGGCGAGACAGACGAGGGCGAGGATTCGCAAGTCGCGTCCTTTGACGGAGGGGTCGTTGAAGAAGACTCGACGGGGAGGTGGTGCGCTCTTGGTAGTTGTTGTTCCCGTATCTACCTCCCTCTCAGAGGAGGAGAGGGAGGTGGAGGGAGGAGAGGGCCGACGTCGCAGGAGGCTTAAAGGGGAAGGGATGGCTGTACTGAGGGAGAATAGTTTGGGGTCGGCAGCAATTTGCGTCATTGTGGCTGTGAATGCTACCGAGGTGGAAAAGATTGGCGAGGCTACTTTTTGAGCTTGGATGGATTGAAGACCCTGGTGGAAGGGGACATGGGAATGAAGGTCCGGGCGGAGGGGTGTGAGCACGAGCACAGGAGAAGCTTCACCAGAGCTTTGCCCCAGCCGCACAATGCTACGCTCCCTACAACTTACCATGCTAAAGGCAATGAGCAAGATGACTCCTGGCCAGTACCGATAAGTCAATTCCTCCCCATCCGGTCTTGACCAAAGGATTCCTGCCGCACCAAAGAGGAGTGCACTCTGCAAGCCTGAGCTAGCAACGAGGTACACCCTCTTTCGATGTCCCCACACTTCTCCCACTCTGGCTCCTACAATTCCCGCCAAGAAGAATGCTACGAGGGAGAGGGACCGTAGTAGTAGTAAAAGTGGTGTACGAGGAATAGCATTTGCGCTTTGGGGGAAGATATAGGTGGTTATACCAAGTGCTACTTGAACTGTATTCCCCGTTTGGAACCCAGTCCAAATTTCCGCACGGGAATAGATGGTTCCGTCTACTAGACCGGTGAGGAAGGCCATCCATGCCAGTGGGATGGTGCAGGAATTGTGATCTAGTGTTTCGTCTAGACCAAGAAGGCTGAGGGAGAGGGAGGTGGACAGACGACTTGACCAGGGAGGGGTGCGTTGCGAAGAGTGGGAGTGGGAGTGGGAGTGGGAGAGGGGCAGCTCGGCGGGGACATTGCGCTCCTCTACCTCGCGGTCCTTCTCTCTACTACCGTCCTCTGCGTGCAGGTGCGGGTGCGGGTGCGGATTGCCAATGTGCGCAAGAGTGCCCATCTTGTGTTGCTGACCAGACGAAGAGGAGGAGGAGGAGGAGGAGGAGGAGGAGGAGGAGGAGGAG